AAGGTCAGGTCCGAGATTACAAGTCTATGCACGAGATTACAAGCCCATGCACGATATTACAAGGTCAGGTCCGAGTTTACATGTCCATGCACGATATTACAAGCCTATGCACGAGATTACAGTGCTAGGTCCGACTTTACAATGCCAGGTCCGAGATTACAAGTCTATGCACGATATTACAACTCCATGCACGAGATTACAAGGTCAGGTCCGACTTTACAGTGCCAGGTCCGAGATTACAAGTCTATACACGAGATTACATGTCCATGCACGATATTACAACTCCATGCACGAGATTACAAGGTCAGGTCCGAGATTACAAGCCCATGCACGAGTTTACATGTCCACGCACGATATTACAACTCCATGCACGAGATTACAAGGTCAGGTCCGACTTTACAGTGCCAGGTCCGAGATTACAAGTCTATGCACGAGATTACATGTCCATGCACGATATTACAACTCCATGCACGATATTATAAGGTCAGGTCCGACTTTACAGTGCCAGGTCCGAGATTACAAGTCTATGCACGAGATTACATGTCCATGCACGATATTACAACTCCATGCACGAGATTACAAGGTCAGGTCCGAGATTACAAGCCCATGCACGAGATTACAAGGTCGGGTCCGAGATTACATGTCCATGCACGAGATTACAACTCCATGCACGAGATTACAAGGTCAGGTCCGAGATTACAAGTCTATGCACGAGATTACAAGCCCATGCACGATATTACAAGGTCAGGTCCGAGTTTACATGTCCATGCACGATATTACAAGCCTATGCACGAGATTACAGTGCTAGGTCCGACTTTACAATGCCAGGTCCGAGATTACAAGTCTGTGCACGACTTTATAATCGCAAGTCCGACTTTACCATCACCATGACCGACTTTATCTACACAGCCACTTTAACATGTGGCCTAGGGTTAGGGTTGTAAAGTCCGACTTTACAGATAACAGATAGTTAGTGTGGAGCGGCAAGCGAAATGCGGTATAATGCCTTGGGGTCAATCCAACAAGTCATCTCGAATAGGTATGTAGCTGTACCGTCATGCTCGATAACGGATTGTGACAGCCTGGGGTCAGGAATGAAGACGATCGTAGCTGATCTAGCAGTATGATGATTGTAGCGGTGAAAAAGACAAGGCGGTCGCTGGAGTGTCATCATGAGGCGATGATGGGCAGCGGGAAACAGAAAAAAGAGGTGTCACGCGTATGACGCGGTATACAAATGTATTCCCCCCAGGTGTCACACGTTGATCTGGGCTGCTGTTGCATCAATCACATGAATATCCCTATGTATCCTGGAGAAAGATGGACGACCGCCGTTGAGCGGCACGAACCATGGCGTAGGCGGTTCATGATGTCGAAGAGGCCTGCCATGCTCCCACCCATAGGCTCCAGAGCCCACAAGTTCAGGGAAGCGCCCTCGATTCGCGGTCTTGTGTCGCTAATCCGCTTTCGAGGTTTTTTTACAGTATACCACCCATACTTTGAGTTTAAGTCCAGAAAGCCCAGTGCATAAGCAATACGCGAGTGTCAATACATGTATGTATGAGAGGACGACGGACGTGGAAGGTGGGGAAAGAAGCAGAGGCCCGGCAACAGAGGCGCTGCGGGTTACCGACGTGGTCGATGAAAGAACCTCGAAGACGTGCGTACCACGCTCTCCTTGTACGTAGGATTATTCTGGGAAACCGGGCGTGCCTCGCCATATTCCAGACTCCCAACTTCGCTTCTATTTACGTACTCTTGCTGCTGGACGGCTCGCTTTTGCCGCTGGATGGCTCGCTTTTGCTGCTGGATGGCTCGTCTTTGCCGCTGGATGGCTCGCTTTTGCCACCGTACTTGGCTGATTATAGGTCAGTCGTGTGAAGTAATCGACGCGAATATTTGCTTACCCCTCTCGAATAACTCGAAGAGCTTCGCCTCTTGTTCTGCGGCAGCCTTTTCTAACACTTCCTCCCAAGAGACGCCGGGGGGAAGGAGGCAGGGCTGAGCTTCGGCCGACGAAGCGTTGACTGCAGCCGACGCAGGGGCTGAAAGCAATCAGCTCCACTTGTACATAAGACCCTCAGACCATACATAGCTACCCACCTGCACTGCCTGCATCGGGTGAGGAGCGTTTTTTGTCTGGAGCGTATAACAGTTAGCTAGATACTCTGGCAAGCAATGAGCGCACGTACACGAAGCATAGTACGGGGCCCGCGGGCGACGACCGGGGGTTTTCCGGCTTGTCATGGCAGTAGTGGGAAAGAAGTGAGACAAGAAACGTCACCGTGTCAGCCTTATATACCACAAACTCGACCGTGTGAACTACTCCGAGGTTACGCGTGTCCGGGACTTCGAAGTTGACGTTGGTCATGCGGAAGGAATGCTGTAATAGCTCGCTCTGGCCCCATGCGTTCCCCCTGTTCATCGCAGTCTATGTTCATCCAATGATCCATTACATCACCGTACCAAGCCAGCTGATCAGATCTAGCACACGAACAGCTGGCGGCTTGCACACATACAGATCCCAAATACGCTTCTACATGCATAGATGACGGGTAGACAGCATTGTTTTGCAATAATGTATTGACTGCAACAGTTATCTGTCTGGCGGAAGTGGTGGATGAGTCTGATCACCAGACTTGTAGTTTAGTTTCATACTTCGTTCGGCCGGGAAAAAATTGAGGGGTCTTTACACCTGACGCAGTTTGGCTTCATACCTCGCTCCAGCTTGTAAACCAAGATCAGTGTGGCTTGCTGGCTAGCACTGCGCCTTGTCAAGTACCACTATGTCAAACAGACGGCAGCCAGCATACCAGCACGGCGTACCACTACGCATCAGACAGGCTAGATTGAGACACGACCGCGCACTTCAGCTGATATCTGACACCAGGAAGTAATGAGGGTCAAGACAGGGTAGACAACACTTCAGCGGCTCTGACATTTGTGGACATCCCCAGGATCAACCATTGGCCCCCTTTAATGTCTCTATCTACTTTTAACTGGGGACCATCCGAGTCCATCGAAATACAAGATCACGTAGTAGCCCAGGCTCCACCATATCCGAATGATTCTGTGCTGAGTAAACCATGCCAAGCGCGCCTGCCCCATTCCCCTGCGCCATCAACACAATCGCAACGCCAGTATAAATCTCAAGCGTCCAGCCCTTCCTTGGTCCTGGCACTGGAACAAAAAGCAAGAAGCGGTTGTTGGCGGCCTGCGAGTCATTGGCAATAGTGAGCTATTCCTACAGAGATGTGAACAGATCTACGCACTTGGTTGCCCACGATTCTTCGCGATGGCTCCTGACCGGGTTGGCCAGACATCTGGGTGAACTCCGGAAGCCATGTAGTGTATCACCCTCTCTGGAAAAGCCATGTTCAAACTGCAGCTCACCGTAATGGGTACGCGCAGCGCACCACCACAGGACTGCTCTACAGGTGTATTTGTTGCGCCATCTTCCGGGTTCGGACCTATCGCCGTATTGTGCATTGTGGGCTGAGAAGTTGAGCGCAATGTACGCGTGGGTGATGAGAGTTATGTCCCGCAGCGGACACGTGTACATTGATATATAACGGTGGAACATGTCGCTGCAACACACGCCACTACACATACAAATATTTATGGTATCCAACGGCAGGCTGAGATAGCTCGCAACCAGGAAATCCATACATACCGCATAGCGTTGAGTACGCCTACCGCTTCCCTGCACGCCGGGTCGTTGGCCTGTCGTTAAGTACATTGAGCGACGGAGGGCAAAGGCAATAAGGGGTCGGACTTGCAGAAAATGCCCATGCCCAGCAAAGGAATGAGATCACATGATCAAAGGGTGACCAGCATCCATCTTCCCCATGTCAATTGGAGGCTGTTGCTTCTTGACATAGGCAGTGTCATATGACCTCCCAGATGTTGCGTAATGCTTGTTTATACGCTATCGAAGCAGGGGGTTGGCTGTGGTACCGTCAGACCGCATCAGGCCGCGTCAGACCGGCCCAATAGGGAAGCCACCGTACTTTGACATAGAAGCCTGATCAAGGGCCTTGCCACATCCAAAGCAGAATCCCTGGGCTCGTGGAGCATGAGAACACAAATTTGGAAGGGAGTTGGGGTGCGGGAGAGCCCAAAATGGCGGCAATCCGGCCGGCGGGATGGCATCACGTGATCAAGCTAGCAGCATAGCTGAGCTCGCCTCTATAGCGGGGAGGCTTTTGCTCTATGGCATAAACAGTGTCGGACGACCTCCTAGAGCCTGCCGCAGGCCTGTGCCAGAGCCTACCAAAGCAGGACAGCTGCTACGGCACCGTCAGACCGCGTCAGACCGCGTCAGACCGCATCAGACCGGCCAAATTGGGAAACCGCTGTATTTCAACATGAGAATGAAATCAAACGGCTCACTTTATACAAGCAAGACTTCCAGTGCTTGATGAAGTATATTGAGAAGGTTGTATGACAGCGCGGGAGGTCGAGGATGCCCACATTTTTGCTCAAGGGATGGGACCACGTGATCAAACTGTGACCACCGTCGAGCTCATCGCTATTGCCGGTAGGCTTTTGCTCTATGGCATGTACAGTTTCAGAGGACCTTTAAGAACTTGCCACTGGCTGGTGCCAAAGCCTACCAAAGCAAGTCATCGTCTACAGCATCGTCAGACCGCGTCAGACCACATCAGACCGCGTCAGACCGGCCAAATTGGGAAACCACCGTACTCTGACCGGAGAATTCATTCAAACGGCTCGCTATATACAAGCAAGACTTGCAGTGCTTGATAAAGTATATTGAGAAGGTTGTATGGCAGCGGAGGAGGTCAAGGATGCCCGCATTTTTGCGCAAGGGATGAGATCACGTGATCACACTGGGCGCATCGTCCAGCTCACCTCTATTACCGGTAGGCGTTTGCTCTATGGCATGTGCAGTGCTACATGACCTCCAAGAGCCTGCAGCTGGCCGGTGCCAAAGGCTATCGAAGCAGGCGGCTGTCTACAGCGACGTCAGACCGCGTCAGACCGGCCAAATTGGGAAGCCACTGCATTATGACATCCGACAGTAATCAAGAGCCTAGCAGTTTTGGTGGAGGTGGATTCATGCTTGAGGACATCAGAACAGGCAAGGGGAAGGTGGTAGGTAGACACGGCAGCTCAGGACGGGTGACTGCCCGGCCAGCGGGCTGGATCACGTGATGGAGATCATGGCCGACGTCGAGCTTGCCTCTATCGCTGGTAGAATGCAGACTCATAGCATGGGCAGTGTTGGACGACCTCATAGAGCCTGCCGTTTGCCTATTCTACATTCTACCGAAGCAGGCGGTCGTCTACAGCAACGTCAGACCGCGTCAGACCGCATCAGACCGCATCAGACCGGCCAAATTGGGAAGCCACTGTATTATGACATCCGACAGTAATCAAGAGCCTAGCAGTTTTGGTGGGGGTGAATTCATGCTTGAGAACATCAGAAGAGGCACGGGGAAGGTGGTAGGTAGACACGGCAGCTCAGGAAGGGTGACTGCCCGGCCAGCGGGATGGATCACGTGATGGAGATCATGGCCGACGTCGAGCTCGCCTCTATCGCTGGTAGAATGCAGACTCATAGCATGGGCAGTGTTGGACGACCTCATAGAGCCTGCCGTTTGCCTATTCTACATTCTACCGAAGCAGGCGGTCGTCTACAGCAACGTCAGACCGCGTCAGACCGCATCAGACCGCATCAGACCGGCCAAATTGGGAAGCCACTGCATTATGACATCCGACAGTAATCAAGAGCCTAGCAGTTTTGGTGGAGGTGGATTCATGCTTGAGGACATCAGAACAGGCAAGGGGAAGGTGGTAGGTAGACACGGCAGCTCAGGAAGGGTGACTGCCCGGCCAGCGGGATGGATCACGTGATGGAGATCATGGCCGACGTCGAGCTCGCCTCTATCACTGGTAGAATGCAGACTCATAGCATGGGCAGTGTTGAACGACCTCATAGAGCCTGCCGTTTGCCTATTCTACATTCTATCGAAGTACGCGGTCGTCTACAGCAACGTCAGACCGCGTCAGACCGCGTCAGACCGCGTCAGACCGGTCCCTCCGTTGGCAGCTCCGGTGTTGGCGGAGATCCTCGGGATCAACCCTCGGGCCCTCCCCCCACCTCCCCCAGCCCTTTCTGCAACCTCCGGGAGGCTGGGGGCACCTCAGGCGCCCCCCACCGTCGCCCAGCGCGCACGGCCAGAAGCGGGGAAACTCCGGAGTCTCTACGGTACAACCTCCCGATCACTCATGGGAATTTGATGGCGCATCAGCGCTCGGCGAATCCCTAAATTCTGTGGAACGTGTCGTGGTGGCCGCCACAGCGCGATAGCCTGCGGCAAACCTGTACCATCGTGCGCGCGGGACGATTCCGGTTCGAACGGTGCCCCTTACGAGGGGGTGGGGGCGCAGGTTCCCTAACCTTGTAGGATCGGGAGCCTACAGGTGGCAGAGGGTTAGAACATACTCATATTACATCTCTTCTTACATTATTGCACTTGAAAACCCCAGCCAACGCTTCCAACTCTGACTAGCCCTCGCCTGGTCTCGCAGGCACGTGACCTCACCGGCCAACAGCTAGCTCACGTTGTGCTGGGGCGCTTGCCTTGAGATTTACCAGTACCATTCACAGTGCGTATCTTCACCTCCCAGTGCACTTAAAGACGTTGGCTAGCCCCCTCAACGTTGGCTAGCCCTGACGGTCCCAGAACACGTGTGTGATGGACGTCGGCTAGCCATCACAACCGCTTTTGGCGACTTTTCCCACGGGCGAACGAATTTTTTCGTACAAACGCGTGCGAACAAATTCGTTCGCGCCATTGTCTGGAGCGCTTCCCCCTGCCCCCCTCGCCTCCAAACTTCGTCCAGCGGTGGATGGACATGCTGGCTACCCTCCTGCACCATTGGAACGTCAGCTAACGCGCATGGCGGGGCTCCTGACGTCGGCTAGTATTTCGGTAAATCGTGGGAAAATTTGAACGCGTTTCCCACGGTGCTAGCTGACGTCGGCTAGTGAGGGCAGATAGTTAGACTCGAAGTGCGGGCAGTAGGAGATGCGATCAAGCCAGTTGACTAGCGGGCAGGAGAGGATGAGCGTCCTCCACCGCGCAGAGTGGGGCAAGACCAGGCGCATGAACTCCTCGAGAAAGTCCACCGACCTCGAGATGCAGGCGACTGTGATCGGCATCTCCTTGCTGCGCGCCAGAGCCAGGCTGGTATAGCCGCTTGGGCACCCCGTCCAATGGCCGACTGACACGGTCGCCCAGAGCCGGGGCTCTCGAGAGCGATGCTCCGCCATCGCCTGTCCACGCAAGCGACCGAGTGCGCAATCTGGTCAGAGCGCCGTAAAAGGGGCGCCGCGTCGTAGATGTGCATGAAGATGGCCGACATGACCTCGAAAGGTAGCGCGCTGGCCGGGTCTATGCGAGCGACGTCATTGAGACCGTCGTCGGGATCGTACTCGTCTGCGTGCATAGAGGGGAAATAACCAAGGGGGCTATCCCGGATAGCGCGCCGTACGGCGGAGTCCATGTCGTGCACGGGGTGGTGGGGGAGAGGCCTCATGCCCGGCAAGTTCATGGTAAACTTCGACTCGTACTACAATCTTGCGTACAATTCGTGAATAGGGAGCCTAGATGATATGCTAGTTCAATTTGTGTTGGCGAAGCCAACGTCAAACACGTACCGAGGCATAGCAGTGCAGGGAGGAAAGAAGCAAGCTATCGAGGTGAAGATTGCTTTCTGTCTGAGGTATGCTGATCGTTTGAACGAAGACCGCCGTGCAGACGTTAAGGAGAAGGAGGAGAGCAAGATGCGTGCGAAGGATACTCGGCGACCTCCGATCACATGTGATGCGCCGGCCGTCGATCCGATTGTGACTCAGGAGCCTGTTTGCTCTCCGCGGCCAATGGCGTGCGCTTCATGTTCTGCCTTACGTCTTATCTCGGCGAACATGCAGCATATTCGAGCCCTTGCTTCCTACCATGATCTCCTCATTGAGCGAGCATGCGAGCGCGTCTTCGAAAAAGAACTTTTTCGCCGAGAATGAGGTGGAATTAGCTACGCGGGTTCCCCTTCCTCAATCGAGCGCAACGGTACAGGTCGGCCAGGAGAATGATTCGGATAGACTCAATCTCTCCCGCTCTTCGACGCAGTTTTCCGCCGCATCGGGCGTTTCCCAGCTTCCGCCAGTAGACAGAGGCTTTGGCGCGTGGTCATTCGTGAGTTCTTGCGCGCCGGATTGGTGCTGGCTCGGATGAATCTCGTGCAGCTCGCGGCAGCCTTCGTGGTGGAGACCGTCGTCTGGGGCTTCCCTACTGCTTATGGAACGCTGCTTGATGGTGAGGCAGATCCGCTGCTCCTGCCTTTTCTTCGTCTGATATGCGTAGCTTACCTGGACGATCCGGAGTACTCCTCTCAGCGGAATGCGACATCTCTTCTCGCGCTTATTGGACCCATTGTATCGGGGATCATGCATTGTGCCTGTGAGTATGGTCGAAATTATTCGTGCATTGGTCTTACAAGCATATAGCACCCGCCATTAATCCTCTTTTGTGTCGATATCCTCGATGCGCTCGGCCGCTCGTATGGTCGGGGACGGTTTTGTGCGCTATCAGTATTCTCGCGTCGAGCTGGGCGACTACAGTGAGCAGCTAGCCTTTCGCATCTAACTCCGAGAGCACTCATCCGGTCGCAGGTAAACCAACTGCTTGCATTGCAAGGCGTCATCTATTCCATCGGCGGATGTGAGTATGGCTGTTTTTGCCCCTTCGGCCGAGTTCTGACCATTCTATGCAGCAATAATCTATGCGCCGACCATCTTTTACATGTCCCAGTGGTTCATCGAGCGCCGTGGTATCGCTAACGGCGTCATGTTCGCCGGTACGTTTTCTTGATTCATGAAGATCGCATTTCTCTCGACAAATCATTGCTCACTCCGTTCTAGGTACATCCGTCGGTGGCATAGCTATCCCTCTCGCTTTCCCGCCTCTCCTAGCCCGCTTCGGCATCCCCAACACGCTCCGCATCTTCGCCGGCGCGACCTTCCTGTTCCTCGCGCCTTTCCTTCCGTTCGTCAGGGGTCGGCTCCCGGAGGCGCACACGGCGGTTCGCGGCCCCGCGCCAAGGCATAGGCGGGAATGGTGGAAGGAGCCGTCGTTCATGCTCCTCCTCACGACGAACATACTGCAGGCATTCGGGTACTTCGTGCCGCTGCTTTGGCTGCCGAGTAAGTCATTACTCAACGTGAGTGCGTGCGCTCTGACGGTTGCCTCTTCAGCCTTTGCGAGCGACCTCCACCTCAGCGCGAGCAAGTCGAACTTGACTTTGGCCCTTCTTAATGGTATGTCTTCTCATCTTCGCCGCTGTTTCGCCATTTCCTCCTCACGTTCGCCCCACCTCGCCCTCATTCTCCTACAATCTCTTACTCACCCTATTTTCCAGCCACCTCCGTTATTGGTCGTCTCGCCGTTGGTCTCCTCTCCGACCGCTTTGATCCTTGGGGTCTCGGCCTTGGCATGCTCATCCTCAGCGCCATCGTCTCCTTCGTCCTATGGGGCGTCCTCTCGTACACCTTCGCCGGCCTCATTATCTTCAGCGCGGCGTTCGGCATCGTCTCCGCGGGTTGGGCGACGCTGTGGACGGGGTTCATCAAGCCAGTTGCAAGTGAGTATCTGTTCACTTCCTTCGTACTGCGCATCATTCTTCGCGGATGACCTTCGCTGACGCTTGTCCCTTCCCTCGCAGACGACCCAAACCTCTCGACCACGCTCTTCGGCTGGCTCCTCGCCACGCGCGGCATCGGCAACATCCTCTCGACGCCAGTCTCAACCGCGCTTCGGACCGCTCGCCAGTCGAACGGGACCACTTCAGCCCTCCACCTCGGCTTCGACGTCGCGGACGGGCGGTACGAGAAAGTGATCATCTACACTGGGACGTGTTTCGTGGGCGCGGCGATCGTGGTGATCATGGGATGGGTCATGGAGGTGAGGCAGCGGGTGAGGGCAGCGGGGATGGAGTCATAGGCGGAGCGCGAGTGTCGATGCAGTTCTGGAGAGGGACGGGGGTTACGGTAAGAGTTGAGGCTTGGCAGCGCGCGCCACGCTTTGGAGCTTCATCTTTGCGCGTCGCGTTCCAGAAAGCCACTTGTATACAAGGAGTATCGTCCTGAGTATGCGTTGCCAGTCTATACAGGATGTGTTTGAACAAAGCGTATACGGAACTGCAGGGTTTCTCAACTGACGCCCTCGATCGAGAGAACTATGAAGTTCGGGCGTATCCAACAGTGCTCAGCGAGGTGTCGACAAGCGCGTCGTCTGGAGCTCTGTTCACGACAGAGCTGTCTTCCTCGCTCGTCTCTTGGAGCCCTGGCGTATCTGGCCTCGCGTCGGAGGTCGTCAGCCTCGATGCCTGTGGCGGCGAGCTCCTGCGCAGTAGCGAGATCCTCTCCGAAGTCTTTAGCGACGTCATTCGTCTTGTCAGCGAAGGTGAGCACTTCCAGCAGAAATGTGCGCGACTTGAGCTTGCCGAAGTACATCTGCTGCTGCCGCCAAGCGTCCTCGATGACGAGGCATCGCTTTTGCCAGTATGTACTTCATTCTGACGACGCCCTGCTGAGTTATAGTAGATGCGCCGCTTGTCGCGTGAGGGTGTGATCCAGAGAGACTCTAGAATTACGCGCGTCCTAGGTGGACGCGGAGGAGGCGATACGTCTTATGATTTCCAAAGAAAGACGATGATGGAGAATACCATGCGTTTGCTCTATATAGAGAACTGAGGAATAGTCAGCGTCGTTCGTCAAGCTTAGCTGAGCGGTTAGCAGCGCCTATCACAGGCAAGATCAGGGAAGCACTCACCGCACTCAAGCCACTCATGCGTGCACGCATGTCTCCAGAGAGCGCCTCTGGAAAGTCTCTGACATCCCCGCGTTGCGCAACAGGCACGACATGGACCATCGCCACAAGTGCGTGAACCTACGACGAGGGTCAGCAAACGAGCGTATCTGCCGAGAAGCTCTGACCGATCAAGAACTCACTCTGCACAGTAAAGTAGCACGCTATTATGCGCTAATGTCGGTCGGGTCCATCGCATACGCGATACCCGCTAGTCTTGGGTCCCGCGAGTGGAAAAGCTACGTATGTATGTGAGCGAGAGCGATCACAAACGCAGAACCTTCATAGTACACTGCGACGCCACCCCTTCAGACACGGTCAGACTTGCGCTTCTGTCCGGTGACTCACCGCCATGCACAAGGGTACATAGCTCTATAGGCCCGGAGAACGAGCTGCGCCCGAACCTCCGCTCCAAGCACCGACCATCGTCGCGCCGCGCGCAGGAAGCCAACGTTTGATGCTAGCGTCATTTAGTGCGTGACGCTGAAAGAAGGGCTCAAGAGTAGCATGCGGCTTCAACGTTGAAGTCGAATAGAGGCGCTCACCAGTGATCGTATGCGCCGCGAGGACTGACCCGCCATACCTCTTCCGCTCCGTAGCGTGCGCGTCGACGCCAACAACGACGCTGAACGTTGAACCCTAGTACAAGCTCATGATGACGAAGGCCCATCGCGACACCCGTCGTCGCGTCGGCGTAGATGAGAGCAACGCTCCGCCACCCGTATCCCTCATGGTCGCACCACACGCAGCAGCAAAGCAAAGTCAAATCATTCACAAGCACATAACACGGTCATCTCGGGGTCAAAAGAATCGCTGAGGGGCATTCAATATATCTGTATCGAGGGTATGGCAGATGTACGTATCGTGGATGAGGAGGATAAATGAGGAAGGAAAGTAGAGAGAAGCTTGAATGGCCGTCGTCCGCGATGAGTGGATAGCATGTACCATGTACGACAGCGGCAGACAGAGCAAGGACACGAACGCGGACGATGCTGCAAGCCGCCCGGGACCGTACCTCCCATCCACCGCGCGCCCAGTCCACACACTGCACTCCCACCGCGCTGCCAACAACGCATTAAGCCAGTACCATACATACGTGATCCGAAAACAAAAGCATCCTTGGGGGCGGGGAAAGGGAAGGCGTAAAAGACGCGTACACATACGTTAGCTACGCCTCTCATGACCAGCTCTCCGTCGCGACGGCACCGATGCGCGGCACCTTAGAGGACGGTGCAGCCAGACTTCTTGCTCTTGCCCGGTCGGCTCGTCAGCGCCGCGCGCGTCGCGTACTGGAAAACCTCGCGCACGCCCTCGCCGGTCCTGGAATCCGATCAGGATGTGAGGAAAACAGCATTGCGCGAACACATACTTGGCTGAGCACTCGAGGTAGTGCTTCGCGTTGATCTTCTGAGCGACGGCCATACCCTTCACGAGACGTTAACACTGCTTCGAGCGACTTGGGGGTCTGGACGCACCTCCTCAGGGGTAACCGGCCGCTGGTTCGTGCGCCGGAGCTCCTCGATGACACGAGGGTCACGGCGAAGATCCTTCTTCAGTCCAACGAGAATGATGGGGAGGCCATTGCAGAAGTGCGTGACTTCGGAGTACCACTGCGAAAACGGTAAGCTTGTGCGCCATGCGGTCGCGCAGGCAACGCACCTTCTCCTGCACGTTGTCCAAAGAGTCGGGCGAGTCGACCGCGAAACAGATGAGGATGACCTAGACGTTAATGTCAGTAGTGTATTCACCGCAGACGACGAGGGGAATGATGTCAAGAAGCAGTCATCACCACGAGGTGAAGGCGTGCTGGGGACGTCGTACGATAGGGGGTCCGGTAAGGAGACACTGCCCAGGGAGGACGGAAGGTGAATGATGACTCACATGAGAGTCCGGGTATGAGAGGGGACGGAGACGATCGTAGTCTTCCTGCCCGGCGGTATCCCAGAGCGCCAGCTCAACGTGCTTGCCGTCGACCTCTACGTCCGCGACGTAGTTCTCGAAAACGGTCGGGACGTACACCTGAGATGCACGTCAGCCTATGTGTCGCGGAGTCACGGGTATGAAGGAAGCCGACGCAGAGGAGAGGGACATAGAGGGACATTCACCTCAGGGAAGGTGCCTTTGGAGAAGACGATAAGCAAACATGTCTAGAAAGAGTGGTCAGCACTTCGAACGTAACGCAAGGCAGCGAGGTGGAATGGGCGGCAGCTACCACAGGCACTGGCCGTGGCAGCGAGGCCTGAGGGACAGCGGACATGAGGATATGCGTCTCGGCTGCGCGACACGGCCTCGCAGCGCATATGCGCGTCTTGCTGACGCATCTCGCATGCTGGCGCATATCGACCGTGCGCATCCGAATTCGCGCATAACGGCCACCAGTCGTAAGGTCATAGCATATGAGCCTGTCAAGTAGACGAGCAAAGCCACCATACGCCAGCGGCGAGCGCGCAGGAGGTTCGGCAACCGATGACATCCTGGCTGCGTGGCGCGTTCTGCGCCATTCATGGTGCTCCGTTGCTGCCCGCCACCCAGGCCTACCTCCAGCGCACGCAGACACGCACCTTTCCACAAGCACCATCACCGACAATGACAAGCTTCCTGCGGAGTTCGGCCATCGTATCCTTCTAGGCTGTTGGGGGCGTGGGGCGTGAGGGTCGCGCGGTGGCGGATGCGGGCGGTCTTGCGGTACGGAGAGTCGACGGCGGTAACGGGAACGGCGACGTCGGCGGCGAAAGCGATGAGGAGCTGGTCGAGGACAGCACAGGCAGCGACGACGAGCTGGTTGTTTTCAAGCGCCGTTTCAATCCCTCGTTGTCGTCTCGCTTGCTGACTAAGCCACGCGGCATTCCCCGGCTGGCACCGCTTTCCGGTCCGGCGGGCCCCCATCACGCCCGGAAGGCTGTGCCTCGGTTCGACTCGCGTCTCCTGCCCGCAGGTTTCCTCCTCATCTCGTCCATTCAATCCGAAGCAACGCAGGAGAGACATCAGAAGAGCTCTATACAGGCTGAGGCGAACGAAGAGTATGTGAAGGCTCAGATCGCGAGACTTACTGGGCCGCCGCTCTTGTACAACAGGTGGATGTATGGAAATCTATGTAGTTGCCAATAAGCTTGACTTAGCTGGCCACTCGGAACTCGCTAGCCGCGCTTCAAGGCTCCCGCTTCATCATGCTGTCCCTAATCGCAGCTTCGTAAGGCTATCAGCAACTTCCTCCCACTCCGCTTGTGCCGATGATTGTGTTCGCCCATGCTCTCCTCTCGTCAAGTCCGCCCTAAAACACACCTGTTCAAGCGACGGGAACAGCTCATCGAGAAACATCGCTACCGCCATAGGGTCCGGAGCGTGCCCTTTCCCAACCGCTAGGTACCGCAGCGCGCACTCAGCCTGACCAGTCGCGTAGAAGCGCTTGATTGAAGGTACATTGACAGCCTCGAGCGTGAGCGTCAGCGCCTGCAGTCTCGGGCAGTGTAGCGCCAACACCATGAGCGCGCGAAGCGTGCAAGGCCTGGCCGTGTCTCTATGCCCGCGGATATCCAGTTCCTCGAGGCGCGGCCACCACGTCGCGAGCTCAGCGATCGCGTCGTCGTCGATTTCGGTGCCGCTGGATACGTGGACGAAGACGGACACGAGGTTTGAGTGTTCAGAGAACGGGCGGAGGTGGTCGATGTGTAGGTTCGCAGTGGAGTGAAGGGGATCGGGAAGAGAGTCGGTGCATTCGAGACGCAGCGTGGTGAGCGTGGCGCGCTGCGTGCGCTCCGCGGAGACGTGGCAGAGCTCTTGCAGATGGTACATTCCGAGGGCATCCGTGAAAGGCCGAGCCAGCCGCAGATACAAGACTTCGAAAGGCCGCGGGGTGTCGCCCAACGACAGCAGCAGGCGAGTTGTACTTTCTGCGTCGGGAAAGTCAACAAGAGCAAGGATGCGCTCGGCTGAGTGGGTCAGCTGCGGAGGAGCGAAGCAGGGTGGACATGACAGTATGTACGTCTCGATAGACGGCCGACCCAGCAGAGAGTGCATGTGATCGCCCATGTCGGCCCCGGCTTCTGGCCAGAGCGCCAGGGAGATGCGAGAGATGTTGCTCGCGCTGCAGAGCGCAGCTTCCAGCGCACGCAGACCATCTTTGTCAATCGGAAACCCACTTCGAAGGTGTACATTTTTCAGGAGCGGGCAGCATCTCACGACATGGGTGACGTTGGGCAAGAATGCGTTGGCGGCACTGAGATGTATCTCTCGCAGGGTGGGGGCGAGGAAAAGCGGGAAGATCAGCGCGTCGTCATCGGGTCGATTTTGAGCAGAGGTGGTGTAGTAGATCCCTTGCAGCGCAGGAAAGAGCGTGGCGGGCGCGAGAAGGGAGGCAATAGTGAGTGCCTCGTCTAGAAGATCCTCTGTTGCATGGTGGTAGACGACCCGAGCGTAGCGAGATCGATCAATGATGAAAGACCTTTGGTCCAGATCAAGGGCGTGTTCGGAGGTCTGCGCGCTCGTTAAAGACCCAACATTCGAAATCATCGTTATGCGACGTACCGGGTTCGCAGCACGTCCATTCGTACCATGAGAGCGAGACCGCGCGAGGACACGATGAAAAATCGCTTTCGAGGGGATGTGGCGCCACAGGACTGGGGTCACCACTTGTGACCACAATCGTGAAACCAGCACGAGAGGACGCAGTGCTGCCCATACAGGCTTCAACTTCCCGTCAATGAGCACTGTGGGATATGACGAGAAAGCCAAGCTCTCGGCAACGAGGCCGAGGATCTCAGGTATCTGAAGAATTTTTGTGGTCGACATGGTGGTTGCTGTTCAAGAGCGCTTGTCAATAAGTCACGGTGTGACGCTAATCAACAATAAAGGGTCACGGCAGGGTGTTCGTGCGACAACAATGCGCGTGGATGGCATGATTGCCATGATTGCCATCCACGCGGATATTCCAACCTGCTTTAGGTTCGCGTCCTTGTTCGAGAGAAAATGAGAAGCAGCGAGTACTTGAAGCCCTCAGCGATGAGCGCGATGAAAGATACACAAAAATTGGAATGCAGTATTCTGAACAGCTGGAAGATCTATATAAACTCTACTAGATGATCTGCGCCTGGCAGCCAGGGCACAAATATCGCCGTGGCGGTTTCCCGTGACGCAGCTGACGCAGGTTCTTGTTCAAGATAAACTTTGCGCCGCGTAGCCCTGCCTGCGGGGAGATACCGTGCAGCCATTCACTGACGTCCGGAACGGCGTCGGCGCCGTGGCCATCGAGGACCTGCTGAATGGCGTGCTGGATGACGACCTCGTTCGTCTCCGGGGTCTCCATCGGGAAAGTGCGGCGGCGGATCGGCAGCACGGCGACCTCCTGCCACGTCGTTTGCGGCATGGGAAAGAGCCCGCGCCCGTCGTGCACATCGTTGTGGTCCGCGGCATCGTCGGTGAAGCCGTAGCGCATGCGCCGCGGCTCGTCGTCGAGGAAGGTGTGCTGCTCAAGGAGGTAGCGCAGGTACGGCTGCCCATACGCGTCGAGTCTGCCCGCATGGGCGGCGATGTCTGCGATGATCTGCCGCTTCATGCACAACGTATGGAAAAACCTCGTGCACCGGGCACACCAGCGAACCTGGTCATACCTGCTCGGGTTCCAGGTGTTCTTCGGTGACGCCTTGCAACGTCCGTCGAGGCATATGCGAGAATCACCCTGCGTGTGCGTCAGTCACAGAATGCGGCGGCCGTCTACACGACACTGACAGTATTGACTCCTCCGTTCACCACGTCAAACCTGGACCACAAGTCGTTGTAATCCGCGGGAGGAAAGCAGGGTTTTCTCAATTGATCGACGACCAGCGCACCGTAAGCCGCTAGCATGAGGACACGACATACTTTCCCTATGCGTGCCATCAGTTTGTCGAAGAAGCGGTCAGTAGGATTATTTGCCCTCCTCACCTTCGATTCGCGCGTTTGGGACTATGTCCGTTTGATCAGCGCGTCTGACGAGCTCGGGATATCGCGTAGTTCTGCGGGAAGATCAACACAGGACAGACGCGGTACAGCGAAAGAGAGCCAACGGGGTGATAGAAGGTGGCGCGATCTCTACAGGAACGAGCTGCAAGCGGCGGACGACGACGCCACTGGGACGGCGATGGGGGCTTTGACTCGGATACGCAGGCCCCACGACTTCGCAGAAGTTCACGGCGCCCTCGCCTCGCTCGGGGAGGGCGTAGCTGCCGAGGCGCCTGCACCACGCGCGTTTCGACATCGTCACCGGCACTGCGTCATCGCCCTCGATGTCAGGATCACCCCAGCCGTCCTCCTTGATGAAGTCCGTTGTGGTCTCCTTCGGGTCGACGTCGGATTCAGAGTCGTCCCCGATGTATTCAGGCGTAACAAGGTGGGTATCCGGTACCGTTCCGTCCTCGCGAGTTTCGTAGATGCTAGTACGAAATTGATCAGAGTGAGACATCGCATAAATCGAGGTCCTTACAAATCGCCAGGCTTGAGCTCCAGGGACGGTACGGGGATGCCGGCGCCCCCAATCTTATCTACGGTGGTGGAGTATGAGTCAAAAGTCGTTGTGGTAACGCGGGCTTCCAAACTCACATTTTGCAGGCTTCGGCTCGCCAGCATATAGCTGAGTCGCGCCGCTTCCCGTCTTTGCCTTCCCCTTAGCTTGACGACGACCCTGAAGACCGTAAGCATCTGCCTTCAAGCGAGTGTATCGAGCGAGCGGGCTTACTGTAGACGAGCCTTTGTTTCGAAGGCGTCCTGAGCTACGCCGCTTCGAGCTTGACCCAGCACCCCAGTTGGGAGCGTCGTCGCCGTCGTCCGGGCTCTCAGAATCGACACTGAGCTCTGATATCTTCAGCTGCGTTGGCGCAGCTTTACGACGCGGTCGTTGAACACGCCTCTCCGAGACTGTAGGGGACTGCGCAGCGGCGGGCGGCTCGTACTCGTAGTCCTCGTCCGACGTAGATACGCGTCGAGCGGCGCGCCTCTTCTTCGTTGGCTTTCTGCTTTTGGGAGGGCGTCCGAGCGGCACGTTGTCAGAGTCGGAGTCGGACCCATGACCGGTGTCCCGTCCAGCGGATGATGAGAGCAAACGCGCATGCCTGGATGTCGTGAGAGAATGCGCAGAAGACGGGGCAGCGCTTCTCGAGGGTAAAGGTGCAGACGTAGACGATGAAGCCGTCGGAGTCTCTTCATGACGTGCCTGGAAGTGGGCCGCCCGTGCCGCAGTGGTTGCTTGGCCGCCTTGGGGTCGGTCGTAGTGCGCGGGGCCGCCGTCGGAGGACGACGCACGAGTGGACGCGGATGCAGCATTGGCCGCGCGCGTCGACGGCCGCCGTCCGCTCATGTTCACAGTCGCTTGCGATCCGCTCGAATGAGCAGCATTGCTCCGCGTGGGATGCGCAGGAGGGGCTGGCGGGCTCCCGTCAAGGCGCTGCGATACGCTTGATCAGAAGATGACACGGATCTATGCAGCAAATATACGCACCGGACGCGCAGGGGACGGAGGCCTCTCCTCCCCCGCGGTATCGCTCTGGAACTGGTCCTCTGCTCTCCGCCGCTTCTCGCCCGCGCGCGGGGTGACCGGCGGGTCCGTCTCTACGCCCACGGACACGCGTTCGACCTGCCGTGCGCGCATCATCGCGCGCCAGAAGTGTGTGGCATATTGTGAAAGGGACTGCAACATGGGAAGGGGGGGTAATTACAGGTCAGCAGAGCAAGCGATGGTCGCGGATGATGGGAGTTGAAAGGAAGACGAGGCGCACGTATGCTCGAAGGACAATTTTGCAGAAGCTCACCATCAGGCGTGCGCGAGTGACCTAAGTCTCTATTGCGTGCAAGCTTCTATTCGCATCGAATTCATTGTTCGAGAAGGAACAGAGTCCATTCAATTACATGACTGGGCGGTAGTCACTCGATCGTACTAAGCTCAGTGGTGCCGGTGCAGGAGGTCGACGAGTAGCAACACGAAGAGAGGATGAGCGACAAAATACGGAAAGAGCTGGCTTTGAACGCAGCATGCAAGCCTCCGCGAAAAATCGAACACGAACGGAGAGAACAAGTTGTTGAACAAGGGAAAATCGGCCCGGCACCCCGACAAGTGACCTTCGTCACAAACCGTGACCACAATCGTTGATGTGGACCGTCATGTCATTTTCGCTGTTCTCCTCTGGTCAAGTTGCGTCCTCCCCCTAACATTGAGGCAATACCGCTCCGCCCGAGCTCAAGACCGATGATGAAACATACTACGCATGGTGCCGGTTGCTGCATGATGCGCGTTCTGAATTTCCTGGGACTTCTCAGCCTGGCTACGCTTTTCCGACGCTTGGCCTGGTCCCGTCCGCTTGATTTCCACTAGAAATCCCTATTGTCTTGATTCTGCGCACGCCATCATGCCTCTCGAGCTTGGACACCCATCTGTCCAAAGACCGACTGGATACAGACTCTTCTGCTTTCGGTCGCATTACTCAGGCGCCGTAGGCTAGGATAGCCCTCACGCCGATGGAAAGTATGTACCCATATCTACCGCCGCCTATGCGCTGAGCTGACTTCACGTCAATCTCCTATCCGCAGTGCAGTGCCGCGACCATGAGCGCGGGCGCTCGACGTGTTTATGGCGGAGAAAGGCGGCTATTCGAGACGCGTCGCTCTATGGCAGAGTCGGTGTTGCTCGTACAACGTAAGTGCTGTCCGTGATTGTGCAGCGCGAGCGCTGATTACAACTTAAGCACAGCAGAATCCGTACAGTGTCAGGTCTTTCCGCGCGCCGAGTGCGCGAGCCTTCTATCCGTCCTAAAAGTTCTAAACGTTGTCTATCTCTCACGGTAAGTGTGTAGAACTCTATCGGGCGCTGGAACGTTTTGCTGACCAGGCGCTCAGTGGCATTACACATTGGTATTCCACTTCTCTTACTCGAAATGTACACCCTCGACGGCAAGATGAACCTTCTCCGGTCGACAGCGAGACGAGCGTTGTCTGAAGGCAATCTTTAACTCCTTATTACACGCTTCGCAAGGACGAAGGGTACGAATTCCCTCACTTTCGAATGCACTAGCTGACGAACTGACCCATCAGCATAACCGACTTGACGCGCATACGGCGCCTGAGATTGTATACCTCGCATGTTCTGTACGCGCAGTGCACCTCAAGCGGACTGAAGCGAGCTCTAGGCGGGTACGTGATCTCTCAGATCGGAAGGGCGTGCTTTTGTTCGTCTCAGTGAGTACCTGTGATGAGTTTCTCATACTCCGTGTTACAGATACTGACCTAAACAACCTTTCTAGCGATAAACCACCACTCGCGAGCCGCCCAGCGCCAGTGTACATCAAGGAACACGGCGTAGGTTTGAGCGCGAGCCTCCAGCTCGCATTCGCCTCACCATTCTCGTATTTGTCTCCTCCGGCTGCCAGTCAAGCCGATCCCGTCTCCTTCGAATGCACCCCATTCCGCGTCGGCAGCGCAGTCTCCCTTGTTCCTCGAAGTTGAACCACGGGCTTCGGGCGCCTCCGACCCCTTGAACCTCATTCTCCCCGGACTCCGCGGATTCGCCCCGACGGCCTATAGACCTCATTCGCTCCGTCTCCCCGGACCCCGTTCTCATCGTCGCGCGCAATCACGAGCCAGGACGCGTAGGCCACGGCGTACGCTGCGCGTTCCCTGCCGACGATTAGCGCAACTCCTCCGCGCGATTGTGCGCGTGCCGCTGCGCTGGATGAGTGCATCCCGCAGACATCCCGGACCCTCCATACGATTGGAGGCTATCATCACGAGCCGCATCAAGTTCGTTCGTCAGCTATCGTCGCCGAGATCCGCCTACGTCGCCCTGAACATGCGCGCTCAGCGTGTGCGCGAAGCAGCGCAGGAGCAGGTCAAGCGATCCCTCGCGCCAAGTCGAACAGTGTAGCCGACGCGTCTGGCGGCGAAGCGAGTACGAAAAGCACGCCAGAACGCCGCGCCGCCTCGCTGTCGTCGTGCGACGCGTCGTCCCCGTCGACGGGCGGGTCAACGATACGCGCGCTTCGTGCCGCACTCCTGCCGACTGCCCCGCACCAGGCACGGGTCGCGCCCGCGGGGAAGTCGCCCCGCCCGAGCACGCGGTGCGCGCGCCCTGTCCGCACGCGCGTCGGCCGCCGCGCCTGCCAGCGCGCGCGCTTTTGTCAGCGACCGACGCCGCCGGGGCGGAGCCCAGGGCGCCCGGCGCTCCGGCGTGCTTCTCGGGTTTCGCACAGCCCGGCGCAGGCTGGCTGCCGTGACTCACGCGCGCCGCCGCGATCGATGGGGGAGATGAGCCGGCGCCCGCGCGCGTCTGAATCCAGGCCCGGACCGTGCCCCGCAGGCGACGCGCGCGCGCATTTCATCACCGACGCGCCAGCTGACCGGCGGCTCCGGCGGGCGGGGACGGGTGGTGATCATTGATGGGCCGCCGTCGGCCTTTTCAAATAGACCCGTCCCGCCGACGCGCGCCCCGACTTCCCCGCCCCCGCCTTGTCCCCTTCGCTCACCTGCCCCCTTCCCCCATCGTACTTCCAGGTTGTGTGTATACACCCCCAGCACACCATCATGTCCATGGCGGCTGCCTCACCCCGGCACACCGCGTCCCCGCCCTCCCCGCCACCCGGCGTCATCGACCCCAACGCCACCCCCGCCGCCCTCGCCAAGCTCCTCGCCGATCAGCTTCACGAGTGCGAAGCCCTCCGCGCTGCACTTTCCTCTGAACGCGCCCGCGCCGAGGCTGCAGAGCGCCAGCTCGCCGCGCTGCAGGGCCCTCCCGCCACCGCGATCGCCGAGTACGAGGAGCGCCTCAGGCAAGCAGACCAGGCGCGCGTCGCCGCCGAGCGCATGCGCGATGCATCGGAGCGCGCGAGGGAGGACGCAGAGGCGCGCGTGCGCGGCATCGCAGAGTCCTGGGCGCAGCTGAACGCGTACCTCCGGATGGCGGAGGTGCGCGCCGCGGACGCGCGCCTGGGCTTCGATCGCCTCGTCAACATGGGCGGGCAGCCAGTCCCCATGTCGCAGGGAGGTGGGGACAGCGGCAGTATGCTCATCCCTGGCGCTCGCCGCGCCAGATCGCCCAGCATGGACGCCGGCGCCTATCCGCCTGCGAAGCGCTCGCGACACGTATGTCCCCTCGTCAGTGCTTGTATCCAACTGCTAACTATTCGCACAGGACCCCAATCATCGCGCGCGCTCGCGGAGCACCAGCCCGAGCGTCGAAGAGCTCATCATCGAGGCCTCCGGCGAGGCGCCCGCAGACTCGGCCTCCCAGACCCCCCGCCGCGCGACCTACCCGCCTGCGTATGCGGGCTACGCAGACCCCAGCCGCGGCGCATACGATGCGAATCGCGCCTACGACACCCACCGCGCGTACACGGACCCTAGCCACCTCCGCGCGGGCCCGAGCAACCACAATATCCAAAGCCAGGTCGTCCAGCTCACCCCGCACAATGCGTATCAACGACCGTCTCCGCCGAACGCACAGCTCGCGCCGACCTCGCAGTTGGCGCCGACCACGCAGATGTCTACTTACCCCACCCCACCGCAACTCTCGCCGACCAGCATCACGCTCCCGCCGCCGCACAACGGGCTCGCATCGACCTCGTCTGGCGCCCTCGCCTCCTCCTCATCTGGCACCCTCGCCTCCTCCTCATCTGGCGCCGTCGCTGCGTCCTCGTCTGGCGCCCTCCCCGCAACCTCATCCTCCACCACCCCGCTCCCCGCCCCGCGCAAGCACCGCGAGCGGCCGCTCCCGAACCCGCAGCGCGGCATCGGCACGGTGAAGCACCACTACCAGAGCCGCCCGTTCGCGCCGAAGGCGTCGCCGTTTATGAAGGAGCATAGGAATCGGGCACGGGAGAGGGAGAGGGAGAGGGAGAGGGATGCGGGGAGTAGGGAGGGGGAGAGGGGTGGGGAGGCGAGGGAGAGAAGCCGCGGCGAAGAGAGAAGCCGTGGTGAAGATAGAAACACGGACGAGCGGAGTCGCGACGCATCGCGGAGCAGGGAGGTGGATGAGCGGAGGGGTGAGTCTGGAGTCTGGTTGTTTCTTATTTTTCTCTTCATTTTCTCGTCGTTTCTTCTCTTTCCTCTCGTTTCTCCTCCCTGTTTTCGTCGTTTCCTCTGCTTGTTGTCGTTGTCACTTCCCTTCATCTTCGTTATTTCCACTCCTTGTTCTCGTTATATCTTCTTGTTCTCGTCATTTCTTCTCTCTGTTTTTCTCTACTCTTTTTCCGCTATCTTCCCTTGCCTTCGAGGGTCGTACCGATGTTTTTGCTGACTTGTCATCATAGCTCCGGCCTCGCGCGTCTCGCCCTCCGACGAGGATGCGCCGGGCTCGCCGGACAGCACGTTCAATGCGGGCAACACGATGGCGAATGGAGACAACAGCCAAGACGACCGGATGCGAGGGCAGGACGACCGCCCACGAGGGCAAGACGACGCGTCCAACGACCCTACACCCGCGAACTCCGCACCGAGCTACCCGAAGACGAACGCGGAAGGGCAGAGGATCTGTCGGCAGGTGAGTTCGCGATTTTCCGATTTTTTCTTCCGTGCGGTCGTGCAGATTGCTTCGTGCGGTCGTATATCTCCTTGCCTCTCTCGATCTCCTTCCCTCCCTTTTTCTTTTTCTTTCTTCCTGGGCGCCCTCATTTTTTCTCTCTCTTCCTGGGCTCTCTTTTTCCCCCAAGTGTGTCTTACCTCTCTTTTCTGTTACCTCTCTCCAATTCCCTTTTATCTCTCCTCAATCTCCTTCTACCTCTCCCCAATTCCTGTCGTACCGACCCCATCGTATGGAGCTGTTCCTACACGCTTCCTCCCTATCCTTGGCTACTGCTTCGCTCCCTGGCCCACGCCTTACGTCTCCTCCGATGTGTGGTCTTTGTCGACGTGGCCCGTGCGCGCTTGTACACGCAGCTGCCTCGTGCGTGCCTGGCGCGTATACGCTTCTGGCGCCTGCGAGCGCTCTTCCATTGAGCGGGGGACGCTTCGCTATAGGCGGGGCTGCTCGTGCGTGCGTGGCCGAGGTCATCCGTGCGCGCACAGGGCCACTCGGGCACGTACAGGGTCCCTCGTGCGCATCCGAGGTTACTCGTCCGCACGCAAGTGGCGTCCTTCCATTGTGCGGGCCGCTTTCTCTGGGCAGCCAGCCGCTCTCTCTGGGCAGCTGGCCGCTTCCCCTGGGTAGCTTCCCTTTGGCGCGCGCAGTGCTTCTCGCGCGCTCATCCGCTGGAGCGACGATCCCGCTGTATACCTTGCGCCGCAGTTGTACTGCTGCGCCCGTGCACGAGGGCGGTGCGTGGGGTGCGTGGGAGGTGGCGCCCATCGATGGGCGGCGCGCGGGGAAGATCGGGCGTTAGGCGCGCGAGGCAGTAGGGAGCAAGATCACTGGCAGGCGGACGAGGGAAGACGCATGGATTTGGGCTGGTTGGAGCGCGGCCCGAGTCTACTAGGGGGCGCGGTTCTCTGGCGGGAGCGCTTCTTTGTCGACTAGGATCGCTCGCGGCGGTCCTTGACTTTTCATTTCCGTTCTCGTCTATCCTTCATCAATCTATCTCTCTTCATCTACGGCGTGCCGCGCGTCCATCATTGCTTTGACGTCAACGATTGCTGATTTCTTCTCTTTGCTAGTGCGGTCAGCCTGGGCGCTACAAGGATGGCAAGTGCGTCGAGAAGTGGGGTCCGGGGCCGATGGGCCCGGGGACGGTATGCGACCGGTGTAGGAAGAAGATGAAGCGTGTGGAGAGGAGAGGGACGATGGGCGGGATACCGAATCCGACGGGAGGTGAGTCGTTTGCTAATAAAGATGTCCTTTTTGTCAAAGTCAAGCAATCGCGAACTCGTAAATCGTGAAGTCTAACATCGTACTAACAACCAATCTCCAGGGACCCTCATCAACCTCACCTCACAAGCTCCGACGACCCGCGTGCTGCAACACGCACGCACAATGCCCGCCTACCCCGACGACCGCCACTCGCCATACAACAGCAACAGCGACCGCCGCCCAGAATACTCGCCCGAGCGGTTTGATAGGCGCTACGAGGGCGAGGACCGTGCCGAGGACCGCGGTCGGTACGTCGCCGACGACCGCTTCGAGGACCGCGCGCAGTACGCGAGCGGCTCACGCGATTACGCAGGTGAAGAGCGCAGATATGCGGGCGAAGAGCGCAGGTACGCGAGCGGGGACGAGGGCCCGCGGTATCGCGATTTCGTCAAGGAGGCGCGGTACGGGCGTACCGCGCAGGCGTACGCCTCGTCGGAGCCACGATACGGGGACCCGCGGTTCGGGGCGTACGATTCGATTTCGGAGAGCAGGCAGCGGTATCCGGCGAGCGTGTCGGAGGCGCGGTACTCGACGCCGCATAGGGCTTTGACAGCGCAGGCCACCTATCCGCCCGGACCTAACGCACGCTATGCGTCGGGCGAGGCGCTCGGGGACTATCGCAACGGCCTTCGCCAGACGCCTGTCGATGGTCGATATGTAGTGTCCTACCCGCATGCGCCGACCAGCCAGCGCTCGCTCACGGCTGACGCACCTTCTCCCTCGTCGCGTATGGCCACCAGCCCCGTCCGCGTCGTCGTTGCGAGCCCTGTGAGCGAGGATGCCGATGGCGAGGCCGAGGAAGAGGACGAGTTGATGATGGACGAGCCCACGCAACCGGATGAAGTCAACCCGGCATGGAATGCGGATACCCGTGCTCGAGGCTTGTCGGACGCTATGGACGTCGACGGCCCTCGGTTGTCGAATGCTCAGAACAACGCGTCGACAGTAAGGTTGTCGCCACGCAGGAGCCCGCCCGCCCGGCGGATCTCACCCGCGCGACCGCAACCGCCCGAAGACGACATCGATGCGGATATCGCGGCGGCCATCGACGGGCCTCCCACTAGTCGCACCGCGCCATCCATGAGCGCCCGATCCGTACACGACGACGACGTCGACGCGGATATCGCCGCTGCCGTCGGCGATCCCCCGGACGATGCGCCTCGTTCCCGACATGCGAGCGAGGCGCGCTCGAGGCACGGTTCTCGGCACGACGACGTAGACGCCGACATAGCCGCCGCTGTCGATGGTGACCCTGACACCGTCGACGCAGATATCGCCGCCGCTGTCGACGCAGACGCCGACCCCCGCGACGCCGCCCGCTCCGCCTCGCGCGTCGCGTACTCGGATTCGGCGTCGCATTCGTCGGTGGACGCGGATGGGGAGGCTGAGGAGGCGGGGCGGGGGTCGCAGGGCGATGGGGAGAGGCGGTCGCGCTCTGCGTACTCCGCTGGCGCTGCCTCTGCGTACGTCGCCGGCGCTTCTTCCGTGTACCCCCACCCCACCGTCCCCGCTGCATCTACAACGGACGCGGACGCGGATGGCGAGGCGGAGGACGAGGATGACGAGCTGCTGGCCGCGGTCGATGCGGCGGAGGCGGGGGAGAGGGCGTAAACTCGAGGCGGGTGGTGATGGTCGAAGCGCAGGGGGAGAGGGCGTGATGGATGAAGCGCGGGGGGAGGGAGGGGAGGAGAAGTTCGAGGCGGGCGGAGACGAAGCGTCGAGCGTCGACTCTGATGGAGGTGTCGAGGGTCAACTCGGACCATAGTATGTTTGGAATTCGCACCCTGCACCATGCTCATCTGCACCACGCACTACGCTTTGCTATCTTTATAACCTATTCTGTATGTTCTCTAGGGCACTTACATCATGTTCGCTGTGGTACTTATATATGGGTCTATGCAATTGTTCCTCGATCGTCCGTATGTATCAATCAGCTACCCTCCGGACGGCAAGTTGTCAAGAGAGCGTGTCACTCACCGCGCGCCATTCTCTGTCCCACCTCGCGCCATCCTATGCCCCTTCTCTCGTGCGAGCCTATGCGCCTTCCGTGCCTCCCCCTCCCCTCTTTCTGCGTCGCACCCTCGTCCTCTTTCTCCATTACACCTCCGCCCTCGTCCGTCCATCCCCCTCTTTCTCCATTACACCTCCGCCCTCCTCCCACCCCGGTCGCCTCTTCCCTGTCACGCGCCTCCTCCCTCTCACGCGCTTCCTTCCTCTCTCTCGCATGCGCCTCCTTCCTCTCCCTCGCATGCGCCTGCACCCTTCCCTCTCATACGTGGTTGCAGCGGCGGCCTCGTCGCAGCCGAGACCGTGGAACTCGCCGTCGCCTTCGAAGACAAGAGGACAGAGACGAGCCGGTGAGCCAGACGATACGGTAAAACTCGCTGTCGCAGATTAAACGAGACCGTGGACGCTCGCCGTCGCAGCCAGGCGAGACGAGACGGGGACACTCGTCGTCGCAGCCAGACGAGAGGACGGTGGACACTCGGCGGCGCAGCCAGCCGATACTGAGGACCTCGCCTTGGCAGCCAGACGAGACGGTGAAACTCGCCGTCGCAGATCAGACGAGAGGACGGTGGACCTCGTCGTCGCAGATCAGACGAGACGATAGAACTCGCCGTCGTCGAAGCCGAGAGGACGGTGGACTACTCGTCGCAGCCAGACGAAGCTCGTCGTCGCACCCCGACGAGATGGTGGACCTCGCCTTCGCAGATCAGACGAGACGGTAAACACTCGCCGTCGTCGCAGACGATACGATAGAGCTCGTCGTCGTCGAAGACGAGACGAGACGGTGGAACTCGTCATCGTCGCAGCCAGTCGAGACGGCGGACGCTCGTCTCAGCCAGATGAGACGAGACGGTAGAACTCGCCGTCGCCGCCAGCCGAGACGGTGGCCCTCGCCGTCGCACCCGGACGAGACGGTGAACTCGCAGACCGAGAAGGTGGCCCTCGTCGTCGCAGCCGATGAGTCGAGAGGGTGGACACTCGTCGTCGAAGGCCGAACCGAGAACTCGCCGTCGCAGGTTAGACGAGACGGGAGAACTCGTCGTCGATGCCAGACGATGAGATGGTGAACTCGCCGTCGCAGCCGAGAGGACGGTCGAACTCGTCGTCGCAGCCAGGCGAGACGAGACGATGAACCTCGCCGTCCTCGCAGCCATCGAGAGGACGGTAGAACTCGTCGTCGCAGACGAGCGAGACGTAGGATGCTCAGCGAGGTCGAGAGGACGGTGGAACTCGTCGTCGCACCCGGACGAGACCGTGGAACTCGCCTTCGCAGGCCAGACGAGACGCTCGCCGTCGCAGCCGAGTCGAGACGGTGGACACTCGTCGAAGCTAGACGAGACGGTGAACACTCGCCGTCGCAGCCCGACGAGACAGTGGATCTCGCCGTCGCAGACGCGAGGACGGTGGACACTCGGCGGCGCAGCCAGACGAGGACGGTGGACCTCGTCGCAGACGAGACGAGAGGACGGCGAACTCGTCGTCGCAGCCAGACCAGACGGTGGACACTCGCCGTCGCAGACGAGACGGTGGACCTCGTCGCCGTCACGGCCAGCCACAGACGGTGGACCTCGCCTTCGCAGTCAGACGAGACGGAGGAACTCGCCGTCGCAGCCAGCCGATACTGAGGAACTCGTCGCTGCCGAGAGGACGACGGACGAGGCGGACGTGACATAGACGGGAGGACGGAGACCTCGTCACAGACGAGACGAGACGGTGGACCTCTTCGTCGTCGAATCCAGACGAGAGGACGGTGGCCCTCGTCGTCGCAGCCAGCCGGTGCACCTCGCCATCGCAGCCAGACGAGACGGTGGACCTCCTCTTCGCATCCAGACGAGAGGACGGTAGAACTCGCCGGAGCAGGCTAGACGAGACGGGGACACTCGCCGTCGCAGTCGGACGAGATGGTGGACGCTCGTCGTCGCAGATCAGGCGAGACGGAGGACCTCATCGTTGCAGACAGGATGACGAGGGACTCGCCGTCGTCGCTGACGAGACGGTACGGAGGGCCTCGCCGTCGTCGAAGACGAGACGGTGGACTACTCGTCGCAGCCAGACGATACAAGGAACTCGCCGTCGAAGGCCGGCCGAACCGAGACGGTGGAACTCGTCGTTGCAGCCATACCGAGGACGCTCGTCGTGGCAGCCAGACGAGACGGTGTCCCTCATCGTCGAAGCCAGGCGAGACGGTACTGAGGACTCGTCATCGCAGAGGAGACGAGACGGTGAACTCGCCATCGTCGCAGCCAGGCGAGACGGTGGACACTCGTCGTCGCGGCCAGGCGAGATGAGGAACTTGCCGTCGCAGACAGGCGAGATGGTAGAACTCGCCGTCGCAGCCATACGAGACGGTGGTTAACTCGTCGCAGTCAGACGAAGCTCGTCGTCGCAGCCAGACGAGACGGTAGACACTCGCCATCTCAGCCAGACGAGAGGGTGGAACTCGCCGTCGCAGCCAGATGAGAGGGTGGACGCTCGCCTTCGCAGCCAGCCAGATGAGACGGTGGACCTCGTCGTCGCAGCCAGCTGAGAGGATGGTGGCCCTCGTCGTCGCAGCCAGACGAGACGGTGGAACCGTCGCAGTCAGACGAGGCGGTGAACTCGTCGCAGACCAGACAAGGGGACGGTAGAACTCGTCGTCGTCGCAGGCCAGACGAGACGGAGGACACTCGTCGCAGGCGAGACGAGAGGACGGTAAAACTCGCCGTCGCAGACGATCCGGTGAACTCGCCGTTGCAGATCAGACGAGACAGAGGACCTCGCCTTCGCAGCCAGACCAGCCGATACGGTAGACGCTCATCGTCGCAGACGATACGGTGGACGCTCGTTGTCGCAGACGAGACGAGACGGTGAATTCGTCGCCGTCGCAGCCAGACGGAGGACGGTGGAACTTGCCTTCGCAGATCAGACGAAACTGCGGACCTCGTCGTCGCAGACTAGAGGACGAGAGGCGGTGGACGCTCGCCGTCGCAGCCGAGACGAGAGGGTGGACAATCGTCGCAGCCAGACGGTAGAACTCGCCGTCGAAGACCAGACCAGACGACGGTGGACCTCGTCGTTGCAAGCCAGACAAGAGGTCGGCGGAACTCGCCGTCGCAGCCAGTCGAGAAGGAGAAGTAACTCGTCATCGCAGATCAGACGAGAAGGTGGAACTCGCCGTCGCAGATCAGCCGAGAGGACGGTGAACTGCCGTCGCAGCCGAGTCGAGAAGTAGAAGCTCGCCGCCGTCGCAGCCAGACGAGAGGGTAGAACTCGCCTTGGCAGAAAACGAGACGGCGAACTCGTCGCAGGCCAGACGAGGCGGTGTAACCCGTCGAAGACGAGAGGACGATGGACCTCGTCGTCGCAGCCAGGCGAGGCGGTAAGCTCAGCGAGGCGAGACGGACGTGTCGTAGACGAGGACGAGACCCCTCGCGCAGTCTTCGGTACCTAGCCGTGAAGGGGAGTGCAAAAACATTCCGTGAGCGGGAGCGCAGAGGCCTATTCAGGAGTCATCGCTTCATCGCGCCGCAGCCCTCCTCTTCCTCGATGCTCCCCTTCGCTCCACTTCCCCAAACCGCCCCACGCCCTCCCCACGCCCTCGACGCGCCTGGCTCCCCTCCTCCTCTCTTCGCTTCTCCTGCCCTGCTCCCTCCCATCCCTTGCTCCCCTTCTCGCTCCCCCGCCCTCGACGTCCCCGCACTCCCCGCTATGTCGCCGTCCGCGCGCTCCTCCCCGCCTCCCCGGCGTGTCGCTGAGCGCTCCTCCCCGGCGTGTCTCTGCGCGCTCCTCCCCTGCGTGTCGCTGCGCTCCTCCCCCGCGTGTCGCATCACGCTCCTCCCCGGCGTGTCGCGGCGCGCTCTCGGTGCGGCGCTGCGACCTCCCAAATGCGTCGCTGCGCTCCTCCCCTGCGTGTCGCCGCGCCCTCCCCGGCGTGTCGCTGCGCGCTCCTCCTCTCGATCTGGCGCTGTGCCCCGCCTCCCCGGATGTGTCGACGCGCGCTCCTCTGGATGTGTCGCTGCGCGCTCCTCCTTGATGTGCCGCGCGCTCCTCTCAGATCCGTCGCTGTGCCCTACGCCTTGGCGGATCCTCCGCCCCGACGTGTCGACGCGCCCCTCCTCTGGATGCGCCGCGCCCCTCCTCCTCCCAGACGCGGCGCATCGCTCCTCTGGATGGGTCGCTGCGCGTCCACCTCCCCGGCGTGTCGCTCCTCCCCGATCTGTCGCCGCCCACCTCCCAGATGCGGCGCTGCGACCTCCTCCTCGATGTGTCGCGCCCCTCCTCCCCGAATGTGTCTCTGCGCGCGCTCCTACCCGATGTGTCGGTGTGCCCACCTCCTGGTCGGTGCGCGCGCCTTCCTCCCCTGCGTGTCGCGTCGCGCTCCTCCCCGGCGCCGCGCCCTCCTCCTCGATGTGTCACCGCGCGCTCCTCCTGCTTGAGGTGCTGCGCGCTCCTCCTCCCCCGATGCACGCACCTCCTCGACGCGGCGCTGCGCGCTCTTCCCCGATGTGTCGCTGCGCCCACCTCCTCCTCCAGCGCCTCGCTCCTCCTCCTCGGTGTGGCGCAGTCCGCACCCTCCTCCTCGACGCGCATCGCTCCTCTGGATGTGGCGGGGCGGGACGAGGACTCCGTGGACGAGGTAGAGGGGGGGGAGTGCGGTGAGGACTCGGTCGCACGGTCAGGGAGACGAGGGGGGGGGGGATGAGGGAAGGGGAGTAAATGAGGGAAGGGGAGTAAATGAGGGAGAAGGGAGTAAACGAGGAAGAAGGTGGGTAAGGGAGTGGGAGGTAGTGGATGAGGGGGGGCGACGAGGGAGGAGGGGGATGAGGGCGGCGAGGGATGGGATGAGAGAGGAGGGGGAAAGATCAGGAGTGGACGTGGTGAAGGGGAGGAGAGCAGACGAGGGAGGGGAGGAGGGAGGGGGGAACATGGAGGGGGAGGAGAGCAGACGAGGCCGCATTCTCGCCATCGCCGTCCGTCTTTCCTCCCTCCCTTCGCAACCCTTTTCCCGCACCCCGCTTCGCAACTCTTTCCTCGCACCCTGCGTCGTACCCGTCGGCAGGCGATACTAAGAGGAGAGGAGGGCGCACAGCACGGCGACACTGGATGTGGGGAGGGAAGGGGGAGAGCGGATGGGGGAGAGATGAGGACGGAAGGGAAGGAGGAAAGGAAGAGAGGGCACAGAGCGCGCACAGTACAGAGGGATGGGAGAGACGGACAGGATGGAGGGATGGGATGGGAGATGAGATAAGGCCGAGGGGGACGAGTGAACAGGATGTCAGTAGCAGGAGGGTGCGGGGCGGGTGGGAAGCGAAGAAAGAAGTGCATGCGAAGGAGATGAGGAGGGGAGAGGGGAGAAAGAGATGGTAGGGGGAGTGAATTGATGGGGCGGAGGAGGGTAGGAACCCTAACCCTCCCCAGCCGCGTCCTGTTCATCGACGGACGGGCAGTCGAGGACGCGCGATGAGTGTGACGTCATGCGACGCGGCGATCATGACGCGCGTACGGGGAGCCGGGCCGAGTGCGATCGACCACCATGCCCTCTCGTGGGCGTGCGAGGGCGGCGAGCTACGAGGCGGGAGAGACGGCGGCGCCGACACGCTCACGACCTAACCCCTCGCTTGCTTTCTGTCTCCCCGGCGTGCTCGCTCATTGCCGCCCCGCCATCCCCTTCCTCGCATTCACGCCCCTTCACGAGCCCGACCACTTCACCGGCACAACCACGTCTCGATCATCAACGCAGTCTGCAGTATCAGTAAGCATGTCCTCAGTAACGCAAAGCATCTCTCCACTAGCGCAACGCGTGTCTCCAGTAACGCGACGCAGGTATGCGTACAATCTGCTATACGAACCCCCCTCGTACTCGTCGATCGCATATATTCCTTTCCTGCCCTTCCTCCCTCTCTCCTCCCCCCCATCCTTCCTCCATCTCCTGCCCTCCTCTTCCTTCCTCCCTTCCTCCACTTCCCCCTCCCTCCGCTCAGCTTCGCCTCCTCCACTCCTTCTCTTCCTTCACTCCTTCTTTCCCTCCCTCCTTCTTTCCCTCCCCCCCTTCCCTGCCCTCTCCCTCCCTCTTCCTCTTCCCACCCCGCCCCGCCTCGCGTCAGGGAGGAGGTCGGGGGTCCCGCCACGCTCCGCGTCCAGCGCTGGATCTCCACCTCGCCTCGCCCCGCGTCGAGGAAGCGTGTTCTCGCCCCGCTCCGCGTCGAGGAGGAGGGCGCGTTCCCGCGTTGGTGAGGGCGTTCCCGCCCCGCATCCAGCTCTGAGTTCACACCCTGCCCCGCCCCGCGTCGAGGAGGAGGGCTCCTACCGGCCCCAGTGTGTCGAGCTCTGGGTTCTCGCCCCGCCCTGCGTCGAGGGCGGGGAGGAGGATTTTTGCCCCGCCACGCGTTGAGCTCCTGGGCTCCCCACCCGCCCTGCGTCCAGCGCTGAGCTCCCACCACGCTCTGCCTCGCATTGGGGACGAGGGCGCGTTCCCGCGTTGGTGAGGGTGTTCCCGCCCCGCCCTGTATCGACGTCGAACTCTGCGTTCCCGCTCCGCCCCGCCCCGCCCCGCCTCCCGCCCCGCCCCGAGCCCCGTCACCCGCCCTGCGTCGGGGAGGGGCTCCCTCAGGCTCGCCTCGCCCCGCACCGCGTCGACCTCTGCGTTCCCACCCACCCCGCCCTGTATCGACGTCGAGCTCTGTGCTCCCGCCTCGACCTGCGTCCAGCTCTGGGTTCCCGCACTGCGTCGAGGAGGACCCACCCTGCATCCAGCTCTGGGCTCCCGCCTCGCGTCCAGCTCTGAAGTCCTGCCCCACACTGCGTCCAGCTCTGGGTACCCGCCCCGTCGTGATCTACGTGCGCGCTCGTCCCCCCACCTCCCTCCCCTCGTCCCCCTCATCCCCCCTCACCTCCCCTCCCCTCCACACGTCCCTCGCCTTCTTCGCCCCGGGTCTCTTTTCTTTCCAGTAACTTGATGCATGGGCACCCCCCCCCCCTCCCCCTCCCCCCCCCCCCCCTCGCTCGGACCACTGCGTGAACGAGGCGGTGCGGCGGGAGGGGGGAGAGGGATGGGGATGAAAGGGGGAGGGGTGGAGGGGAGGGAAAGGGCGAGGAGGATGAGAGGCGAGAAGGGCAGCGTCCTACTGACCAGGAAGAAGGGCGCCCCGTCGTACCGACGAGGAAAATGGCGCATCGCACCGCACCGACCGGGAGTAGGCCGCACCGTCGTACCGACTAGGAGGGAAGGCGCGTCGTACCGACCAGGAAAGCGGGTGGGCACACCGACGAGGAAGGAGCGCGCGCCCCATACCGACCAGGAGGAGGTCGCACCGCACCGCACCGACGAGGAAGGTGGGCGCGCCGCGTCGTACCGACCAGGGAGGGCACATCGCACCGACTCGTAAAAAGGGCGCACCGTTGTACCGACAAGGAAGAAGAGAAGAGCGCACCGCACCGGCAAGGAAGGACGACGGCGTCGCCCCGTGCTCTGTTTTTCCTTTCTTCCTTCTTCTCCTTTCGTCCTTTCTCCGCTTCCCCCACCTCGCTCGTACCCCCCTCCCCCTCCCTCCCTCACGCACCCCTTCAACCACCCCTCCGATCGTTGTGACTGAGAGGAGGTGGGAAAGGCTGTGCACCCAGGCTGAGGGTGCGCACCCAAGCCGCTACATGACGCGCGGACAGGTCGGTACATGACGCGCGGATAGGTCGGTACACGACGCGCGGACGATTTGGTACACGACGCGCGGACGATTTGGTACACGACGCGCACGTTAGTATACATCAACATGCTACTGGCTTATACTAACCTCCTGCGCACAAACACATCACCCTCAACACTGCCCAAACACACCACCAAACGTACTCTAGCGTTCCAGACCATGAAGGAAAGCATACTCAGCTGTCGGGCTCTTCAACGCGAGAAAAGCGAACTACTCACACCGCGAGACTGAAGCAGATCAGCCAGATAGTCCTTGAGCTCCCGCATGCTCATGTCCATAACTCGGATGAACGAGTCCTGCGAACCTTCGACACCGTGATGTACAGGGGCCGTGACGAGGGCTTATAGCTCAGCGAACTGGTGCAGATCTGGCGGATGAGCGGATATCTGGTGACAAGGCATGATGTCCTCGAAGTCGATGTCGACCCTGTAGAACTCGGGCTTGAATGGGGGTGGGGGCATCGAGTCGAGCCGCGCAAGATCCGCTAGAAGGCGCTCTGCATGGCGAAGCATGTAGGTGCGAGCGCAAGACATGATAAACATTGCATCAAGAGGCGCGAGTTCTCCTGAGTGATATGAGCTTGCGGGTCATATCATGGATCCGCCGTGCGTACTTACCCGAGATGACCTGGTAATCAGGAGTACGACAACTTTCCCTGTGCTTTAGCCAATCCGCCCTTTGGCAGTCCTTCGAGCAATAGCATGCGGCAAGGCAAGGACATCGACGGAGGCGAGATTGCGATGAACTTATGGCGCACTATTTCGGATAATATTAGATAGGTCTCACCAGTGAGCGAAAGGGTACTCGCCTTTGCATACGAGCAGGCCTTGCCGAAGAAAAAGTGCAATAAGAAGATGTGCTCTCGAAGCCATCTGTCGATGAGGGGTGCGCCTTCGGGTCGAATGCATGCCGACGCCTCGCCGACAGAGCATAATTCGCCACCACGGGGACATATTGCCCTCATGACGCTGAGCCGCGTCAAACGATTTGTGACAAATATGATCGTCGACGTAGCCAGCTCCTTTTCCGACTTCCCCATGCGGAGGATAAGCGGCTAAGCTCCCTCTCGCAAAGCCCATCGCAGCGACCGACAATCGTCATCGGCAGATACCCATATAGCGAACAGGATCTGGAACGCATAGACGGCAGCGACATGCCCGCCAGGCGCCTCCTGTTGGGCTCGTAAGACTTCGGTAATGCTGATGACGACGTCGCGCGGATATGCCTGCGGCTTCAGAGCGCCCGCGGCGTAGAGCATGATGGTGTTAAGGCGGGCCTCTACAAAATTCTGCTCGATGCACGACTCGATCAGCCGTGGTATACATCGGACTGCATATTTGTAGAATCGGCGAGGGTGGTGTTTGACAACCGCGAGCGCGCAGTCAGTCGCCTGAATATCCAGAGGGTTTGACACAGAGCTCTGCAAATATTGCGGCGAACGAACAGCATTACGCATGGCGAACTCTGTGCATCGGTAAAGATCTCTCGCATGTTCCTGCGGCAAACAGGCAAGAGAGGGTTCCAGGTGGAACCAAAGCCTGAAAAGGGTCATGTACAGGTGTGGGAGCTCGGAGAGCGCTTTCGAGACCGTAGATTTATAGTGAAAAAGGACGACAAGAATTCGGCCGATAGGAGGGAGAACCAGAGCGTAGTCCATAGGCTGAAGCCTGACATAGCCGCGGCTTGGGAGGATATACTCCAGCCAGTCGGCAATTGGGGCGCTATACTTCTGTAAGGAGGCGGTGATGCTGTCGGAGAGCGCAGCGGTGAGGCTGTCATCCAGTTTGGTGACGGGCTCGAGCGCATCGAACACATCAAGCACGTTCCGTATCTCCAGTACTGACGAGATACGAGGAACGTCGCCCGCTCTTGTGAAGGGATTCACCAGCAGAGGCTCGAAGGGCTTCCCGATGCGCAGGATCTTCTTGACCTGTTTTATCGCATCAGGAAGGGTCGTGATAGCCGCCGGCACATAGACAAGGCCACGAAGAAGGTCTCTCAGGCGTGTGTATGCTGCTTGCGAGTCCTCCGATGCACTCATCGTGGGTGAAGACAAAGTAGCCCGCTTTCGAATTATCCGAATCGTCAGTCAGTGACAGTCACTAGTCACTGATATCGGACCGAAGGCCGTGCCCACAAAGCACGTGCACTCAATCCGGCAAGCGCCGAACGGCCACGCTGCAACGGCTTGCCTTCGGCGTGTCTCTTTCTGGGCGCGTGAATGCTTCCAACTTCAATATACCAAGCCACGTCTTGGACTTCCTTGTAGCCCTTTCCTAACCCGCGCCCCAAACATCTTCGGTCGATGCCCCTCACGCGCGAGCAAAGGGAGAAGGTAGAACAACTCAAAGCCTACGCGTTGAGTACCGATGCATTCTTATACCTGCGGATCGATCCATGCACGCTGGAAGATCGCGAAAACCCCGATTCTCTCATCGTAGACGGTGTCCTGGAGGACCTTCGCCTGCTGGGCGCATTGTTTTGGTCACAAAACCTGGCAAAGAAGGTCTTCCGCGAGGTGACTCAATCGCTGCAGCTGATCTGGCCGACACTAGTATCATGGCTTCAACTTCTGCATCCGAGCCCTGCGACGCAGACAAGCCTTTCCTTGCTCTCTCTTCACAGCATGTGCTCACTCTTGGCTGCTCTCTACTCGCTCCAGGGACCAGCGCAGAAATTGCGCGCGGAATCACAGGGCCTATGTAACCTGGTTTTTCGCCTCTGGCTCCACTTCGACGAGTATGTCACCGGGGAGACTGATGTTGACCACTGCCTTGGTGACTTGGGGCTCGCCGTTCGCGAAGCCATCTTCCTTGACGGGAAGGATCGTATCCGGGAAATCATGGGTGATCGCACTCCGGGAAAAGACGAGATCACCGAGCTCTACGCTGCACACCTCAGCCCCGTCTGCGCCACCGCCGTGCTCGCGGCCGTCAGATACCACCCACGGCGCGTGTATCGCCAAGCGTTGGCACAACTCCGTCTTGCACTCGCGCGCCGCGCCTCTGTGTCCCTCGCGGTGACTGAGCAGCTGCAGGCACTTGCCGAGATCGCGTGTAACGTCCTTCCGCTCCTGCGTCCCACGCGCGACATCGTGTGCGGTTTTGTTTCCTTGATGCACACGATCATGGACCTTGAGGGCGGCGCGACCTGGGGTTCGAGCGTGGGATTGATCCTGGCGGCATTTTGGTCTAACGCGAAAGATGAGTCGTCGATGGTCTGGGCGCTGCGAGCAGGGATTCTGCCGCTGCTGCTTGACGCAGACGACGAGAAGGAGAAGAGGGAGATCGTGGCGGTCATCTTGAGGAACGCGTATCGTATCCGCGTGCTCCGCGCTATGTGTGCGGATGGGGGGATACCTTCATTCGAGGGGTCGGGCCTTCAAGACGACACGTGTTTTCAGACGAGGGTCGATGGCTGGCTGCAGATGCGAATGAATCTCATGCAGGCCGCATACCGCGAGATCTGTGCCAATCCGGAGGTCAGTCATCTATCGAGGGAGACTCAAGCTCTGACTGATCGCGCTTCCTAGTGTCCATCGGCTCTCAATGTGCAGACTATCGCCGTGCGGCGCTGTCCCTGCTTCAATGCATTCTATTGTTCCAAAACATGCCAACGCGCTCACCGGCCATTGCACAAGAGGAGATGCCTTAAGGGCACGGAAGGAACTCGATACTTGATCTACAAAGAGGGTAACAATTCACTCCGCCTGGAAAGCAGTTCGCTAACGGTAGGGCATAGGTATCCTCGAGCCCTGGGACGCACACTTTGTCTCCCTTTTGACGCGTTCATTTGTTCTCGCGCACGCAGCGTCGATCTGCCAGAGTGTATATCGCATCAGAGGAGAACTTCCTCCCTCCAACTTTGCGCGCATGTGCATCATGGTAGTGTATCTCGAGAAGCTGCCGACGACGTACATGGTCACACATCACACCGATGACCCGGAATATCCGGAGGATGCGGTGGTGGTGGCAGCCCTTCTAGGCAGTCGTCGAGGAATCGTGGACTTGCGAGTGGTTAGCGCAACGGTGTCGTGGCTGGAAGGAGTTGGGGCACAGCGGGTGGCGGAAGGATACAGCGTCGACGATTGGCTACATGTTCTTGATTCTGGAGCAAAGTGAACGTCATTCTGGTCTTTCTCTGGCGAGCGGTATCAACTCTTCTATAATGATGAGACTGCGCCTCTGTAAGTCAGTCTTAGGATAAGGCGGGAGTTGTGGGCGTCATCGGTAATTGCCGAGTAACTCAGAAATTTCCGAAATCGGAAGTTCGTGCCCTTGACCTCAACGGTCAGCGTTAGGACCGCCTCAGTCCTTGCTTTGACTATAAAAGCCTCCTCTTCAGTAACGCGCCCCAAGTCAGACTATTCTCCGATGATCCCGTACTGCCGAACAAACTTGGCAACGTCGCGTCGCGGCCCAGGACTCGGCCATGCGCGTCGATTGAGAAGGAGCTCAGGATCTCCCAAGAGGATTTGCACATTGGTAGAATGCTTGGGAAGGTGCGTTTCTGCTCCCAGAAGACGCTCGCGATGCTCATCATACGAATGAGGATCAGACTTCCACATCGTCGCCCTCTCCATCCCCGTCCGTTGTGGTTGCGCGTACCTCTCTCCGGCTTCAACGTTACTGGCGGGTCATCTCTGAACACTCTCAGGGCCTCTGTCACCAAATGCTCAGCGCTACTTTGAGTCACGATACGGGAGAGGCGGGTGGGGTAGACGTTCGAGGATCGCTTTTGAGGTGCGTGCAGGTGGCCGAATGTCAAGATGAGCGCTAGAACTGAACTTCCCAAGGACGCGACCCCGTGGGCGTTCTCTTTGCCTGGCTGGTCTCAAGCATTGCCCGAGATCAGAAGCCCGACAGCCGCTCGAACCTCCATCGGTCCACCTCCCCTCTGTGTCAACTCAACGCTACTGCCGCACGCTTGCATACTGCACCTCTAGTCGTCGACGGGCCGCGCTGCGTGCAGAACCGGCGCAGAAACGTTACGCAGAGGTCGTTCGCCGCTGAAGAATGACGAGGCTGCCCATCGGCTCCGTTCGCGTTCTCAGCGGCTACTCGATGGTGATGGACCGTGAGCTCAGGTTAAGGTCTACAGGGAAAATCTGTAAGGTGAACGCCACGTCTTCTGGACTAACTCCGAGCTTGATTTTGAGCGCGTTGCAGGTCGATGAGGTCTACCCGGACCGCGTGCTTGGCGGCTGGAGGGATAACGCAGGGATCAGCGAGCCTTGCGTGCTTGCGGTCTTGCTTACCCGCGCACGCGTTGCTGTCTGCAAGAAGCCTCTTGTTCACGCGGGTGCGCCTGCCAGGGTACCTTGCCCGGGCACGGAAAGTCTGGACAGAAATGTCGCCCATATCGCGAGCATGCACATCTTACCCCTTGCCCTTGGCCTCAGCTCACGGCTCTTGCAGAAGCAAGATACCACCGCGTCCTATCAATTCAGTGCTGCAGTGACGAAGTACCCGATCGAGTTATAACGGTCCACACCTCGTCCGGGGCGTGCGCAACGTGACGCGTTGCCCACGTGAGATGATTCCCCGCATCTTGGGCGCATACGCGCCTTGATGGCGCCTTATCTACCGGGCCGTTTTGGATGATCCACTGGATGGCCACGGTGAGCAGCACGTTCTCCACGCGCTCGAGGACCCCGTACCTTGCGCTTCTATCTCATGCATTGTTGAGCAGCCGCATGCAACCCATCCCATCTGCATGGCGAAGCACAAGTCCTCTCGTCCTCAAGCGCTCGCTGCCCCTGCTTGGCTTTCCTCTGCGCGCGTATAAAAGCCGTTCTGGACGACTGCAATGACCAGGGAAGCCTCCATCCGGATCGCATTCCTATAGCCCGCGCCTCTTCGCGAACGCAGCCAGACCATTCATCATGTTCTCCTTCGGCAAGATGTTCAACGCTGTGGTCCTGGCGCTTGCGTGCTCCTCGGTCGTCACCGCGGCTCCCTGGGACGCGACGGCGAAGTTCAGCACGCACCGCACGCGCGAACTCGCTCGCGGGCTTACGGTCGAGTCCTACCACCCGCCCACGACGTACAAGGTATGCTTCACAGCGATCCCGCGGTCGACGAGGCGCTGATATCGTCGCTGTAGACGTACGGCAAGGGCTTGGACAACACGCATGCTGCTCGCGTCAAGCGCGACGGTATTGAGGCCGCATCCACCTCGTTCGTCGCTGAGCAGCTCGGCGTTGACGAGAACGCGGTCAACTTCAAGTCTGGCTATGAGAGCGCGTCGGCTCACTATGGGTACCTGCGCCAGTCCCACGTGAGCTCTCCATCTTCTTTCGTGATCGCATACTTAGTTGCTTTCAGGACAATGTGCCCTTCGCGAACGCGGTTGCCAACGTTGCCTTTAAGGACGACAAGGTCGTGTCATTCGGTCACTCGTTCGTCCCTACCGGTATGTTCTTGATGCCCAGTCGTATCCTCGATGCTGATTGTGATCAAAGACAACATCGCTTCGTCGACGCCCACTATCGAGATCGACTCGTTTATCTCCGATATCGAGGCGCAGCTCGACGGCAAGTTCAACGACTACGCCAGCCTCGAGTACGTCGCGAAAGCCGACGGCAGCGTCGCGCTCGTGCACGTCGTCCAGATCCGCAACGAGGAGACCAACGCGTGGTACGAGGCAATGGTGGACGCGCACTCGGGCGAGCTTGTGTCCATCACGGACTTCGTCGCCGACGCGTCCTACACGGTTGTCCCTATCAACAAGCAGGACCCGACGGAGGGCATTGAGACGCTCCAGAACCCCGCTCTGTCGGCGGCGTCGCCGAACGGCTGGCACAGCAGCGGTAGCTCGACGACTACCAACACTTCGTGAGTATCTCCGTGGATCCCTTCTTTGGGAGCCTGACTGACGAGCACTCAGCGGCAACAACGTCATCGCCTACAAGGGCTCGACGTCGTCGGGGACCACCTCCCAAAGTTCGAGCGGCCAGGTCTTCAACTACAAGTATGACACCAGCGTCGCGCCCACCTCGGGCGACAACGTCAAGGCCGCGACGGTGAACTCGTTCTACATCATCAACAGTCTGCATGACATCAGCTACATGTGCGCTTGATCTCTCCTCATGCCGAGCGTCTCTGACACCTTGTACAGCTACGGCTTCACCGAGGCGGCCTACAACTTCCAGAACGACAACTTTGGCAAGGGTGGCGCGGGTAACGATCGCGTCGTACGTGCACCTTCGTATCTGCGTCTACGACGAGCTGACAGATCCCTCATAGCTCATGTCCGTGCAGGACTCGAGCGGCACCAACAACGCCAACTTTGCGACGCCGCCCGATGGCCAGTCGGGTCAGTGCCGCATGTACATCTGGACCTACACGAACGTATGCTGTTCTTTGCGTTCTTGTCGACCTCTCTCTGATCATTCGACCAGCCGCGCCGCGACGGCGACCTCGAGAACGACATCCCCGTCCACGAGGGCACGCACGGCATCACGAACCGCATGACCGGCGGCGGCACCGGCCGCTGCCTGCAGACCACCGAGGCCGGCGGCATGGGCGAGGGCTGGTCGGACGCGATGGCCGAGTGGACCGAGTGGGACAGCGCGTCCATCCACGACTTCACCATGGGCGGCTGGGTCACGGGCAGCTCCGCGGGCATCCGCAGCTACCCGTACTCGACGAGCGCGAGCACGAACCCGCTCCGGTACTCGTCCATCCGCACGCTGAACGAGGTGCACGACATCGGCGAGGTGTGGGCGAACATGCTGCACAACGTGTACGCGGCGCTCGTCGGCGAGTACGGCTTCGAGGCGAGCTTCAAGACGAGCGCGGACAGCGAGGCGGGCAACGTCGTGTACATGCATCTTTTCATCGACGCGCTCGCGCTGCAGCCGTGCAACCCTACGCGTGAGTGGTCTTGGTTTGCGGTGATGCGGCGGTTTGCTGACGTCGGTGACAGTCCCGACTGCGCGCGATGCGTGGATCCAGGCGGATGAGAACAGGTACGGTGGCGAGCACGTCTGCACCGTTTGGACCGCATTCGCAAGCCGCGGCCTGGGTGTCAACGCAAGCGGATACCGCGACGACACGACCGTTCCCTCTGAGTGCCGTTAATTACCAGGAACATGCGATGGGACTTGGGTGTCGAGGGTCACGATTACTAGGCTTCAATAGGGTAGTATAATTAAGGTATATATTCCGGGGAAGATGCAGGAAAATGTACTTTGATCGGGAATACAAACTGGCATGACATGCAAGAGTCCTCGACGTGGAACTTGGGTACAACGATTTGCATCGTCCCCAACGACGTCTAGGCGACCCGCAGTGGTCAGCAGCGCCACATAACGTGTCTACCAGCGCCGTCGCCGCTACGGCGGCTTTCTACCTCTCCCCATCGTCCCACTGCAGCTCATGCATACCTCCCGCCAGAACACGAGGCTCGCAGATGCCTCGATGCAGCTGCTCAGAAGTCGAACGTCTCTCACTGATTCACAGCCCTTGACGAGCGAGGATCAAAAGTCCTACAGTTGTATTAAATCACTATTACCCTCAGGTCAGATTCTCCCGACCCTACGCGTCGACCCGCCCAGCATCGGTGACGCCCCATCGCCGAGGCTCTCCACCCAATGCTCTCGTGCGAGGCGGGAGGTCTACACCCTCAATGTCATCCTGTCCCTAGTCAACGATTCAATTCTTCCCGACGCGCATACAGCGGCGCTACGGCCTCGTGTAGAGCGCCTGGTTAGTGATATGTGGTATACTTTCATTCCTTGGCTAGAATGCCTTCTTGGAAACCAGAACAAGCGCCCCCTCGATGCGACACAGGATATCATCCGCTCGCACTTAATTCCGTATCTCTTCTGCCACAAGCCCGCGCTTCGTGTGTTACTTTTGGAGACGCCTCAGCTGTATCGCATCTTATTTGATACATGGCTGCACTTCGACACGTGCATCCCAAATTTAAATTCACACCAACGCGCGATGCGTTTAGTACGACACATCCACATCTGTATCCACCTTTATCCTTGGTATCAGACCGCGCGACGACGGCGCCGGCGGAAAGAGCGTCCGCGGGGATGGTGGCGGCGACAGGTCTGGCTTCCTCCCTCCACGCACTACGGGCGGCGGGCCTATCAACGGCGGAGTCAGCTCGAAGGCCTTCCCACCGGTATGACTGTCTTCCGGCGTGTCGAAGTCGATGAAGCTACTTGGAACCTATGACGCTCGTCAGCACGAAGTCCGAAATGTCGCCACGCAGAGCGCTCGGATGGAAGGGGATGAGCAAGGGCGGGCGAGACCCCGCACGAACACGCAAATGATGAGCGAGCACTTACCTTCGACGACCTGTCTCCGAATTGGCTCCTCGTCGGCGATCGAACTTGCATCGGTATGCTCGTGGCCGCCCGCTCCGAAGAGAAGGGCCCATGGCTGGTCAAGGGCTTGAAGTATTTCTCATACCCGACGTGGATGATGAGCAAATGCGATGCGATTCCGATCACCGGAATGACCTGCATTAACATGAGTATCGATGTAGCCCGAGCCCGAGGAGTCATAAGCATACGATGCAGAAGAACGTGTAGGATACGTTCGACTGGGCAATGAGGAGCATCAAGTTGATGAATTTCGTGCCGCTGCGCATCACGATCAGAAAGGGGAAGAACTTTGGTGAGTGGGAGGCGTACGAGTATATGAGAGTGCTCTCAATGATGACCGTAATCACCAGGCTTATGCCGCCGACGCCGCGAGCGCTCTCGGGCTGCGCGCGGTCGCGTTTGGAGAAGCGGACAATGATGAGACCTAAGAGAGGGCATCGGGTGAGCGATGCAGACGTAGCGTCGACCAACAACGGCATACCGAGTGCGACAAAGTTTGTGCTACAGTTTAGTATAAGCGCGCGTTCAGGGATGCGGAGAAAAGCGTACCATAGGCCGACGATGAACGTCGCGATCAGCCAGCTATTCACCAGTGAGTCAAGTTCACTTGCTTGGCGTAGAGCGCACGTACTATCCAGCCGATGTCCCGTAGAGCATGACCTCCGACCCCGCCTCTTGCGTCACTGCACACATCACGAAGCCGCAGACTTGATGCAGAATCAGATAGGTTCCTGACGACGGGCATGAGACGCACCCATCATGCCCACCAGAGTGAGCGCCGGCGCGACACACACCCAGACATTCCGCGCCCAGATCATGTAGAGTCGGTAGATCTGCGAACGAACTAATCAGCGGAGGTTCACAACACAAGGTTCACGACGCACGCACCGTCAACGCATCCGTCAAGATCGCGGCCACGGTGAAGCAAACGCCCGTCACGATAGCCAGTGGGTGTGAGAGGTCCTCGAGGAAGGGCGGCTGCGTGCCCGGGCGCTCGATGTGCTCCACGTAGGCGTATCCAATTCTGAGGCATTGCGCGATGAAGTGCTATGGGCAGCGTTTAGGTACGAGCGCGTGAAGGGTAGGGGAAGACGCACCAGTGTACAGGTGATGCACATGAGCACGGCGACGCTGACGAGGACGCGATTGACGGGCTCACGGCGCGCGCGGTAAGAGGGTTGAAGGGGGAGGAGGAGGATGTAGAGGGCGATGCAGAACATGACAAGGTAGACGCCTAGGGGGTGGTAAGCAAACACCGAGAACGTGCCCAATCGAGGAGACGGCGCAAGGAACACGAGCCAAGCTCACCATAGAGGAAGGATGAGATGACGATCCCCCACATATACGCCACGTCGACCGAGAGCGCCATGTCTGCGCGACGCGTCGCTGTCAGCCCGAAATTGCACAAGAACCGACCATACGCACCTTTGCGTGTAGCCTCCGAAGCGCAGACAGAGGAAGTAGACGATCGAGCAGTAGCCGCGCGAGCTACAAGAGTCGATGAAGGGAAGGACGAAGGACGGCGGGGCCGACCTCGATCACGACCTCCGGATAACCGTTGAGGCTCCAACGCGTTCCATCTCAAAGAGCGTCGCGGGTCATTGGACAACGTGGGCAGCGGAACAAACGACGGACAGGCTGCTCGGTAAACAATGAAATTTCTTTCTGCTTCGGTGATTGAAGTGCCTTGCCGGTCCGTCGCCTTCCTCGCCCTCCCATTGGGCGGGCGAACCGTATTTCGCGTGCGCGCTTGAGTTGCCGATGACCTGGGACAGGATAAGCATCGGCGGTCGAAGATCGAGCGCCAGAAGAGCTCACCTTTGATCGCGGTCGGGCTGCTGAAGCAGCGGGATCGTGAACATAGGCAGCTGGCTGATCGTGCTCAATCGCTCTCAAGGAAGCTTTTGTCGACAGTCGTTCGCGTTCAGCATCTGATCGACCAACTCGAAGGACCGACCGCACCCTCGTTGCAGTAAAAGTACTGGGAAGGATACAATGGAGTCGGGGAAAGCGCAATACTTGAGTGTAGTGATGGCTAGGGAAGCAGAGAGGGTGATGCTGAGCCATCTCGCCAGACAAGCACCCGACGCGCTTGATCGTACGCCGCTTAGGTATACACGGAGTCCCCTTTACGAGGCTGTACGCGCAGCAGCTAGCAACACGAGGCATGCCAACGAGCACGTCGTTGTTGACCAGCTGCAATCGCGACGTGGATTTGCGAGCAACGCTGGGGAAGCTCCGGAAGCGCAGACCAACGGGGTACAAGGGCAGCGTTGCTTTCCTCGCTTGAGGAGTGGACGCGACCACGTACTGACCCGCTGCGGTGAAGGCTTTGGCGGACCTGCATCCCAACGCAGGCATTCGCGCAAGAGCGGGACAGCTTCTTGGAGATCGAGGGTGCGGCTGTGCTGGACGTTCAGCAGACCTAGCGGTGGGGAAAGACGAGTTCAGCGACTTTGTATGGCAAGGGGACGGACACTACGCACCTAGGGAGATCGAGATACGCCTCCGCCACCACATCGTACAGTTGAGCGGCCGGTTTCGAGGACTCGAAGGCAACGATCGTGTGGTCTGTGATCATTCAGCAGACCGTGGTCGAAGGCATCCAGCGCCGCGGTCGTCAGAATCTAGAAAGCACGATGGCGGGCGTGCTGAGCAGCGCATGGAGGAGGGAGTCGCAGAGATGATGGTGGCCGAAAGCAAGCCTGATCGTGATGCGTCCGAGACCGGCACTTGCTTCCTACACTCATCGTCGTCAACTTCACACGAGATCACCTGAACCTTCCTCCGGGAGAGCTGGGACGAGGAGAAAGAGGAAACTCCCTCTTACGGACAATGTGCGTGCGCCAGCTTTGCGTCGTGAATTGCACTGACGAACACGCCACACGGAACAGGACTTACCGCGTCGATGCGGTCTCCATCGCTGCGAGCTTCGTTATCCAAACCTGTATTGTGTATCTACCATGACAATATCATCTCATTCCTGCCAAACACGATCGTACTCCAGTATCTGGCCTTTCGACAGCGCATGTAGCACCACCAGCGACGGGACACTCCCCGCATGCTCTCTGCCCTCTCATATTGGCGTGTGCCCCATCCGAGGCTCGACTGGCATAGAACAACCACTATACGGCGTTATCCGCATTCGCTTGCCTTCTCATAGACTTCCCCTTTACCCCGTCATTGAGTTTCCCACCTCTCTCACCCTTCTCCCATCTCCGAGCCTCTACTTCTCCCTCCCGTCATATGAACTGCAGCTGCTGATGACTGATTTGCAGCCAGGGTCGTGTACGTGGTCCTCACCTACTACGGCGAAGGCGTGATTCCACCAGCGGCGACTGTCAGGCTCCCTTACTCGATGCCATCACCCGCCTGTACGCGCCAGAGATCTTTTCTCGACGCTTTCAGTGCATAAACAAGGCGCGTCTTCATACTCTCCAGCGGCATCGTCCACTTCCGACGATGCTCACATCATAGTGGACATGACCTAGTCGTCCTTACCCATGCGCGTATGGCAACGTCTCCTTTCGATATCACTCGATCTGAATTCTGCTCCAGGCAAAGTACACGCTTATATGTGAACATTCAGTGTAACGCGCCTCCTCATTATGTACGCTACACCCGAGGGCGGGTGCATCCGTAACAAACGTCCGAACATTTGTTTCGACCGAACCCTGCCCTGTCAATTGGACGCATACTTCCGCAGGAGTGCAATTGCCGGTGAGCTGTATACTGGTTCGACTACGACACTCCAGTCTCACCATTGTATCCCAGAAGCTCTAAGCAAGCTCAGCTATCCTCCAACTCGCTCTCCACCATCCTCCAGCTTCCCCCTCTTCCGTCTCTCCCGCTCTGTCGTGCGTGACCCCTCCTTCTCCAGTTACCGCACCTCGACTAGTTGAGGGAGAATAGTAGCGAGAAATTCTGCGACCAGCGAGGCGTCAGCGATATGCCCAGCCGCCAGAGGACGGAGTCTTTCGACTTCTCAGCAACACCGCATGCCTCGTCGTACGGGGGCACGTCCAGCGCGTTCAGCCTGAGCGACAGCCGTTGTACTCTGGGGCAGTGGATGGCGAAGGGGACGAGCGCGCAGCGTGCATGAGGAGCCATGGTAGTTCGGCATATACAGGTCCTCCATTTCCGGCCACCGCTGCGCGATCTGGTGCCAGCCCGCTTCGTTGATGTTGACCGCTCCATCATTATCCCCAAGGTGCAGTACCTTCAGGCGGTGATGACGAGAGAGCGGACGGAGGTGGTTAAACGCGACCGGCACCCCGAATTCTGACACGACCTGCAGGTCCGTCAGCGTCTACGGAGAGCATTGGGCGGCGATGGTCTCCATCAGCATCTTCAAGGTCGACGGGCTCTGGAAGCTCTTGACCTGGACCGCCAGCTCCTCGATAATTCGCGGTCCCTCCCAGACCTGCAAGAGCGCGCGCACGAGGGCAACGGGCTGAGGCTTGGTGAGCCGCACCGAGCGCAGGTTCCCGAATGCCACTTCCGTAAATGACGTCCGCCTGCCCTTTGACCATTCGTCCCAGCTGACATCGAGCTTTAGATGTATAAGCGCGCGACTAAGCCGGGTCGCCAATGCGCCCTCCTCGTTGAGGCCGCATCTCAGCCGTACTTGGAAGAGCCATATCGCAGATTTCAATGCATTGTTGGCATGCAGTCATTGAAATTTGGAGGATACATGCGTAGACAAATTAGCTGAGATTATACGTGCACCAGACCAGGACCCATGGCAATGCTCGTCGAAACGTCTACGCGCTGATCTGGATCGTCATTGCTACCCTACTGCGATTAGTTATCAAAAATGGACCAAAATACATTCTTGTATGTGCAGTGCAGTCTCATCGACACGCGGCGCCAAGCGCTTAACTGTGCTATCGCCACCTCTCGAGCAGCAAAGCTCCACTCAGAATTAACCTGATGTTCCACCTCTTTAAGGCCAGGAAACAGCGCGCTCAGAAGCTCCGCCATCATATCTTCTGCCACCTCGACAGATCCACCGTTGATTTCAAGACGCTGAAGGACGTGAGGCTCACGCGTCGCTTCCGCAATTTCGCTGTATGGCAGGCATGGGCTCCGCGCATCCAGGTTCAGGTTGAGCGACTCGAGCCGCTTGCAGTGCTTGGCGAAGGCGAGAAGCGTCCGCGATGTGCAAGAGTTCCCCCTCGCGTTCGGTATACGCAGGTGCACGAGGTCAGGCCACCACTGCGCGAGCTCGCTGTAGTCGTCGTCGCTCAGGTCGACACCACCCACTGACTCGCCGAGGAAGACCTGTTCCAGTCTTCGATGACGCGCGAGGGGGCGAAAGAAGTCGATCGATACAAGGAGCGGGTCGAGGGGCTGACTGAGATTGATGGCGGGCAGATGACCAGCCATGATGTTGAGGTAGACCAGCGCCGTCGGGGCGCAGTGTTGCGCCACCGCTTCGATAAGCTCCCTCATCTCGTCGCGGGTGCGGAAATGCGTGATCGGCATGTGCAGACGCTCGATAGCACGCGGCGCGCCTCCCAAGGAGCGCAAGAGCGCCAGCGCGAATGCGGGGCACACAGAGGCAAGCTGCAGAGAGCGCAGGCTGCGGAAGATAGCTGTGTGCCACGCTCGTAGCGTCAGCGCGCTCTCCGGCTTGGTCAGCACATGTGTCGAATCCCCAAGCTGCAGATGCGTGAGGGAACGGCAGTGGCCCAGCAAGACTACGAGCGTCCCCGCGGCATCGTGTTTGACATCAATATCTAAGTGGGTGACGGAGGTGGCAGATGTTATGGCTATCCCGAGATCCCGAATACCCGCTTGATCTTGGAGGAAGTCATGAAACAGAGCATCCAGGTGGAGATGGGTAATCCGAGGGCATTGGCGTAATACGTCGCCCAGCTTTGCAGGGGAGTCAAATAGAACTGTGACTCGGAGGTCCCAGATCGCTGGGGAGCAGAGAAGTGGAAGGAATTCGTTGTCGTCTCGATCAAGCGTGGTGGCATAAAGTCGTTCGAGGTTAGGCAGAAGGAGATGACTGCGAGCGAGAGCAGTAGATATCATGTTGATGGAAGATGTTGTACAAGCGCCGCCAGCGAAGCACAGAGCCTTGACATGAGGCGCTAGCCGCTGAAGGACCACCCAGTCATCCGCTTTCAGCTCCCTCTTGATATCCTGACAGTCGGTCAGTGTCGATATCTCGCCAGAGATCGACTGGTATACGCACAAATATCTGATTCGAGGCAAATTCTATTCCATTTTCGAGAAGGGTCCACCGAGTTTCTCTATCAATCATTGACCATGCGTCCGCTGGAAGGAGCTTGAACAAAGGGAGTTGGTCCGGAAGCATCTCCCAGAGCGCGGGCGTGGCGCACTCATTCCAGAGTCGGGACACCAGTGCGTATCTTCCGAGAATTCGAGCGTATGATAATATCTCCTCCCTTCGCGGTCTGCGATGTGAAACGAGCTCTGGTCGAGGGGCAGCAGCATCGAAGATGGCGTAGAGTACTTCTGGGATGTCGATGGGTCGAATCAAGGACATGCTGAGGTTGGGGCTAAGGAGATGTATGTGTATGCGATAGAGATGTCGAGGTCTTTGTGAGAATCAGAAGCGCAGACGAGGCGACGTCAAGCAAGTATCCGCCTTTGACGGGGAGACGCGAGTGAGCTGGCGTCACGCGATCCCAGCGGCATGTCCCGAATCCACGTGACCTGCGGCTGAAGTTGAACCTTACCAGTTAATACATGTGGCAATCACTAGCATTGTTGAGGTGCTAATGCAATCAGCTGGAATACGAACATATTTATGTATGATGTCGGTTGACTATACTAGACGAGAGTCCAATACGATTCTGGGGCCGAGTCGCGGGGCCTTCGAGTCAGCCCTGATGCTCAAGCAAACATCATACAGAGATACACGCTCGATGAGCAAACAAGTATCCGGTCTGTACGCCAAGCCTTCCTATTGACGCTGAACGTGCACTCACATTGGGAAGGGCGCAGAGCGTAGCTGACCCAGACGCCAGATCCAGTTGAAATACGCGCGGAGGATTCGCAGGGGATTAGACAAGCGGCGTCGAGCTTCACGTCTTGGGCATCAGGTTCAGGTACGCGACGACGACCGTGTAAAGGTAGATTCAGGTCCAGAAGTGTAGTATCAATTCACGGGGAGAGGAAAGAAGCGCGAATCGACGTGGGAGAAAAAGCTATGGCGCGAGGACGTCAGTGCCAGTAAAGCGATCTATGGGCGGCTACTCATTCGCTCGCGCTATCAAAGTCGCCATCAAATTCCAGATGGTCAAAAGGCCACCACGCTGTCCGCAAGCTACCAGTTTTACCCTATGCAGTTTGTTAGCAGCAGCGTGGTGCGCGTCGACCTGACGCTTCCATACCGCGACGAGCCCTACTAATTTACTAACTCCACCTTGAGTCAGAACCCTGCCTGGAGGCAAGCGTCTGAGCGCCGAGTGGCGCATATAGAAGCGAACGATCGTAGAGAACGAAGACCTAGACCAGGCATCAGCTAAGCGACCGGCAAGAGCCTCGTACGAGAAGCATCACAAGTCTTCGTCCCTTCATCTCCCCATCGAGCGACCCGGCGCTCTTGAGGTGGCGGAGAGTCTCCTGCGAAACGCACCATTTATAAAACTCCTCGCGTCGTCCCTGCAACGGGGTCAAGGACACTCTGGAAGGTTTGAAGGGCAAGCATGTCAAACAACAACCATTGTCCTTTCCGAAACGCACCTCCATTGCGACAAAGTCCACTCCGATGAGACGTCGAGACGGAGACTCAAACGACGTGATGTTGACACCAACTGTCACAGCACGCGTCGCGGTAAATGCAGTGGCCGTCGACTCTCGTCGCGTCGTCGGCCTCTGAGCCCCGGGCGACTGTGGGTGTCAGGCCTCGAAGTAACCGGCTTCGTGATCTCGCAGACGTCCGGACGAAAGATCCTTTGAGTACAGATTTCAGCGCCTGTCGAAAGGTCCGTCCAAAGCCGACACCCGGGGCGAGGGGGAGAATGAGGCGGGGGACCGGAAGCGTGAATGGAGGCTGCAAGGGAAGAGAACTGAAGAGGGATGCGAGCGCGCGAAAAGGGGAGGTAAAAGGCGCGATGGGTGCGGCAAGAACGGGTGGTGAAAATTTTGAAAGAGAGGGTCGGAAGCACGAGCAAGCGAGAGGGGTGGGGGGAGCGAGGGAAGCACGCGAAAGGCGGGGTGCATCCTCACTATCAGAACCTGCCCTCCTTGCGAGGTGCGTCATAAGGCGCATGAATGAACGAGGAGGAGGAGTACATACCCAACAGCAAGTTGATGAAATAAAGAGCGGCGGTCAGGCGAAAGGCGGCGAAGGCCTGAGTGGCGTGTCTCGAAACATAAGTGAGCTGCGAGTCCGGAGTGAGCTAGTCTGAGAGATTGGAATTAACGAAGCGTCAGGCCCGCTATGCAATTACAACTGTCAACGAATCGGGTGGTCAGAACGCTTCATGTGCGAAGTTAGGCGCGAAGAAGTATAGTCGCGCTTTACATATGTCGCAAAGCGACCCGACCACGGAATATCAGTGAGTGTTTTCTTGAGTTGCTATGGCCACTCCAGGGGTTCGAAAAGAGGATGCATACAAAGACACCGTGGTAGTAGATACGCAGATGCTATGCTTCAACATCTAGTAACGTTCCTGAGTTGACTTCACCGACAGAAATGAGAGGACGTACCGGCGCGCGGCAGTCAGATAATTTTGTACTCCCTTGGGTTATCACCTGCCGCCTTACTTGATCAGGCTTCCTTCAGCGCCGACGCGCTACGCGGCAGCGCCGCCTCGACTTCCTTCCACAGCAGACCGTAGCTGATGACGGTGAATTGAGCGAGCCTATCCTCCTCGTCTTCCGCGCGATAGCGGGTAGATCGAAGCCTCGGAAAAATCCTGATGAGGAATGCTGCTAATTCCTCAGGATCCGACATCTGCCCATCCGTGACCTGCAGCTGCGCCAGAGCGCAGGCATCGCCTGATGCACCGTCGCAAACTGGTGGGATTTCCGTCGCGTCGAGCTTCAGCGTGAGCTTCCGCAGCTGCAGGCAGTGTGTGGCGAATGCGACGAGCGAGCGCAGCGTGCACGATCTGCCCATCACGTTGGGAATGTAAAGTTCAGTCAAATGCGGCCACCACTGCGCGAGCTCCTCATAGTCGGAGTCGACGAAATCGAGGGCTCCCTGGCTCGCGCCAACGCGTACGACACGCAGAGCGCGATGTAGCGATAGTGGGAGGATGGCGTCGAAAGGCATGACCGGAGGGTGGTAGTAGTTGGCGAATGATCGTGTTATGACATCGAGATGGGTGAGCGTCGATGGGGAGCAATGACTAGCTATCAGGGCTATGAAGGACGACATGTCGCTCATGCGGTCATAGCGACCCAGTGGCATCGTGAACGTCTCGATCGGACGCGACCCTCCCCACGATTTGACGAACGCCTCTGCAGCGGCTGGACACACTTCCGTGTCGAATCGAATAGAGCGAAGGTGCCGAAACATCGGATGGGCAGGTACATGGCGGCATGTTGGCATCAGTGCCTCTGCACTTTCAGCTCGAGATAGCGCGCTGGCCGTGTCAATGAGGCGCAGATGCGTGAGTGAGCGCAGCTTGTCCAGTGCCCACAGCAGGGAGCCCACGCCATCAACGGCGGTGCTAAGGGACAGGTGTGTAAGCTTGGTAAAGCCAGCAAGTCCCCCCGCAAGGGTGATTGCCTCCTCAGTCGTGCTGGACCGTGGGCCTGAGCAGGAGGAGAGGCGCAAATGTGTCACATTGGGGCAACGGCTCGCGATCTCCCTGAGGTCGAACGTGTCTCCGCTGTCACTTAGAAGCTGTAGTTCCCAGACGGTCGGCGACATCAGCAGAGGGATGAAGGAATGGTCGCTTCGATAATTCGTCACCAGAAGAAGCCGCTCTAGCCTGGGCAACAAGACGGACTTGGGGGGAGAGGCAGCCATAGCAGACAGAGCCCCAGCCGCACAGCCGTGGCAACTGTACCATAGCACTTTGACGTGCTTGGACAGCCGGCGAACTGCCTCCCAATCGCTCTGTTGTAGTGTGCGAGTTAAGCGCTATGTTTCGATCAGCACGAGAGAAATCGAAGAAAGATTCGGTTACCTACGAAGGACTTCGGTACAGAAGATAAAGAGCGGTTGAAATCCATCACCCTTGCGACAACCGATCTGACACCGCTGGGGATCGAGGGAGGGAAGCTTGGCTTGTGTTCGGGTGACGATATGGTCCACGCGTCGGACGGCAAGAGCTTCAACAAAGGTAGCTGATGCGGAAGGAATTCCCATAGGATGGGTGTAGCCACACAGTTCCAGAAGCGTGAGACGAGAGTGAATTCGGATAGGTCACGGGCTCGTATTTGGGTAGCTATCGAATTGGGCCCGTCCTGCGTGATGATAGGCCGCGGTGCAGCGATGTAGATGATATACTCGAGAATCTCGGGAATGTCGATGGGACGGGCCATGTTTCTAGGGTGTATCGGGCTTTGGAGCACAGCTTGAATGTGCAGCGTCGGCGGCTGAAGGAACTGTCCGAGCCGCGATCGCGTGCATTGGCCATGGTGAGAAAAATCAATATAGGAGATAATCTCACGATCATGTGACGGAATGTTCGACTTTCCAAAGGTTGTACGCAGGGTTCTCCTTCTGCGTCCATCCCGGACGAGCCATTTCCATATCGCTAGACTGTCTTTCACGATGTCGTCACAGCTCTGGCGTCGCATCCGCTTGCGGTACGTACTGTACTGTAATCAAGTCATTGTCGTCCGCGCGATTTGTCGTCGGATTCGACTTGCTTCTCGTTGAATGTAGTAGCTGCTTAGGCTACTCTACAATATCATAGTATACCCTTTTCTATCAGCGCCGCGTAGTTGCTCTGCGCCCTGCACCTGAATTCAGCAGTATGCTGCAAGCGACTCACTATCTGAAGCCTGTGCTGGCGCACTATTCGCCGACTCACTACATCAGTGGCGCCGCAACTTTAGATGCCGACAAGGCGATGTTTAATCGCTCAGATGGCTATAGCAAGAGAGGTCATCATGATCAAGTGCGGGAGACCGCTTCGATCGCTATAGCACGGCGCATTGTGATGTAGCGGATGCGACTTACAGATAAAACAGGAGGGAGGAGAGCTAGTGTGGGGTAAGGTCGCCGACGAGCGACCGATGAGCCTCAGTTGAGCGCGGGGTGGGAGGACGCTCTGCTCAGATGATGCGAAGTCAAAAGCGCGGAGCACGAAAGCAATAGCGCGGAGTACGAACTTGACTGCTAGTTCGCAGCCGCGAGGAAGATGCCGGGCGGGAGAGTCTTGTGAGCCGTACTTTCCGCGCAAGCTGGTCGAAGCCTTCCCACATCTGGGATGTGAGGCGATGGCGTACGAGTGGCCGAAGTACGCGATGATGCGAATCGTGCTGGCGAGTCAGTGAGAGCTTGACGAGTATGAGACGTCTTGATTGACGAAGTCTTCATTCGAGTCATTGCGGGAAGTAGGAAACATCCGCGTTGTAATTATCTGGAGGTTTGGTAAGAGTCAAAGGCGAACATCAGGTGACAGGAACTCACACGTCGAGGACGAGGCCGTATAGTCACACTCCTCCCATGAGTTCGAGGACGTCAGGAACGCAATGCGGCCGTAAGTAGAATAAAGGACGAAGTGGATAAGGATATCACCTGAGCACGTCGAGCCTTTCCGCTGAGGTCCCATTCGAGTTGGTAATCGAGGATTTATTCCATCTCAAGTTCTCGCAATCGTGCTGCAAGACAATTCTTCGCGAAAGGATCCATGCGCAAGCGAGAACACGCGTCTCGAAGTATCGCGATGCGAAATCAACAAGCACGGATGGGAGGGGTGGCGAGCCCTGACCGTACCTCCGAGTTCGAATATAATGAAATCGTCTGAAGAGCAAATCATCTTTCGATATTCCTGCAGCGGGACCCTCGTGATGGATGATCATGAGCATCTGCGACGCAAGAGTTAGTACTCAAGTTCGCAGCTGTAGATTCCAAGTTTCCACTTACTACGTCGGTGGCACACCCGCTCCATGCATTGCCCACCTATCAAATATCGGATTTCAGACGTTGGGCGATAGCATTCAGACGCCTCGGATCGCAAGCCTAGCGTACCTCGGAGCACCAGCGTCGCACACCTCGAGGCGCCGAACCATCGAGATACGCGCCGATACGACGTCGATAGAGATTACTTCTGCCAATCGCGCCTGCTCCCGCGAGGCTAGCAAACCCGAGGCCGGATCTAAAGCTGATATGAGCTCGGAGGATTGCCATCGCGGCGAAAGAGGACGTACTAGTGCAGCACGGTTTGAATGAATGCATCAAGGACGTACCAAACCGTCATCTCGACGATGTATCTGGGCAAGTGACTTCATAGCCACACGGATCAGTCGCGAGAGCGGATGGTTTCGCCCTTCCGCGACGCCGCTGCGTGGCTTGGGTCACCCGCGACGCTGGTCTGGTCCTCGTGGACCTTCAGGTCTCTGCCTACTACCTGGCTCATGGTCCCGTCAAGTGCGCAGATAACTGCCTAGCGCAAGCGATGCGGCCGATAATCAACATGCGCCTCGCCGATAGCTCGCGAGACAGGACTTGCGGGACATCGTTCAGCGCTACGCGTTATCGCCTGGACTCGGAATCAATTCCAATCCAGCGCGAACGAAGGAGAGCTACTCACTTCAAGGGGGGAGGATAGACGAGCACGCACAGGGTGGGTTTTAGTCGCGCGTCGAGTCATGGCACCTATCCGGATACTTGAAGTCGCCCCATGACCTCAACGACAGCAACCTGAAGACCGAGTCCCGAGTGATTACAGACCATAGTCCTGCACAGGCACCTCGACGGGTGCCTCTCGCCGCGGAGCGGACAATCGCAGCGCCTCGTGTCCTCGGATACCTCAAGCCAAGGGCGGCCGATCTGCCTCGCGCGGTGGAGCGATGCATCAAAGATAATGGGCCGCAAGCGATAGCGCTATGACCATGAAAATTCACCGCCCACCCAGGCGTGGAGCGCGGAGCAGTGCGAAAGACAAAAAGGCGAATAGAAAGTTTTCATTTGTATTCTGGGCAGAGGGTACGGGGAGGAGATGGAAGGGAGTCAAGAAATGCAGAGGGATTATGGCATATTGGTACAATGGAAAGCGGAGACGCGGAGGGATGGGCAAAGGGCGTTAATGATGGGTAGACGGCGTAAATGGAGAAAGGCAGTGGAAGAATGAGTCAAAACAATACCGTGCTATGATGGCTCAGGGACGGACAATGGAAAGTCGAAGACCGTGGTAAAGACGGAAAGAACGTGTTGATGTCCATTTCGCTTCCGCTTGCCGGTCTCTATGGCGCGCTTGCGAGACAAAGGTGCGGTCGCGAAACAATTGCAGGCGGAGATGAGGCGAAAGATGGAACAGGAGGAAGTACAGCTTTCCGAGACGGGCGAGGCGGCGGGGAAGGGGTGCGCGCTTCCATGAGGTGATGGCAGGAGGCAAGCCGGATTGGCGCCACCGGGGAATGCCGCGTCGGGCTGCACGGGCCGCACCTCGTGACGTCACGGGATCGTCGAAGTTGAACTTCGGGCGCCGGGTGACCTGAGATGGGCACAGATGACCGGTCGAAGTGAGAAGCTAGCGAGTCAAGTGGGAGTATGAAGATGGTCATACGTCCTATACGATGCCCAGGAATAGCAAAGCGAGTGAATACGCTGATGTGTCGGCTTCTCGCGCGAGGGTTTTGTGCCCTGGAAGTCCTTCGCTGAACGTTGTATAGGCGAGCATGACCTTCGTTGTATACATAGGCGGTGCTCTAGATCTGCTGAGCGGTCAAGCGGTAGAGCTTCCCTGACCTGACCCAGATCTGACGAGAAGGCACGCCCAATCCATTGAGTTCGTTACCTTCGTCCGCAACATCACGCACCGGAGGCTAATGGAGAGACGGGATCGACGGGGTGGATGCGTATGGCGGTGTTAACAAGATGCGTATACCGGTGAATATGAGAAGATCACTAGGCCTGGAGTCACCTCGCACACAAGCTCTCTATTGAACATTACTCTTCCCCTTCTCCCTCGAACTAGTCCGCACGTAAACGAGCGCCTGCCAGTCTCGTAAATACGCAAGCAAGGTCATCAGATGCACGAAGGTAATACAGTGCGAAGAAGTCGTACGATGCGATGAATTAGGTGGTAAGAAAGCGATCTCGTCGACGGGCGGCTATATTGGACTTGAACGTCAACACGGAATCAAGGCGCTTGACGAGCAGGTACAGAGGCGTGATGGAGAGGAGGTATTCAAACGCGCACCCAGGGAGTTCTCACTGCGCTCGGAGAGTGGAACGTACAGCAGAAGTATATCAGTCGAGAGCGCGGGCTCCTTCTAGCGCGTCACCCGTGCACCGTCGAGCACTCCAGACGCCGCCAGGTCCAGCACCAAGTACAGAAAGCACCCGTCGAGCTCGCAGAAGCCGTCGAGGAACACGAAGATGCCTTCTAGGAAACTCGCTAGCGCGTGCTGCGTTCGGTGGAAGGAAAGCTTCAGCTCGGTTTAAGGAAAGCCTCGCAGGCGTGTCCGCGCATATAGGCTTCCGGGCGCTCGTCATGCGTACTGTGGGGCACTCGTCTTGCGTATAGGTAGCGTTCGTCTTGCGCTCTAGGCGGTCGCCCTGCCTTTCTTACAGTGTGCGTGCCTTCCGGACCAGCGTTCGCTATACAGAAAGTTATGCTTTCCGGGGGACGCCGCAGGCGGTCTGTCATCGCCCTCCGGACGTAGCGGACGCGGGGCGCCTCCGGATGGCGCGGGCGCGAGGGACCTGAGGGTATTCCATAGAAAAGATCAGGGTGCAAGTCACAGAAGAGTAAATCAGGTCCTCGACGACAGCGGAGGCGCGGCGCAGATAACGCAAGCGACAGGTCGAACGGTAGAAGGCGAGGTGAGGGGGAATCGCTGGTGGGCAGGGATAAATGAGACTAGGAAGCGAGCAGGAGGAGAGGGCCAGGCTGCAGGATGGGCGGCGCGGGAGTAGCCGCTCGGATGGCTTCCAAAAGACGCCGCCTGTCCGCGGCATGCGCTGTCCATGAGCTACGAACTCTCTGTCCATCGACTGAGAACGCGCCATCGAGCGAAAGGTCGCTGTCCAGACGTTGTCTGCGCCGCAGCCGCGCGACCGATGCTCGCTCGCCCGACATGGGAACTAGTATCATGTCCCCGTCATACGCGGTCTCGTGCAGTCGGGGCTCGCCAAGCCTGGGGACCGCACTGTCAGCGCTGAATAGTGTAGATCAACTAACCGACTGACTAACCTCTGATTGAAAGCCTGCTCGGAGAAGTATACACACCGTGAGAATCTGTATATGCGAATAAAATTGGAGAAAAGGGACAAGGCGTCGACTGTCTGTTCGCGGCAGAATGTCGACCACCAGCAGGCTCGACCCCGAGAGAAACGCGTTCGCAGGCGTTCCGCTACCTTCTGTGTCCGCCATCGCGCCTCGCTCTTGTTCACACGAATGACCTGGTGATGTGCGCGCCTACAAATTCGAAGAAACCAGAGTGGTGAGAGGGAGCGCGAAAGCCACTGAAAGCGCGAAGAACCTCTGGGCGTGCGACATCTGCACCGAATTTACCCGCGAAAAAAGGCCAAGGGCAACAGAATTTTCGGAGATATGAATCAACAGAGAGTTCCGCCAGACGTAGTGCGCGCGGTCGACCATAAAGCGGCGACTCGAGGAGGCCGGGACTCTGGTCGGCGTCATTGCGCTGACAAGAGGGCGATTCTGGGTGCCTGCGTCTCTATCTCGGCGTTATCTGCCCCGCATCGCGTGGCGGCATCGAAACCGCGTCATCGATCCGCCCGCCGATTTGGCGTATCCCCGGATGGTCATAGCGACCCGCACCTAGCCCCGAGCACATCCCGACCCGGGCGTCCAATCCCGTGCCGCGCGGGAGCCTCTCCATCCGCGTATAAAAGCACGACCACGGACCAGCTACACCCATCCCTCCCTCCCCAGCACTTTCTTCGAGGTGCGCGACGCGTTCTTCTCTTCCGAGGCGCCTCTGACATCCGTTGCAGTTTACTTCGATCTTCGACTTGCCAACCACCTCATCCAACATGTGCTGCACTGCTCAGACCCAGACCTCGTCTACCCCCGTCAACGTCAAGGTCGCCACGACCAGCGACGCGACCCACAACCACGCCAGCGTCCCCCAGTGCTGCCACTGCGGCTGGCGCGGCGCCCACGCCGCGGACTGCCCGTTCAAGTAGGCGGCGCGCGAGCCTGGTATGCGCATGAGAGGTGTGTTCCCCTCTTCCTTCTCCCCTTCCCTCACGCTCACGCATCCTCCAGTAGACCCTCCGCGCTGTGACCAGGTCTCTGTACCTCCGCCTTCACCGATCATACGTCCTCGTTCATCACGATCCCCTCTCATCGTCAACATGTACCACCACCACGATCAACCATATCTATTTGCTCGCATCCACCAATCGCTCGCACCCGCTTCATCGCCCGCACCTGCTTTCTTGCTCTACCGTCCCGAGTCCCTGGCCGATCGGCCGCACGCCTCCCGCCGCCGTATACCCGCGCAGAAGAAGGAGTAGACGAAGAAGATGAAGAAGCAGCGGAAGCCTCGGGCGGGCCGTCGGGGCGCACTGCGCCCTCCCCCGTCGCGTCTGCAGGCCTGACCTCGCCAAGCTCAACGGCGAACCTGCCTACGAGCTCATGCCCATGCCCTCGACGTGACATCGCATACCGCCCTCGCTCGTCGCTTGCCCCGCCGGCAACGCTCTGTACTTGTACATGATCCCGCTGTATCTATTGTGTATTTCTATCGCGTACGTGACTCGAAGTGCAACTTATTCGTTCTCCATCATCCTTGTTCGTGGGCAATCTCTTCAAGGCTTCCGCTTCAGGCCTCAATTCATCGACGCAACAAGCTAGTTCACCAATAGTTCACCCTCGGGCCTCCGGAGGCGCACGACTCGCAAGTTGACTTCCGTCGGCGGACGATGCTGCTGGATCAAGACCTCGGATGCCGCGGAGTTCCCTCGCAGGCAGCTTGAACCAAGCTTGGACTTCACTTCGATCGACCCCAGAGTTGACCTCGATGAGGGTGCTGCGCATACCGAGCGACCTTTTCTCCTCAGTCCGTGTCGCCTCATCCTCCTGACAGCACCCTCGCCAACGCTCACATCCTGCGGCCCGAATGTCCTCCCTCAACTTCGCCCTCCGAGTAATACCATGACAGATATCTATTACGCGCAGCTAATGATCTTCCCCGGTGCCCGCGGCACGTCTTCTTCACCCTTCCCATCGATCCCTGCTCACGAACGACCCCTCAAAGCAGCTCGGAGGGTCTCGGGATCGACATGCGTACGTGCGCGATATCGGGTGGACATTTATGCACATGCGATTTAGGACAGGATGGACACACACCCGCGAACGGGATATCCGAATAGGAAGACGCGCAGATGCTCGCGGATGAGTGTATCCATTCGAAGGCTGGCGAACGACTACACCTATTCGAATGCTCGCGAAGGAGCGCGATGTCCAGAAGAGTCGCGATGGACACACACATCTGAACGCTGCTTTACCGAGGGCTGCGCGTCGGTGTGCTCACCCTTACCTTCGACGATGTGATGGCCATCGCTCGCGTACCCGGGCTCAGCTGTACACGGCGACCAGCGCACCCCGTGCGCGCGTTTAACGTGAGGTGGCCACAGTTATGTGGTCTTGCTAAGATGGCCTTCATGCGCTGAGGATCCCACAGGAAGACGCGTCCGGGTCTCACGAATGAACGCGTCGAGATCTCATGGGCGAATGCATGAGCCCAAGAGGTCGTTGGACTCCCAGGATTAGCGCAGACCGCGTTGCCCATGCTCTTCTGAAGTGGGGCAGACGTCCTCAACCCCGCAACCTTCACTCGCACGGTGCGAGGATATGCATCTTCAATGTGGGGTATGCGCATCGTCGGTGGGAAGATGGTACGTGCATCGACCGGTAGGGGCACAGCTGGGTGTTGTCCATCTGCGGCGGCTGCACACTAAAGATATTCCCTTGATGCGGTGGGCGGAAGCCTGTCATAGTGGAGATAGCATTGTCTGATATTCCGCTATACAGGTCGTATATCCGTTGGTACTCATCGCACCCCCCGCAGACGCACCTGTCGTCTGCCATCATGAGAAGCTATCTAACCACCTCGTTCGTCGACAGGCGTGAGTGCGTACCGGTCTTTCAACCTCGACTACAATCAGTTCTCAGCCTCACTCCGGGTTTTCAGCTCACTTTTTTCCGGGACACGCTATTCGACATTCCACTACCTTCCGCCGCTCGTTATTCTGTCAGCTTGCTCTCCGGTATCTACGGTTTCCTCCCTTTGATCCATGCGGCTCACGCGGCGCGTCGCAGGAATCATAGTAGCCAGTATATTCCGCCGTCAAGGGCGCGAGATGGGGTGCCGGTCCTGGCGTGGTATTCGAAAGATCTGTCCCTAGATCCCTCCAGAAAACACGGAGGACTTGGTCGCCGGACGACCATTATCATCGGTAGCTCATCGTACCCGACGACGTGCATGGGTACACAGACCCGGGTCTCGGAGGCCGACGACGCAACACGCGGACCAGTACCCTCCGCGAGGCGCGCGCCGACGTTACGGCGACACGTGCCGTGACAGTTGGTGTCGATGTCACGCCGTTCGAGACGTATCCTCGGAGTGGAACTTCAGAGCAACGGAGGCGCGTTTGGGAGTTAGCTTTCGACGTGCGGAAACTTACTCCATGGTCTGGAACCCCGTTAATGAGCGACCTTGTCTCCGTTGCACGGTCGACTCGAGGAGTTTTAGAGGAAGGGTGCACGTTTACTGGGAAGATCGGCCGACCACCTCCACACCCAAGGATTCCTGGACCTCCCGATGCGGAGATCAAGAGCTATAGAAAGGTCTTGAAGAGAACTCGTACGAGGTCCTCTCTTGCTACCCCATTGATGACTGGTCTAGGTCTTCATTTGCTGCGACTTGCCCTTCCGATTATGCAACTGAGCGTCCAGATTCCTTTCCCTTGGCAGGCTTCTACGGAAGGCGGAGTTAGCAAATCAGGAGGGTTAGGGTCCCGAGAGGTAAGCCAACGCCTGGTCGAGGCGTACCACGCTGCTGCCCCTCGCTGGCATATCACGACGGACAGCAGTCAGCAGACGGCGTCTACGAGTCCGGCCGGTCCAAGCTCGATTGCGGCCTCCTTATCTCTCGAGATAGCACCCTATCGAACGCTTTTTCCGCCACCGACGTGCGCGCGCCGTCGCCGGCTTCTAGAGATTTACCTGCCACCTCGCCCGTCTTCTTGAGAATCCCGAATATCGTGGACCTGAAGCTAGTCTTTGACGCCTGTCTTTGCGTTCCTGCGCCGGAAGTCTTCGCATTCCCGCGTTGGACGCCTTCGCGCCCTTGGGCCTGAAGCATGCTGTCGGACGCCGCTTGCGTCTGCCGCGGGTCCCTGCGGCTGTCGCCAGAAGCGGCCTGTCTAATCCCCCCTGCGGATCCTGTGGGCATGATATCTCTCGTTTGGATTTGCCATCGATTTGTGACTATTATCGAGAGAATCCGGTCTATTTGCGTGACCCTGAGGAGCTCAGCTACTTATCACCTGAACGCCGTTCGTGGTTCGCAGAATTAGTGATTTTGCCAGGCCGGTGGTGACGGGGACCATAGCGCAAGCGTTGTACTGACTCGGAAAGCCCGCGGTGAACCATTTATTGGCGCGAATCATTGTACGGCTTTTGCTCTTGTATAAACTGCGACCCGGATGCGCTCAAATTTCTCTCGGGTGTCTCTTTCCAGAGAGGTCTACTGCGTGACGAAACATCGCCGCGAAAAGACGCGTGATGTCACGGTTCGTCAGCCTCGTGGCCGCGGTGATGGCCGAAATGCACGCGAACCGCCATTGAGAAACGGTCTTTGTTCCCAATTCGTTCTTTCACGCCATCACCATCTCCAACGCCCTCGAATGGCTCATCGCTGCCTCGAAATCCCTGAAGTTCTCCTGATAATTGCGAGAGAGCTGCGCGAGGAATCTCTAGCGTCCGTCCTCAATCTCGCGCTCACCCACTCTTCGATGTGCGGGCCATGTCTGGAAGTGCTTTGGGAGAAGCAGACGATGCTGGTCCCGATCCTCAAGCTCTTCCCTGAGTGCGAGATCCGTGATTGTCCGGGGACATCTGAAGCGCAGGACCTGGTGAGTGCATTTGTTCGCTGGGCCTAGCGAGTGCTGAAGGTTCGAGCGAAGATCCTGACAGGCCCTCCATCTCGTGACTCCTGGCTCGAAGCGCAGAAGTACGCGCGTCGTGTGAGAGTGTTGGAACTCGTCAAGGAAGACGGAGGGATATACTCGAGATTCCGAAACCGCTACTTCACCGATGAAGAAGAGGAGGACGAAGACGAGAACGATGACTCTGACTCTGAGGGCGATGGCGCTCAGGACGAGGTAGAAGACGGCGATGACGACGGCCTTCCGGAAAATGAGGGAGATGTACTAGGCAATGTCGCCGGTCCCGATCCCTCAGGCGAAGCAGAAGGGGTCGACGATGGCCTTTTCGACGAAAGAGGAAGCGCGGGCGCGGGCGCGGAGGCCGACGACGTCGTACAGAAGTCAGTGGGACTCAGTCGCGAAAACATGAGGCACCTCTTGCTATGCGCAGGAGGCGAACCTCTGTTCCCTCGCCTGCGTACCTTGGACTGTACGGAATCGTGTTCGCCGGCCTTTCTCTTGGATCTCCCCAGTCTCTTCGCGCCCAGTCTTCGAGAAGTCATTCTATCTTTGCGTCTGATGCAGGAAGAAGAAAATTTCGCGCTATACGAGCATCTTCCTACCGCCTGCCCCGACCTCAAAAGGCTCTCTATCTACACCGATGGTCCATGCGACATAGAGCAGTCCAATGCGTTGCGTGACATGATCCTCCGGTTCAATTCGTTGACTACCCTCGGCCTTCCCGATACACGCCTTCCAGCTCTTGTCCATCTCGGTCAATATGATGCGTTGGAGTCGCTTGAGCTTACCCTGCGAAATAACTTCTCGCTGGATGAAGATGTCGAGCCCTTCGTCTTCTCAGCGCCCGTCAAACACTTCCGCATCAATGCGCACGATCACGTTCTCGTCGAGCTACTCCTATGACAAACTTCCGAGGCGCCTCTCGAAGTGGAATCCCTCCACATCCTTTGCGAAGAGGAAGCCCCAACATGCAGATGTGATGTCCGAGAGAACACACTCGAACTTCTTGCGTCAGGTTTGGCGCCGAGCGTGATCCGGCAGCTGCTTTACTACCAGTGTTCCTACATCGATCCCACCTGGGGCGCGCTTCCCGCTTCCTGCCTGTTACAATTCACCGTCTACCCGCATCTAACACACCTCGGTCTCGACTGCTGGATCGACGCTACGGATGCGGACCTCGAAGCGGTGGCCAGGGCACTCCCGCTTCTCGAGCACTTCGTCCTCGATGTCACAGCGGAGGGGCGCAATGGCCTCATGCAGGATGTGCGAACGACACTCGCGGGGCTCCTTCCCTTCTCGCACCACTGCCGCGACCTTCGGGTTCTGTGTCTGCGTCTTGACGCGACCAGTGTCCCAGCTATCCCAGATGCATCTGAGGCAAGCGCTCCAGTCGCGCACCATGTGCGCATGCACTTCGCCGACTCCGCCGTCGCTGACCCTGCCGCGGTCGCGGGCTTCCTTGCGCGCGCCTTTCCGGCCGGATGCAGCATCGCACGCTACCCTCCCCGCGATGGCATGTACGACCCGTATCATACCCCTCTTCTTCCCGTACTAGGCGACACGTTCGATAATGATGCCCAGTGGAATATCAAGAAGCGGGGGTCGTGGCCTATCGGACGGTGGCGAAAGGTTTACGACGAGCTGCGCCGGTTGCAGGGGTCGCCCTAATGCGCTATGCTGTATCTCATAGCACTGAAGGGGAGAAGAAATGTGGCCTACCGAGCCCACGGTGTCTCTCCACAGCATCTCGCAACCCTCATACATGAAATACATTCGGCGCACGTACGCATGCTGATATCTGCCTCTGAATGTATCCTGTTTGAGACCGCATGACATTGCACTGACCGCCCCCTTTCACAAAAATCCTCTCGGGAAGTTTTCGCGACTTGCAACCTGGATGAGCTAAATCCGACAGACGCCCAACCTTGCACCCAACCCCAAGGATTGGTCGGGAATCGAACATTTCCAATCACGTGATAACGCAAACTTCGCCGGCATTGAGTCCGCCTGCATTGTTTGTCAAACTCTTGTCTCGAACGACGTTCTTCACGCTACTATCTCTCTTTCTCCTCGCAAGCGCATGTCGCAAGCAACCCGTTCGAACTATAGCCAAGATGCTAAGAAAAGGGCTGAAGCGGAGCTACGCAGGCCACAGACTTTTCGCATCCTTCGTCTTGATCCCTTCGCTTTGGCCAGTGATCACTGGGACCTGAACACTCCAGAAATAAAACGGGTGGTGGACGAGCTGACGAAGCTCGACAGCTTCATGGTGCTGCGGCGCACCGCTGGCGATGGGTCTGCGTCTGGAATCCAGAGGGAGATGACCCATTGTGTTCAGGCGCTCTGGCCCACACTGGTGCTTTGGCTTGACTTTCTGCACCCAATGCACCACGCCCACACGGACCGGCGGGAACTCGTTCCTGTAACGCTTCTCTGCATCATGCTCTCTCACTGCTTCGAGCCTGACCCGCCTATGTACGAGCTGCGCAAACACACGCCACTCCTTTACAAGCTCCTCTTCACCCTCTGGTTGCGCTTCGACAAGTATATCACTCCTCGCACCGACATCCACCTCTGTCTGATCCGTCTCAACTCCGCTGTGCGCTGGTCGATGTGGGACAAGCACCGCAATACGTTCATGCACGCAGGGAAGACGATGACTACGGAAGAAATCAAACAGATTGTCCAAGAGAACTCAAGTCCGTACTGCGTTCCAGCGGCCCTCGCCGTCGTCGAACATCATCCTCGCCGCTTCTATCGACTCGCGATGGGGCAACTAGTGCTGCTCGCTGACGCGACGCTCGCCACGCGCAGAGCACAGGCGGTCGACGCCATGGACGATGGCATCATCGCACTCGGAGAGTTCGCCCGCGAGCTCTTTCCACAGCCTTCACATTCCCGGGATGTTGTCGTAGGGCTTATTCAGGTCACTCGGAAGCTTCTGGACGCGCCGAACAGGATAGGATGGACGGCAGCGCGCAACATCCCCAGCGTGCTCAACTCCATCTGGGCGACGGATGATAGCGGACTCACCGTCGCATGGGCATTGCGCGCGGGTGTTCTGCCACTTTTGACAAGGCTGGAGGCGATTTCTGAGACCCCGGGAATGGCGTGGCCGATGAAGGACAATCACCTCAAGCTCGCGTTTGCGACCATCAGGATGCATGGGACGCACGTATGCGTCCTACGCGCCCTCTCCCATTTGACGGCGACGCAGAAGGTCTTCTTCCGGCACTCAGAGGATGATCAGTCGAAGGAGCGCATGGTGTTCGATATCGCCATATACGAACGCTTGGAGGTGTGGCGCCAGGCCTACCACCAGGAAGTTTGCCATAACCCCGACGTGCGTTTCTCACCCTTTCTGTTGAATCCGCTCACCATATCCGCAGTGCCCGTCCGTACCTCGGCAGCCGGCGCAAGACATGCGCCGCTGCCCCTGCTTCAACGTCCGCTATTGCTCCAAAAACTGCCAACGCGCCGATTGGGCCGATCACAAGCGCTACTGTGTCGACGGTCCTATGGGAAATAGCTTAATCCGGCTCACGCAAGGTATTCACGAATGCGCTTGGTTTCTCGAGCGGCTCTTCTGACTGGACCTTTGCAGGTGATCTGACCTTTCGCGACGCTCACTTTGCGGCTTTCTACACCCGCTGGTATGTGCTGAAGCACGCATCATACATCGCGGATAGCATTGCGCGCGAGCTCAAGGAGGCGCCTCATCCGGGAAGCCCCTACACCATCCAGGTGACAGTCGAAGTCGGGTGCCTGACGTCCACATACTCTGTCGCATTGGATAAGGAGCTCTTCGGGGACCAGGACAACTCCTACATCGTCTTCTGTGCGATGATTTGGCGACCGCGGGGCCATGTGTGCGCCCAAGTCATGTCCATGGACTGGGCAACGATGAAGGAGCGGGCGGCGACGAGAGATAGGGATGGAGACGCTCACATAGCACCGTATTTTCCTTTGGAAAGGAGGGCCGACGAGGGACATCCAGACCGACACTCACAGAGACGTTGAAAAACATTTGTACACGGCAGCCATGTTACCTAGCGTGCAGAGTATACCTGCGACTCCAGAGTTCACACTGAATAATACTTGACTGGGGATAGATTACTATGATACATGTAACATTGTATTCTTTCACTTGATTTGTCCTTACATGTACATCCAGCTTGACCGCGTTGCCCCATCGCCCGGTCTTCGTATTCTCTATCCCAAAAGCTACTCTATCCCATCCACTATACGCCGCTTCTTGCGCGACTTCTTCTTCCGAAGCTCGGCCGATTGCTCGTCGCCAACTCCATCGCCCGCCTCTGCGGTGCGATCGCCCAGAGCAGGGCCGCGCGACGAGGCCACGGCGTCGCTGAACATATCGCCTGGCATCCGCTTGTCGGCGTCCATGAACGTTGGATCATCGAATGAGGTAGCGACACCAGCGAAGTCGTCGAACTGAGCATCACCAGTCGTCGACACACCCTCGACATCCCAGGCTCCCCACGTGCCTTCGTCCGCAGCTGGAGTCGCGCTGGATCGGTGTTTGCTCGAGGTGATCTGCCGGGCCGCTGGCGATGGCCGAGACGGGGACCGGAAAGAGAACGTTGCGTGCCCAGTCTGGTCGGTGGTCGTCCGTGCACGGAGTGCGAACTTGCCCGAGTTGAGATCCGGGATGAGAACGTCAGCGTCCTTGGGACCATTCGTACGCGTATGAATGCCATCGCGGATGGCGGTGGCCGGCTTGCTGGCTTCCGGGAACTCCTCGAAGTCCTCTGATTCGGCGTCGAGATCCTCGAACACCCGCGGCGCGAAGTCCTCGTCCTCCTCGTCGAATTCGAGAGGGACACTTTCGTCTACACTAGCTGGGCCATGCGATGGAGCACGAATCTTGCTATACCCGCGTCGGATGCCTTCCCCCATGCGGTCGGCGACGGCGATGAAAGAAGTGCGACTACCGCCAGTCGATGCACGCCGCGACGACAAAGATGGAACACGGATGGGTATTGGCGTGCGCGCAGGTAGGCTGGGTATGCCGCTCATGAAGCTTCTCGGCCTGCCGTTGGGAAGCATCGGTAGTACCGTCTGGACAGGAGCACCGACGTCGGCAGAGATGGCATGAGCGAGAGGCGCGTCGAAGGAGGCCCTCTCTGGTTCAATGTCATCCATCCCATCGACGAAGCCATCCGCTGCACCAGGCTTGGCAACGACTTCATGTCGCACGCTAATGACCGGCCCTTTCACAGTGAAGCGATACTGGCGTAAGAGAGCATGGTAATCCTCTCCTGCATGCAGGTTAGGCTGCGGACATGAAGGAGTATGCGTGAACTTACCCAACGCCCGGAAAGTGAATTGATGAGTAAGGTATATCGAGCGCGGAAGCATCGCCGATGCACGAGGAAATGTTGAGAGCTCCGCGAGAGCGAGCGCACTACATGAACCGATGAGCCATCAGGGATCATCATGAGAGTGAAGGACGTACTCTTTCGCATTGACGACTTGCTGCTGTGGAACGTGCGCATCATCCACAGCTACCCGCTCCCGTATCTCGGTCCACTCGGGATCGCGCCTGACCCGCCAGGTCGCCACCACGTCCTCCGTCGCGGACAGCACCATGGAAGCCTCGTCGCGTCCGCCGCTCGCCGAGCTCGCCGGACTGATACCTGGTGCGCCAGGCTTGCCGGCGCCAACGCTGGGGCTTCTTCCTAGAGCGCCCAAAGTCGAGAGTGAGATGCTGGTACCGGCGATAGAGACGGCCATGCCGCCTGCATCCCGAGGTCGAATCTCAGTCGTGATGCGTCGGAGGCTGAGAGTCCCGTCGGCAGGATCGAAGACAAGCACGTCCTGATGGTTGTTACCGAACGATGCAGAGGCCTGGCCGCGAGGCGACAGTGGGGCATCGGATCCGGTTGAGGTCGACGAGAGCACAGAAGTCGGACGACCTAGGTACACGTCAGTATTCCAGAGGATATACGAATCCTATCAATCTTACCTGCGGAGGTTGACGGGGTGAAGCGGCCTGCGCTGGTTGAAGGAGTGAATCGCCCGAATGATCCAGAAGAGCGTCCGGCAGATACGGATAGACGCCCTGCGCTGGTCGAGGGCACAAAGTTGGTAAGAGGATTGGTAGGCTGCAGAGACGCAGGTAGCCTCCGCTGCTCGTTCGATCGAAGGAACATCACAGCCAGAGGTGCAGGGTTCTGAGTCGCGCCGTGACCTGCGGTTCCCGCCGGATACATGCTATCGGCGACCGGTGAGAGATGGCCCTGATCGACACGCGTGAAGCGGAGGCGAACGAGGGGATGCGTCTCGACACCAAGAGGCTGCAGGCTGGCTGGGTTACGAACTTTGCCCTCTACGTGCGAGTAGCCATCAGGCGGTCCGCCGTAGGGCATGGTCGCGAACACGTGGACAGTGCGTCGCTTGCTGGCCAGAGCCACCCATCGACCATCCCAAGCCCAAGCAGTCGAGTCGAGAACCGCATTCGTACGACCTCGGCGAAGGGTGTACACCAACGAGGCGGTCTCCCTCAGATCGCCATCTGCTTGCTCAGAGGTACTGACTACGAAGCATTAGCTTGATACCTGGGACAATAGTGACGCAAGCTTACGATTGACGTCGGGACTGAGCGCCCATACCGCTGCGCTTGTACCATCGGAGCGCGCGGCGAGTATCTGCGTGCCCTCCGCATTGAAACGTACGCGCGAAATAGGCTGTCCCGGTGACGGAAGTACAGCAACTTGACGCGGCACCGTATGATCCGCTTCCCTGCCCTTGTCTGCTACCATCGGTGTCTATGTCAAATTCATCAGCCTCGTTCTGTACAAACAAAAGAAGTATTCCCACCGCCAAAGACGTCAGGTCGACAACGACAACGCCATATCCTTCCGTCTTCGCACGAGGCATGGTTGTCGGTACGGATGGTGGCGAACCCGACACGCGCTGCTGCCCATTCTCCTTCGTTGCCTTCGCTGATCCTGCCGAAGTCGATCCCCCACGTGAGAACAATCTCCCCACTCCTCCTCGACTGCCTTCGTCTCCAAGCATACCACGTAAGCCGCTCAATACGCTCCCCGCCACGCTCACACCAGCCCCAGCGACGCTCGCACCCGCTCGCGCAAGGTCATCTCGAGTGCGCGTCAATTCCTCCCGGGTTGTCTCTCCTCGGGCAGCGCGCCCGACGAGCTGGCTGAGGCCGCTAGCCGCGCTGCCTAAGCCCGAAGCGAAACTGATGTCGGCCGGCGCGGTGACAGCGCTGATGCTCGCGAAAGACGTCGAGGCCGTCGCAGCATCCGGCGGAGCGGTCGCGTACGCAAGTAGTCGACCGGAAAGAGCAAAGACAGGTTCCAGCGAGTTGGCAACCGCGGACTTGCTGACGTCCTGCTGACTGGCCGAAGTATGCGAGGCCGACGCATGAGTCGGTACCGATAGGTGTAGACCGACTCCGGGGACGATTCCCAAAACCTCCAATGTCGACAAGGACAAGACGCGAAGTTCTGCCTTTGGAGCAGCAAGACCGACGACAATCCAGTCACGCGAAGACTCGAACTGCGTGGCGGGGCCGGGAAGCCTGACCTGCTTGACGATCTCATGCGAGACGAGCGAGTAGACGATAAGGCTGCTAGAGTCACGCTCGTTGACGCTGTGATCCATCAGCTACTATCGTATGCCTGTTGTCAGAAGAAAACTCACAGTACACCGATGAAGATCTCCGTATGGCCCGGGCGCAGAGGCAGCGGAGCGGCGTAAACGATCTTGCCAATCCCAGCCAGCGCGCGGCCGTCGATGCTCAGCAGCTCCCTGACGCCGGCAAGGTCTGTGCAGTCCCAAAGCTGCAGCCCACCACCACGATCTCCATTGACGAAGTCGTCCTCCTGGTCGTACTCCGAAATGTCGTCTTCCACTCCGCCCACTTCGTCGCTGTAGACCAATACTAACATCCGCCTGTTCAAGCTTCAATAACTGCTACTAAGAGACGCAAGTAAGACATACTTGGACCCGACATCATGCCACTCCGCCGAGCGAATGGTCTCCCGGCGCACTTCATCGACTTCCCGAGGCGAGCGCAGATCGCGTGCTGGCGGACCCCTACCTCGAATGGTATCCCGCGAGGTCTCCAACAGCGTGTCGATATCGGGAACGTTCGCCCGAGCCATGCTTCGACGCCTCGACGGCATCGAGCGCTCGTGGGGCTGCCTATCATACGAAGACGTCGCCGTCTGCCCGTACGGCGAGGGCAATGATCGCTCGTGAGGGGAGGACACCGTCCGATGATGAGTCGGCGGGGTCCGCTTCTGTACGGGAGCGCGCTCGTACGCAGACGCGCGCCGGACGTGCTGGACCGGGGAAGCTTGACGAACAGGGTGAACGGGGGATGCATCGCGCAGAGACCGCGCTACACCAGACTGCGGGGATTGCTCGGGCTCAAAGCCGGACCGCTTGAGTTCACCTCTGCCTACGACTTGTCCGCGCGACGTGGCATCGACTCCTGAAGTCGACCGCCCACCTCCCGCTGCCGCGACCCCTTCCCACCCTTTCCCTACGCCCAATCGCAAAGTCTGCTCCATCCTCGACTCCTCTCCATCGAAGGCTTCCTCCATCCCCATAGCCTCACCCCTAAACGCCTCCGCCATGCTCGCCTGCCACGCACGTTCCTCCGTTGCAGCGCTGTGCTCTTCCCGCGCAGGGTAGAGCATCTCGGCAGGTCCTCCATACGCAGCAGTGCCCTCTTCTCCGCCAACCCCCTCGTTCGTAGGCGCAGGGTCCTGCGGGACACCAGAGGCACCCTCAAAGCGCGGCCTTTGCCGAAGTGCTGGTGATGACGTAATGGGTGGCGGTGCCAGCGCCTTGACCGAAGACGACGCGGAGGGCCTCCTGGCCGACGAGGCGGTAGGCGGCGAGCCAGCGGGGGATGGCGGATACTGGGACGATGCAGAAGATGCGTTTGTAGACGCGGAAGACGGCGTCGACATGAAAGACGGTGACGGCGCGTAGCCTCCGTGCGATGGCAGCCGCCCGTGTTTGCCTGAGGACAAAAGTCGGAGGTCGATGCGCAGGTCGCGGCGCGCGCGACGGGCCAGAGATAGTTGGGTGGCAGGGAGAGTCGGGTGGCAAATGGTAGGCGAGTTGTAGCGGGTGGCCGTAGGTGACGACGGCGACCAAGGTAAGGGTGATGATGACCGACGCGAGGAGATTGAAGGTGATGGTGAGCCAGCAGAAACAACGCAGCCGTTCGAAAATGACGAGGAGCGGTCGCAGGAGGTCGTTGGGTGTTCGTCGAGAGATGGTTGTGAGTATGTCATAATAGGCGACCGTAGGAGATCAAGCGACGCCGTCGACGTATACATCAAAGCCATGGGGCAGGCATAGAAAACAACAATAGAGAGAAAAAGGAAGTGATGAACAAAAGGAAGTAAATGATAGAGGTGGAAAGGCAAGATGAAAGACGGGACGAACGAGTAAAGTGAAGGGTCAAAAGCGAAGTGACATGTCGTTCGTGCGTGGTAGCGCAGCCACGATCAGCAACAGAAAACAACAACGATACCACAACATCGCGGTCATGAAAGAACAGGAAGGGGATAGAAGGCCAGGCAGCAAGCATGAAGGGGTAAGGAGGCATGCGTAGAATAGACGAATGCCCCGTGACGGGGTGAGATCAAGGTACACGCGATATGAGTCGAAGAAACGGGCGGAGTTAGAACGCAAGTCAGGAGGCAGAAGGCGTGACGAGGTGAGGCAGGGTGACGCAGAAGGAGCGGGGAGATACAGGAAAGCGGTCGACATGACCAAGGTGGGGTGACGCAGACAAGGTCAGGGTGATATGAAGGTCATCGGACGGTAAACATGGAGGACGACGACGACATGACGATAAGAATACCCAAGGAACCATGATAGGCGAATGAAGGAGAGCGTCCCATGACCAGGCGAGCGGGCGTCGCATGAGGGGAAATGATCGGACATGCATAATCCATGAGGCAGGTGCGATACGAGGCGGGGCATAGAAGTGTAAGGATGTCAAGGGAGCAATACCATGTCGTGGAGAGGGAGTATGAGGGGGCGAGCAGGAAGAGCGAGGAAGAGAGTGAGGGATCGTCAGCTATTGTAAGGAGCTGGAGAATGATGACACGCACCGGACGAGGAGCGTCTAACAGCCATGGCGGGTGCAACAACGCTTCCATGGGGCGGTGGCAGCATCTCTCCCTCGGCGCTTGTCGCGCGAGATATGGCGGAAGCAGGCCAATTGAGCGTCACTTCAGTGGAGGATGCTTCCACGGTGGAGGAGGATGACAGGAAGCCTGAGAAAGGCGCGGGCGCTTGTTCGCTATTATAGCCAACGGTCAGCAACGAGTCAGAATGTAGCGCAGGAGCACGCACAGAGAAGCCAGTATCGGTGACCGCACGCCCTCGCTTCCTTCCGCTTTGGACCAAGCACCCTCTGCGCCGCCCGCGAAGGTCCCTTCCGGGGAGGTGCCCGGCGCCTCTGCGATCTCGCTTTGCGGCTGCGCGCCTAGCAGTCCGTTGCGGCGCAGCTCGTCGAGGACGCCGCCCGGGTCCTTCTTCCCCTTCCTATGCTTCTTGCCGCGCACTGCCCGTGGTTCCTCCGGCTCGGAGAGCGGTGTAGGACACTGTGGCGTCGTCGCCGGCACCTCGACATCGACGAGCGCGGTACCCCAATCCGCGACCCTCCCTTCGTCCTGCTGGGCGTTCGTGCTCGCGGGAACGACATCCTCGCCCCGCGGTACTTCCTCCTGCAGCAGCGCGCCCCCGTCCAGAATGTCGATATCGTCTATCTCGTAGGGCCGCACCGCCGGCGAAGCCGATAAGCTCGGCGCGTCGGGCGTGTACGTGCCCAATCCTTCTCCTTCTCCGTAATGACGCTGCTGATCCTTGCGCTGCTGCCGTGCATTCTTCGACGCGCGTGAGGGCATAGAACGTGTGATATGCGGTTGTGGAAGTGGCTGACGGCGTCAATGAAGGCGACGTCAACGCTGGGGGATCAAATGTAGGTACGCTAGGAGTTCTGCCCTGTCCGTCCGGATGTGTCCTTCTACGTGTCGTCGAATGGAATCGTGCGAGAGGTATGGGTACAAGAAGTTGACCGATTATGTGATTATGAGGTGAATATCGTGTGTTGTATGAGACTTGGAGGTTGAAAGTATGACGAATCTATACGAGGACGTCAGTACCAGCTCTGTGGAGGAGGAAGGGGCCACGCACTAGTCGTTAAAGAAGTGAGACCGCTCTAACAACAATGACTCGATAGATAAAGCAAAGGACGATGGCGCCTGCAAACGAATGCGGCGCTGTTGGATAAATATGACAAATGGATATCTGTGTCGGGAGAGGAATCTGGGTTACGAGAAACAAACTGAAGAGGTTGCGTAGTTCGGCAGAGATGGACGCAGAAGGAGAGCCCGGCGCGCCACATTCGGGGGGATGTCACGCCAGTGTCACATCGCGTGTCATGGGTACGTGCACGGATCACGAGAACCGGTCTCCCGGATAGTCTGGTTCGAACCTGGGTGCGACAGACCTGCTGGCGATGGCGAGGGTCGCCCTATCTTCTTGATTCGGATAGGACTGCGCTCAGAAATTGCTGGGATTGTTGCGTGTATCATCATGTCACCAATTCCTTCCCCCAGGCTATGATGTGTGCTGTACATTTGTTAGACCCTGATTATCGCAGGAGTCGCAGCAAAGCCTCAAGACACTTTTGTGACTCCGTCTGTCCCGAGTTGCTGTGAGTGCACTGAGTTCCGCGCAAAACCATGGAGTTCGTCTTTGGCCGATTGAGGGGGATTCCCACAGAACTCAAGTACAATGCGATCAAAAGTGATCGTTGATTCCCTTTTTTGGATGCGCACTGCTGTTTGGGACTATAATGCAACAAGCACTACTCTAGAGCTAATCATCTCCTCGGTAGTATATCGGCTAGTACACCCGCCTGTCAATCAGGCGGACGCGGGAGAGCGGGGTTCGACTCCCCGCCGAGGAGAGCGTTTTTTGTCCACGCATTCATCACCAGCATAACCGACGACATTGCCTTTCGACGAGTGAACTTCGTATGTCAAGCATGCTTGAGGTAGATGCGATAGCAGTCGACGTGTGAAGTGGCGGATATAAGTGAGTGAAATCAAGCGGATCTGGTAGGCTGGCAGGTGAGAGGTGTCGTAATAGGTTTGCCTCGCAAGCCTTGAAGCCTCCGTCTTCGTTCGATGATGAATTGCACGCTGACATATCACAATTATAGACATTGCAACCGGCGCCGCTCATCATAGACCTTTCTACCCAATCAAATGGGCCCCCTTCCCCTGTTCTTATATCCCACTGCGCGTCATTTTAGAACGTGTGGGACGAACCATCGAGCGATATATGATGCGACGCATGCATACCATCGCGAGAAGGGTGCCGCGCGGTGCTGCACCTAGTTAGAAAGACGCGCACAAGGAAGGACGCGGCCGCGGCGGGGCCACAACGGAGTCGGCGAGATGCATGCGCATGCTTTGCTGGATCGACGAGATCGAGTTGAGCGTATCTGGGATTGCTCGAATTTCCCTCCAATTGAGGCTGACGCATAGGATTTGGAGGATGAGGTAGCAGTGCGAGAAGGAGATTGGTCCAATGCCGCACGCGCACCTCTCACGCTTCGAGGATTCGTATCCCTCGGTACGCTACACCGCTGTCGAGGAGAAGGTGTCGAAGCTGTTCGAGCGGGGATCGATGGCCCTGCAAAGGACGGACGAAGACTGGGAGCTGGTCGAGACTTGTTGTTACGCTGCTGTGCGATACCTTCCCTCGTCGTTTGCATGCTATCACTCACGTCTTCGCAGTGTCCGGCGTTTCATGACCATCTGTACGCGCCTGCGGATGTGGAAAGAGCTTGTACTGCTCTCGCGACTGTCAACGAGCGCACTGGAACGAAGGTCAACACCACCATAACTGCCCCAGTATTGATCCTCAGGCCTACGATACGCGCCAGTTTTTCAACCGCTCTCCTGTTCAGTGCTCACCTCCCTCAGCAGGATCTTCCACTGCCCGCGAAGTTGTACTTCTCGTTGCGACCGTCCGCGCCCGCCTTGAAGAGCACTACCCAAACCTCCGCGAAGGCCTCGCCGACCCAGATGCGCCCTTTTGCTTCACCCTCAACCTCTGCAGCGCGACCTCCGATACCGCGCACCTTCTCTCGCCAATGGGGATGGAAGAGCACGAGCTGAAAAAGCTGGTCCGGACGACGGTCGTCGTGGACGTGCTTTTTTACCACAACGACGCGCCGCGGTATAGGCGGATCCAGGTCATGCCGGAGGGGTGGGCTGGGCACATTCGTGCGATTCATCGGCCGCTAACGCAAGCTGCCTTCGGTGAGTGCTACTTCTACTTGTTCATCATCGGCAAAGCTCATATGTGGGGGAAGCGACGACGCTCGCGAAGACGCCACCCGCGCTGCTGGATCTTACGAAGCGGGAACGGCTCTTTAGCCGTAAATGCGAAGCGGTGAAGCTCGTACCGTTGCTGTGGAAATGATGGTGTGCCACGACGTAGCAAATATCTTGTGCCTTTTCTGTCGACACTCCGTGCGGTTCTCATGTTGCTAAATCCAGATGTCGGATTTGGTCGAACGTATCCGAAGTTCAACATGCGCTCACGTGAGTGCAACGTGACGCGCCCGTCGCGCCCTCCGCTGACGGACCGGGCCGGATTTGTTGCCTCCTCCGGTTGCTCGAGACTCAAGTCGGCTCTCATTGCATCCAGACGCTCTCACCGGGACTCGCGCTTTCTTGTGAATCACCTTGAACAGTGTATGTGTCGTCCGAATCCTCAGCGTACACGCTGATAGGAGCCGTGAACAAGGCATTTAAGTCTTTAGCGGCCCCTTCCCCCTCATTCTATCCAGAAGGTCTGCCGTCTTATTTTCGTCATGGCACTCTTGCTGACCTGGCCTTCCTATCTCTCTGATCAGTTACCTTTGCTGGCAGTGAACAATGGCAGAATTAAGGGTACCGATGCTGGATCATCATCAAGGGCCCCTTCAAGGTTCGCATGCATGTCACATTCTTCGACGTCTTTCTGAATGCCCGTGACCGCGCTTTTTGCGCGTTTCGGACCCAGTCCTACGGCAGCCCTTCTCCTTTTGGCCCACAATCGGCCTTCCCCTTCCGGCGCATCATTGCTCTCTGCAGTCAGGCCCGCTCTCCTGCCGGAGCCGTGCTAGGCAGTTCCCTCGATCCCCGAGACTGTTTCTAGCACGCTCCGATGAGGTCTCTCCCGCTGCCCTTGTCATACCCTTCTGCATCCCCCGACGTTCCTCAGCCCCGACGCGCCACTCTTCTCCGCTCAAAGCCCCCGTCCCCTTCCCCGCCGCCGCCTGCTGCGCCTCTATTCACCGCTCCCCGCCCCCATTGACCGCCCCTCGCCGCCGTCCGCCGCGGCGAACCGCCTCTCACGCTCCGCCAGTCCACGTCCGGGCGCAGTTGGCGTCCCGGGCGGACCTGTGGGATCAGTGGGCGTCGGGCCGCGTGCATCACTCTCCCCACCATCCCGCGGGCACATACCCGTCAATTCGCCCACCCGGTCGCGCGAAAATTCCCATTCCCCCTCTGCACCCAAGGGGCGATTGTGCGCGGTAGTCAAGGCGGGGATGACGGGAGTCAAGGCTGGGGCGACGGGAATGTATTCGCTGCGCGCCCTGGGAAGATGGAAGCCGGGGTCACATAATCATTTGACAGATAGCGCGCGATAAAGGGTGCGTCTGCGCTAGAGCGAGTGACTCCTTGGCTTTGGCCGTCATCGTTGGCTGTATTCCCTCGTTCTGCCTGCGCGATTATTGCTCTACGTCCCCTGCGTTCGTCTGGATCTCGCTTTGAGGCGTCTCTGTTGCTTGCGCGACGTTCACGAAATTTCTTGAGATCATACGTGACTGGTCGAAAGATGGCGGAGAAAGCTGGTGAGTCAGCGCGATTATTGAATTTCGGTCTCGTGCGGAACGCTTACGCGGCCTGCAGGGGAGAAGGTGGCAGGTATGTCGTTCAACACGACCGCGAAAATTCCCGCTCCCTCACACGACAATCAGCTGCAGCGACGGCGACTGGGGACGCTCCAGCCGAGCCGGCGCCACCTGTGAAGCGCGGTAGAGGGCGGCCCAAGGGCAGCAAGAATAAGCCCAAGGACCCTAACGCGGAGCCTCCCGTAAAGGTGCCAAAGAAGCGCGGCCGTCCGGTGCGTCTATCGCTTGAGCTTTGCTTCTCATTCTGCTTTCGCCACAATGTCTGTTGCGCTTGCTTTTCCTGATTGTCGTTATATCCTTCCCTCTTCGCCAGGCTTTTTCTTCGAAGATTATGATCATTAATCTACCCTTCTTCAGCCCAAAGCCAGACCCGCTGAAGAGGAAGGCAAAGCAGAAGGTGCCTCAGCCGACGCGTCAACCGAACCTCCTCCAGCCAAACGACCGCGCGGAAGACCCCGCAAGAATGCACAGTAGCGTCTCGGGACAACTCTCCCCAAACGACAATTTCCTGAACACTATCTTCCAAGCTGGATATAGGACATGTTGTACTTGTATGAGGGCGCGTAACTGTGGCGCGTTGTAGGCGGGCATGAGGTGTCGTAGGCGGACATACATCGCCAGCTGGACTTCTATAACGCGGGTTGATGTATGCCGCTAGTCGCTTATATGCGAGGCTGGTCCCTGGTCCTATTCGCGATGCTATGCGATCTTAGTCTCGTGCTCCTTTGGACTGTGTTTCTGCATACAAAAAGCACACAAACCTGCGGGATATTGAGCTCGGGGTGAGGGACGCGGAACCCCGCGGCGGCGTGCAAATCCGCGGAGAATCCACGTGACCGCGACCGCTCTTGGTCCTGACTTCCATGTCGATCTCCTGTACTTCTCCTCGTCCTCCCTCACTGAATCTCTCCGCTCGCGAGGTGGCGCTCGATGGAAATTTGCAAGAGTCCCCTCCTGACATGATGAATGTCGATATCGGCTAGAGGAAGGGTCACCACTTCTTGGGCGCTTATTCGATCGCGCATCCTGCCGCGTACGATGGAAAGGATCTGGAGGTCTGGAGGTGCTTCAGTAAGGACAGAGGTAGGACAGGCAGCTGCTTGGATACTGTGAGCACTCTTTCTCTAGTCCTGATGTAGCTGAACTTGATGGAGCAGAAATGTTGGTCTGATCGACAATAGGCGCCGAAGAAGTCAAGCATACAAGCAGCAGAGGCAACCGCGCCCTTAGCCTTCCTGATTCCTTAGACGGTCTATTACATAGGTACGTACACTGCTCAGTCATTGGTCGTGGTCCTGAACGCCGTATAGACACACCTGAGGCGCATATATTCACCTTGTTGAACCTCGCCACCGCCTTTGCCTTATGCACACCTCCGATATGGCCAGTACCTCCCACGTACGTCTCATTTATTCATTTGGGCACCCCTTCCTGCTCTTGGCATTGTCCTCCATACTGTAGATGCTGACAGCACTTCTGTACAGGGTTTTGGCCGTCCCTCGGCTTTTGGCGTGTAGTCACTTGTCACCCACCTGCGACGACCTTACGTCTTCTTTACCCTACCTTGACGCTTCGTGAGCTCCTCCTACCTCGTAGTGGCCTGCTGGTTGACTACCCTCGCCCCCGCATCAACACGAGACCAAGTCGCGAGTCCCACGTGCCTGCAGTTCGACTTCCAGTCGCCGACGTTATCCCAGCTGCGATGCCCAAACTTGGCACCACAGCTACGTTGAACGCCTCCCGCCGCCGACATTCGTGATAGCTCTCTACTTCTGTAAGCCTGTCGCGTTTCTCTTCGTCGAAGTCGAACGCGAGTATTCGACGAAGCTAGGCTCGGAAACCCAGCGAAGTTCACTCGGGACCTCTACGAAGATACATTCGAGGGCTCTTAGGAAGTCGAAGTGGAGGAACGTCGATACCTTCTGCAGGAGAATCCCATGTCTTCTCGACGCAACTTTTCGTTGTTACAAGTCCACGGCTCGACGGTCCCAAACACGCGCCGCCCCGACAGACCGACGGTCCGCCGCCTCGGCCACGTCGGCCAGCAGGCCGCGCTCGTATCGTAACATTGCCTGTCGTCGCACTGCTACGGGGACCGATGACCCGCCTCCTTCCCATTGACCCCCTCGCTGCAAGCTGGTGACTGGCGATGCGACACACTCAAGTACGTACAGGTCTCCCTGGTCTTACGCGTAGGAATACCCACTCGGAACGCGCGGACGCCCACCAAGCCCCGGGGCTTGGTCAGACGGCTCGCTTACGCTGGAGCGTAGCCGGTGGATGTGCAGACCGCGCCGAGCTGGTCTTTCATTCCGAAGAGCTAGGAGAGCGCCGCGGATGCGTACCCGCCAGATCGTCGACTATGCGGACTGCGGCCAAAGTGTCTCTGGCTCGTGTGCCACCCTCGAAGCTTGTATCTGGAATGAGGTACTCTGGCCCTTCATATCAACGGACGAATAACTTATGCGCTTTTGCAGTGACGACATTCAAGTTTATCATGCCGCTATTGTCTGTTTTCTTATCCCCTTCGAGGGCCTCTACTCCCACCTTGATCGGTATACTGCACTTTACCATCAGAAGGCGAAGGCGGGGGCATATCTGGACTCGCCGGCGCCATCGTCAATTACTTTTCCCTATCGTAGACGAGCTTGCTCGCCCTTCCGGAGGGCGTCGAGTGATTGGCAGCGATCCCCTGATCCGTCCAGCCTCCAACCTGTTTCCTTCCCGGACGATACACGTTCAAAGAGCCAGCGCCTGCTGCGCAAAAGATCTGCGCTCGGACGCCCGCAGACGGCCGCTCTTAGTGCGGCGATGCCCGCATGTCGGCGATCGCCGATGGTTGTCCAGCCGACGTGCCGATCGCCAGTCGCCCGGACCGGCGTCAAATAGGAAGCGGCCCCGGGCAATCTGGTGACGGCGCATTTGCATCTTGCCATCGTCGCTCTCTGATTTTTATGAGCTAGGTCCAGCCCAGCGCCCGACGTCTTCGCGCCTGCTCCCCCCTCCTCCTACCCCTCCGCCATACCTGTTGGCTAAGGATAACGCTTGGAGTGAGTCTCTTTTCTCTTTCCTTTTCCGGGCGCGTGGGGCTGCCAGGGGAGCATGTGCGCGAGTGGTGGGGAGGCGGGGGCGGCCAGGTGGGGACGTATGACGGTCTACACGCTCGGCGGTACGGTAGCAGACAGGAGTCCATTGTCAAGGCGATGGCTACTGCCCAGATCGTCCATCTGTGCGCCCCCGACGATCGCCTTTGCACCTTTGGCGTTTTCTGAATGCTGACGACCCTCCAGAGCTCGCGACCCTTGCCAATCCCCTTCTACCCGCACACGACCGCTTGAGCTCTGCTCGCGAACAAATAACTGCAGGCGTCGATCACCCCCATACCCCTTCATAAACCATGTCCGGCCGCCAGTCCCCCGTCAGCTCCTCGGGCGAATCGTCTGGCCCCCACACACCTATGCTAGACGGCCAGAACAACACCGACGCGAACGGGACGACCGCCCCCGCCTCCGCCCCTGCTACCAACGCCAACGGTACCTCCTCCGCTGCGAATGATCGCCGGCGGGCCGCCCGGCGCAACACGACTGCGGAGAAGCGCGCCTCTCACAACGCGGTGGAGAAAGCCCGGCGGGAGACGCTCAACGGTCGCTTCCTCGAGCTCGCTGCCCTCCTCCCCAACCTCTCGCCCATCCGGCGACCGTCCAAATCGGCGATCGTGAACGGCTCGATCGCGCACGTCCAGGCTGCGCAGCGGCACCGTGCATCTGCCGCCCGAGAACTCCGGCTCCTCAAGCTAGAAACCGATGCGCTCCGACGCGAGCTCAACGAGTGGAGGGTGCGCAAGGGGATTAGCCTAATTGAGGAGCCGCCGCGCTCGGACACGTTCTCGATGGTGCTTGCGGGCGAGATGGAGGTATTGCCAGAGGTTCAGCCAGATGCGGACGAGGTACCGGAAGAGGACTACGAGCAGCACCAGCAAGGGCGTATGTCGGCGGCAGACCCGCGATATATCCAGCAGCAGCAACAGATTGAGCACGCACGACGGTTGGCGATGCTCAAGGCGGGGATGCTCAATGGCAATGAGAATGGGTGCGTCCTCTACTTCTTCCGCCCCTCTAGCAAATCACCTGACCCTTTCTTCGCAGCATGTTCGGCGGCCAGCAGAACGGCTATGATCAGCTCACTCAGCTTCAGCAGCAGCAGCTCGCGCATGAGGTAAGGGCACCTGCACCTTTGACTAAAGCCTTTTGCTCACGCGCCTTCTTCCTGTAGCAGCGCCTCCGCGGCTTTGGCATGAACGACGGCTATGCGCAGAGCCCTAATGGCTACGACCGCCAGTTCTTCGGCGGGAACCCCTCCATGATGCGCTCGCGCTCCGGCTCCGCGTCCGCGCGCCCCGACCTCCCCGCGGGCTTCGACGGCTTCAACGGCCGCGGCGGCGAGGGCTTCGACCGGCAGGGCGCCTTCGACGGACGCGGGCCCGCGGGCTTCGACGGGGGCCGCCCGCGCAGCGGGAGCGGGATGGGCGGGGGCATGCCCGGGTTCGAGCGCCGCGGCTCGTATATGGGCCCGGGCGTAAACGGCATCCACGACGGGAGCCTGGGCGGGATGGCGTCGCGCCAGCAACCGGCGAACGACGGCAGCAGCCTGTACTCGATGATGTGAGGGCGGGTGTGCCCATTGTTGATGTGCGGGATGTGCCCGTTGTTGTAATCGCTAGAACGAGGGGCAGTACTACGATTGTGTCGATACGCCCTCGCGCCCGGCTTGTTGGACCCTTCCCTTTCTGTTGTAACCCCCTCCCCCCATACCCGTCGTGCGGGCTCCTGACGCTGTCCGCCCTTGCTCATGATCCTCTAGCGACACGAATTAGTAGTAAAATATGTATCACTAGGAACTACGTCTATAGATTGTACACCGTCGACATACATACCCTTATTTGTGTCTTTTATCCCATCGGTCAATCGTTCGTCCTGCTCATTGTGGCTCGCCCTTCTTCGCTGGCCTTTCTTGCGAGTGTCTGCATCGATCCCCTAGCTTGTCTAGGGCTCTTGCGCCCTTTAATTGCCGTGGGAATCTTGTCCTGAGTAAACAAGGCCAAATATACTGTGCCAAAGATCGTAGGTTCGAATCCGCCAGCTCGTGGCTTCCTTCCTTACCCCTACTCGGGTACACAACGTCCCTTTCCCCCTTTTAAGCACTCAGATACCCAAACGACGTATACACGCAAGCAGTATTTTCCGTGAGTGAATGACCAGTCATTACATTACTTCAGCATATATATAGCACGCAGTCAATAAAACAGTCCGACGCGCATTGTCGAGCGGCCAAAATCAGCCGTCGCTCAACTTTCTTCCAAGGTCCCAAGGGTGATTGAGCGAGAACTGGTGTCTGTCATCACATGTAATGAACGATGTACGAGGTCAGGAGCGCGCAAACTTCGCGCTCATCATCTGCTGGGGACCGAGCGCAGAACAAATAAAGGTAAGCAAGCGCACTCAACGGCGTTAGCCCGATTCCTTGCGCTGGAACCCGGTCGACTGGAAAGCATGCGGTCGCGGCCCTTGTCAGCTCAATGCCACCCTGCGGCTTCTGATTCGTCTACTGGAAACCATTGTGCTTCGTATGTTTCTGGCTAACATGGTTCGGCATTGACATGCTTCAAGGTCGTCGCTAGGTTCAGTTAAATGGAACATTGAGTCATTAACCATCAAGCCAGCGCCGCAGCGGCGAGCTCCAGGCTCCTTCCTTTTGTCCCCAAGCTCGGCGAAATTTGGCTCACCATTTCAGCAACACACTACAGCACGCTCTCAGAGTCTCAATGGCAAACAATCCGACGCATCAGCTTGGACAAGCTAGGGCGCTGCTGGCGCAGCCAGCGCTTATCGAGTTCCAAGGTATACGGGCCGCTTTCGAAAGCAGTTCATTCGCAGTGTTCTGTACTGGCAGGTCCATGTAGGTCCGCAGCACGTGTCCAGCGCGTGACGTCACATGGCGCGTGTATATATTTGAATTTCTTCCCGTATTCCGCCTCTCTCGTCTGACGCTTTCCTCAGGCTGAGCCAGCATCTACCCCGTGAACGCAATGCCTCACCGCTGCCTCGGTATCCCAGAAGTCCTCCTGATTGTTGCGCAGGAGCTTCGCGCGCAATCGCTACCGTCTGTCCTCAATCTTGCGCTCACGAATTCTGCGATATGCGAGCCATGTCTGGACGTGCTTTGGGAGGAGCAGACGACGCTCATACCGTTCCTGAGGCTCTTTCCGGAATATGAACTGCTGGTTCAGCCGGATAGATTCCCCGGTGTAACGTCAAAGCCTGAGGAAATACATGAGGTGGTGAGTGTACACGCATTCTGAGCCCGACTTGAAAAACGAGCATCGTCCTGACGGTTGCAGCACCTGACAGGACCACCCTCTCGTGATTCCTGGCTCAAAGCGCAGAGGTACGCCCGTCGCGTGCGCTCTATGACGTTCGAGAAGTATGATGGCGGCACATATGGCCGATATCAGCAAAGACCCAGCGGCAACAACAGGGCGGAGGAGGTCGAGAACGAGGATCAGGAACAGGCAGAGGAACAGGCAGAGGAAGACGACGAAAGCGACGCGGACGAGCCTATAGTCCTGCGAGAGGCGGTTGATATAGACCAGCAGAGCCTCAAACTTCTCTTGCAGTGCGCCGAAGGGGAGCCTCTGTTCCCGTACCTGCGCATCCTCAACTGCACTGAGCCATCATCTATGGAGCCCAGCTTCTTCCTCGACCTGCCGAACCTTTTCGTCCCCAGTCTTCGCGAGCTGCTTCTCGCACTGGGCCAGAACGACGTGGACGAGGATGTGGCGATGATCAGGGCCCTTCCGGCAGCCTGCCCTGATCTCACCATGCTCCTCATAAATTGTGGCGGACCGTTGAGCGAAGAGACGTCGGAGGCACTGCGCGAGGCAATCCTGCAGTGGGGGTCTTTGAACGCCGTCCGCCTGCCGGACACGCGCGCGTCTACCCTCGCCCATCTCGGCCAATGTGAGGCATTCGAGAGTGTAGACTTGGCCGTGCGCGAACACATCCTACTGGATGGAAACCCCGAGCCCGTCGCGTTCGGAGCGACCGTGGACTGGTTCGCCATAGAAGCCCACAATCCCACCTTCGTTGAGAGAGCATTGAGGATGATCTCAGGCGCTCGACTCAAGGCGAAGGCCTTCGACGTGCTATTCGACGACGACGCAGAGGCAGGCGGATACGATGTCCGGCTGCGCAACCTCGCCCTCCTCGCAACGATGCTGGAGCCCAGCATGGTCCAGCAGGTTCTATACTACCAAGACACGGACATCGACCCGACATGGGGCCCGCTGCCCTCGTCCTCCCTCGTTCAGTTCACGTCCTACCCGAACCTCACGCACCTCGGGCTCGACTGCTGGATCGACTACACGGACGAGGACCTCGCGACCGTGGCCAAGGGGCTCCCCCTCCTCGAGCTCTTCGTCCTCGACGTGCACGCCCAGGAGCGCGAGGATCTCGAGCGACAAGATCGCGCGACGCTTGCGGGTCTCATCCCCTTCTCGCACTACTGCCGCAAGCTCGAGCGTCTCTGCCTGCGCCTCGACGCGACACACATCCCAGAAATCCCAGACACGCCGGAGGCCACCGCGTCGATCAAGCATGCGGTGCGCACGCACTTCGCGGACTCCGAAGTCGAGGATCCTGCCGCCGTCGCGGCCTTTCTCGCGCGTATCTTCCCGGCTGGGTGCACCATCGCGCGCTACCCGCCCAGTCACGGCATCTATTCCTCGTATGTGGACACTTTTGACGATGATGAGGCATGGGATAAGGAGCGGGTGGGGAACTGGCCCATCGGGCTGTGGTCAGAGGTGTATGACGAGCTGATTGAGCTGCAAGAGTCAACGTAAGGTGCACTACCCCGTTGACGTCTATTCAAATAAGCTCGCTATTCTAATTTATATTCCTTTACACTTGCTACTTACCTAGTGTTAGCGCGCTATTGGTCGTGGGACCAAGCTTTAAGGCCTCGCGACTCGACTGACTCATTAGCAGACAAATTCTCTCGCCTAATCATTCTTTACTTACTTTAACGTCTCTACAGGCGACTATACCTCTTACAGTAGCACCGTCCGTTAATTCTTGCGATGCATTGCGATCAGGAGGATGACATCCGTAAATTGCCACCTTAGCAAGCAACAGACCTCGATAGCGAGGTGTCCTTATCCTTTGTCCGAGCGTCAGACTCTGTTTTCTCATCGAGATGAAAATACACGAGCCTGAGCTACAGTTACCCATGGTAGGTTGAGACTCCGAAGCTAGCGTCTGACGGGCGCCGACCCGGACAGCAACTTCGCTACCCGTTCCCACTTCTGGTTGTATCGCTCCATCTCGTACGAGAGGTCGTAGAACATGACCCTAAGCTCCGATAGCATTACAGTATGCAGCGAAGGGAATGCACTTGATAGGATCGACGCCACGGTATCCGGGTCGCCGATGGGCGAGAAGCAGAGGATCTCGAGGTGCGTGAGCTGCGTCTGCGAAACGTGAAGGGGAGGAAACGAGGGCGCGGTCATGTCGGTCGCTTCGAAGTCGATGGTGAGGTGCCGCAGATGCGGTGTGAAGGTTGCGAAGGCATATAGATCCTGTAGCGTCCACAGCGGCGCTATCGAGTGGCTGTAGGTGCCCTGTATGCACAGCTGCTCGAGCAGCGGCCACGCGCGCGCTAGCCGCTCCGCGCCAATCAGCGGTCCGACTATATCCCCGTACGACCTGAACATAACGAAGGTGAGGTTTGGGAACTCCAGCAAGGGATCCAAATTGCCGATACAGAAGACGGGCGTATCGGGGTCCAGGACATGGCCCTCGAGCGTGACTTTCCTAAGAGCGCGGCGATCGAGGTGATCCCGGATGCTCTCGCACAGAAGGCGGGGAGAGGAGTCGGTGTAGCACTTCATCTCCAGCGTCGTCAGCGGCAGAACGGGCATCGACGCGAGGATGTTATGCACTAGTGACATAGGTCCCTGTACGTCAAGCTCGCGCAGGCTGGAAAACGAGTTCGGCGGCAATTCGAGGATGAAAGAGTCACTGGGAGTGAGGTCAAGGATCTGTAGGCGCCTGAGGCGGGGCAAGCGCGCAAGGCTCGTGACCGAATCAGCGGCAAGTCGAGAAAGTGATAGCATTTCCAGATTAGAAAGCCCATCGAATACGTCTGATGGCAGCCGCGCAGCATGGTTGATTAAGGTGAGAGTGGTGAGGCAGGTAAGATGTGTTTCGATAGCGATGAGGATATCCGCACTGCTCGCGAACTGCGGACGAATCTCGTACTGAAAGCACGGTACAGTCCTTGGAATTATACTGTGGATCATCTTTGCCATGTGAGCCAGTCGCGGATGACCAGTAATGGCCAATTCTCGTAGATTGGGAAGAAGACAAGCGTCGCCGAGAGCCCCAATCACGAGGTCTAGGACTTCCGTTGTCGGATGCGCTGATCTGACATCCTTCGGTCTTTTTATGTCCTCCATGTAGACAGTCAGGTGTGCAGAGGGGACAGTAGTCGGCACGCGAAGATCGGCGCGTATCCGAGTCACTCGGATATCAACTGTGCGCACGAAACTCGCATACAGACGGAGTCTTGCGATGCTTTCCTCATTCGGTTCTTGTTGGAGTGTCTGAAGCAAGATAAATGTTTCTTCTTTCGGCTTGAGAACAATGAAAACATACACAGACGCCAGACGCGTAGTCTGTGGCGGTGGGCAGGCTCAGGAAAAGCGGACCAAGTGATCCCAAGGATCTCCAGAGAATCGATGCGGCCGGATGAAAGAAGTCATGGCACACTTGGGTGAGTGCCGCCAGACAGCCAATTGTGGGACAGTCCTGGAAAATGCGAAGACGCAGCTCCGCAATATTCAAAACAGGATGCATAACCAACTCTAAGCGCGGAAAGGATGAGAAATAGTGTGAAATGCAGACAAGAGGCCTCACCTGTCTCGGGGGAGAAACTGAGGAGCGAAAAAGCCCCTGAGCCACGAGGAGGTCACCGCCGACGTCGTGGTCAGGATTGAAAGCCGTCGCCGTTTGCCGAGCGGCCGCTGTTTGGACACGCGTGGCCTTGCGGTGATGGCCGATTCGCTCGCTGCTCCAGTGACTCTTTCCACGAACCTCCATCGCCGCATCCATCTTCGTTATGGCGACACCAAGGTATCAGACGCTGCAGGAGCTGATTCAACGAATGTCCAAGGAGACATCGCCATCCAGCCGGCAGTCTCTCTCTGAGCAAATCAGAATTTTGGCGACACTCGGCGCGCAAGACCTCCATGTCCTACGACAGAATCCTTTCGACTATCCCCCGACCATTGCTGTGCCACTAGGAGACATCATGACAGACTTAAGCACTATCAACGTCGTTCTCTCGATGTGCAGCCTAGGGGTAGAATCACTCACTGACCTTGCCATCGAGCAGGTCCGAAGCCTCTGGTCCGAGATCGTCATGTGGCTTGACTTCCTTCACCCCGGCAACCTCGTACTCTGCAGAAATGTATCATTGTCCCCCCTTGTCATCGTAGGAACCTCGTCGTGCATGGCAGCCGCTCTCTCCTACATCTTTCGCTGGAAGCATCGCTTCTTGGATTTACTTGGGCAAGCTCCACAATGTTATCGGATTGCCATCGATCTGTGGCTTAGATTCCCCATTTATACTCAGCAATCTGACTTCGACGAGAATACATACACAACGTATGATCTCCTCGCGGAAACCTTGCCCACTGTGTTCGCAATCAACGGCGAGCCTCCGTCTGTGGTGGACTTCATCGCGAAAGAGGAGGCAATGGCTGTTGTCGGGCATCGAGCGGGGCGTCTTCACAGGAAGGCGATGATCTGCCTGAAGCTCTGCGCGCAAAGCAGGTATGCCGAGGCTGCGTCGATGACGTCGAACCAGATATCCGCCATGCGTTTCCTCGTGAAACATGTCCTCCCCATGCCCTGCTTTCCGCGCGACTTCGTGCGCGACATCGTTCACATCACCCGCCTTCTGCAGGGGCAGAACCAGATTGACAACGCAGTCGCCGGCTGTCGGTTGCTTGAGGACGTCTGGGAGAAGGCCGCCGACGACCGGTCCATCATCTGGGCGATTAACGCGGGGATTATGCCTGTGCTCATCGCCGTGAACCGCGAGGGATATCTCACGCCAACGATGAAGATCGTCGTGAAGCGAACTGTTTTTCTCCCCGTCGCTCGCGCGCTGGCCAAAAAACATCCGGAAGGACTGGAGCTTAGGAACGGGGGCATGCAACCGGACCTGGCCGTCCCAATGCACGAGGAGCTGGCGGACCGAATGAATATCGCTAAGGATTATATGGCATCTGCGCCAATAGCAAGGTACGTCACACGAGCTTCCCCTCTGCGTCCTCTCTGATGTAGTTTCCGTAGTGTCCTGGAAACCCTACGGGAGATGTCAAGCGCTGCGGATGTTTCCAAGTTGCATATTGCTCGATTGTGTGCCAAGTTGTAGACCGTCCACGGCACAGTAGACTAGGTCTAGAGAGGGCCAGCGCTTCGCGTGGCGTGCGGTGGGGTAGTCTAAACGGGGGGGTTTTCTCGATAAATTTTGTTTGAGTGGACTGTAGTGGAACAAGAGTGGTATGTTGTTTCTCAAATAGGTTAACCCATGATCACCGGTCCATGTGGAATTCGGGTTTCGGCAATCGCCGCACGCGCACGTGATCAGCGCATTATATACCGCATTTTGTAGTTTTTACCTCATCCGTTTGTCCTCGTACAACCACGTAGGACAACCGGAATACATTCTATCCTGTGGAACTCATTGGCGACTACGACTACAACAACACAAACGGATCCTAGCCAGTCCAGCCGGCTAGTAAAAGATAGGGCTGAAGAAGGCCGTGCTCACTATCGCGATGTGAGCCGCCTTGTCGTCATCAACGAGTTCCCGACTCGCTGTTCCCAAAGACGCTTGACGAAGCGCACGGATGCCGGCATTGATCTAGTGCGATGATCACCGGCCAGCTGCCTATGGAGGCGAGCTGATGATGCTGAAGCTGATCGATGATCACCAGCAAGCGGCTCAACGGAGCGCGCTACCGACGCCGACGCTGATCTATTGCGACGATCACCGGCGATCGAGACGATCTGGACGAGCCAGATGCGACGAGAGTGGAGCCGATACGCAATCGGCAGAGATCCACCACTTCCCACCGACGAGGAAGACGATGAAGACGAGAACCTGCTGTCCTCCGGCGACAGCACACCCTCCCATCCATCCATCGCGCACCACCTACCCTCTATCGACGCCGAGTCAAAGCGCACGCACGGCGGAGCCTCGTGCATGGTCGTTTGCGCAGATTATTGGTCGCGCCGACGGAGCGGCGGAGAGCACGAGACGTGGCGGGAGTCCCGAGACCCAGTAGCTGAGTGAAGGCTGTTGGCGATCACCCCGACGAGACGAGACGTGACGACGAAGAAAATTTTCGGATGCCCAACGCTGCCGACGCCGACGACGATCACCACCTTCCTTTTTGGGCGATTTCGACGACGCGTCGTTCTCTGGGCCCAATTTGGTAATCGCGACGTGTCGCTGCTGCCGAACGATAATTGCAGGTTTGTTTGGATTCTGGGGGTGCATTCTACTCACAATATGGTACCTACACTCTACTATACCTCGTGCGACGTGCAGCGCTTGTGGGGGTGTGTGGAATTTGGGTTTCGGCAATCGCCGCACGCGCACGTGATCAGCGCATTATATACCGCATTTTACGAGACCTGCTTGTCAGGTTTCGTTTTAGTATGGTGAAAGCGTCCACCTGATGGTAATCACTCGCCTTACCCCATTGGGATTTTCGCGCTTTTTCTCCACTTCAACGTCTGATTTGGGCTTCGGGAAAAATTGTGCACTTTCCTCTGCTTTCGTGCTACTATCTTGACGAAAACTGGGTACGGGTAGCATTGGATGCTACCTACGCGTCGTCTTCTTCAGCACGTGGCGGTTGGGTCTAAGCACACTTTGATGGCGAAAACTCGACACGCTCTTAAATCGCGTGTACCTCACTGCTCAAATTTTTCCTCATCTTCATACTCGGGATGCGGGAACTGTGTACGCCCGCGTGGGATCACCCGCGGCGCTAGCTAGTGAACGCTAAGTGGTCGCTTCTTGGCGAGAGTTGAACGCCGGCTCAGTGGTAACCACTTCACCCACGTTCGGCGGCTCGCGGTATCCGCTACACCAACCTCTCTCGTCAAGCGCGAGCCTCTCTGGGCGAGCGCGGGACGATTCGGGTTGAAGGCAGGAAGTAAGTAATATTCATCGTAAGCGAGTCGGCTAGGTACAGGAGCGGCGCACGTCGGAGTACATAACGAGCACGTGCGGCGCGGTTGATCTACGTTAGCCTAAAGTGGTAATACAGATTGGAAAAAAGAAAAGTAGGCCGGCTGATGGTAGGCAAGGAGGTAAGAGGAGAGCGGGAAGAGTACCCGACCTGTCCTAGAGTTCCCACAAAGCCCCCCACTCTGAGCGCGCTTCGATGCAATGTCTACTCCTTGAGCAAGAAGCGTGGCTCGAGCGTGTCGAGCAAGGTTCCAACGCGGCGGCAGGCGCCCGTCTCCAGACCGTGGATCTCCCGCAGGTACTGGGCCCAGGCGAGAGCGCTGCGGATAGACAGCTTGTTGCGATAGAGGTGATAGAGCTTCTTGTGCCGCACGACGCGGACGCGGTCGTGCGAGAAGTACTTGATCCAGTCGCTGTCCGTCTTCGGTTCCGCCGTCCCGTTCTTGATAGAGATGAGAATGGAGAGGCACATCTCCTCGTCGAACTCCGTCCACTCGCCGTACCAGTCTCGATCCTCGCCGAACCAGACGCGATGAGGCGGGAAGTAGGAGCGCGTACTCGCGTTGTGATCGCCCTTGGCGGGGCAGTAAGCCCTCCCGAGGATGAAGTCGCGCTCGGCCTTCGAGGCGTAGTCGTAGTAGGTGGTAACGCCGTCGCCCGGGTACGCTCGCTTGCCCTTCTGCAGCTGGGTGGTCTCCTCGCAGGGACCCTGACCGATACGATCGACTACGTCGTCCCACATGAGTCTGCGGACGACGAAGTTGGCGGCTCCTCCGAGGAATATGAAGCAGCCCGCATGGGGCTTGGTGGCCAGCATCTTGAGCCCGTGCAGGTAGTCCTTCGCGAGTACATCGTACTTCTCGTCGACCAGCGTGAGTTGAGGAACGTTGTGACCATGCGTTGTCTTGAGCGCGTCCGGGGGAGCTTCCCGAGGGAACATCGAGACTGGGAAGCAGATGCGCATCGGCCGTGCCGTCGCCAAGACTCGGTTCAGCAGGCTCGTTATGCGAGAGTGCGCCTTCTCGTCGGCCCCCCATGCCCAAAGGCGCACCTCGTCCTCCGGATGGTCGACGCCAATGTAGGCGTGGCGTAGGACCGGCTGTGCCCAGCGGATGGACTCGATTTGCTTGCGCACATCAGGCACGCATTCGACGGGCGAAGATTTTCCTCGTAGAGCAGCGAGCTCAAGCTCGAGTTGGCGTAGATTCAGCTTCCAGTCCGACGAGTTGAACCGCGTCACCTTCGTGCTTCGGCTCGCCGGGTTGGGGACAGTTACAATCCCCTCCCCGTCAGGCTCGATCGGCCTGAGCGCGGCGAGGAGGCTGCCGGTTCGCGCGGAGGAGGAAGAGGACGGAGCACCGATAGGGAAGGAAGTCCTCACCCGAGGAGGAGGAGAAGCACTGCGACGGCGCGAGGAAGGTCCCGGGTCCCTCGAGGGCGAGCGAGCGCGGGAACGCGGAGCGCGACGCGGGGACTCTCCCTGTCGGGGAAGCGGGGCGCGAAGGCGGTCCCCCGGGTCCGACGGAGGGTCCAGCGAGGCCAACCAACCCCCAGGCGTCCAGGCTCCGGCGGGGTCCGCCTCCCAGTCCATAGCGTCTTCGGGCGCCGTCTCCACCCGCTGTCCCATGCGCGAGGCGAGAGGCTCCGCGGGGGGCGCAACTGAAGGCGTGCGCGAGGGAGACGCGCCCGCCGGCGGCCCCAAACGCGCTGCGAGGGGTCCTCCCACCGGCATAGGAGCGGGCACAGGCGAGGAGAGGCGTTGAGCTAGAGGCAGCTTCGAGCGCGAGCTGGCTGGAAGGGTCTTTTCCTTGAGTCCCTCGGAAAGGCGCTCGTGCGCGCGATGAGAAGCGTGCGCTTCCTGAGAGTCCCGGGCCTGAGGGCGCTCCGAAGCTTGGATGAGATTAGGCAGACGCGCTTCCAGTCGCTCACGTTCTCCCGCGAGGCGCATCTCTTCTGGGGTCGGCGCGCACGAGATCTTCTTGAGCTCCCGGCAGTTGACTTCCCCGCATCCTCGCAGGATGGGAGGGAGGCCGTAGAAGTCAATGCGATCCTTGAGGCGCACATCTTGGAAGATGGTCGACCCGGTCCAGCCGTTGATCCAGACAGGAGGAGGGCCTTCCTCTTGCTCGTAGTACTGCGGCACGCCCGCGTCACAGTCGCGGTCCAGGGCTCGACGTACGATCCCTAAGTTCTCCACGCGGTGCGGGTACCAGAGTTCGTGCGCCCGCATGTAGTACGGCCTATCCTCGACGTTCTTGGAGGCCACAGTCGTCAAGGGGGCGCCCTGCTCGTCGAGGTATCGGTTGGTGAGGCAGACGAACTGCCAGTCGTCGTGGTCCTGCATGAACTCGTCCCAGGTCGGTTGTCGGTCGAGGCGACGAGAGACGCGCCGATGATGCTTAAGATACGCGGGGTTGAGCTGGATGAAGCGTTGCTGCCGCTCCGCCTCCTCCGTCCAAACGTAATGGATAGGCACCTTGTTCGCGCACAGCCAAGGAAGGTCCATGGAAGGCCAGTCCAGGACCGGGTCGCAAAAGTATCCGCGGCATTCGCGATCGCGGAGGCGAAGTCTCTTGATGAAGGATGCCACCTCCTCGGGTACCAGCTTCTCCCACTCGGGCACACAGGTCATAAACCAGCGCAGGAAGCCCATGTTCACGATGACCTCGTTAGCTAACGCGGCGAGGTACTTGCGACCATTCGCCTCCGAGTCGAAGTCCACGTTCTCGAGGGATTCTTCGGTGTAGGTCGAAGGGTGGCAGGGTATAACTCGCCCGTGGACGTGGCGTTCGAAGATGGAGGGGAGTACTCCGACGATTTGGAAGCACGAGGCGGCAATGCGAGGGGCGACCAAATTAGCCTGCGTCTTCCAGTTCTGATTGACAATGAAGTGGCCGTCCGCGGGAACGATCGCACCATCGGGCACGCCGGGGAGGAGCCAGCCCACCGGGTCCTCACCTACGCAGAGTGCCGTAGTGGGGGAGAAGCCGGCCCAGGGGCGTTCGCCATTGTTCCAGGCGGCGATGAGCAGAGCGATCTCGTCCGTGGTGAGGGAGAAGCGACTAGCCAGATCGATCTGCTCGATGTCGGCGGGTGGCGGTCCCCCATACGAAGTCCACTCGTTGTCGTTCAGCCCCGTCGTGAAGCGGAGAGAGCGATTGACGTCGTAGATGGGAATGTAGCATTCGAGGAGGTCCATGGTGAGGGGAATCGGCTTGAACGGTAACCGTGTCGCGCCGATGTTCACTAGAGCGTTTGGACGGTAACCGTTCCGCGCGCAAAAGTGCTGAGAATGAGGGGGGAAAGGAAGGAAAGCCTTAGCGCAGCCATCGAAGCAGGATAAATAAGCGAAGAAGTCGTGTAGTACATGCGGGAGGCAGGCGGCGCGTAAGGGCGGCCCGCGACCCGATCTAATCAATACATTATTTACTCTCGGCGCCTTCCGAACTGAACCGTTAGCGTGACACATCACAGCCCGTGTTCCAGCTTGTACTCGGCGACACGTTCCGGCGCATTGCGCAAATCCTGCTCGGTCTGCCAGGTATCGTGTTCCCAGCCGTAGCCTACCCACCTGACCTTGAGCTTCAGTAGGGTGCCCTTTCGCAGCCATTTATGGCCGACTATTTTTTGGACGTGATATTCTTCCGATGGGATCTTGCGCGTGCGAGTGGCGGGAAGCTTGACTCGCCTATCCTCCATCTCCGTCTTGCCCTTTCGATAAGGTTTCAGATGCTCGATATTGAAAATCGGCATTCCCGGGTAAGTGTCGTCCATTTTGAGGCGGTAGACGTTCGGGTTGATTTTCATCACGATCTCGAAGGGACCGATCCAGCGCTGGGTGAGCTTAGCCTTGCCCTTTGACTCTACCCACTCCATAGAATGCGGATTAACCAGGACCAGGTCGCCTTGCTTGAACTCAGGAGGAGGGCGTCGGCCCTTATTGTACGTCCTCGCTTGCTCCTCCTGTGCCGCGGCCATCGCGTCTCTGGCGGCTTCGCGTCGCACGCGCAAGTCTTCGAAGAAGGTCTTCGTGTCGGCTAGGCGTGAGGCGCCGTCCTTCCCCGCAGCGTTCGCATTTGCGCGGTCCAACATCGATTGGGGCTGATAACCCATCAGCAGCATGAACGGGGACTCGCCGGTGGAGCGGTGGACCGAGGAATTGTATACGAATTCCATCATGAAGAGGTAGGATGCCCAGGAACTCGGGTCCGCCGTCGTGTATGACCTCAGCATTGTTTCCAGGAAGCGGTTGACTACTTCAGTTTGCCCGTCCATCTGCGCGTGATGAGCTGACGACATCAACAGTCTCGACTTCATCTCGCTCGCCACGTCTTGCCAGAAGTCGGAGGTCCACCTCGGGTCTTTGTCCGACACGATACTCGCTGGCAGTCCATGCTTCGCAACGATCTCCTGTACGAAGAGCTTCGCCGTCTTTTTCCTATCGATTGACGTGGTCGTAGGGATGAAATGCGCGTGTTTGGTTAGGCGGTCAACCACCACGAAGATGGCGTTATAGCCGTCCGACATCGGTAAGTCCATGATGAAGTCCATAGAGATCGATTCGTACGGTGCTTGAGGAATCGGGTTGGGAATGAGCGTCCCGTATTTCTTGAAGACCGCGTACTTATTCTTCTGGCAGGCATCGCACGTCGCGCAGAACTCTTTGACCGACGCTTTCATCCGCTTCCAATAAAACTTGGGATGAAGACGCGCCCACAGCTTTGCCATGCCGGTATGTCCTCCCTCCATGGGTTCTTCATGCGCGCTTATCAGGATGTCTCCTACCAGCTTGTCCGGGACGCATAGACGAGGGAGGTAGTCGGCGTCGAGGAAGAACAGGAGATCGTCCTCTGAGCGGTAGTAGCGTCGACCCGGTGTCCACCCCGCTGTGACCGTGTCGGCCTCCTCATATCTTCTCCTCCAGTACGGCTCTTTGAGGTATGCTTCCCTAAAGCTCGCCTTCATGTCGGTGCTGAGGTGCGAGAGCAGTGCCGGTGGTCTAGCAAAGGCGGGGGCGTACAGTGGATTGATCGGGGCTTCGAGTAAGTCCCTTTCCTCACTGTCGTCTGACTCAACTGATCCCTCGTCCCCTTCGTCCTTCGCTTCCGGTCCCTTTTCTGACGCTTTTCGCTCGGGCTCCTGCTTCTGGGCGGCTTGCGAACCATCCTCGTCCTGCGCTTGCGGTTGCCTCTGCGCATCCACTAACTCCGCCCCCCGGTTCGCTAGACGGCTAGAACGGCGCACAGCGAACGCGGTTGGTGCATTCTCGACGCATTCAGCCCAGCAGTGACCCGCGAAGGCCTTAGGAGCGGCCGCTCTGGTTGCTAGCTCCTCCTGTAGGGCCGCTACCGCCGAGTCCGTGCGCAGGGCGTCCGAATTAGGGGGCTTGGGAGTGAGGCAGCCGGGTGGGTCTCGTGGAATTCGGCTGAGCGGGTCTACGTTCGAGTGCGTGCGTCCCGCTCTATGAATTATTTCCAGCCCGGGCTGATACGCCGAGAAAATGGCCCCCCAGGATGCCAAGCGTCTGTTGCTGTTTTCATAGGTGCGCGCCCACTGAAGGGCGCTATGGTCGGTCACCAGCAGGATCTGTGCGCCCTCCAGGTAAGGTTGAAACTTTACGAGAGCTTCCTTCGCTGCTAACGCCTCCCTTTCCGTTGTGCTGTAGCGCGCTTCTGCTCCCCGAAAGGTTCGCGACCAATACGCCACAACACGTTCTGCGTGAACTATGGTGTCGTCTAGGGTCGCCCCCCAAGGTCCTGGCGCTGGCACGTCATTGACCTTCTGACTGAGCTTCGACACTAGCAAGGGGACCGGCCTCCCCGCCGCAAAGGCTTCGCTGATTTTCGCATAGATCCTTGTGCCCTTCAGGTCTCCGACCTTGATTGGCTGCACCTGCTGCAGCGCCGATCCTAACGCGTGGCTTGAGGCGTCGGTGTAAAGTCGGTAGGGAAGTCCTTCCATTGGGTGGCCGAGTACCGGAGCGCGCTGAAGTGCCGTCTTAGCTTGAAGAAACGCGTACTCCTCCTCCGCTCCCCAGCGCCACGGCGTGGACTTCTTCAAAAGGGCATGCAGCGGTCCGCATACGTCGGCATAGTAGGGGATGAATGAGTTGAAATACACGAGCATGCCGAGGAAGGTCTGCAGCTCCGAGACGCATGTAGGCCTTTTCATCTCGAGCACCGCCTTCACCTTCTCATAATGCGTTGACAGGCCCAGGCGCGACACCTTATGCCCGAGGAGGATGATGGAATCGTAGAACAGATGACATTTAGTCGGTGAGAGCGTGATGTTCGCCTCTTCGATGGCGCCGAGGACCTTATCCAGGTGCTCAATGTGCTCCTCAAAGGACTTTGAGTAGACGACAATGTCGTCGATATACACGAGGGAGAATAGCCATAGGTAGGGGGCCAATACCGACTGCATGACTCGCTGAAATATCGAAGGGCCATTGCGCAACCCGAAGGGCATGCGTTTGAACTGGAAAAGCCCTCGGTGTGTGCGGAAGGCTGTTTTCTCCACGTCTCGCGGGTCGAGGTGCAGCTGTGTAAATCCCGACAATGCATCGAGGGATGACAAAACCTGGGCACCTGAGAGAGAGGCGAGTATCTCCTGTTGACGCGGTATCGGGAATTCATCCGGAATCGTCATTGCGTTCAGTCGGCGATAATCGACACAGAAGCGTGGTTTTCCATTGCGGTAAGCGATCACCACTGGCGCACTCCAAGGACTTCGCGAGTCCTCGATAACTTCCTGCTCAAACCACTTGCTAAGCTGCTCGTCGATAACTTCCTTCTTGGCGGGGGACGTGCCGTACATGGGGACGGCCACCGGTTGGGCGTCGTCTTTAACCCGTATCTGTGCCATAGCTGGGTGGTCCCCAAGTCGTCCATCCAAAGCAAAAGCTCCTTTCCGGCGCTCGAGCATGGCCCACGCGCGCTCGCGCAGGTGCTCTGGTAGACTGCCAACATCCAAGGTCCGTCTGAAGTCCGCGGAGCTGACTTCTTCGCCTCCCGGCAGCTCGGCGGTCTTAGGACCGCATTGCTCGTGCTCAGCTTCATCAGGGCCGCCCTCGCGTTCTTGTTGGAAAGATTCGTTCCACGCCGCGTAGCTCTCCGCATCCGGCATCGGGAATGAGCGACGGCCTTGACTCCAAGCCTCGTAGTTGACGGCTTCCGGCATGTGGAAGCGTCGCGGAGCTCGAGGGGCCCACTCTGCGCCCTCCTTTGGGGAGCTACCCTTGTCTCTCTCGCGGTCGTCTTTGCTGACTCCCGGTTGATGCATGGCCGCGCCCGCGTTCTTGAGGAAGGTTGCGTGGGAGCAGCGCTGCTGTAAGTCCTGTTCGTCCCTTGGTTTGTCGAAGAACTCGTCCGCTCTTTCTAATATGGCTAACGCTTCCCCCTCTTGAATGACGCGAGGTGTGGTCGACAGGTTGGCGACGGGTAGTCGGGGCTTCGACGAAGAAAGCAGCGTGTTTGGTACGGCAAAGGGTTGCTGCTCCCCGGAGGTGAGCAGGCTTCTCTCGACTATCCAATCGCCCGGCTCGTCAAAGGGACCCGAGACGGGAATGTTGGCAACCGTCTCCGGGCGAAGGACGGTCCTTTTCAGAGCCCGTAGGGTGCGGTCGGACGTCTTGGCTCGCCTGAGCCGCTCCCGCCTAGCGCTCTTGAGGTGATGGCGATGAGCCTTCTTGAGCCAGCTGTGCACGGGCTTCTCCCCCACGTATGCGCGCTCGACCTCGTCATAGTCCGAGGTTCTTTGGGTGCCATGAGCGGTAATGGGCGAAGGATGTTGTCCGAAGGTGAGAGTGGTGCCTTCCTCCAGGCTGCGATTGACTGACAGCTCGTACTTCTGCTGGAAGTCCTCGCCCAGGAGTATAGGAACGGTCATCCCGTCTACCACGTAGAGGTCGGCATCCGCCTCGAGCAATGTTCCGTCATTGGTGCGCATGAGTATCGGCATCTGGACGTAGCCTCTGATTTTGACCGACTTGTCAGTCAGCTGCCACAACCGCATCTTCGCTCCTTGTTTGAGCGGGGGTGGATTTTTCATCGCGTCGTACGTAGCGCCCGACAACAGGGAGAGACTAGCGCAGGAGTCGACTCGTAGGAGGACCCGAACTTCGCCCTCCGACCCTAGGAATCCGAACACGCACAATACGGAGGTTCCTTTACCGTCGAGCGACTTGACATTCTTCCTCGCTATCAGCCTGACTTTGGGCGGCTCGTACGGCTTTGGTTCGGGAAGCTGCTTCCCTTGATCTGGCGGCCTATCCGTAGGCTCCGGCGATGGCTCCGACACGTACACGACGTGAACTGATTCGCTACGCTTTTCCTCCACCACACCACGGCGCGCTGGCGGGGATTCCTCCACTTCGTCTATGTGTTCCAGCACGTGAGGAGAGTCGACCGGCAACATCTCCCCTCGATACCAGTACTCCTCGCCGACCTCTTCGACCGTTACAGCAAAACTCTGGTGGCGGATCTCGTACGCGGGCTGCTGATCCTCCACTTCCTCCTGGGTCTTACGCTCCTCGCTCGCAGGGTCCTGCGAGGTTTCCGAAGCCGCCCTCTCAAAACCCTGCATCATGACGGAGTAGGCTGCATTATACGCTCGCTCCCCCTCCGGGTCCGAATCAACGAGGAAGCCTTCCTTCTTCTGCTGGCTCAGGAACTGCGACCAGTGCGGACAGTCGCGATTCCAGTGCTTCCGGCTGCCGCACGCTCGACACGGACCTGGGGGAGGCTTACGACTGACCACCGAGTCTCGAGGAGGATAGGGATATGACTTAGGAGCGCTGCCCTTCTCGCGCGAGGCCGCGACGTTGTAAGCGACTGCAAACAGTTCGTCCGTCATGTCGGTACTCAAGCCTTCCACAGTGTCGGGGCTAGCCCGCGAATCATCCGAGGTAGTCAAGTCTCCTAGGGGCTCTACCTCGGCCTCGTAAGCGACCGGTCCCCGTGATTGTAACGGGCGTCTACGCTGGTCCGGCGCCAGCCGCCCCCATTCCCTCAGAATGGAAGTGACCTGAGCTCGGACGTCTTGGTTAGCGGAGGCGGTCGAAGTGGCAAGAGACTTTTCGTGTTGGATAACCCTCGCCTTGAGCTCGTCAGTCGAGGAGATGGTCGAAGGTATGAGCTTCGTATCCCAATCCGCGGGGGCTACACTCAAAATGAGCTTGACCTCTTCGACAGAATTCTCTACCGCAAAACCAAGCGACCGAGCGTCCAGTATACGGCGGTTCACAAAGGCCGAAGGGAGCTCGTGCCGGTGCTTAGGCTCACGGAAGGACTGGAGCTGGAATTCGACGGCCATGTCCTTCATCCACTGGGGTCCTAGGTACTGTTGTTTGATCACGTCGATGAAGTTGTACGCGTCTAACTTCATGAACCTTTTGATATCTTCAGACAGCGTCAAGTACCACTGGAAGATGGGGGAACCCTTCTCAAAGCGCATCCAAGCCCAGTGAGCGACCGCCTGACGTAAGTTGCCGCCACTGTTTGCCACTTCAAAGAAAGGCCATACATAGCTGACTACAGTACGTCGGTCTCCATCCCAGGAGGGTATCACGTCCATCTTGAGGCTCGTCTGAATCGTAGGTCCACTTTTCCCTCCGCTCGCCGCTGCCGGGTCCAGGATGTAAGGCGGTCCTCCGCCTGGCGGGCCGCCACCGCCGCCCCCCGATCCCGAGCGCGGGGGAAAAGGCGGCGGCACTCCCGGTGTCGGAGGCGGAGGAGCAGAAGGCGTGCCCGGCGGCAGCGCAGTGGAGCCCGCGCCTGGTCCCGACGGAGGGTAAGGGGGCCCTCCTCGTCCATTGCCACTTCCTCCCGCATTACTGGGCGTGTAGAGCGCACCCCAGTCTGGAGTCGGAGGCGGTGGAAGACCTTTGTCCTTCCGGCTAGCATAAGGAGTAGGCACGCGCGACGAGATCGAGTCGGCCGCATTTTGAAGAGTACTCTGATCCGGGTACGTGGAGTGATGGTACGCGCTGCGCGAGTTGGATGCCGAGGAAGCTGAACGCATGCGCCCTAGCCCCCAAAATTCTTGGCCTGGAGGAAGCGTGGCGCCCGAGGAGAAGATGCCGAAGGCAGACGCGGATGACTCTGCCGCCGTTTCGTCCGGGGGAGGACGATAGCGCCAGTTGTCGGGGGAGGAGAAGCGCGCCCTTCCTCGACTAACGCTACGGCTGGGACCCGGCACCGACGGATCGTCCTCGCGAGGAGGCGGCACTTTGTGCCCGCGGGAAGTCTTCAGGCCTTTTCCCAGCTCGGCAGGCAACACTGACGCCAGCGGGTCAGGGTTTCCGTACGTCGTCTGGGGCGCACGTTCCTTGCGCTTACCGTCCTCGTAGTACACGAGTTTAGGCGAACGCTCTGGTTCCCGGTCAGGAAAGGCGCGCAGGAGGGGAGAAGGGACCTGTACGACGTCGGGCAGATTCACTCCTAGGAAGCGAGGGCGATCTTCCTTCGCAGGAACAGCGGGAGGCGCGTTTTTATCTTGAGCTGAGCGGGCTGATGCTTTCATAGAGGGCACCGCTCCGAGGAGGTACTTGAGGCGGAGCTCGTTGTCCTCAAAGTTCCGCATCTCGCCGTAGACGGAGCGCGGCGTGGAGAGAGGCGACAAGAGGATCGGACCCCTCTTCTCCAGCTTTGCCTCGATGCGCTCGCGGTACTTGCGATGGACGCTGAGACCCGCGGCGGCACGGTTATGCATCATACCCCAGGCCATGTGCAGCGCTACGATCGAACGCGCCTCCGTGAGCCCCTTGAAGAGAGTGCCGCCCGGGTCGAACTGCCAGCCTTTCGCGGGGTTCTCGTCGTCCTCTTGCAGGGCTGTGTAAAGTAAGTCCATCACAGCTTGCGTGCTACTCACCACATCCTCCAGGAAGGTGGTGAAGTCGATGTTGAGAGAGAAGCGCGCTCGCGACGAGCTGTAGGTCACCCCTCGGTCGACAACGCGGTTGGGCGAGAGGTTGGTCTCGCTGATGAGTGCACCTAAGCGCTTACGAAGCGTGTTGAGAGGAGTCGGGAGAGTAGGGTCTTCGCCGTACATGCCCCTCTCCGCGTTGTCTAGAGCGGCGCGCATGCGCGCTACTTCAGCCTCCTCAGCCATCTCCTCGGTTGAGCCCTTCCTCTTCGGTAGGGGCGAGGACGAGGGGCCGGCTGCGAGGCTGGAGTTGGCGCCCGTCCCCGATTGCCCGGTTGGCGAGGAGAACATGTGCGAGATAGAAGTAGGGGAGTTCGGCGAAAAGGGTGATTTGAGGCGCTCGGGGGAGCGGTGAGGGGTAGAACGGATCGAGTCGTCTGATCGTAAGAGGTGGTCTTGTACTTCGCTAGCTGATGATGATCGACGCGAAGCTTTCGTCGAGTTCGACAGTTGAGAGTGATGAGATTTGAGAGCGGCGAGCGAGCTAGGCTCGCTACGTCCCGGGGAACTGCCGCGGGATCCCACAGTGTCCACTTTGCGGGAACTGTGTACGCCCGCGTGGGATCACCCGCGGCGCTAGCTAGTGAACGCTAAGTGGTCGCTTCTTGGCGAGAGTTGAACGCCGGCTCAGTGGTAACCACTTCACCCACGTTCGGCGGCTCGCGGTATCCGCTACACCAACCTCTCTCGTCAAGCGCGAGCCTCTCTGGGCGAGCGCGGGACGATTCGGGTTGAAGGCAGGAAGTAAGTAATATTCATCGTAAGCGAGTCGGCTAGGTACAGGAGCGGCGCACGTCGGAGTACATAACGAGCACGTGCGGCGCGGTTGATCTACGTTAGCCTAAAGTGGTAATACAGATTGGAAAAAAGAAAAGTAGGCCGGCTGATGGTAGGCAAGGAGGTAAGAGGAGAGCGGGAAGAGTACCCGACCTGTCCTAGAGTTCCCACACGGGATTCTTGCGTCGGATGCATGGATCTTTACGTCTTCTAAGTCTTGAGTGGTTCCATCGCTTCCCGCGGTATCTATGTTTGCTTCTTTGCCTTCGGATACCGGCCCGATGAGTCATTTCGATTCATCGTCTCCATCTCGTTTTGTACTTATCGCCGAAGCCTTCCCGCGCTCCTTAGGCGCGCGTTTGTTGACCTTCTAGCACCACGCCCGCCTTCGACACCCTTCCTGCCTTCTCCTCCCTTCCGCCATCTCGCATTGACTGAGATAGCCTTTTCAACATTGGCAGCCGCAGCCTCTCCTTCTTTGCGACGCGCCCAGGACCTGTAGTACGCTTGTGGGATCCTTGAGACGGAGGTCCCGCTTCGTTGACCTCCTCATCGTCCTCGGCGCTCGACTCCTCCGCCTTATCGTCGTTTTGATCGTCGGTATTTGCAGTGTGCAAGTGGGTCTAATCCGGCAGAAAGCTCGATTTCCCAGCGACTGGTCACTCCAGCGCGTCGTCGTCTGCGTGTCGGGAGGTCAACAAGACCGAGAGTGGGGGAGATGTCTACATGACTTATGAAGTGCGTTCTCGGCTGCTTCGTTTCGATCCTCGTGCTGATTGTCTTACACAGTACACAGACGAGAGAAGGTGTGCGACGAGCGTCCCTGTTTCATTATCACTGCTACTGGCACTAGATACTCATCGACGTCCTCTCCGGTGACTTGCCCTACCTCGTCCTCATCTTCATGCCGACAATGTGCTTTCGACAGCGAGCGCATTGCGCTCGAGTTCGCTCAATTCGTGCGTACGGACTTCGTTGAGATCGTTAAATCTTTCACTCATTTCTTCGTAGGTTCTGCGCGGGATGATCAGGAGCCACGACCACATCGCGTTCAACCTCGGGACTCATCGCGGTCGCTCTTGTATATCGTGGCGGTCATGGACAGTCGGAGCGTGTACTCGTTGAGTGACCTTGTGTTCTTGAGCTTGAGCTTGTCGCGGACATGAAGCGCGAGCTGATTGCAGATTGGATGGTTCCCTGACGCACCGCAAGTGATGTTATATGCAGCTTCAATAATACTTTGCTTCGGACAGGCCATCCGACGCGGCGCCGCAGCGCACCCTTTGAACTTCAGTCACCATTAGCGCCGTTGATGTGGAGTCTGTGAACGCGATCCTCTCTTCTGGCTTCACCTACCTCGCGTCAGCACTTTGCAAGTTGCACGGCACGCCGTACTTCGCGCTCGACGTCGCGAACCTTGGGCTGTCTAGCGCCTTCGCTCGTCGATACTTCCTTCTGGCTTCACACGTCCCTACTGTGCTCTTGTCGCAGTTATACTCGTTGTGCGTGTCGGGCCTTTTTCCCTGATGGGGGCGCGTGTTACTGACGACTTGTATTCAGGCGTCTCCCTCGACATTCCTGTGTTCAAGACTTTCTCCATCTCCGTACTGTCGTTTGGTACGAACTCAGCCGTGCATCGTCGTCGACTGATTTGCCCTTCACAGCTCTCCAAATCAACATCTCAATGGCGTCGTACTCTCTCGGTCGCGTTCAGTTTGGTGAAAAGACCGTCGAAAATCGGAAGATTGCGCTCCAGAAGTCAACCGCGGTGGCCCGGTTCAATGACGTCTGCGCCGAGTGCTCGTACTGTGGGGTGGTCATCTACTTCACAGCAGGCGGTTCTTACGCTATCGAGTTTCTTATGGAGCATTTGAAGGCGGCGCACGGCGGTCTTTCCATTGGTGTCTTCGGGGAAGTTTCCGCCCCCGGCGTCGCCACTACGCATGCGACCTCTGGCACTATGGATCTCTTCTCGTCCGACGAGTTTCGTAGGCTTCATCATGGTTCGTTCTTGGAGGGCGCGGGTCGCATGAATGCACTCGCGAGCGATCTTATCGACTTCGCCGGCAAGGTAAGTGCTTGTTTGCGGTTGCTTCTCTTTCGACGACTAATGCAGTATAAGGATGTCGTATTCCAGGCGTAGTGAAAGGGTTCGGGACGGGGTGGTAAATATCTTGGAAAATTCGTTGTGTATTTTGCTCGCGCACGGTCGTGTAAAATTAGGATGTTGCGTATATAGTGTAGCTTAACGGTACCATATGATCTGTTGTTTGATACCCTTCCTAATGTTATTCTTGAATATGTGTTGGTGGTGTCAGCGGCTTTCTCGTCCACGGTTCTTTTTCGAGGTGTGATCTCTTGCGGGCGCAAATTCACGACGACGCAGAAAGTCCAGCACCTTCTTTATGCGACCTTTCCATTAGCGCATGTTACACTGATGCGTGTTATAAGTAGCCTTGCAAAGACTGTTCATTACATGTTACATTTCCTCTAGGATTCTCTTGAGCTGATGTCGGGTCGTGGATAACTTAGCTCTTGCTGCTTTGAGCTCCTTTGCGAGGGTCTTGTTCTACTTATTCATCAGAACGGTTGAGTGTCGTCGGGACGAGTGTACTCACTGTTTCCTTCAATTGCTCTCTCTCTCTCGTTGCGTCTTCCTCTCTTTTGTTGTGGAGATCCTGCGTTTGGGTAAATTGGGCTTTCAGTTCCTTGAGCTCGCGTTGCAATGCCCTGATCTTGTTGCCGCGGGTGATGACCGTGCATTTGAGGTTTGTCGTAGTCTGATCTTCGCTGTCGACATCGATGGGAATGTGTTTTGAGGTACCGGGGTATGGTGGCGGCGCTAATAGGGGTAAGCCTGGGTATGTCTATTCGGTAGCACCCACCATACGATGTCATCCGTGCCGTCTTTTTGCGCGGTTTAGTCATACTCTTTGTGTTGTGGAGAATGAGGGTAGTGGTACACGTGAAGGACGATAGAATATTTGCTCTTTGTGGCGTTGATTGCGCTTAATTGTTCGTGTGTACGTGCGCTTGAAGGTCATGTGATGTCGGTACCGCCCCGCACATGACTCTATCAGTGGATCGTGTTAGTGTGCTCTTCATCTACTGTCGTCTGCAATGAGAGAAGTGCTTCCCCTCGTAGTCATCGCAAAGTGTGTGATAATGACGATAATGCTAATGGCGCTCTGAGAATAGTACATAGCTGATGATTGCGCTACAGTGGTGGATAGAACTCATCTCCGTCTGTGCTCCTGCTCGCATCACCAGCTGCCTTCTCCAACAACGGATTGCCCTTCTGCTCACGTCGGCGTTGCTTGCGACGTCGTGATGCTTCACGATGCTCGATGCCGCGAATTTCATCGACGTGCGTGTAGATTAGGTCGTCTGTGAACTGTCCGACGTCGAGAACCGGTCCTGGGTCGTTCCAGCTCTCTCCGTCGAGAATATACTCCGGTCCCGGAAGAGAGGGCTTATCGTCTCCTGCATATTCTGTTTTGCAAGCGTACAAGATGCGCGACGCAACTGTGTAAGCCAGGCGGTCAAACGCTGTGCCTTTGTCCGCCCATTCTTCGTCTATCAAGCGCATGGTCATTGTGTATTCCGCTTCGCGCTCCGAGTTTTCGTTCTTCTTCCTTTCTGTATCTTCCCATCGCTGCTTTGCTCGTTCTCCGCTCTCCTTCGTTTTTCTGCTCGGTTTCGCTCGTTCTCGCGCGACTTTGTGCAGATCGTCCGGTTTTGCCATGTAGTCTTGTGGCCTGGTGAGCATTAGCGCTAGAGCGATCATTGGTTTCCGTCGGAAACCTAGTCGGGGTTAGCATGCTGATTCTTGTCGACCGCTTGGCACTCACGTCGTCCCGCAGCCGCCCTGGCAGGTAGCGCGGCGGCGAGAGAGATTAACATCAGTTGCACGCCACAGTTGTGGTTGTGATTTGTTACTCCGGGTCTGAACTGCTGAACGCGACGCCCCATTTCGACGCGATGAAGATCGTCGTACGTGAAGAAGTGCTTGCCAGCTGCTGCTGTTGGAACGGGTGTATACGCGGCGTGAACCGTAGCCGCTGGCTGATAGCTGTTCATCGTCGTCAGTGTCTGAGTCTTGGGGCTGAATCGCGCCACTGACTACTTCATACCGGGGTGTAATTCCAAGACGCATCCATCGACTTCCCATTCATGTGACTCCTGTGACTCGTCCGCGCCAGATAGTCGTTGGGGCATGAGCGAGCAAGTGCTTGCCGCAGATACGAGATCAGCGACGCGACGAACCAGCACTTCCTGACGTGTCTTCCTTTCATCGCGCGTGGTCGTGACATCCGCACGCGGCATGTTCGTGCTTGAGAATATGATCCATTCCTTCAAACCAGCGCCCCGTATCTGAGCAGACGTCGCCATGCCGCTGGCATCTATATGTCCGAAGGAAAGGAAGCCGGAAGTATGCAGCAAGAACCAGTCTTGCGTCTTCATCATGTCGGCGACAATGGTGAAATGCCCACCGTACTTGTGACCGAAGTCGCTCGCAAGGGATTGTACGAGGTTGTCCGCGATCCGTCTAAGTGTCTGTAAGTTCAGTTGTATCGTCCTATGAGACACACGTACTCTGTGATCCTGTCCGGTTGAGGAAACCCGCATGTTAGATCGAGTATGCATCGAATCTTTCCTGGTGTCTTTAGCCAAGACTTGAAGTCGACTAGAGTCGCCGCGACGTAAGGGTGTAAGTCATTGGATTCTCTAATGGCTGCGTCTGATCGTTGATCAGTTGTCTTCTCTCGTCGATGTTGCTGGCGTGCGCGCTCACCTTGGAATTCGCGTAGGCTGTGTACGTTGGCGCCGACAACACCATGGACAGGATCTTGTCCCCAGTACTGTAAATTCATCATAGGATCGTCATCGACTGTAGTTGCAGAGTGCGCGCAGTCGATAGAGTCTGGATAGTCGTCGAATACGAGAGGAATTCCCTTGGACATGCATTGTCTGATCAAGTCCACGGCATGCGCGGCATTCTGATACTTGACGTGCATACAAAGGTCTGGTCGATCGCGAGAGCTTTTGAAGTTGCGCGCCGCGTTGCGAACGTAGCTTTCGTCCTGAATCAGCGGTTGCGTCAGTACTGTTCTCTACCCGGATCGAGTAGTACTAACCCACGCGAGCTTGTTCCGAGCGACATCCGCCTCTCCTTCGTCTGGCAAGAATGGCGCGATTGATATCAGACCAGTTGGCCAATGAATAGTAGGAACGTCGGGATAGTGCGGTGTGTATCCTGATATATCTTGTCCTTGTGGACCAAACCTCCTCCATCCGGTGTTGAATGGTTGTTGGTTCGTACTGACGCTCTTAGCGTGTAGGGTGCTCGTTCCGTCCACTATGATTGGATGAGAGAGTGGAAGGGGTCAACGACATTGTGCTCTTACCACCGATTTTTTGGCGTGTGGTTTGTGCGAAGGCGCCCTTGGCTTTCTGGTCGGCAGCTTCCTTCTTACGCCTACAGAAAAAGGCTAAACGGAGGTATGAGGACGATTATACTTTGTTACTGTACCTTTTATGCTTCGCCGCTCTCGCGGCTGCTTTTGGGTCGGAGTACTCGACGTTCGGTGCAGTGGACGTCGGATCTGTACCATGCCAGCTCTTCATGATGCCGGTCGTCCATTTTCGTTTTCTGATGTGCGGTTCAGTGGTATTAGAAAGCTGTCCCGAGCGGTCGAAGCTCATCGTTGCGATGTTGAGAAAGTCAGGGATGACCGCGGGAAGCGTAAGGGATGCCATCAAATTCGGGACTTGCCTAAAGGGGCTCTTCATGACCACGTGTTCTGCGATGAGATGATAGGCGATTTCGTGTGTTCCAGGTTCAAGTTATCACGATCTAAGAAGGTCAATCGGTGTATATAGCTTAGCGATATGGGTTCATGCGTGCACAGAATACTCATCAAGCTGCTCAATCAGCTTTTCAGATGCGTAGAATGGGTTTTACTGTACTTTAGTAACGTGCGTGAGCGACGTTGTCGAAGAAGTACACACATACGTCTGAATCGGAGGCGGGTGGTGGCAATCGTGCTAAGACATTAACGTATAGCTAAGTGATAGGCAGCTGGGTTACATTTGTCTATTCGCGCGATGAAGAGCTTCTTGGATGGAATCCGTGTAGTCCACTGTGTTCGTACAGTAATCCTCGGCGTCTGTCATCAAGAAGTGTTTGGAGCTGACGAGATCAAGCGCAGGATTAGTGTAGTGACGGATGGTCTCTACGAGGAAGTGACAGCTGGTGGAAGGGCAACGCCGCTTGGCCACATGGTTGGAGCATGCGCCCACTTCGGCGAGAAACGAGCCGCAGTCGCAGATGCAGTAGTCGTGGCCGTCGCGACATAGCAAGTGACCACAAGGAACGATGTAGGACATCGCTGGTGCATCGCACATGCAGCACGTACCCAAGCCGGACATGGATGACGTCTGTACATTGTCAGAGCTTGGAAGGACGGCGGAGCATTGTCACGCACCCATCCGCTCGCTATTTTGCTCAGTTTTTCACGAACGACGACATACTCGCGCATGGTATCATCATGATCAGCGCGCTCACGAGTGAGTGCGGCATTCGCTTGGTGCAACAGTGTTCTGAGGTGGGCGACTTCGGCCGATGCTGCTGCGAAGTTGGTGTTCGCGTGAACGACGCTGTGAAGCAGGGCATCTCGCTGCGCTTCCGCGGCGTCCTTTGCGTGAAGAGTGCGATCAAAGAGCTCTGAGAACTGCGTCGCGTGTTAGGTGGTTTCGCCCTCGCAAAGTGCATCATACCTGCGACGGTGTTAGGCCAGCCATCGGGAGTTCCTGCTGGCATCTCCAGTCCTCTTATACACAGCGGCGGTGTCAATGGGTGTAGTGCGCTCATTCAGATGACCCACGGCTCGGCTTATGTCGAAAGACTTACCATGCTGAGAGACCGCGGAGGAATGGTTACTGCCCGACACTTAGGCGCGCCCTCGAGAACATATTCTCCCACCGTGAACACCGCGCTCGCTGTTATGAAGGCATCGAGCATGATATCAAGCGTTGACGACCGACAAGAAGGGCTTAAACCTTGGTGATTGCTGTGGATAGATCTTCGCCATGGCCCCCGGACTTGCGTACGCGGATGATGCACGTTACTGGGCAGGATCGCGGCCTCGTGGTTGGATCAGGTCTGCGTTGATGATCCGTGTTGATCGGTGCACGGGCCGTCTTGCCGCCATGGTCCGCTTCTTGCCTTCTACGACCAGGCTGCTTGTCCTGCTCTGTCTCTTATCTTGTCGTTTGCGTACGGCTCGTACTTCTCGCAACGCTACTTGCTCGTCTTATGAGACTTCATTATCTGACATCGTGCGTGATCGTTAAGAAACTAATCTCCGTCGAGGCGCGGGCGATGAGCATATATTGTGGTACAGGAAGTTGTGCATGGTATGTACTCAGTCATGTATCCCTTTCTTCTGAAGGTCTTCGAGCATCGCATCGGCGTGATCCTTGGTCCTCGCGCAGAATTCCTGAGCGTCGCTGAGCGCTTCGTCCATGCTGATGACGACTTCCGCCGCTGGATTGTCGATCGGAACCTGCTGGATAATGGGGATATTGCATCCTGCGACGACGCAGTGAGTCGTGCTATGGGCAACGCAGCATTGCTGATGACCGCATGGGTCCGCTTGAGTTATTGCCGGCTGACGACATACTGAACATCGTGGAAGGTCGGCGATCGTGTCACTCTACATGGGCAGTTGTTAGCTGGATGGGTCATCGTCGTCGGCTGTTGCGACGCACCCAGCCATCTGCTAGAAATTCGAGCTTGGCTCGCGCGTTAAGGTAGGCGCGTTGGGTCCGCTCATGCGTCGCTTGCTCTTTTCGCAGCGCTTCTGTGAGCACAGCGATGGTGTTTTGGAGTGAGCTGATTATCGCATCTCGTGATGCGTTGTGGTTGTTGTCCATGGCGCGGGTCAGCTAGTCGATGAGCAAGTATGTGTCTGGTACGAAATGAGGAGCGTACTGTAGATGGGTAGCGATGGCGAGTCGTGCGTTTATTGCTTACTCCGCGTCCCTCTTATTGGCGGGTACATGCTCGGTCGTGCCGTAAACTCTGATAGTCTTTCCCAATGTTCTCACAAAGTACGCAGGGTACATGTCGAGTTTAGCCGCCGTGCCAACAATGGATAGGAGCGTCCCTATGTGGGATGAGCTGGTGATTAGAAGTGGTTCTGACATCGAAGAGTACGGGAACATCATCGGCGGTAGTGCTGGACATAAACTGCCTTTTTCGTGATGTGCCTAACACCACGGCCAATTAAATCCATATGGATGCCATCTACAGACACTTATCGCGCGTCAGACAACCGTTCAGGTGAGGAAGTACGTCGTTCGATGGTGAAATATTCAAGAGTACATTGTCCGGAAAAGTTACGATTCGCGGCGCTCGTGCCCTCCCTCAATTCATGCAGTCGTTCTCCATCCTGCGCTCCCGATTGGCGGTAATCTCGTCTACGAGATCGGCCTGCGCGGCGACGTACTCGGCAGCCTTCATGAGATGGGGACGAAGATCAGAGAGAGCCATATGCGGCTGCCCTCCGGTGAGAGGAATGACGTCGGACGCGGCGCGGGTGCACGACCGGACGGGACACACTTTGTCCCAGTGATGGGACGCGCAGGGTGGATCGCTGATGCTGCGACGGCAGTTCCGGCAAAGGCGCTTGCAGCAGCCACTGGAACATAAGGTATGACCACAGTCCATGACGCGATGAGTCGCTCCGTGGGTACACTTCGCGCACGCCATGATGCGGGGGCGATATCGTTCCTGCTCTGTATGTCAGAGACGTCCGAGTAGGGTGTTGACGACGTACCCAGTCCTTTACGAGACTGTCTAAGACGAAGTACATGTGGAGGATCTCGAGCTCTCGGTCGTCGATGATCTCGTCCTTCTCCTTGACCTTGTCGACGAAGAACTGCGTGCGGTGGCGTGAGTTTTCGAGATCTTTATCGGTCTCCGCGAGGGTAGCTTTGAGGTCGTTGAGTTGACGATTGACGTCCAAAAGTGCGGATTCAGCGGCGTTCTTGTCGGCTAACGCTTTAGAGATGATTTCGTACGCCCCACTCTGCTAGAGAGACGTGAGAACGATTGCCAGTGGACACAATCTCCGTGCGTACTTACAGATGTGGGCTGCTCAAAAGGGCCAGAAGAAGACATGAAGAGCGGTCTGGATGAGTGTCGAAAGGAAAGAAATGTGGGCTCACGCAAGTGATCCCCGTCTATATTCTTCAATGCAGGCGATCAGTCATGAACCGCGCCAAAGTTCGAGTTCGATACAAGGTTTTCGTGGGAACCACGCGAGTTAGAGCTGCTGCTTACCCCGGTTCAGTGTTCGTATGACCATAGAAGGGATCCGCCGTCTGCAGCATGTTGGGGGATTGCTCGATGGGATCAAGCTTGTCCGCGGCGTCTGTAGGGCAGAGGGTATGGCCGCCGTGCAGTGGGAGTGTAGTATTGACCGGAGGTCGTTGGTTCACCATCACGACAAGACCCTTTCGTATCGGAAGTGTCTGTTGAGCGATGAAGTTACTCGATAGGGACGCGTGGGACATAGGACGACAGCAAGGCTCCTCGTGGGCGCCCTTGACGGAGTCCCCGTTACATCGTGTTCGTCGCGGCGGACATCGGTGACAGACTCACAGCACCCTTCCTTGATCGTCAAAGTACAGTGCCGATAAGATCCAGAGCTGGAGGTGGGCGTGTGCGTGTCATGACTGCGCGGTGTTTCTGGTGCATGCAGTCGCGGCGTATAAGTAATTTGTGGCGTCGGCTGCATCGCAGGTCCGCAGGAATCTAGATTTGTGGCGCTCGTCACCATCGTCATTCGGCATCGCGGCCAATAGTTGGTCATTGCGTGTGCCATCAGTCTATTGTCCTCTAATTGGTAGGAAAGTCCCAAAGTCTTTGGCTCCTTCGTAGCGCAGGATTCATTCAGTCCTAGCATGTCCGTCTCTGTTTGCGAGGTGTGTTTGTGGAGTTGATTGAAATGCCTTCACCCGTGCGACCTAAGAGCTTGTAAGCATCCTCACAGTCCCTAATTTCACATCATCTGCCTCTTTCCTGACCGCGACCTGTCACCATGTCGGATCGTCCTTGCAAGCTGACTAGCCTTCCGCTGGAAAGCCTTCTATTGGTCGCTGATAATCTGCCTCGGCACGATCTCGGAAAGCTGTCGGAAACGAACATGCTTTTCGCGTGCTTGACGCGAAGGAAGCGACTGCGGGAGTTCGTAATGTCCCCTAGGTCTTTCGTGGCACTAGAGAAGTGGGTGCACGTAGGGGCTCTCTATCCTAAGATTTGCGCTTGTCCCGGTGCGTCGAGCGCTGCATCGTGGGGTCTTCGTTCTGACGCTCACTAGGGAAACATTATTGTCGCATAGACATCGAGGATCTCAGCACAATTACTCCGATTTGCCGTACGTGTTCATTCTTTGAGTATATTCACTTTTAACCCTATGCAGCGAACGTGCAGGAGGACTTTGGCTCTCACGTCAAGAGCATTGTGTTGCCAGAGGAATGGACGTCGAAGACGAGAGCGCTATTCGTCCTCCTCAACCAGCTGGCGCCTTCCGGGTTACAGTCGATCAGAATGCGTTCGCATGGCTCAAGGTCATGGTGGTCGGGCGCCAGGCAAGCATGGAGCGGGTACGATAATGGGGAACTGTTTGCGCCTATCAAGAACCTCACTCTCGAGTGCCCCAACCTCACGTCCATCGTTTCTCTGTTTTCTAAGCAAGCGCCGTCGACTCGCCAACTTTTAGCCCACATGCCCTTGACTCTGACTCTTCGAGGGGCACCGACTGACGAGGACAGCGACATGGAGTGGGGTGTAGGCTTTGGTGGCGGCTGGGGGGTTCAAGCAGCTCCCGTCGTGCAGTGGACGGACGATCGCGACAACATCGTCTTACGAACGAGACACCTCAATGTTGAACTGAACACGAGGATGGAGTGGGTGCTTGATACCGTGTATTTCTTTCAACTGCACTCGCTCAACGTCCACACTCGCATTTTCTCCAACTGGACGCTCACCCTGCGTCTTCTCCGTGACAGCCAGTCTCACTTACAGTCCTTGCGCATATACGGTATAGGATCCGGTATGTACAGCGACGTCTCCGAGGTTATGAGATCTAACCCTTCGCAGGAGGCCAGGTAGACTCAATGGAACCGGTGTTCTTGGGCAGTCTCACCAACCTGCACATCGATTGGGAGCTTCTGGCGATCTTTCGTTCGATGGCAAGGTCCACGGTTGTCGGCCAGGTTACGCTTACGATCCATAAATACGTCGCCGACTATGCGACGGACGCCCAGTTCGACGTGGCCGCGGAAGTGTTGACGACCAACCATTGGTCGGAGATCGTGGTCGTCGAGGATGAGTTCTGGGGATCGCCAGGTAAGCCCTACGAATGCACTGGAATTGTCCACTGACACGCTGAAGATGCGATCATTGGTCAAGCGATCCGTCGCGCGGATTTTGTCGCTAGAGCGCAGATGCAAAATCCGCCAACATATGTTACCAACTTTGTTTGAATCTTAGCCGAGTATATGTGCTTCGTCTTGTATTCAATTGGACTGCAGCTTATTATAGGGTGCGAACTTGCACGATCGCTTGCTCGCTACGTCGACATCTCGTACCCAGCGGGCGGTTCGCATCTGCGCTTACCTCGTACAATGGCAAGGCAGCGTATATTGGGTACTCACTGCACGGCGCGTATCATGCGATAGCAGCCAGTAAGCGCGGAATTGAAAGTGTCGTTGTATACTTCAAACGCGTGCGCTACCGGGCAGCCAATGATGCATACTCTACTGCGAACCACTGCCGCTAGCCTGCGAAGATACGACGTCTACATCCATGTCCCGCAGACTGAGGCCTGTCATCGCCTTCCGCACCTTCGATACGGGCTGATCCTCGTTGTCTTCCACGAGCCTGCCCCTGTTAACAGCCATCCGCTTCTTACCCTTAGCCACTGTTTCCTCGAGCGCCTTCATGTCTAGCTCCTGCACAGAAATCAGTGTATGAGGGGTGATCTGCGCTCGAAGGACTTGCCGCAGAGATTGTCTTGTCGATCAGGGTGAGGGAGCGCAGCACGAGAGCGAGCTCGAGTCGCCCGTGGGCTCTCTTGTTGTGCGTCAGGCTAATGGTGAAGCCGACGCGAACGATGTCGCCTGGACGAAACTGCGTTGGGGATACGACGCGCTGCCTGTGTATTTCGTTAGACGGAGGTCATGACCAGGAGGAGGGACGCTCACTTGAATACGCCTTGGGCGTTCTCATACCCCTCGAGATACTGTACTTCATTTTCGACCGTGTGAACGCAGCCTTCACCCAAACAGCCGGTGAGGTGACCGTACGGATCGACGAGCTTGCTGAACGGGATAGACTCCTTGTCGTTCGCGTCGTACCCAGTGATGAATAAGGGATTCGAGACTACGAAGTTGTCCGAGCAGATGCGGTCAGAAGGGAAAGGAACTTCGTCGGGGACCTGGCGTTTGAGCTCGAGGTAGGCGACTTTGATCGACCGAATCGCTTCGTCCACGGACGCGGAGCCAACGCCGAGCAGAGTGACGCTCTGTTGAAAGCCCGAGAAGACGAAGTGGCGGCCATTGGCATACTTTCTAGACGATAGCCGTGAGTGGGTACTCCAGCTCTCTGTGTGTATGCCACGTACCTCTTCGGCTTGAGGGGGGGAAGGAGCTTCTGAGCTAGCGCGCCAACGACATAGATGGTGACCTCCGTCTCGTCGTCTACGTCCCCTTCGGTAAAGAGCCTGTACGTAGTCTTGTTCCCGTTGTCTTCCGGCTTAATGCGAATGTCATGTTTCTATAGGACGATTGGCAAGAGAGTTCGCAGTGCAGAACGGGGAACGAGCTCACGTCGAGGTCGTCGATGACGTTGAAGCTGCCTGCGGGGAGTACCTCTGTTTGATGATGTTTGGCAAGAAAGGCATCAATGATCGATTCTGCGTTCGTTCTCAGCAACCATCTCGACGTCGTATTTGGGCTGCACCTACTCGCTTTCTTCTGGTTGTCGATGGCGTCCATGGCGTCTGCGTTCTTCGTCGTGCGTGCTGCGGAGGAGGGATGACGAGTCGGATGACTTGCGCCCTTTAAGGGCCCTTTGCCGGTGCGTTCTGGTGCTCTGGCGCACGGACTCTATCTGATTCCGCGGCAAGTGACCTTTTTGCTGCGCGCTGCACCCTCGATCCGCGTTGGAGGAAGACTCTTCGTTGGAGATGAGCATGGAAAATCCCAAGGTGCGTTTGTGGAGAGTGTCATCATCGCATGCTGAACACTAACTTCTACCCGCAGGCGCAACCGTTCGCAGAAATCCTCGTACTGTCCATCGACCACCATCCTCTCCATACGCGCGGTCACCACTTGTACCTTTTCCTTGACGTCGGCGACATCATCTCCGAAACACTATGGTCTGGACTCCCACTTCCGCGGTCCTCCTCGTTCTCCCAGCTCCGTCTCGGAATACTTGGCATGCTCTGGCGCAATACGGGTGCAAATATTGAACCTCAAATTTACACCTGATAAGGCATGTGTGTCGAACATGCCGACAGCCGTGCGCGCTCCATTATTCCGGCAATTTTCTGTCCAGCGCAATTTCATTGCGTGCGGTGCCCCAAAATCGGAGCGGTGGACGATCGTATAGTATATAGCAGGTGCGCGGTCTCTGCAGTTTTTTCCCCCAGCGTTCTGACCACCCCAGACCGCCCTCGAATATTTTGCCCATTTTCTGCCACTCTATCGCGCTCAAATCGCTTTTCGTTGCACAATGACGCAGTATGTGGCCATCGTCCTGGCGTCTTTCCGTTGCTGATTTGCATCTGCAGATCTTCCAACCTGAACATCGCCGCTGGCATGAGCCGCGAGGAGATGGATATGATGATTCGGTATCTCTCGCAGCAGCGCGCCGCACTCGGGTGCGTTCTTTTGCTTGCGCACTTTCTATGAGTCTGACCTGTCCTTTCAGTGATCCCGATAACGGGCAAGCTACCGCTGACGGTAATCGGGACGGGTCGATCGTTGCGTGCGTGTCACTTGTCGCTCTTCTTTCCAGGATCTAAGCCTACCCAAAGCGCTTCCGGTGGTACGAACGAAGGCAATGGCGGTGATCTGCAAGGGTGAGTCTCGATCTCCGCTACTTCGCGGTCTTATTTATGTTTTCTCAGACGAGTCGCCGTGGACAATCCAACCTACGATCTCTCCAAAAAAGCCACGTCTGCTCGCAAGAAGGCAGGGTGCGTCGTCCGACTCTCTGGTCCCTGGCGTTAAGCTGACTTGTGCGAAATAGGGGCGACCCTAGCGGTGAGGGGGGTCCTCTTGACAAGCGAGCTGGCCAGTGAGTACTCTCTATCGATGCCTTCGTTGTATCTCATTTCGTCGTCAGTGATATCCTCATGGACGACCTGACGCTCTCTCCGTCGCATGGAACGCCGTCCCACGGCGACAAACACGGGTAAGGCCTTCTATCTCTGTCAGCTTCTCGCTATCGGCTGACAGCTTCTCAGACAGACTGCGGACGCCGCGGAGGGTGTCGGTGGGGGCAATGCTCGGTGCGCATACTCAATGATTTGATGAGTTCCTCCTAATCGTTCGTGCCAGTCCTACCGTGGTCGTGGAGCCGTCCACTCCTCGCAAGAAGTTTGTACCCCGCCCGGTACAGAAGAAAGGGTCAGTCGCGTTGCGCATCAGATGATGATCTTTCTGACATGAAGCAGTCCGGTTGCGGGCAATGGCGGAGTCAACCTTCCGTCCACGCCTGTCAAGTCTAGCGTTGCAACCCCGTCGTCCGTTACTCCTTCCTCCAAGATGGCCCAGCTGGACCTTGACGGACACAAGTGAGTGTATTTCTGACGGTTGAAGGGATGTTTCTGATTGCGTATCATGTAGAGTTATTGATTCATCTCCTGGTACGAAGAAGGGTCGCGCTACCGTGGTACCCACGCGCGTAAAGGCTGCTCTTCCCAACGGATACGACGCTCTGTTCGTGTGCTCGTTCGGCCATCCGTGGACGCTGCTGACGTCGTCGTAGGTTGACTTACGAGGAGCATGTCAGGCCTCCCGAGGCTCGTGTATCTGATCCTGGACCATACGTGTCCGGTAATGAGTGCGTGTCTCTATTCGCTATGTTGTCAGAGTCTTATGTCGATTGCTTGCTAGCTCGGACGATGACATGTTTCCGGAAGATCCCAGCCATACTCTGCCGAACCCTTCGAGCGATGCGGTGAAGCGAGATGCGTAAGAGGAACTGCTCATGTCCTCTTTCCGTTGTCCTGACTTCTTGTTCCTAGCGGCTCTGCTGATGTTACCGAACCGCAGAAGCATTCATCAAGGGGGTATGTGCAACAACTTTAGGATATGTTCACCGCCTCTTACTGAGCGCAGACCCAGCATGGCCCGGTGGATTAACACCCGCGGTACGAAGTCCAAGTCAGTGTGATTGTTTGTGCTTGTTGTGTAGATTCTTATCACATTTACCCAGCGACGATCCAACTCCGCCGCCAGACGAGCCGTGGGCACGAAAGAATCGCCGTCGTCGTTCTCCATCGCCCGTTCCGCCTTCGACGCCGTCCCCGGTTAAGAAGAGCCCCAAGAAGAAAGCGAGAGTGTCGTCGCCCGAGGAGTCGCCGGAGGATGCGCGGGTACAGCAGCTGGAGTGCGAGCTGGCTGAAGCTCGTAAGCAGATCAAGACAGCTCAGTGAGTACCATTGCCGTGCTATCTGTTACTCCTTCTCATTGACATCCCACTAGGCGCCGTCGTGGTCGCGGTAGCGCGGCCACTGCATCGTTCATCGACGATGAGGCCGAAGAGTCCGACATGGACGGCCGTCGCCGCGATGATCCCGACTTGGACAATTTTGTCGTTGGGGACGATGTGGTCGAATATGATGACTCAGCGCCCGCTTTGCCTGATGATGATGAAGCTGGTTCCTCGCGGTTAGTGATTCTCAGCTGCCGCGGACCTTGACTGAGGCGTCCTGCAGGCGCACGAAGCTGACACGTCTGTCTCGTCGTAGGGTTGTTGATGACGAAAACACGTGGGTTGTCCATCTTCGTGATCCTTGTTTATGTTACTAAAGGGATACATAGATCCGACGACCATGTTGAGATCGTTCCGACGTACGTCCGTCGTTCTTGTTCTGGTGTTCTTACTGACACTGTTGGTCTAGTCCTCCGCAAGACAAGGGCAAGGGTCGTGCACCGCGGACTCCTTCACCCGATCCTGTGGATCCCGCATTTGTCGCGCCTGCCATGTCGGAAGACGAAGATGGCAGTGGGCAAGACAGCGAGGACGATAATGATGTAGATGTGCGTATATCATCTGCAGCCGTCACTTACCTGCTTACTGACTTTCGATCACCGTGCTAGGTGTCGTGGCAACACAAAGAAATTCGTCTTCAAAATGCCCCCCGCGGCTTGCATCCTGGCTCGACCGCCGTCGACGCCGGTGCGCAAGTGGTTACGAAGTTGTACGCTGTCTTCATAGTGATCATTGTCTTGTCGGCGCTGATGTCTTCACGCAGGCAACTGGGCGACGGCGAGGACGCGTTTCATTGGCGGGATTTCCTCAGCCCAACGCTGCAGGAGATTGGATATCATATTGATTATGAACCACTTCCACGGTATGTTTGATTCTTCTTCTCGGGCTATCCCAATCATTGAATGCTTGTAGGGCATGCGGGCTCAACATTGAGCATAATCCCAAGGGCTGGGACTATCCCGTGTTTGATGATGTGCTGGCGCAGATGAGTGACTTGGGTGCACAGTGAGTATCACCGTCGATGTCCAGTATACCCCGAAATGCTGATTCGCTGCAGAAACCTTTTCGCTGTTGTCAAGTTTCGTCGCGTAGGGCCTTACGTCAATCCTGCGAACGCCAACGTCTCCGACTTCTCTGCGGTGAAGGTCTCCGGGCCGTCGTCGACCCCTCGGTACCGTTGTGTCGTCAGTGGTAGCCGAGCACCAGCGGTAGCGCTAACCACGGGCATTATCCGGTACTGGAGACTCGACACTCCGTCGAATGGCCCTCGTCCTCAACGCTACGTTATCGTTTCTCCTTTCTACGGTTTCTTTGAGGCTACCGTGTGTTTCTTCTGCACTCTCTTTGGCCAGTACACGCTCAACTGCTTATCTTGGGATAATGCATTGCGCATCGCGACAATCCCGCCTTACGAGAGGCCCGGTAAGCCTGTTCTTGGTCGGTAATCGAGGCTTTTCTGACGATCACCCGTAGGTGGAAGTGTTCAGCAGAGCGCCGCTGTCCGGGGCAACGTATCTTCGAACAGGGCGCCTCGTCGTTCTGCTTTCGAGTTGAACACGAACGACGACGGTACGCACCTCTCTGGTCATTACCAGCTCGTTCGCTCATTTTCGTCAGTTCCGGTTTATGATGCGCGTAAGACCGCCCTTCCAGAGGATATCTCGATGTGGCCGAAGTCGCTCCCTATCCTTGAGGGTCCGTTGCCCAAGAATGCCGTCGCGACAGTGGCGTACACTCCGACTATGTGGATCGGCAACCAGCCTTCTTACCCGGCGTATAATCTGCAGTTCAATATCTTGTACGTTGTTGTCCTCGGCGAATATTCTCAGTAGTATCTGTTTCGAACTTGAGTACATTGTGGTACTTACTGCACCAACACTCCTTCTTCGTAGTTCACACTCTTTCATGTATACAACTATCTTATAGCTCTCCTCTGAATGCCGTCTGCACAACGCTGCCTGGCTTTTACTTTTCATTGGGTGCGTCGCCTCGTGGTGATCGACGGCTAAGTCCGCGCATTAGAGTTTGCCGGCGCTTATTCTGCCAACTTCTTCCCTACGTCCAGTCGTACCTTTGCTCCCTCACACGATGAGTACCATCGCTGCTTTTACGGGGGGTGACATGTTCTCGGGACTGTGAGTATCACAGCAAAGCAGTCGTTCTCTGTGTGGATGACACTTTCGAGCAGCGCCTACGACATCGTGCGGGAGATTCTGAAGTGGCTCCGACGACCTGACTTGTGGAACTTGGCGCTCACCTCTTCTACTATGCGCGCAACTGTCTCCGACTTCCTTGTGAACGACTACAACGCGGACTCCGTACTCTGTCGGTTCTTCGACGACATTCACTCCTTCCAGGCGATACAAGCTCGTACCTGCTCGATCATCGGTGGCTCTACCGCTCTTTCGTTCTTCACTGGTCACCATTGGCCGACATCCGACCTCGATCTCTACATCAAGAACGAGCATGCGTTGGACATGGCTAGATATCTCGAACGCAGCGGCTACAGATTTGTACCTCGAAACCAGCACGACAGCATTGAGCGATGTTTGCCAGTCGATTGGTGAGGTTGTTGATATTGTGAACGACGCGCGCTAACATACGATATTAGGGAGCAAGGGGACGAAGAGGATGATAGTAGCAACGAGCACAACGATGTCGACATGGGCAATATCCCGATCCCCTTTCATGTCATGGACGACGACGACAACGATACCGACAGCGTGCACGACGATGTTGACGTAGAGATGACGGACGCATCTTCTATTCTCGACAACAACGACGACGACAACGACGACGACGACAGCGACGACGACGACGACATCTCGGGAGATGAAGACAACCCCGAGCACGCATACGCTGGTCTACTTACACAGGTCTTCAACTTCTGTGGTGTCCGCGATCCTGACCTCCGTATTCAACTAATCGTAAACGAGGGTTCTCTTCTCGACTGCATTCTCGCGTATCACAGTAGTGAGTCGCGTTCGCGTCGTCTACGAGGGTTATTGCTGAGCCCAACTTAGCGCCAGTGATGAACTTCTTGACTAGTAGTCGGGCCGTATCTATGTATCCCTTGGAGACTTTGCGCGGTCGGGGTTTGCGCTTGCAAACCAAGGCAGATGCGACTGGTGCGATCAACAAGTACAAGGCGCGCGGTTGGGACATCATAGATGGTGTGTCGACGCCTGAGCAGCACGGTTTTGCTACTGGAGTGCAGTACATTGGAGACGATATCAGCCTAACGGTGAAGTTTACTGGATCTCAGTAAGCACTCATTGCGCGACGCAGTCCGTAGTACTGACAGTCGATAGCCACCATGATAATGATATCTTTCAGTACGACTCGTACCTGCTGCACTGCGATCCGGCAAGCCAACGTGGTGAGCGTCCGTCAGCTCGTCTGGAATGGTACACGCGTGGCCCGCCGAGGCTGGACATACCAAGGACGGTTCCTGACTACGGCTATTGGTTGTGGTTGCGGAAGGCGATGACTGTACCTGAGTGAGTACCTCTACTCATTGTAACTAATATGTCTGTGTTTGACCGTCATCCAGTGATGAAGATGAGGAGAAGCGAGTGTCTGCATATCTTTGTCGTCAGTTCGACTTGCACCGCCTCAAGGCTACGAACGCAGAGCTGAAGGTAGAGTCTTCCTTTGGTCTGCTCCCGTCGTCAAAATATTACTTACTGCCTGACAGTCGACTCTTGCCGGACGACAGTACTCTTCGTATCACCAGCGTCCTACGGTGCGCGTATGGTACAACGTGCTGAAAACATTGCCAAGAAGATGTACACGTCAGCGTGTCGTCGAACTTGAGACGTTGATAGATTCCATCGTCAGCGAGAATGTACACCTGCAGGTACAGTCTGTAACAATCATCACTAGCGTGTTATCGCTGACTCGATTTTAGGATAGAATCCGCAAGCAGCTCAAGAGCGAAGTGACAGTGTAGCGCATTCGCCTTTGCCATATGGACGCTCTATGTCGGAGGAATATGGACCTACGATGGACTTGTCTGTCGACTACGACGCAACACTCTTGTGCAGTGCATCTCACACCGGCTCTTGATTGGTATTCTTGGTTCACTTTCGACATACCTTGATTACTGCATTTTCGTCTTCTTGAATCATACTCATGTACACTTGTACACCAGGTTTTCGCATATCTTTCTATCACTGTGACTTATGGACATGTATCTAGACCGTGTCCTGAGAGCGGCGTGGTGTTCTCCTTGTATCAACAGCGTCTAAGGCAAGCTCTGGAGCGCCGCGTATGTGAACGACGCGCTTCTGTGCGTTGTGTAGGAAGTCTGTGTCCGATGATGCAGGTGGATCATGATAGAAAAGAGGGAATCTTCCTGTACATAAGACCGCGCGCAAGACGTCGCGAGTAGCTGGTCTAAGGCATGCGTTAGCAGGAGCACTTAAGATCGCATATCCGGCTTACTCTGCATCATGATACTTCGTCGCGATCTCGTTGGCAAACATAGATGCAAGTTCTTCGCTCGCAAATACACGACTTTGGGTCCAGCTCGCGCTACCCATGTAGAAATGGGTTTCTATGCGAGGATGCCAAAGAATGCCATTGTTGTTCCGCCATGCGAAGGACCATGAGTTGAAGAGCACAGAGTCAGGCTGTAGCGAGCGGCTTTGGGGTGCGTCAGGGCTGAGACGATGTCAGCAGATGTTGTTGTCAGCTGGTTCGGTCTGCGCACTTGCCTTTCGTTGAAGTTAATCGTCCACGTTTGAGAATCGCCTATGTAACGCCAAAAGGTTGCGAATTCGCTGCCGACAGCTTTTTTGCCGAGGTCCAAGTACGTGAGCGATGCTCGCATGGTCCATTCATCATTGGACCGTATATCGGTGGGAACCTCTTCTTCGGTCGAAGCTAGCAGTACCCCGACTTTATGCACGAATGTTGCGCGGGGGTATAAGGAGTATGCTGCTCGATGGGTGATAATGTTCATGAGGGCGGCTATACGATGGTCGCGTCAGTGCGACAATGAGAAAGAAACAAGGTCGCTTACTCGTATGAAAGCTGAGTACCGTGTGTATGGCGCAAAATCTCACAACTGCCACCTGAATGACCGCGTTGCCGGTGCCACAAAGCGTAGGGCGAACAAAGTTGAAGGTGTCGAGGACGGTAGCGCTCGTAGAGCTGACCTGGTGTGCGCCCCTCTTCGCAGAAGAAGCATCATGGAAGGCCCTGACTGGATTCTCGTTCTGATCTTCCCTTGCAGAGTACGCGTATCCTCGCGCGCTCACAAAGTCGAATATTTTTTCGGCGTGATGCCGCTCTGTGTACAGATTGAGCTCGCAGTCGTCCAACACGTCTCGCGTGAAGAACTGAAGAGCTGCACGACCTGAGATAATTGTCCCGGTTTGGCACATTATATCAAGCAGTTCCTCAACGCAAGCGGCGCGTAGGAAGTTTCGAAGCATGCGGTGTGGTTGGAAAGCGATCTGACTGTACATCTTCACTTTCTGAAGTGACCGGATGTTGACGCGCGAGAGATGTACAAGGTCCGGTAAGTCGAGATTAGAGCAAAGGGAGTCGAAGCATGTCTCTGGCCTGATCAGAGTGAGAAATCGAATTAATGGAGGTCTGAAAGCTGCGCTAACTACGCACATCGTATCCATGACCGCGATGACTGTTGAGCGCGTCTATGGCTGGCAGGAAGCAAAGAGCAAATCACTGCTCGCACGTGTTGCAGGTGTGATGGACTAATCATGTGACACGCGCTACAAGGCGGACTTCTGTTAATACTGATGAAGAAGCCGTTATTCCGCCCTGTACACGTGATTTTACGTGCTCCAAACAAACCCGTTGCCGAGAAGCCGAGAGGCCTCACGCCGTCACGCAGCAAAGTCCCGCAAAGTCGCCACCGCGTCAAGGGCAAAGGTTTTGGCTCAGAAAGTTAGTGTATACCGCTTCATTGACTCTTATAAGGCCATATGTATACTCAAAGGAAGCTTTAGTAGTTTAGAAGAGGTTCCTAATTAGACAATCTGGGTATTGCCACCCTCACTTGTGGCACCGGGAACGCGCGCCACCGCAGGTGAAGTTAAATTTATGTACAGTATTACCAAGGATATATACTGGACTACGCGCGGCAGTGGCCGATCGTCAGCACGAGCTGAAGAGGGCAAAAAAACCACTTGAGCCGGCCACCCAATGTTCAATAATGGGAAAGGTCCATGACCGAGCGTATAGTGCATTTGAATCAACAATGTCAGTGAATAAGGCCTCCCGGCGCGTCGAAGCGCGGGAGCGCGGGGAGTGGCAGGGCATGATGAGAGGAGAAGAGAAAGAGAGGGCGGCGTTTGCGCTGGGCGCTGTCACAGATTGATGCGGAACGGAAATCTCCGAAAACGTGGGGTCACGTGTACAGGGCGGAATAACAAGATCTTACTGATGATCACTATGTTGGATTGACCCTTGTTTATTGAGTGAATGTTTCCTGCACATTGGGGCATACCTCGGCGAAGAAGCATTTCTACCAAACGATGCGATCTCTGTATAGGATTACTGGTTGAGTGTCAAGATGTGTGTCTGGTCGCAGCTGTCTCCCAGTGCTGCAGCATATTTGGACTCACTTGTTGCGTATGGTGCGACCGCTGCGAGGTCTACGGGAATAACTGCCATAGAAGGCAAGTTTGTCGGAGGTAATACTTGCCTCTTTTGGCTAGATCAATACGATGGCTAAATTGGGAAATGCGGAATTAAGCGGCGATCGGACTCGCGGCTTTCTTATCGCCAACCATCTCGCCCATCGTCCATCATGCTGGTGCGTCCTCTGCGTTCTCGTACTACTGTCAATGCTTATACTTTGCTAGCGTGACCATCTAGCGATGATTTATCTGTCGCTTGTACTCCTATGCGTGTCCGTACGCGTTGGTACACTAGCACCCAATACGCACACCCCGTCCCATATCGACAGCAATAGCAGCTTGTCTGCGTCGTACTACTGCGTCGGGCTGAGGTCGTCACTGCCGCAGCTGTGGAAGTAGCTCTTTTGCAAAAGACCTTGGGATTTGTCCGACGGTCTTTTGCAAATCTCGCGACAGGTCTGTCCTCACAGCCACAGGCCCCCGGCACGTCGCCGGTGAGCCTCCGGCCTGCCGCCTTATGCGGAAGGCGACCCCCCGACCTCGCCGGTCGGAGTTTCCCGCAGCACGCGTCGCGCGACGCGCGCGCTCCGCCGCCGCCGCCGTTGCCACGCGCACTGCGGCGGCTGATGCGCCGCCCTCGCGCGCGTCCCAGCTGCTTAGTCAGCGCGTCGGGGGGCGTCATGCACACGCTCGCGCGTGCGCGTGGGCCGCCGCCGCCGCTATGCGCGTCGCGTCGCGTCATTCGAAAAAGAAAGCAAATGAATATAGAGAGTAGTAAATATGTACAATGTAACGAAAAGGCGTAGGGGTGCGCAGAAAACGACGCAAAAGCGCAAAAAGCGCCGGCAAAAATCTCGCCAGCGCGGCATGCGTCGTATAGCCCGCGCGAGCAGGAGTGGGCGGGTACGCATCAGAGTAGGGGAGGGGGGAGGGGGCCGGCGAGCCGCAACGACATGCCGGATTGCAGCTCTTGGCTGCAACTAGGTGGTGGGGTGGGGGGAGGGGGGAGGGGCAAGGCGGAGCCCAATCCGCGCGATATTTGCATGCGCCACCTGAGCGAGGGTTGTCGTCGTCGTGGGGAGGGTGAGGGACACGCCTTCGGTGCCCGCAACGCGCTCGCAGGTGGCGGGAATCGATGTCGCGCTAGGAAGCGCGGGTGGGCGGGGGTCGGGGTCCTGACACATGCCGCGGCCTCCTGGCGCGCGGAGCGCAGATGAGGGGGGTGGTAGGTGTTGCTGAGGTAGCGGGGGTGGCGGGGAGACGGCACGGCGACGAGCAAGTGTGACAAGGTGGTGGTGGGAGGGAAAGCGCAGCGCGGCCGATCACGATGCCTGCGAGCGCAACGAGGAGCGGCCGCGCGTGCCAAAAGTGGTGGGAAAGAGAGGGGGAAAAGTGCCCGAGATCGCTCAGAATGACGGGGGAGAAAGGAATAGTGAGCTGCGCTGTGGAATAGCGCGCAGGGGGCGGTGGCCAGCCGCGCCAGAATGGTGTGGATGTTCGGGGCCACTGAAATCCGTCTTGGGACCGCGCGGATGTCGGTCCGGACGTCCGAGGGGCGTCCTCGTCGTCTTCGATGGCCCCGGGAACACGCCGATAGGAGTGCAAGGGCATCCAAAGTATATAGAGCGGAGGGGGAGGGTATGAAGAAAATTTATAGACCGTCTGAACTGCGATCTGCTTATAGATTGTGTGCCAAACATCCAAACACTTCATATCTGCGCTCAAATACATGGTTTCTACATTCCTACGCTATATCTAAGATGATGAATATTGTATACTGTACGTACCAAGCTAGAGAATGAACCTCCCTACCCGCTACAGCTTGTTTGAAACCAATCCGCTCAGATCAGAACGAGATATAGCTCAAAGACTCTGTTTTCGAGTGTGAAGAGGAGGAATACATTGGTTTGCACGAAGCGCGTCGGGATTGAAGCTCAAGTTGTGTAAGCCACAGAGATCGGTTCGCTACCATACTTCATATATCTACTACCCTACTGGTATACTACGCTAATCTATCCTTACTTGACCATCTAGTGCCCCTCGGCTTGCGTCCGAGGCCATCGAGTACAACAACGACGAAGCCCGGACATCGGACCGAGTCGCCGGCCCGGACATCCGCCGTGTCGTGGCGGCGTGTTCTTCACTCCCAACCACCACCTCGCCGCCCGCGCCGCTGCCCCGCCCGCCCTTCCGCCCTCCCCTCTCCTCCTCTCATCACTAACACGAGATAAGACGCGTTCTACGCGTTCTCCACGCGCCAAATGCGTGTCTGACGCGTGTCCGACGTCGGCCGAGCAAGCAACACCTAGGGACCGCCTGCGGCGCGCGGCTACGTGCTGGGGCACGGATAAGTCGCCCAAGGTGTAGGGGAAGATGCCAATGCATCTCGCAGGTGCGCCACTGCGCTTTGCGCCCCGGAATTCTATTAACACATCATTTCTCCATCTCTCAGCCTTTCTACAGGATGTCTCCCCATAGCGCGCCTGACGCTATGGGGCGGTGTTTTATCCAGTCTCCACCACGCTCCTCCCCTTCCCCGATGCCGAAACGCGTCCCCGTGTCGAGCACGGCCCGTTCGAGTACCCACCGCACTGGCGAATTCGCGGTGCTGGGCTCGGCACGGGATGCGTATATCGACGCTCCTAGGCCGTCATGGCTTAGGAGCTGTCGAGGCCCGCAAGCGCTAGGCCGCTCGCTCGCAATCGCGCAGGTGCACACTCGCTGGCCGGCGCGCGACCGTGTGACCGCGGTCACACACCTCTCCCCCAACCACCACCACCACTACCACCACCTGCGCCACCTCTCCCGCGCGCGGTCTTCCTTCCGCCTGCGCTTCTCGCCCCCAGCAACCCCCCTACCTCAAGTCCCCGCAGCCTACCCCCTACCTCACGGTGGCCCGCGCTCGCGCCCACCAGCCGTGCCCTAACAACCACCTCAACAGCAATGCCCGCCGAGCAGCGCGCCTCCAGCCACCACCCCCCTCCTCTCCCTATACCCTCCTAAGCACGCGTGAGTAGGCGCACTCGCTCTTGCGCGCTGCCTAGCGTGGGTCGCGCCGGCGAAAAATTTTCGCCTGCGCTTTTTGTCCCTTTTCTGCACATCCCCAGCGCTTTTTAGGTACATTGTATGTATGTACTGTACTATACATTCATTTTCTTTTGTTCTATGCACGGCACGACGCGAACAGCGGCGGTGGCGCGCGCGCGAGCGCGACGCTCTCCGACGCGCTGACTAAGCAGCTGGGACACGCGCGAGGGCGGCGCATCAGCCGCCGCAGTGCGCGTGGCAACGGCGGCGGCGGCGGAGCGCGCGCGTCGCGTGACGCGTGCTGCGGGAAACTCCGACCGGCGAGGTCGGGGGGTCGCCTTCCGCATAAGGCGGCAGGCCGGAGGCTCACCGGCGACGTGCCGGGGGCCTGTGGCTGTGAGGACAGACCTGTCGCGAGATTTGCAAAAGACCTTCGGACAAATGCCGAAGTCTTTTGCAAAAGACCTACCTCCACAGGTGACTGCCGAACTCCGCGATGGCAGTCGCCGACAACAACATCCAGCCAGATATTCATTTAACTTCGGTCGATGCGAACGAAGTCTCCTTCTCGCCCCTGTCTATCCGCTTGGACGACATACACACCGCGTCGCTGTGGTTCGATGCGAACCATCAGTATAATTCGTCACTGTTCACCGCTCTCCAGGTGGACAGGTTACTATCGTCCCCACCGCCTTTTGGCGGCTTGGGTATCCGCTATTCCCCCGCGCCTTCAGGCGGACTGGGTACATTATTTCCCCCACCGCTTCGCGGCTTGGGTACTACACTTTCCCCATCGCTCTTACGCGGCATGGGTACGATCCAACCTCCGCTGCCTCGCGGCCCGGGTGCAAAGCTTACTCCTCCGCTCTCAGGCGGCTTTGGTGGGTCCCCAGCTCGACCACTTTCCGACTTAGATACGCAAAGTTTTCCTTCGCTTCCTGGCGCTTTGGATAGGTATCATATCCCCTCTCCGCTCAGCGGCATGCGCACTCCCGGATTGCATACAGTAGCATCGCTTGAAAGTGCTACACCAATCACTTCTGCGCTTCCTATGTCTTCACTACTGCGCGACTTGCGCGTCGTCCCTCACTATGGCAGCGTGGGATATGATTCTTTGTTTGTGGAAACGCGTGTGTCGCTTCTTGGGCCCTCTATTCATCACTTTTGCGCCGCTACGGGTAACGAGACTGTGCTTGCACTGCGCAGACAAGCGGAGGAATCGCAGCATCCTCCTTTAATGCTGCGACATTTTCGTACGCTCTTCCCATCCGTGTTTCAGTCGCTACCATCGTCTCAATCCGAGCCTGATCTAAGAGATATTATCGAGTTGTTACGAGTTGCATATGCTCGCGCCATGCCCCGCTTATGGAAGACGTGTGTGTATGGTTTCTTCGAGCAGGACGTGATATTAACAGGCATCATGCAGCTACGAACCAATGCGAGGGGTATCCGTGTGAGTCTTGCCAGGAACTGCATGCGCAAGTGGGACTACAAGGCTTTACGTGCTGGGAAACCTGGTGATCCGTCCATGGCGGATTTCACTATACAGTGGGATGCACCGAACCTTCTTCCGTTTTTGCCGTTCCATTCAGGCCTTCTTTCCATTCTTATACTTCCGCTGCGTCCTTTACTAGATCCCCAGCCTATTCGCACAACGGACATCAGTTACTCCCATCGCACTAAACCAGTGAGCGCACGTAAACTACATTGGCTTGTACGCTTCATGATGGGCGGTGGTGGTACAAGCAACCGGATAGACTGGGGCACGCTGCAAAAATACGTCAAAGACGGGAGGAACAAGGATTTTGGGAAGGACGTCAAGTTCTCCATAGTCGGTTACGGGGACGAGGATACAATGAAGCAGCTGGCAAAGACGGACGATTTCTTGGTCGCTGACATGCCCTTCGTAAATAGTTTGTGGCATATGAGTAAAGCACAGCTAGAAGACGCGGTTAAGTTGCATCACATCGATGAGGCAGAACTACGAATGCAGCGTAACTTGGGCGAGAAAAGGTTGCTTCTGAGTCAACACGAGTGCGACAATCAGTGCTCATCGAAGAGAAACGTCGTTCTACTCAAGAGGGTGTTGAGTGCAGCGGAGCGAAAGAAAGAAGAGCGTAGGAGGAAGAAAGCTGCGACCAATCCTCCATGCGTGAAAGCGACCGACGCGCCATCGTCTTTCCCACCGGAACCAGTGACAGATGACTTAAAGGAGGAAATTGTCCGCGGCTTTTGTGAAGATACCGGCAAGGAGAAACTAGAGGAAACCGGCTGCGCATGCTGTGGCATCCTCTGTAATAAGGCATTGTCAATGCCTGCCAATGACAGAAAGCTAGATATGAGCTTGTTGATTGAACCACACGCGACGAGGAAAGAGCGCTCATCTGAGAGCGAGCCTGTGCGACACATTGACGACCCTATACTCGCCCCAGGATGTGACCGCATGTGTCATACCTGTTATGATTACTTGCTGAATGGGATTCGCCCTCCGATGGCGCTGGCGAACGGTCTGTGGTTAGGAGAGATACCGGATGTGCTCAAAGGGCTTACCTATACGGAAATGCAGATGATCAGCAAGGTTCGACACAATAGAGCGGTTGTCCGAGTGAGATCGGGAAGAGGTAAAATGATCGCCAACGTTGTAATGTTCTCCAGCCCAATACCGCAAGTGCGCGATGTCTTGCCACCTCTGCGTAAAGAGTTAAACGAGATCATCGCCTATACCTTCCTGGGAACTGCGAGACCGACACCGGAGGACTTCAAGAGAACTCCCATGTTAGTGAGGTTAGAGGTCGTAGAGGCTGCGCTGGCGTGGCTGAAGTTGAACCACCCTGCGTATAAGGACGTGGTCATCTCGCAGGAGCACTTGAACTCTTATCGGGTTGAGAATCCGCTCGTTTGGGAGTTCAGAAAACTTGATGAGGACGACAGTATTCAGGAAGCCACCGCGACAAGTATGGCAAACGAGGATGTTGACGCACCCGATTCTGGCCCTTGTCCTTTCGTTGTCCATGGGCTCACCTCGGAAAAGTTTTCCAAGATGACAATAGATCAATTGAAGGCAGCCGCACTTGAGCACCTCCAAAGCGGTGGTTCTGTGATGGGAATAGGTCACGACGAGAAACCAGAAGGACTCTTCGATAATCCAAAAGCTTACCCTTCGATGTTTCCTTGGCTCTTCCCGTACGGATTAGGTGGCATCGGCATGTACTTCGGAGGACGGGGATCATTATCCTCTAAGGCTCAAAAGAAGCACCTACTGTTATATCATGATAAGCGCTTCCAAGACGATTTATACTTCCCTATGATAGCGTTCAACCACGAGCAGATCAAGGCATGCGCGACGGCTAGTAACATATTAGCGAAGAGATCTGACTGGCCTATAGTGAAAAGAACCATATACACGATGAACCCAATCGTCATGGGGTCCCTATCCAAGCGCATAGAGGAAGGGGAAACTGTTGTCGCCGATACGGATGACGAACGAACTTGCTTTCAACTCTTGCGCCACGTCGATTACGTTGGGGGCCACGTACAAGGATCCGTCACTGCGAAGAAGTACATGCGAAATGAGATTTGGTCCATGATCAACTTTATGGGCGCACCGTCATGGTTCATTACATTATCACCCGCCGACAGTAATCATCCCATCGCTCTGTACTTCGCTGATCACGACTTGGTGTTTAAGCCGCGCATCAGAAGCTGGTCCGAACGCAGTCGTTTGGTTGCTAGAAATCCTGTTGCCGCCGCTCGTTTCTTCAACGTCATGGTATGCGCTTTCATCAAACACGTACTCGGCGTAAATGCAGAACACCGCGGCCTGTATGGTCCGACATCAGCGTACTACGCTGCCGTCGAGCAGCAAGGCAGACTTACGCTTCACTTGCACACGATGCTGTGGATTCGCGGGGCCCCGTCGCCTCAATCAATGCGCGAGAGGTTGCTCGCAGATGACAGTGAGTTTGAGAAAGAGATGATCAGATATTTGGATGAGATGCAGACAGGACAGCTACTGACCGGGCCCATGGAAGTGGTAAAGGAACGCATTCCTATTAAGCCACAACAAAAGAGCGAGGAAGGCGACATCCATCATCTACACAGACCCGAAGACAATGAAAATACGGGTAGTCAGGACGCACCGACCGAACCCGCAGAGGATCCCACGCAGACGATGCCAGTGCCACCACCCGCGCCCTGTCATTGCGTAGAAGGCCGATGTTCCTGTAAGATCAATCAACGAAAGTGGTGGAATTCATTCAAGCAGACCGTTGACAACTTGATACTTCGCGTTCAGATACACAAGTGTATTCGCAAGCGGGCCGCGCGTAAAGCTGAGTCGGACAGCACAGGGAAAAGAGACCCATTGGAAGGTATCAAAGGATGCAAAGGCGATGACGACGTGTGCGATGCCAGGTTTCCGAGGGAATACATCGAGCAATCCTTTGTCGACCGCATGACCGGTGCTATTCACTTGATGAAGCGCGAAGTCATGATGAATTGCGTCACTCCTGTCCTTACCTATCTTATGAGAAGCAACACCGATACGACGAGCTTGCAATCAGGAACATCGATGAAGGCTATTGTCATGTACGTATCAGATTATATCACGAAAACCTCGCTGAAGACTTACCACATCATGTCCTGTATAAAATCGGTATTCGAGCGTAACGCCCCTTCGTTCGAAGGATCGGTGGACGATAACAAAAGCGCAAGGAGGCTTATGGTGCAAATGGTGAATGCCTTGGCGCCGCGCATGGAAATTGGCAGTCCTCTGGCAGCCACGTACTTACTTGATCTTTCCGACCACTATAAGAGCCATGAATTCTCCCTCATCTGGTGGAAGAGCTACGTCAACAGAGTGCTTGATGACTGTCCTGATACGGCGCGTCCAAGAGCTTTTGAAGAGCGCGTCGTCGTGAGGAACGAGGACGGAGAACTTGTCGGAACTTCCATCATCGACGATTATATATATCGACCGACTCGTTATGAGAATTATAGCCTCTTCGAATGGGTGCAGTGCTCAAAAAAGTCCAAAAGGACGCCGACGCAACAAAAGAAATTTATGGGGGAAGACGACGACGCACCTGATGAGGAAGAGGAGCTACCGACGCTAGATGAGTCCGATACGCCACGTCAGCCGGACATCCTACCCCCTCTCCCGCGTATTCCCAGAGTCGTTCCCTTGATGGATGGAAGTCAGACGTCGCCTATGCGCATAAATCGCAGGCCTATATACGAAGCATTCTTACCTGAACATCCGCAACACACCTCGCACCACGTCTGGTGCGACGCTAGCAAAAGGGAGTACATCATACCAAACTTTGTCGGGGGTTCCCTGCCAAGAAGCGATCAAGGTGACCGTGAATACTATTGCGCTACAATGCTCACCTTGTTTGTCCCATGGAGAAAAGGTACAGATCTTAAGCGCCCGGAGTACAACTGGGACAATACCTTCAAAGACCACGTCTTCAGCGAACGAGAGCAACAACTCATGGCTAACTTCAGCTTGAGGTACGAGTGCGCGGATGCGCGAGACGACTACAGGAACGAGTTGAGGAAAAAGAAGAAAGCGGCCACTGTCAACTTCGACACCGCCGGTGATGGGGATGACAATAGTGAATGTGGATGGTACGGCGAAGACCTTGACCTGGATGTACCGGATGACGGAGAGACCGGTCCCAAGTGGAATAGAAGACAAGAAACTGTTGACATGGCGCGCACATACGCTACCGTATCCAGATGGGTCAATTATGTGCCTGGGGAAAAATGTGACGCTGGAACAGGAGCATTTCAGCCAACGAAGACAATGAGAGGTTCTCAATGGGCGGCGTACATTGAAAACCTGAAGCAATTGCTGTTCCAAGGTCGGACCAAGAACTTGCCTCGGGCACGTACGACCACATTGGACGACCAGTCTACTGGTACGCAAGGGACGTCCGAGACTGGCGTTAAAATCCTCCCGCCGTCCTATTTCACCGCAGAATATGCCAATGACAAACCTGATCTCGCGAGCCTGCAAGAAGACATTATACACCGATTCAAACTGAACCCGGACCAGCAAAGGGCGTTCACCTTGATCTCGAATCACGCGAGTCGCAAGCAAGCCGAACCGCTCCGTATGTTCTTGGGTGGTATGGGCGGCACTGGCAAGTCCACGGTGATTAAAGCCCTGACCGAGTTCTTCAAACGGCGGCAGGAAGAGCACAGATTCCTGATCATGGCACCAACAGGTGCAGCGGCGGCGCTGCTCGATGGGTTTACATACCACTCCATACTGGGTCTAAAGTGGGGTTTCAAGAACGAGAATACGGACAACTTGGACAGTAAAAGTGTCCGGGACATTCAACAACGTCTCCTGGGAGTGGAGTATGTCTTCATCGACGAGGCATCTATGTTAAACTGCTCAGACATGTATCGCATAAGCGCAAGTATCGCTAAAGCACGAGGAGTACATGACTTACCTTTTGGCGGTATGAACATCATCTTCGCGGGAGATTTTGCACAACTGCCTCCGGTTCGAGGATGCCGACTGTACGATAGGAAAGTTCAGACCGATGTCGAGCGCAAGCGAATGTCTCTGGCCGTTCAGAAGAACATCATTGGTAAAGCAATCTGGCACCAAGTAACAACAGTCGTCATATTGACGGAGAATATGCGCATGCGTACTGCGACCGCAGAGGATCGGGATTTTGCGGATGCTCTAGCGAACATGAGATATGGCGCATGCACAAGGGCGAATATAAGCTTACTAAACTCATTCGTAGTGGGCAGCGAACCAGGCGCGCCAGATCTCACGGACGAGAAATTCAAAAATGTCTCCATTATTACCGCGCGTAACGCGGAAAAGGACGCTTTCAATGAGTTAGGCTGTAAAAGATTCGCGGAGGAGACAGGGCAAGTACTAACGTCGTTCTATTCGTGCGACTACCGTGCTGCTGAGGAGATGGCGAGCGGTCCGTCTCGAAAGAAAGGTCGGGGTCGCAAAAGGCCTATCAACGCGGGGTCAGGCCTATCGGACGGAATGCAGAACACCCTTTGGACGTCCCTACCATGCTTCACGGAGCAGATACCCGGCAGATTGGACTTGTGCATAGGAATGCCGGTGATGATAAGATCGAATATAGCGACGGAGCTGTGCATGACGAAAGGGCAAGAAGGCGTTGTCTGCGGATGGACAGCGTCAATGGGTAACCGCAAACAACGGGTTCTGGATGTACTCTTCGTGAAGCTTGTGAATCCGCCGAAGACGGTCCACATCGATGGCCTGGAAGAAAATGTGGTTCCGCTATCCAGACAAGAAGAACGAATCACCTGCTTGTTAAAGAACGATGATGTTATCACCATCGATAGGTCTCAAATCCCTGTCCTGCCAAATTTCGCTATGACCGACTATGCTGCGCAGGGTAAAACGAGACCTACCAACGTCGTCAACCTCACAAACTCGCGGTCACATCAAGCCGTGTACACGGCGTTATCGAGGAGCTCGTCTGCGGATGGAACGGCTATCATGACTTCGTTCGCAAGCGGTCTCATTACCAAAGGAATGGACGACCAACTGAAGAGAGAGTTCAGAAATCTTGAAGTTTTGAACGATATCACGCGCCTGCGTTACCATAATCAGCTACCTGCAAGCGTCGAAGGGGACACAAGAAACAAACTGATCAAATCCTTCCTCAACTGGAAAGGCGATGACTACGAGATACCGGGTTTGCATGAGGCGTTGCAATGGAAATCATTGAGTGACTGGGACGATCTAGACACACCGTTCGGGCGTCAGTCATGGCAATACGCAGAGAATGAGAAGTCAGAAGCCGTCAGCCAAGAACCTGAAACGAAGGGCAGTAGAAGCAGTGCACGGAAGGGAAGTAAAGGTCGTCACATAACGGACTCGCAGGAGGCAGCCCATGATAACGCGCCTACGCCGGAAAAAAGAAAGAGGAACAGCAATCGATCGACGGAACGCACAAAACCTTCGAATGACAGTGCCCATGCCCCGAAGCGTGCTCGACAGACACGTCCCGACAGTATGATCAGTAAGCGTAAGCGAGACAGAAGTAGCGTGACACAGAGCAATGAATCCCTGGTTAGAAAGAAGAGGAATGGAGCGAAGGTAGGGGCACAATCGACCGCAGTATCGGAGACGCACGTACCTCGGGGATACGAGTGGAACTCGACTGACTGGAGTTGTCCGTACGACTCGTTGTTCACTATCCTGCATGCAATTTGGAAGGGAGAGCCGCGTCGCTGGTCGCCCGTACTGGCCAATAGCACCGTCTTCGCCGCAGAGCTGCAAAGACAATGGACCGCCTACGAAGAAGGACGTGTGCGACAGTGGTCAACTACCAGGGACGTTGTGAGACGCATGCTGAATGACGACGCACCATTAAACTTTCCATACGGCCCTTCGCCCGCGTCTGTGGCGAGGCTCCTTCGTGCTGTCATCGGCGAGGAGACATTAGTGACGAAGACTAGTCGGTGCCCCGATTGTCACACGACTCGCTCGCGAGACGTACCAATTCTACGACAAAATGCTTCGCTGTACACGGCGAACCTGCTGCGCGGTAGACGCCCAGCATCATTCACTACAGCGTACTGGTTGACAGAAGTGCTCAAGGGCACAAGTCGGAAGCAGACGTGCGCCCTATGCGGGGCGTATGTTGCCGTGGACGTGTCCATTCTGCGTACTCCTGATCTACTATGTCTTGACATGACGCAGGAAAAGCTCGTGATCTCTCCTACCTTATCGTTCAACGGCGCTTCAATGAAACTCAGAGGTGTAATCTACGGTGGACAGAATCACTTCACCTGCAGAGTTGTCGACGACGACGGCCACCTATATCGTCACGACGGCATAGACAACGGAGAAGAATGCGAGAAAGAAGCGGAGCTGACTAGGATACTGCCAACAGATCTAGGACTATGGCGGTCGCGCGGCGGCAGCATCAAGGTTGCATCCTTCGTTATATATGAGCTCGAGCGAAGTGTATCATGAAAGCACATACGTGAAGCAGTACCCGAAGCGACGAAGATTATGAGAGACGGAGAGAATGTATTGACGAGGGCGCCACAGAGAATACGGTCGGCAAACTACAAGCGCCCACACTGATTAAGTGGCGTCCATCATGTGGCGTCAACCTTTTTGTGGCGCTCCCGGTCAAATGGTGTAGGCACGTGATCGTTCACACGTCGCGTGCAAAAGGGCGTGCATGAATACACACAGGCGTTGCAACGTATCCTGGCTTTCCTCCGCTACTTGGCGTTCTCTTCTGACTAGCACGAACATCTATTCAGCCGCGGCGTCGCGGGAACACGCGCACTCATGCCAAGGGACTTTTACTTCCGCGCAAAGCCTTCCGACTCATTTGAAGGGCGGCGTCAGATAAGTATCCGCTCTCTTTCACTTACGCTCCTTGTCACTTCTCCCCATCTTCTTTCACTCATACACGCTCGTGAAGAGTGTATCGAATGATACTGTACGCACCAACTACCTATCATATCTTCGTTCACTAAACACGCGAACAGTCCTGACACCTGCGATGATCTTCTATGCTCATGTCTCGATCACTCTGACTTGATGAGCTACGCCCGAGCATGCAAAGACACGCACAGGACTGTGTCGGGATACTGTAGGCGCGCTTTTCAGATCCACAGATGCCTCGCACGATTCATGAGCGAAGCCGACGTCGTGCGCTTTCGGCTCCTTCAGTATCATACGGGCGTCGTCATCGCCGGATCTGTCGCCGTGCAGTTCTTTTCGCGAGACACTTTCCACGATGGCGACCTGGACCTATACGCCGAGCGTCAACATGCCTGGACGACTTTTCATTTTCTTCTCAGCATGGGATACTACTTTTCTCCAAGGCAGACGCAGGAGCGGTCCTTGGATGAGGCACTGGATCAGGCTCTCAACGAGGACATGATCCCGGATGATATCCACTACGACGACAGGTCCATCCTGGATAGCTTCTCCTTCAGGCTGCCACATCGCCGTCGCCCTGTCGTCCAGGTAATACTTGTGCGTACGTCGGCTATCGACGCCATTATGAACTTTCACTCAAGTGCGTTCTTCCTCACAAATACAATCCTTCATAATCTGAATGCGCGCACGTAGCGATCGTCATGAATGTCATTACCTTTCGCTCCGCGTACTCTTTCTTTCCGAGGAGCACGTTCATCAAGAAGATCGGCATCTGCTTCGACGAGGACATCTCCCAGAGCGCGGCAGCGAAGTACACATCACGCGGATGGTCGCTCGTGAACGAATTAGACGAGGCCGAATACTACGAGTTGGGTGGAGAAATTCGACGTGGAGAACGATATGTTGGCGATTCCTGGACATGGACTATCGATCTCAATATCGAGTGAGTAGATGACATACTTCGCAAGCAAGAACGAGCTCAGGCCTTCTTTTCAGCGTGCGGCGCTACGCGGACCTTATACTTTTCAATTCATGGGAGACGACATGGAACACGACGCTTCGCGGTGTCTACACAAGACCAAGCATCTATCGCTTTCTCTCCGACAGTCTCTGCCTATGTTGTTCGGGTCGCATCTTTGCGAACGTCAACTTGTCTCGGTACTTCAAAGAGAAAATATACGCTCGTCCACTGCATAGGTACTTGCATCTTCACCGCTCCATGCCTGCTCCTCACATCACTTGCAGACGCCACGGGGACGACATCCTGCGCGTCGTACTTAGGACAGGATCCCACTCTCTGTTCTGGGTCGATCCGCCAGCAGTCGCTGATGCTTCGTTTGTAGAAGGCGCAGCTACGAGGCTGTCTCGCTTTCCTCCCCCACATACGATAACAGCGCATCCTTACAGACACGAGGCCCAGCGCGATAAAGAAAAGCATTTCGAGCTGCCTGTAAGCGGCATGGGCGTTGGGCCCCGCTCGGTACGATTCTCACTTGCCCTCGAATGAAAGCTGACATGTACAATGAGTTTGCTCCGCCTGTGCGATGCGCAATCGCGCAACCTACCCCCGCCGGCACATCGGAGAATTTCGAGGACGACGAGGACGACATTATTTGTCTCGGAATGTCGTTCAAGATCATTCCTGGGCTCTTTCAGAAACCGGACGCCCCTCGACGACGGATTCCTCAGGCACAGGTACGCAGCTACCTTTTGCCGCGAATTTCACTAGTCGATTTACACCCGTTCACAAGGCACGACCGACGAAGAAGCAGCGCACAGACACGCACCCTTGACTGGTATCCTTAGTATTAGGCATTATTGTTCGGCCTATGATGGGCAATGGAAACAGAGGGAGTCGATTCGCGCTCATGATGTGACGGAGGATGGTTGCCAGGCGTGCTGTACATCGACAGGTACGTCTGAGTCAATTTTCTATTTACTTCCGCACCGGCGCAATGGATGGGCTGACACGGATAATCCAATGTATCTTTTCTGGGGCACGAATCTCGACTTTACTTCTATATTTCCAGCGCCCCAACGTCGGCTGCAAAGACCGCCGGACCCCCATGAACACGCTCACACCACATCGTCGCTCAATCATGACACTGTAAATGGTGCTACCTACTCGAATGCCCGAGCTAATCTGTTCGCAGTCCTGATACCTGCGACGAGCCTCTGTGCACGTGGTTATCTCTGACCGATCTTATACGGCTGGCAAGTGTATGCCGTGACACAAAAGACACAGTCGCGAGATATTGCGCGGGGACATACACGCTGCACCGTTGTCTCGCTTCTTTCCTTAACTATAGCGCGGTCAACATCCTTCGGGACATAATGGAGCGCACGTCGACGGTGATATCGGGCGACATCGCGCTGCAGTTCTTCTCACGCATCACACTGGACAATCCTGTCCTTGATTTATACACCGAATATCACCATCGATACGCCGTCGTCAACGGCGTCATTGCCCTTGGGTACCTCTTTCGACCACGGGTTTCCCAACCATCGCACGTTGAGGGCGCACTCCATCACCTATCGTACAATCAAGAGAAGGATGACTATGTCAATAGCATTCATGGCGTCCGCGATGTACTTGCTTTCACAAGTTCGTCTACTGGAGGGGTCTGCGTACGAGTCTTCATCGTCTCCGGTTGCGCCGTTGACGCGATTTTGTCCCAACCTCACAGTATGTGAACAAGAGTTCAGAACGTTCAGTCAGCTCATACGAAAACAGCCATGCAACACAACATCATAACCTTTCGAGCGGCGTACTCGCTCTACCCCAAGACGACGTTTGTCGACAAAATCTCTCATCCAGTAGACTCGCTCGAACCCAATGTGCCGGCGAAATACGCGGCTGAAGGGTGGACGTGCGCAAGCGAAGTTACTCGCGCGCGATTAGCGCATCTACCGAGAGAGCTACGAGCGAAGAGCAGATACGTTGGCGATGAGCATACATGGACTATCGATTTTGATACTACGTGAGTTCACCGGTAGTCTGAGCAAACGCGCGACCTTATTATCATGCAGACGGGACCGGCCACTGGATCCCACGCTCTTCAACTCGTGGCACCTGCTGTGGTGGGAGAGAGAGCGTGGGCAACAAGTACTTGAACCGACGATTGAAAGGCACGTATACATCGGGCCCAAGTCCTGGTTGCAAAATCGAGTGCTTGGAGATGTGGATCATATTCGCGAGTTCACTTGCGAACTTGGTACAACGCAGTCAGATATTCATCCGTAAGTGGAATTTCAGCCTGCCATGCGTCTCTGACCACTCCCAGTCATTCAATCGAGGATGTACTCAAGGCCCTCATAAGAAGCGGTGCTAAACATTTATTCCACGAACGCCAGCCTGCCCCAGCCATAGTCAGGCGTATGGATGATGTTGAGATGCATCCCATGGTTGTCCTCGGTATCCCGCAGCTCATCCTCGACTCAATCGATGACGATGTACCGCGGAAGACAAGGGAGGCTGAGCAACAAGATTAACATGTGTCGGATGAGGCTGTAGGGTCAACTACCGAATGCTCGTCATACTTAATGTAGGTTAGCTTATCTCAGAAAGTTATCATGGGCATTTTAGGAATGTACCGAGACCTCACTAGCTAGATCGGACTAAGAAATGAAGTCAACAGCAAAGTGGTCGATCAACTGCTGGGACGCACGTGGAAGCCGCTGATCGCCGGCGGTACCGCACTCACGTGAACATAATCCCGTGTCTTCACCCCTCTTTCCCAAGCGTCTGTCACTCGCGACACAACCATCGCACTCGAATGGCACAGATTGCAACGCCTTCCGAGGCACGCTCCCTCAAGCGTACAATGCGTAATCACTGATTGACGCTCGCACAGATCGCGGACGTGATCGAAGCAGCCATCCTCGCACGACACGAAGCGAATCAAGGACGACTAGAAGCCACAGAGGAGGCAGCAGCACTGGCCGCCGAGGTGGAAAGACTCAGCCACGAGAACGAGTCTCTCAATAGAGATCTGGTGATTAAAGAAGAAGAGTCGCAGGATCGACAGCACAATGTCACCACAGCCAGACGAGCGTACCTAGATGCGATGACTCGCATCGATACCGCAAGCAACGTCTTTGTACGTCTCTGGCGAAACTTCCCATTACCACGGAACTTATCGATACACTCAGGCGGCAATCATGGCAACATTGCCTCTATGCGAAGGTTGTCAGGCTCCCGCTATCGGGCATGTATTCCCATGCAACCATCGAACGTGTGGCGGGTCCTGCCTGATGGACGTATGCCCTGACTGTTGCTGCTTGACCAGATACGAGGCCTGCCCTACTCATGGGCACACAGTCACTTGTGATGTGGGCGGCTGTGGAAAAGTCGTGGACAAGGTCGTTCCTATCAAAAGCTCTCCTTTGCAGACAATCGCTGTAAACAATTATGCGGAGATGAAGCAAGTGGTGCATTTCCGCGACGCATCCGCGGCACTTGTCGAGCAGTGGGACGGCGAGAGAGGAAGCGACAGTGACATGTCGGACGATCAGATACAAAATGTATAAATTACGAACTTTTGTTATGTGTTCCACTCATGAGCATGCTTAGGCTCATATCCACAACGCACAAGAATAGCCGCAGGTCTCGTACATGCCCTTAGGGCCAGATACTAGTTGTAGTTTTTACCTCATCCGTTTGTCCTCGTACAACCACGTAGGACAACCGGAATACATTCTATCCTGTGGAACTCATTGGCGACTACGACTACAACAACAGTCCAGATCGGGTTTACACTCCCTTAACCTGATCAAACCGGTCTAGATCAGGTTAACATCTCCTTAACCCGATCAAGACGCCACATTGCTCGATCGCTGAGCGCTGAGGCCTCACCGCTCCCAAAAACATCCTCTTAACATCTCCAAGTCCGGGCTATCTTCCCTCCTCCTTGTGTCTTTCATGCCCCTCATTGCACACAGCCTCTGCCACCTCCGCCACAACTTCCCCTGCAGCGCACACATCAGGTCCAGCAACCCTGATTCACTCACCTTCTGGCACACCGGATCCCACGTTGTGTTGTCTCACTGCGGTGGAGGTGGCAGTGGCGAGATACGCGCGCAGTTCCCCTACGAGGACGTTCGCAAATGCGCGTCGAGCAGGCAGCGGTCGCGCAGATAGACACTCACCGACATGTTCACCCTTCTTCGTGACGCGCGCGTTAAGATTGCATGCGCTGTGCAGGCGGGAGCCGCGGGAGTGGAGGCAGCAGTGTTGGTGAGAGGCAAGGAGCGCAGACGCGATCGGAGAACGCATCCGGTCACGTTGACGCAACGCGACACGTGCCGGCCCGCAACGCCACATATCATTACGCCACGCACGAAGTTCAGGCGCGGAGATGTAGCCAAACCTGTCCGAATCGACAGCGCTGAACCAGTTCCATAATCTAATCAGGAACGTTCAGCATCCGTAATCCGCCGCACCACTTGCTGCTACGCACTGAGGATCAGCACCAGGAGGAGGGCCCGGAAGAGGTGCAAAGCCTCCAGGTGCGCCGTAGCCGCCACCGTACCCCGGAGGACCGCCAGGAGGGGGTGTGTACTGTCCATCGATGAGCTCAGATCGCGCGCCACACCAAATCGCCACGCACGCCAAAGACATGGCTATCACTCAAAAGTGCAGAGAGGGAAAGACATGGGAGACGCAGCCTCGGAATCGGAGCACAGGAAAGCGGTGATGCGAGATCCCAATGATGGCATCGCCGCTTCCCGAGGCGGTGGGCAGTACGCGCTCTTGCGACAAGGACATCGCGCAGAGTCAATCTGCGACCTGCGGGGGAACTGCACTGCGATCGCGATCGCCCGTCCGCATCCCGGCCCGACTGCCGGTCGTCGATCTCCTCTGATCCCGACCTCACGCGTTTTGTTCTCGACCACCGCCGTCGCCTCGTCGTCGTGCTCACCCCCGCCGCCATCGCTACACGTGCTGCCCTACCCGCCTCAAATACCGTTCAGCAATTGCGGAGTCGTCCGTTTTCCGCGCGGGCCAGAGCTCCATCCCCCCTTTGCGCGGCGCGAGCGGAGCGAGCGCGTAAGCTCTGCGCTTTTCACTCTACGGCTACTCTACTCTAGCTCTCACACTACTACTGACTCCCCCCCCTCCTCCCCTCTTCCCTCTCCCTCTTCCCTTTCCTCCTCCTCCCCTCTCCCTTTTCCTCCTCCTCCCCCCTCCCCTTTCCTCCTCCTCCCCCTTCCCTTTCGGAGGGGAGGGTTAGCACGGCTCGGAAGGAAGGACCACGTACCGTGCTTCGTGTCGGATGGGTGACGGGACGCTCGGCCGCGCTCGCGCGGGAGCTCTCGGCGATTTGGACGCCGCGGAGGGGCGAAAACGCGCTCGATTCGAAGGTGAGCTCCTCCGCGTTGAATGCGACTGCACGATGAGTGATAAACTCATGCCGCGATCGCGGGATCACGTACTCGACGGGTGGTTGTTGGGTCGCCGATGCGCGCGGTGGCAGGCAAGCGGAGTGCGGGGAGCATCAGGCCATTGATCTGGCTCATCGGCGTGTTCTCGCGTCGACTCCTTGTAGTACATGATGTAAAAATCGAGTCGTTGAATATAAGGATTTACTGTACTTCGACGGCGCTTGGGAGACCTGCGAGGACTGGTAAGCTCGTCATCCATGTGTCATGCTCAGTGCACGCACCTCATCCACGAGCTGATGCTGCTCGTTAGGCTCATTCCGCCCTCCGTCGTCTTGATATCATCCGCGTGCGTTGCCAAGTCAGCCTTCAACTCATGAAACACGGTAAGCTCACGTACCTTGTCTGCGAGCTAATCTCGCACCCTCAGCCACCCATCGCTCGGCTCTCCTCGACGAGCCGAGCGTGTTCTCCTCGTGACTGTCTCGTCCTCGTCTCGCTCGCTGTCGCCTTGATCTCGTGCTCATGGTTTCGTCTCGCTCTCGCTCGTGCTTGCCTCTGCTCAGTGCTGATTCAGGTGTAGTGCTGTGTCCTCATCCTATTTCGTCTTGCAATCGAGTTGCTGACTGTTCTTACAGCATGTGACGGCGGCGTAGGCGAGACGTGCAGAAAGCCAAGGTGGAAAGGAGGAAGCAGAGAAGTGAAGGAGGAAGGACGGAGGACAAAGGACGAAGGAAGAAGGTACAGTGACACGAAACTCACTCAGAATGTGCCGTGATCGCCGGTGTGGCGCAAGACCCTGACCTCGAACCCATCAATCCAGGTTCTGATTCCAGGAATCCTGTGCACCTACATCACCTTCCTCTTCGGGTGCTCCTCCCCATCGGGTGCTCGGTAGCAGCGGTTAAAATCGTGAGCAGCGAGTGATTGGGAATAACCATCTGCTCATTGTGTAATGCCATCCGAGATACAGTCAGAGTGTCAGGTATAGGATACAGTATCTAGAATTGTGTAGTGAGGAGGCCTGACGTGTGATACGGCTCCTGCCGAATGGAATGAGCTGCGAGCATGAGAAAATTCAATTCAAGCCTGAGGTCTTCACAAGATGCAAATCCGGAGAGAAGGGGTGTTGCAGTAGGGAGCAACACACAGACCGCACACCGAGGTCGGGAGGTCATCTACGACGGTCGGAAACAAGAACACTCAGTCTCGAACTCACCGGGAGCCGTGCTGGTCAGCCGCCGGGTTCGAACCCGGGTCGAAGGCACCCAGCTCATCCCTTGCCTTACGCGTCCATCACTGTCGACCGCCGACTTTGCCGCCGACACAATATCCAGCCGTATATACCACACCCATTGCCATGTCGGCACAAATCCGCTCCGGAGCTTCAAAAACCGTCCGCTCACGCAGTTCCCCCGCCGTCGAGATATGAGCAGCCTGAGCCAGCGGAAGCAAGCGAAGTGAGCTCGGAGGTGCAACGGGCTTCTGTTGCCTGAAGACAACTCGGACTGACCTGTAAGGAACGCGGGAACCGTCCAATGTGCCTGTGATGAGCGTGAAGTGCACGGTGAGCTTCGAATGTGGGGATGAGCTCAATAACGCGCGTGAGCTCCCCGTTCGACTCACGGCAGAGCGCGACGCAGCAGCGCACGCCCGCCCACCCAAATCCGAAGGGAACCCTCCCCCCCCCTTCATCTCCGCATGACGGGTAAGCTTTCCGGGCGTCCAGATCTACCGAAAAGTGCACTTACTGACATTTGGCCAGATTGCACCTCGCCCCCAAACTTCCACCGCTCGAGCTCAATATTTCAGCTCCACGTCTATGAAACGCGGAGATACGGGGACTACCGATTCGGCGGAACTTTGCCGCAAGAGCGGACATGTCAAACGGTAGGCAGAACTTTTGCCGGAAATGCAGAATAGTGCATTTACCTGCATTCTGGCAATAGAGCAGGCCACAGCGCATCCAAAGTAGCTTTAGGACGTGAGTGGGGTCGGTAGGGTGCCGAAAGTCGCCGAGGTAAAGTCGGACGAGCTTTCTTCGCTCGTTCTCGCGGGTGGCTGAAAGCTTGCCTTATGCGGCAGGCACACGCTTTGCCCTCACAACGCTTTTCGACGACTCTGCTCATGAGCTCTTGTACCTGGAAAACTACATCACCCGGACCAGGGAGAGACGCCGACCACCCTCAAGAAGTTTGGCGCGCTCGTTTGCCGGCGTCTCTTGGTAAATCGCAATATATGCCAAACGGCGCTCTCCCAGCTTTGCTGGGCTACCATACCTCGACCTCGGCACCTGGGACCTCGAGAACACCCACCCCCTATCCTTCTGATGCAATATCTCGACGCGCTATACAGTTCTTTCTCCCCGACATCCTCAGACCTGGTCTGCTACCTCCGCTCCTCCCGCCTCGCCTCGACTCGTAACTTCCACTGGCGCGGAGCCGCTTTGTCAACACCGATCACACAGGGTCCCACCATTTGTCACGATTAAAACACGCGGGGACCTGGGCGCCGGCTCCCTGAATTCAAAGAGAAGCGCGGAATATGCGCTGTTGGGGCTGAGCAGGACGAGGGCGAGCGGCAACGAATATCCGGATTACAGTGAGGCGGACTCGCTTACCGCAGAGGTGTGGCATCAAGGGGAAGACTCGGCCAAGTCGGGAGAGTCCGTGCGCTCCTGGACTCGTATAAAGGGCGGGGTGAGTGGTCGGTTTTCCTCACTTCCCCATCCTCCTCCCCTCTCCCTCCCGTCCTCTTCCCCTTTTCCCCTCCTTCACTCGACCGCTCAGCTTCATCCCTTCACTTTCCCATTTACCCCTTATATCTCGCTCTGCTCTGAACCTTTTAACGGAGCGCATCTCGTCGATTTTCGCTCGTCTTCATTACATGGCCTCAAATGCGTCAACACGCTTTGCTATTCCTCTCCATCGGTCACATTCACTAATAAGTACGACACAGGTAGTCTTCCGCTACCTCGGACGTTTGTCCGTCCTCCGAGACGTCTTCAGTAGAGGTGAGTCCACGCTCTGCCTCGGATCTGATCTCTGTGCTGACTCGGGCGTTTACAGATATTTCGGCAGACTTACATCAACTAGCGACCAATTGCTTAAGGGTGCTGGGCTCTATTCCGACACGCCCACCTACAGTTGGCGAGCGCTATCTCAGCGCTTTCATTTCCGGTGAGTTTTTCCATTTTGTTTGACATTTCGAGCGAGATGCTAACTGTCAAGCCCTCCCTCGACGACCTCCTCAATACCACCTTCATCAGTACGTCCTTTTCAGAGACGAGGGAAAGTCTCCGATGCGGCTGCAATCAGTCGTTGATTTCGGGCGAGTTTTATTCATCCTGACTCGTACGTCCCTACTGTACTTGCCATTCAACGTGATTGGCCTGATTCACCCTCCTTCAAGCACCCTAAACCACTCTGTGGTCTGTCCGACGCGTCGACCGCCGTGCCCGACCGTCGCCCGCGGCACGATTCGTGGTCGCCGTCACCCATACCGTAAGTCTATTGAGTCCGTCACGGCACGTGTCATTAACCTCTTGCTTCCTACCACCACGTCGACCACGTCCGCAGCAAGAACGCCCGCCGAGTCGGACAACGACGACGACCCCGACTGCATGGCCGTCGCTCTTCCCCATCCTTACGCCCCGCGACGTCCAAAGGCCACGGTAAAGGCCCAAGATGCGGCCGCCATTTATTCCTCTACCTACTCACTTCCTCGCCCTCGCACCCGCTTTCGCCCCAATTCACGGATCGCCAGGCTGGTAGGGATGTCGTTCTCGGCAGCTGCGCAGTTCCTACGATGCGCAAACCGCCGGAGGCATGCGCGAGGATTCTAGGGCGATTGATGCGAAAATCAGTATGTACTCTCATTTATCGCTTGAGACTCTTGCTGACCCGACGATCAGGTCTAGAAGACGCCGAGGACGATGCCCGTGATCGTCAAGACGTCGTCCAGTTGCTATTCACCCCGCCTCGAGGTTCTCGGGGTCATTGAGGTGCGCATAAATAGGTTTTGACTAAAATTCCTCACTGATTTTGACTCGACCTAGATACCTGTCAATTGATCTCATACCCCGCGACCCTCCACGCCCCCGAGCCGCCGGAGGCATGCGCGGGGCCCCAAGAATGATTAATGTGGAAATGCTGGTAAGTTTCGTCTTCGACGATCCGTAACATTTGCTGACATGGGCCGTCCACCGTCAAGTTCTGGAGGTGCCATCCGCACCGACCGACGCCCTCGACGAGCCAGTCCGCTCTCTCCGCATCGCCGAAGGCCTCGACTAGGTTTCTGGGGTCATTGAGGTGAGTGCACGCGTTGGTGAATTAGTTCCAAAATTCGCGCGACATTGGAAAACGCTTGCTGACTCCGCCGGAGGCATGCGCGCGCGCCCTCGGGTGATGAATGCGACAACACCAAAGGTAAAGTTATGACCGCCTCCTTATCGTCTAAATTGTCGCTGATTTTGTACTCGTAGCGGTAGTTCACAAGGGGAAGAGCGCGCGCCGCTCGCAGCCGCGCAGCGGCGCGAATGCAGGGAGATATGGTGGAGGGAACACTGAGGACGCGTAGTACACGGACGCGACGTAGTACGCGTCGAGTGGCGACTCAGGCCAGCACACGCTTAGGCGGCCAGCGTCTGACTGACGAGTGCGTCGGCTGGATGCCGCCGTCTCAAATGCGCCGACAAGACACGCTGAAGCCGTGCGAGAGCAGGGAGATCGGTCGAGGGGACACATACGGTGACTGGCCGACGCAGACGAGAGCACGCGGCGACCGATGAGTGCGGCGGGTCGTCACGAAAGCGCCGACAAGACACGGCGAATCGCGCGAGAAGCGACACCGGCACGCGCGCGGACGGGGGAGACCATGACCGAGCTAATCACGGCCGTCCCGCCGCCACCGCTGCTGCCCGAATGCGAAGAAGACGCCCCGTGAAGAGGTCAGTCATGTCGGCAGGCCGTCGTCTGGATGTTATGAGATGAGAGCTGACCCTTTGCCCGCAGATTCGACTCTACGCCTCCCCATACCCCTTCACGCCGCGCCCCCGCACGACCCCAGGAGAGGGGAGACCATGCCCGTACGTCGCGAGGTATGGCTCTGACCCTAATCTCAAGTTCTCGCGGCTGACGTGCACGAGCAGGACCTTACCTCGATGTTTATCATCCCGAAGGTACGTCCCTGCCCCCCTCTTCCTGCGTTAACAGCGAGCTAATACAAGCTCAGGCCTCGCTACTGAGTCGCCTCCATCGCCGTCGAGCCGGTCTCAATATGCTTCAAATCGGACACCTCAAGTTCAAACTCAACGAAAACACAAAAATTTGATCTCCGAGTCAATATACAAGGTACTTAGCCCTTCATTATGCGCCTTCCTGACGCTCATGGATCCTCAGACCGCCTCATCGCCGCACTCTACACCACTCGACGATGGGCTGCGAGCGATGCGGCACCCCTTTGACCAACTGCCCTCCCCCATCATCCCACCTCTCAACCCGGTGATTTCTCAGCAAGGTGAGGTCCTCCTCATGATGAGGGACCTACGCAGATGCGCTCAACACGCCACAAAGAGCTTGATCGACGACGGCACGCGAGAGAGGGGCGAGGAGGGGGAGTGCCGTTTCCCCTCGTCAAAAGGTATGTATATTCCTTCAACAATCTCGCCCTATGCGTTCAGGAAGAACTAACAGACCCCGACAAGCTGTATACACGCCGTTGCCACGGCCGGGCATCGACGAGGAGGCCCTCGACTTTGAAGGGGGTGACCCTCACGGCTCGGTGAGTACTCAACAGGTTGCCATTAAAATCGATATCTAAGACGAATGCACTCAGCCTGTACTACTACAGCCAGCAGCGCTCACCCCTCGGCGCTGAATAAGACACGGCAGGCGGGGGGAGGGGTGGGGAGGAGGGTGAGATAGTAAGACGACCTCCCTGCGCGACGACGGCGGCACGCAGCGGCGGTCTCTCTTTGCGTTCGCAGAGCACCAACAACGCGCCGACCGCATACATAGTCTCGCAGCGAGCGCGCACGAAATGAGCCCCTCATCTCATTTTCTTTCGAAAATCCGACCTTTTCTCACACGGCTCGCGCGAGGCCTGCAGGACTGGGACGGACCTCGAACACGGCGGAGACGCATCGCATAGCTCGGCAGAACGTCTGGGAGAGTACACGCAGACCGCCGCGGCGCTCGCGCGGCTCCCTCGTTCTCGCGAGGGTGGGGGAGATGGCACCCCACCCCACCCTCTCCCTCCTCCACTACAAGGTGCGCTTTTGTTGGGCCTTCGTTCTGCATGTCGTTCTCGTTGCTGAAGCGTTTATAGGACTGTACTCCGCGCGGGCGAGGTGCTCTCGGCGCCGTAGAAAGCGGTGGGGTGGGGGAGGACAAGGAGGCAGGGGGGATGTCGAGGGCGAATCGAGCGCCGCTTTCAACGTTTTCTGCCTCGTGGGTGGCGTGCGCGACGTCGCGGGACACGGGGAAGGTGTTTGGCGGCTGCGGGAGGGGTCAACAAAGGAGGGGAGCGGGGTGGAAAGGGCGAGACAACGCGCGAAGTCGCCGTCGTGGTGGTCATCTGGCAGTGCAGTAGCGTAGCGCGCGTACTCGTAGAATAAACATGAAATATATTGAGTTTTGCACCTACTTGCACGACGTGAAGACGACGAAGAGGAGCGCGAAGGCGTCGCCTCCTTTCGGCGGCGGGCTGCCGCGCTCCCTGTTTTGAACCACGAGCGGCTGAGGAGACGAGCCCTCGCGCGCAACCACCGGCGTCCGGGAAGTCCGCACACGCGCGCACGAAGCGGTCGAAGGGACGTCGCGGATCGTCAACACAAAACGGTGAGATAGTAACTTTGAGTCACTACCCCACCAAAGGGGAAATGTCGTTTGAGCCGCGCTCGATGAAGACGAAAGGGGCAAAAGCATGACTCGTTCTCGCCATTTGACAAAGCAGAAGGGCGAAAGCGCCCTCCGCCCTCGATGAAGAAGGGCGACAGACACCCTCGACGAGGAGGACGGGGGAAGGACACCCTCGTCCTTGCTCTGAGAAGATGATCGGGGTGTTTGTTAGCCAGATCGGGCATACCTATAACCCAGTTAGGTTATACACAAATAGTGATCGAGTGCCCGATCGTGACCCCTCCGTCAGGATGCCTCAGTACAATGTATTATGCCTGCTCCGTGGGCCCACCCTAGTCCGGCGCGCATTGCACCCTTACGCCCTCTCACGCGCTGCTCATCAGATGTGTGGAAAATTGCAGGCGGTGGCGGCTTTCGCCCTTCGTCACCATGGTCGGGCTGTATAATTAGTTATACCCTATAACTATAGGGGGGTGTATTATAATATACCCAGTACTTACTGGGCGTTAGCCATAGGGCGTATCATGATATACACTCTGATGGGGGAAACCTGCAATTACCTTGGGTTCCCCTGCTTTTCCGGTAATTCTGGCGCGTTATTCACGGTCCCCGGCCGTTTTCGGTCACAATCTGATATCGCCGGTTCGACGGTACCGCCAGTGATGGCCTTCGGTGCCGTCGGAGCCTGCCGCTCGCGTTGCTGGGCTGCCACCTGCCGGGTATTGGTGCTGATGGCCTCGAAGGGACTGCAAATGTGTCAAACAGAGCGTCGAGGGTATACTAGGTATACCCAAGCAGTACAAGTACATAGAGATCAACGATATAGCAAAAGATTAGAGCAATGGAATACCACGAGAACTGCGCCACAAAATCCACCGACGGCCTTCCCGCGCGATACCTGCCTCGGAAAGTCTGCCGCGAGCGCGTAGACATTGAGATAGCCCCGGCGACGGGGGACAAGCCTCCCGCGAACGCGTAGACATTGAAATAACCCCGGAATGGGGAGCGGAGGGGCGCACGCACGCATTGCCTGGCGATGAGATGAGCACGAAACCAATGATAACATGACGCGGACATACCAGCAATCAATGCTCCCCTTCATCCACCTCGTCGCCGTCGTCGGGACTGTCGTTGAGAGTATCGGTGAGGTCATCAAGCTCCTGACGAGCCTCTGCTTCGTGCAGGGTATGCGCGCCGTCAAAGCGTAGCGCCAGCGCGTCGTCCGCACGGTGCCGTATGTCGCGCCACTTCTCGGCCAGCCTTGCTGCACGAGCCGTAGCGTGAGCGGCATGCTCGAGCGCATAGGACTGCAGTCCTTCACGAAGCTGCTCGTCCTCGCACATCCGAGATGATGCGCGCTGCTGCCACTCTGCCGCGTCTGCCTCGTTACTGGCGATAACTCGGCGCATCTCCTCGAGGAGCAGGCGAATTTCCTCGCGATGGCGATCCCGTCGGGCCTTGGACTTGAGGTACTCGACACGAAGAGCTGAAGTATGAGTAAGTTCAACAGAAGCAGCTACAGAACAGCTAGTGAGCGTACCTTCATTCTGTACCGAGTCGGATAGGCTGGGGTCCTGAGGAACGGAATACCATATCCATGAGAGCGTCCTGGAGCTCTCTCCGCGGGCAACAACACCGGCGATGTATATGCCGTCGTCAGCCCCGAAGTCGACATCCGCAAGACGCTGTCCGCTGTCGCGTAGGGCCTTCTCTTCTCGTGTCAGCGCACGCTCGTTCAGCGCGCGTACATCGTCATCGGAGAGCTCGCGCAGCACCTCCTCCCAGGGGCCACGTCCGCGCAGACGGAGCAAAGCCGCACGCGAGAATCGATAGCGCAGCTTCGCACTGTGCACGCGCTTGGAGATCTTGTCCAAGACTCCGCGGGAGCGCGTAGCTAGAGTGATGCCGCGTACTTGTCGGTTTCGGAAGGTGTTTGTGACGGTTCGGGCGCGAAGTGCACGTCGCACTTCTTCCAGCGCTTCATGCGCCTCGCCCTCGCGTAGACGAGCTTCAACGACATCGAGACCCGGTGCGCACACAGCTGCACGAGCTCGCGTACCGTTGATCTCGGACGGCAGGAACAGAGCGATGTTTTCGGCGTCGTCGATGTCGTCTAGGAGCTCCTTCTTGGTGGCGGCGAGATGCGCTCTGAGCCCGGGCATGAAGATCTCTTGCTGCCGTCGATAGCGCCGGATCCGCGTCTTCAGATTCCTCGCGCGCTTCATCAGCTCGACCTCCTGCGCTGCCGTGGGATTCTTCATAGATATCCTGTCGATAGATAGTAGGCGCCTAAAACGGCACGTTAGCAACGCATTCCAAGGAATAGAGCTTGCCGACTTACTGTGAGTGCTGTATGTCAAGACCAGTCCTGATAAGAGACGAGGGCGTGCACTCGCGCACGACGGCAGTCCCATCCGATGTTGTCGTCCTCTCCTCTTTCTCCAGGTCGAGCTCCACCTCCTTGACGGACTTGTCTAGCCGACCTTCAGCATCAACTGGGGGAAACAGTGCTTGACGAGAACTCACAATGCGCATGATACTCATACGGACAGGGCTTGGTCTTGTCGACCTGCCAGTCGCGCTCATCTTGAAGCCATTGCTGAACCGTGATGGGGTCGTGCTCGAAGAGGCCGTCGTGGAGTTGCTTGAACTCCGGATATGCAACAGCATACGCCTTGACCGTTCTTGCTAAGTGCTGTGGAAGGAGTCCTTCTGTGGATGATGTTAGAGAACGTCGTGAACTACGCAAGCCAACGTACCCATACTCGCGATGAAGGTATGGTTGTGGTGCCCGATCATACAATCGAGCGTCAGCTGTCGTGTGCCCGGGCCCATGGGCTTTGTCTGCGCGGCGGCCTTGTTCAAGCCGAACCAATTCTGCTCGATTGTCTCGCCGTGCGTGTCGCCAGCGCCGTCGGTGAAGTTCAGCGCTTCCTTCGCGTGGCAGGCAATGGTGTGGGCGGGTAAGTGGAACTTCGGTACGCGCGAAATGAGCTTGTCGGGGGCGACGTTGATGCGAAGCTCCCTCGGGAGCGACTCGTTGCGCCGCCACAGGTTGATCTTGAAGATGCACGAGACATCGTACGTGTGAAGGACCTCGCGAATGCCGGACTCTCGAAGAGCTGATGCCAGGATGTAAGTCATGTTCGAGAATCTGTCACATGGTGAGCACGGTAGAGACGGCCAGTTGTGGCGTACTGCATACCTTTCACCCTTCTGCAGGTCCCCTACGCCATTCGGTCGGAATACATTGTGCCTAGAGCAAGATACCGCGCCAACGCCCGTGGCTCGTAGGCCGAGGACGCGCTTGAGATTCGCCAGGAAGAGCGCGGCGAAACCGGAGCATGTGGATATCTGAAGCCATGTCAGTACATGCGCGTGGTCCCATGAGAGCCTCACATACATCCACCTCATCGACAAACCGCTTGATATAGTCGAGATAGGGCCCACGAGGTACGAAATACGCCCAGCCATCGCCTAGCGGGGGGTCACGAGCCTCATTGGATGCAGTCGTATTTTGAAGGCGAAAGTTGGCGTCTTGCGCGAGGTAAAGCCGGTAAAGGAAGCTGGGAATGCTTCAGTTAGCGAACATTCGCATGCAAGCAACACAGCTTACCTATCCGCCACGGCCGCTGATTCCCAATTGAGAGGGAGGTTCCGCCCCGGCTGCGGACACGCCGGGCATCTGAGCGCCAGTTGGCCGTTCTCCGTGGTCTCGACGCCGTTGTTCACGTGTGCGCGGCCACCGCGTTTGAGTAGTTGGATATGACGGCGTTGTCGGACAATATTCATGAACGCACGTCGCTTGTCCTGCGTAAGTCAGGTCAATGAGGATGGTGATAGCAAAGGAGAAGCGGGGACTTACCGGGACCTTGTTGTCACCGCTATCGCTGAGCTTCTGCAGAGCACGGCAGTACTCATAGACGGCCACCTTGCTGAGCGCGTTGATCTTGTCGAATTGGCGTAGGCAGGTCTCCGTCGCGCACGTCTGAGGAGATGTGGGCGTTGCCGGCCACCAACCGTTGCGCATCAGTTGCTGACGGTGCGAAATGTTGTGACCCTGAGCGCAATGGCAGAAGTCGACTGAGACATTGTGGATGCCGTTGTCGTGTATGACGGTGAAGTCCTTGTCGGCAGCGTGCGCCAACATGCAGAACTCTCCAGGGGGGTGATTCAAGTTGACGCGCAGGCCCAGCGTCTTGAGGTCGGTGCGCTGGAAGTGTCCGTCCGCCTCCAACCATTCCTAGCAATCAAGTTCAGTGAAGGCCTATTGTAGACGAGCAACGAGCGCACCTCCATCCAATGCAGTGGTGTATACGCATGTTGCTTCACGATGCAGGACTGACAGAACATCCAGCGCCCCATACACCCATCTCTGCATCTGAAGCGTGGCGCGGGATCACCGCAATCCCTGCACTGTGCCGTGTACTTCATGCTGCCACGCGACTCCCAGCGGAGCGTCTCGTCCAGGTACTCCTGCCGCAGGGGCATAAACACGCCAACAGGATCGTCCTACATGCTTTTGTCAGTTCCCAGCGCGATCCTCAGAGCTGTATCCACGCACCTGGTAGCGTTTCGGGACTGGCTCGCATATAATATCCTCATTGGCGTTGTACTGCGAGAAAAATCGGTCCTCCTGCACAAGGTCCACGTGTGCCTCCAGCTCCGTCTCGATTGCGGCGTTGAAGGGCTCTGGTAAAGCTGGCTCAAGTCGGGAAGATGTAGCCAGGTGACGGGAAGTTGGGTTCAACCGTCGTTTGTCTGCAGAAACATCGATGAGGACGGCCTTGTGCGGGAGATGGCGATGGAGCCGAGGTGACGGGGAACGTTTGCGCTTATGAGATTTGCGCGCGGGAGGCTCCATTGTAGGCGCTACTGCTGGTCGAGGTGACGGTCGTGGACGTGTCGCGTCAGTCACGTGTACAGGATACACCAGGATACACAGACATCAACATTAAACAAGGGTTGATGTGGCGCCTATGCCGCATGAGCGTTGCGAACGGATACTGATTGGATTCGCGTTGAGGATGCAAAGCAAGATAAATAGATCACAAATACTTGATATACATTCTGTACAATTGTCCGATGCCAACTATGAAATACTAGGTCCAGTCTACAAACGTGCAACAAAGTAGTTAGTAATCTTATTGTTCTTCCCAGCGAAGACTCTGAATTTGCCAGAGGGTACGCGGTTGAGACCCTCGTAGACAACATGTTTCTTCACTACAACCCCATCCAAAGTCGGCTGGAAGGTGGGGAATCTGTCGGCAGCCGAATGCGCAGACTTCTTCCTCTTCGTGCTGGGCGGAGGCTGCGTGTCGCCTTTCGAGTCCGCCGAGCTCCCTGCGCCCGCAAGGAAATCGAAGGGCGGTATCAGGCCGTCCCGGATCACCTTCTGATGATACTCGCAGCACGAGCCAACAACCTCGCCAGGCCATTCGTCCAGAGGGAAAAGGTCGTCAATGTCGTATGGGCTGTCAAATGATGAGTAGCTGGCACTAGGGTGGACACAGGGGCGGATGAAGGGGCGGATGAAGGGGCGAATGAAGGGGCAGATGAAGGGGCGAACTTACTAGCCAGCGACGGGAACAATGTTGGACTGAGCGAGGCACTCAACCCAGCTAACCTTGTCGAGCTGCACGTCGTCGACGAATTCCTTCAGTGGCATGGCGTAGCCGAGTTGACGAGCACAAACTCCGCCGGGGCCCCGAGGACCGGGAAGGCCACGGGCCCCACGCTTTCCGCGTGGGATCAGCTTGGGGTTGGGAGGGAGTACGAGGGTGGGGTCGTCGATCTTCTTGAACTCGAGAAGCGGGATGTTCTTGTAGACGTAGTTGGCGATCCATTCCATCGGCACGTAGCCGGGGAGGTTCTTGCTGAGACGGTATGCGCTGAGGCAGCGCATAAGTACGATCCTCGATTGTGAGGAAGCCGGAGCACTCACAGGCGCTCAACATGGGTCATACCCTCCTCAGTGGCGTCGAGGCAGCGGGGGATGAGGCTGATAATCTTGTCCAGGTCCAGGAAGATTCGGAGTATAAAGTTGAGCCTGCATATGTCAGCGCCACATTGGAAGAAAAGACAGGAAGGACGTACTCAATGTCCGTCACAAAGCGTATCGAACGTTCTTCGATTGCTCTTGCCACTGTCAGGGGACCGTCCGCCGCCAAGCTGGGCACAGGAGTTGAGAGTAGAGGCATGATGGTTGGGAGCAAGGGAAGAAATTTTCGTCGGTGAGCTGAGCAAAGAAGATCATCTTGACGTGCGGATCGTGAAGGGCGGAGGGAAGGTGCGTCGAACGACTTGCCATTTTGAGAACGAGAGCCGGCGTCCAGGGCATGGCAGAAGCCGGACAACAAGTGACGTCAGCGTCCCACCTCGGTGCTCACATTGTCGACGGCGCCTCGCGGGCTCTTGCCCCTTACCTTCACCGTCTTCTCATTGTACTTGCACTTTGTGCTCTTCCATCCAATCTGTCATGGTCTTTGCAATAAATTCATTTTCTCATTCTTATGTTGAATGAATTTTCTCTGATCATTGCGCCCGATTCACTCCTTGCAAGGTCGGTCGCTCGACATTGACTCTGACTTATCACGACAGCGACGGCGCTGTAATAAGCGGGACTCAGCGACCGGCTTTACCGGCCCAGATGCCGAACAGACATACGAATCTTGGGTGCTCTGTCACGTGGAGCACCCAGAATCCGTAGGTCTGGTTCCAACTTCGGCATCTGCCGATTCAGCGGCGGCGCTGAGAGAAAATATTGTTTGTGAGCCAGCGGGATCCTCTATTCGGCATGTAAGAGCAAATATGAGCTTTAAAGGTATTGCTCGTGCCTTGTAGAAGTTCCCGTCATCTAGATGCTACTGTGCCGGTTGATATTAACGAAAAGGAGCGCAGAGGATTGGCCTCTATATCACAATCTTAACAACACCTCTCAGGTTCCTCAGCTCTACAGGCTGCAGGACTCGTGTACTATATACCATATCTACAGCTATAGAGCCCAAGGCGCTCTCTGAATAAGTGCAGCTGCAGTGCAACATAGTCTCTGAAATTGCAAACAAGCTTCTGGTATGCGAGTTTGTTCTTCTAAAGTCTTCGAAAAATCAATATAGAAGCTCCTATGTGTGCTACTTATGGTAGGATACTTTGGGTAGGCCATACGCAATGTTGGTGCGCAGACTTTATTCAATTGTGTGTCGAAATGCACACGACATATGGTAGGAGTCAGTCAGTTCTTGTCGTATAAAAGCAAAAAGTACATTAAAAAAAAGCTGAGATCTATACCTTTCGAACGAGGTAGGACTCGATGCTCCTGCATCAAATTAGTCTTGAGGCGTGACGGAAACTCGTCAAGATCCCAATGAAGTGCAGCATGCGTACTTGGGATGTGCATACGCTCGCATTGGTCCCATTGCCAACTCGGCCATCACTCCGGGCTTGTACAAACTACATAGCTGTATTCCCCCTGATTTATGCTCATTTGTTGTACCTTCACATGTTTCATCCGGTCTCTATATCAGTATGCAGTCCAGAAAAAGTGATTTGATGCAATATCCTGCTCGCGTCTAAGTCCGTGTTTGGTTGTGATTATTACCCACGTGTCCGACGCGATACGAAGGGTTTCTTTCCAACCACGACTGCCGTCCGCTCACCCTCTCATATCCTCGACTGTCCACCATGACTCAAATCAAGCTCGAGGTCATAGACGAGGATGAAGATGAGAAACTGTACGACGACCCCGAATGGGAAGACATGGTGCGCGCGTTCAACTGGAACGACCTGAAGCCGGCTCGCCCCGGATACTGCTTGCCGCCCTTTCTGGCCGAGAGCCAGCACAAGTACCCAAACGACGACGTCCGCGATGATCCCATGTTCAATACCTATTACCTGGTCCTCGCTCGCCCTCTTTATGCTGGTGGCGTGTACACAAACGCGTTTGTGTGTTTAGCCTCCCAACTATGTTCTGTTCTGACTTGTGCTGCAGCGATTCCATGCATTTCGCTATGCAAGGCTATGATCAAAAGCCTCCCTGGAAGCTCAAGGCGACGTGGAAGGAGTGTGTCTCGACGTGGCAGCTTGGTTGTCGGCTCGGGCAGCACGAACATCAACTCCCCGACGACTCGGATCTCCCGCCTCTCCCTATGTCTCCCCGCCGGGTGCAGTCCTCCCAAGAGCGCAGCGCGACGTTGCCTGGAACATCAGGTCCTCGCTCCCAGCACCATGCGTCAACTACAGCCCCTCGGACTCCTGCGCGCAGCACAACTCCGTCCATGCCCCGGGCGAGCCAGTCAGGCAGCCGGGCTGCGCGGAGCGTTACACCCGTCCTTTATCCGACACCCCGCGTTGACCGTACCGACGCGCCTGTCACACCCAGCAGGACGCCCCGTCCGCGGTCTTCCCGCACTGCCGGCTCTTCCAGCGTCCGCGCAAGCCACACTCCAGGCCCCGCTTCCCCCAGCCCGACCAAGCTTCTTTTTGCCTCGCGTGGCTCAACGCCCCTATCGGGGGTGTTAACGCAGAACCCGTACGTCGCCGCGCAGCTCCGTATCCGCGCTCCTGCTGATCTCTTACAGTGCGAGGCTCGAGGAGCTGCTCGAGACCGCTGACGAGGTCTTCGTTTCCGGTGGCGATACTGCTGCTGCTGTCGAGGAAGCCCTCAAGTTCTTCGCGCAAAAGTAATTGTTTTCCTCTGTGTTGCTTGCCTGCCTTGTGGCGGAATCCCTGGTCGCGCCAGCTCGCGTATGTTGTCTTGTACCCAAGCCCATGTAATGTCTGGTTCCTTGAAACACAACCAAAAATGGATCGTTGTCTCCTGCTTCTTTCGCCGCCTTAATGTCCTATCGTTACTCTGATGCACTGACGAAGACCCAACAGGCTAGCCGTGTTTGTGAAATCCCACCCGACGTGCTTCAAGATTCGCGTCGTGATTCTTCAGAAGCGTATCTTCGACACTGCGAAGACCGGGGCAAGAACGAGCCGACAGCTAGAAGGTACGCTATATTCTGTATTCTATGCGATGGTCCAGCAGCTAAATCCGAGGGAAACAACAACAACAGGAGGCGCATCTATGTCATTGCTGACCCAGCCTCCGACAACGTAGGCTGTCGCGTCAGTTCAGATGAACTTGTGGGCAGAGCGTCCAATAGGTGAGTAGTCTATGCACGACGTGGATCAGTAACAAGGCTAGAACGAATTCTGCAGATCACCGCGCGCTAAGGTCACAACGACGATCAAACCAGGGGAAACGAGCAAACATCCAACAACAGAGAAATCGCGCGCGCGTCCTGTAATGTAGTTGGCAGTTGCTCGATGCAAACTCCCCGCGCCTCTCCCCACTCCCGCTATCAGCATGCCGAGACCACGCAAGAAGGCCGCAGATGATCCCTCGGCGCGCAAGCGCGGGCCCACCCCATGGTGTGTCGGCAACAAGGCTGCCTTCCTTCGTCGTCGATTCCCAACATGGCTCGCCCTCGACCGCAAGCGTCGCGGACTCTACCTGGACGCCACGCTTGTCGCCTTCGTCCTCGCGTTCGGCATGTTCTTTGACATCAAGACGGACCTGGACTATCTTCCTGACGAGCCGGAGGCCGGAAAGACGACTATCAACTTCGACGACTACGATGACGCCCGTCGCGAACGTGCAGAGGCGTATATGAAGGGATTACGCACTGTACGTCTACATTTCCGTACATTCCTGATCGACACGTACTTACTTTTGCCAGAAAATCAGCACCTTCCTCCGTGAAGAACGCGACCGCATGTCCGACGCAGCGAAGAATGTCGATATCAACACCCTCTGGAATGAGCACATACAGGCGCAGGCACAGAAGCGGCCCTCGGGCACTCTCCGACTGACGCATTACTACTCCGTCTACCACTACGACGAGCGCATCAAGAGCGCGTTCGAGGCGGAGTGGGAAGATGTCTGGAAGGTCTGGAGGGAGAAGTGCGCGGCATGGGAGGATGAAGGTGTCGCCATCCCCACGGACGAGAAGGAGCCTCAGGCAGTCGCAGTCCGCACACGCGTCACCCAGGCGTGCTGGGACCGGGAGCCCCAGCCTTTCAAGGTTCTTGTTCAGGACGCATACGAGAAGTACAAGGCGGAGAAGCATGCCAGTCGCGGCATCCCGGCGGACATCCCTGACGAGTTGCGCACGCCGCAAGATTTCCAAGAGTACGTTTGCTCTTTTCTTCTCGTTGCTTGAGACTGACGCTCAAGATCGCCAGTGCCCTCGACGCTGCTGCTGTGTACCTACCTCCCACGGCCGATGCTGTTGGCGGCAAGACGGGTTGGATTTGCACTGTCCTCATCGCCGGCCCTATGCCTTCAGAGGGTGGCGAGATTGGCATGCTAAGGTATACAGTGACGTTCTTCATGACTTCCTTCAGCTTACCCTTCGCAGTGTACACCACGGGGTCACGCTCGACAGCCAACTCAAGTGGTACCAGGCCGATCGAGTGAACTTCGGCAAGGTGGAGCAGTTTTACATTGGCTTCGCTAAGCGCTGTTACTGTAAGTACGCTCACACGGTGCATATTATACTCAACTGACGAGCTACAGCCAAGGAGACGTGTGGCGACCGATCTCTGGAAGACGGCGATGGGAGCGGCACAGGAACATCGCGTACAGCAATCCTGGGATCTGCACCTCAGAAGACCATCGCCCCAGGCCCTCCGTCCTCCAACTCCCGCACTCCCTCTCCCGCTCGACAGAAACTTACAAGATTGAGACGCGGACGGCGTGTGCTATCGCCAATGTCATCGCGCGAGTCATCACCGCAACCCGCGCGCGGGCGACCTACTAGGCCGAGATCCACGACGCAGGTTCCTTCACCCACCCCCTCTGAAGCGCCATCCCGCGCGACATCGCCGACGTCATCCCGCGCAACATCGCCAACTCGTGCACCCTCATCAACCCGCGCGCCGTCGCCGACCCGCGATCCATCGCCGGTTCATGCGCCGTCGCCGATTCGTGAGCCGTCACCAACCCGCGCGCCCTCGCAGGCCTCTTCCCGCGCGCCCTCGCAGGCCCCTTCCCACGCGCCCTCGCAGGCTTCTTCCCGCGCGCCCTCGCAGGCCCCTTCCCGCGTGCCCTTGCAGGCCTCTTCCCGCGCGCCCTCGCAGGCCCCTTCCCGCGTGTCCTCGCCAACGCGCGAACCTTCGTGCGAGCAGATGCCGCCGCCGCCGCTACTGAACACACCTCCACCATCTCCAAGGCTCCCGCCAACCCCCTACCCCTCGCCATACAAGGACGCTCCCCCGCGCTTCCGCATATCGCTGGAATCGCTTACTCGACCGCTGTCCCAGATCACCAACTCTATCGATGATCTGAATGGCCTCGAGGAGGAGCATCTGTCGGCTCCCGAGCAACCGCGAGCGACGCGTCGTGCAGCCCTTCCTGATGATGCCGATGTGGAGAGTGGCCGGTCACACGAGGTCTGGTCGTACCATTCGACAGACAGATGGTCGCTACACATCCGCGACGTCTTCAGCGCTGTCCAACGTGGGCGTGACTGGGGTCTTGCCTTCGCTACCGCCGTCTGCGCCTTCTTCAAGCTTGAAGACCAGATGGATTATCCCCTCCGACACGATGGACGCCGCATCCTTGGCGGCAGTATTCGCCCTGCTGCATACAGCACCTGGACTCGACAGGGCTGCCCATACGACCTCTCTATCGACCTCGGAGATCTCTCAGCCTTTGCGTCGAAGTACTGGCTCTGGTGGGAGGCTCTGCAGCCCGCAGGACGCCTCAATCCCAACAACAGCCTCATTGCTATCGAGGAGTTCGAGGGCATGGTGCAGGGGATAGACGACTGGGATGGCTTGGAGAAGTGTTGTGGCAAGGAAGGCATCGTTCAGGTCCTCCTTCTCCTCCTCTGGTGGGGCGACGCAGTCAACAGCACGAGGGCGAGGCCTGAGGAGTGGCTGGAGTGGGACACCGCCGTCCAGGATTTTCGTGACGTCTTATGCCTCATGATGCGCACACCAGGCTTCGAGAAGGTTGCGAGAAGGCGTGCTCGGTAAGTCTGGCTTTTGTACTCTCTCTCTCTCTCTGTCGCTGACTCATCCCCCAGTACTCGGCTGGCCGCGGACATGGCCGACAACGAGAATGCTGGTACTGGCAAGTCCACCAAGGGCTCGCAGAAGCGCAAGGCAGGCGATGCCGGCCCCAACAAGCCATCGAAGCGGGCGAAGGCGACGCGACCTGCTGTCAACAAGGCCGACACCAGCAACACGAAGGGTGGCAAGGGCTCGCAGAAGCGAAAGGCAGACGCGCCCCCTGTGGGCAACAAGCCGACGAAGCGGGTGAAGGCGGGCAGGACGACACCTGCCTCGACGACGGCGACAACTGCAACGACTGCGACGACCACGACAACTGCGACAACCGCAATGACTGCGACAACCACAACGACCGCAGCGTCCACAATGACCGTGACGTCCGCAACAACTGCAACGACTGCAACGGCTGCAACGACCGCACCAAGCACAACAACCGCGGTTGAAGGCGAAGGTCGGACCTTGCGCAACCGCGAGACGCTCGTCAAGTCGTTCAAGGTGCGGGAGTCATTGGCTCGATAATCTGTCTTCATCATCTCCTTGTGTATCTATGTGTGTACCGTGTACCTTGTTGCAGCTGATCTTGTGCTCTTGTACTGTATGATGTTTTTGGACTTCGTGGTGGCGCTCTCAATATCTCTGACTATATAATCTACTCAATATCTCTTATTGTTACTCTCTCATATACTTCTTGAGGACTGTCTTGTTGTCTACCCGATGTTCCCATACGTAGCATACCCTATACCTCGAAATAACGACACGTATGCGGACAACGACGGACTTGGAAGCAAAGCTCTCAGACAATGACGGACTTGGGGAAACTTCAACGAATCACTCACGTGATGGTTGAACTTCGGCAACAACGCCACATATTCGGACTCGGCGATATTTTTGAGCGGGAGGATATTCCATGCCGCATGCTGTGACGGTATCCCCCGTCGTGCAGTTCAGCATGACCTGATTGTGTTGTAGCACTCTGACATTGTACATGTGTATAAGACGAAGGTTCTTAAAGGTAGGTAGGGGGGAAAAGGCTCTGTGCAGAGGTAGATGTGCAGCAATATGTTGTAGAATCGCCAGGCGTGTATCGGCTAGAGTATTGCAGGTCGTAAGTGCGAGGGTCACAACCAGAAAGTGGAGGAGAGGCGTACATGGTGGCGATCGTCTGATTAGTCAGCCAAAATTTGCGGGTGTCGGACGTCGATGCGGCTGTATCGGTACAATGGAAGGGCGATATCGTGGCGCGGACACACATAGGCGGATTTGGTAGGGAGCTGACATCACCGCCGTTGGGCAGCGCGTCGAGAGGCGGCGCGGTGGGGGGCGGCGGCGGCAGTGCGGCGGTGCGGCGGCGGGCAGCAGCGCACATGCCCCAAGCGGGGGTGACGCGTCGAGGGGCACGGGCGACGCATCGGGGGGCACGGGCGATGCGCCAAGGGCCAACGGCGACGCGTAGAGGGGTGTGGGCGGCGCGTCGAGGGGTGGTGCGGTGGGCGGCAGTGGCGGCGGGGCGGCGCCGCCGCCGCGCATACCCCAAGCAGGCTGCCACGCCTGGCCGCGGATTGGTTCAGGATAGGAGATGGAAGGGAGCCACGACGTGGAGGGCGGATGGCGGGCGGAAGGGATGAGCGGCGGTGTGAACGGCGGCGGTGGTGGTGGGTGGTAGCGGGAACGGCGGCGGTGGTGGCAGGCAGCCGCGGAGCGTGGGCCGCATGCCCCAAAGAGGCTGTTGATCGGGCACCATCAACCCAGCATCAACCGAGGTAATGTTGCCGGAGTCTCCGACAGCCATCAAAAGGATTTCGAACCCAGTATTATCCTAGGTGGAAATACCCCGATATAGGTAGGGAGAACAACAAGATACACCCTATGAGTAACGGCCTGCAACCATTGGGTATAATGTAATACACCCCCCTACAGCCATAGGGTATATCAGGATATACCTAGGGACAGACCTCCCTTCGTCGCGTGCGAGGGCGCTCCTTCGCTTTCATTGATAGTGAGAGCGAGGATTTTTGTCGTTTGTCAAAGACGAGGGCTGTCTTTTCCCCTTGTCGATGGCGAGTGCAAGTGGTGCTCTCGCCCCTTCGGCTTTGTCGCAGGCGAGGCCATGTCATTGCTTCGCCAGGTCAAAGTGGTACGAAAGAAGGTGCAAAACCAGCTATACATTCGAAGGTGAGTTGGTTGAACATGGGATGGGGTGGGGCTCGCTCATTTCCCTTGTCTCCAGCTTCTCGAGTGCGCGGATGTCCCCATCTCGTGTCCTTTCGACCACCCCAAGCGTGGAGAAGGCGTGGGTGTGCTGGGATTCCATTCAAAAGCGGTCACCGGCTTGGATTTGCTCATGAGCGCGCCATCCTGCGTTCATGGTCCAATCGCGACCGCCATATTGGTGAGTATCGGCGCTCTTCTGCGATATTATACTTCCTTATATCTATCACATACTCAGCCTGCGCCGAGACACCGCGCACTGCACTGGGCGCTTCGAGGGAAGCTATAACTTAGCAATGGGTCGAATTTCATGAAAATTGGCGCTCGTGGACGCGTTTCAAGACACCGCGAGCTGAGAATACGTGTTATACATTACAATCTGAATGTTAAGCACACCCTGTAACAGCGCGCCTCGATTTCAGGTCCTTGATTGTCAAACTCGGCATGAGTTGAATGAGCAGGGGAGCAAGTTTGATAAATTTCCTTTATAGATCTGGCTAGTAGTACCTGTAGTAGGTAGATCTGTGAGTATACAACGCTCCCACAGAGTTGCGAATGAGGCACAGAGACACTAGGGTCGAGGAACAAGTCAGAAATGCGCTATGAGTGAATGAGCTTAAGCTTATACTATATCTTACTCATTGAGATGAACTCGACTCCCCCTCCCTCGAAATGCTTCAGAGGGGGTAAGGGATTGTGCTTATCATCGATCTACGTCGCCTTACACGCCTTCGCTGCGTCTTTGTGCGGGGGTCAAAGGTACGCGCTCTGATATCATTCAATGAGTTCGTGATCGCCCCCCTCCTCTCCTTCCTCCGCTTTCCCCCACATCTCTGACTGCGATATGGCACGGCAAAACAAGTTTCTATTGCATGGTCTACCTACTTCAGAACTCTACACGACGATATTGAATGAATCACGGCTGCTATCCTCCGTAAACATCCCCCCTCCCCATTTCCTCCTCCTCCTCCTCCTCCTCCTCCTCCTCCTCCTCCCCCTCCCCTCCCCCTCGCGATAGTCTCCCATTCCCAGCGCCGGGGATCATCCCGCACCACCCCGCAGCTAGTGTCGACCACGTCTGAATGCCGACGCAGTTTCCCTCGCCCCCCTCCTCCTCCCCCTCGCGCGCGGCGCCAGTTGGATGGTCGTCCCGAGCAGTCCACGCCGACCTCGTCTTCGCGAACGATGGTGAACGGTGTGTTCGCGTTTGCGGACGATGACGTGAACGAAGTGCGTGTACGCTACGGACAGGGCGGGGCGGAGCACCCTGTGGACGAGGCCTTGGCGGTGGGGGAGGTGGAGACGGTGTGGAGGGAGCGATCCCGCCTCCCCCTGAACGGCTGATAGGGTGTTTTGCTGCGTGAAGCAATGTAGTTTGCGCGTGGACGACCAGGGCGACGCTGCTGTTCCATAAGGTAGTCCTGCTCGGGAGAGATGGATGGCATCCAGATCTTGTGGTCAACGTAAGATCGGCTTGCTGGGCGGTGCGATGGCCGGGGGTCTGGGATTGCTCAGCACGGCAAAACACGCAGCGGGCGCCACTCACGATAGTTCTGCGCACTGTGCTGCTCCTAGCTGATCCGTCGCCGATGGGGGGAGGTGGTTGTGGCGCCGCTGTGCGTGTGCGCGCCTTCGACGCGCATCCTCTCGCGCTTCTGGATCTCGGTCTGGATCTGCTCCACGCGTATGCAGATGCGCGATGCTGACGTTGTGCTGCGCTCGAAGTCGGACTCGGGGGTTCTTCAAGCCCACTTCGTGGTCGCGGAAGGCCTCCTGCGCGAGCATGTTGAGATCCTTCTGTACCCGCACGCAAGCCTCGGCCTTCCACGCATCGTCCGGCTCAAACAGTGGATCCATGCAAGGCTGCAAGACGTGAGGGGATAAGGTGGGCCACGTCCGATAAGAGGGAGGAAGGGGGATGGGGATGGGGTGCGGGGGTGGTAAGCGAGGCCCCTGGCTTATTGGGGGTGAGGTCTATGCAGGGTGTCGGACAGGAAGCACTGCAGTTACATAGTGGTTAGTTAGGTCAACAGTGCGGTGTGTTCACGCACCTGCACCCCCTCCGTTGACTCGATGGCCATTGCTATCGCCATGTTTTCGTCAACATGTGCGACCCGATCACGGGCGAGCGCCTCACCGGCGGCTTGTCCGAAGCGTCAAGAAGGAGTGGGATTGTAGAGAGAGCGGGGGGACGGGGTGAGCGGCGGGGTGGTGGTCGAGCGCGACGAACGCAAGGAAAAGACGTACTGATTGCAGCGCGTCAGCGCTGTCCGGCCCGAGCTGCCGAGCAACGTGACACGTGTCGTGGGAGTGGCGTGGCGGCTCGTCTGGAGTCGCACCCTGATGCACAAGATGATTGTCGGTCTCGCCATTTAACGCGAGAAGGAGAAGGAGGTCTGGAAGTTGTTAGCGTATAGCAGAATTGGAGGGAGCTGCAGGCGCGCTAGGGCGGGGGATGACCGAAAACACGTGAGACGGACAGGTCGGCCGAATCGGATCAATTCCCGTTCACCCGAAAGTGGTTCTGAAAAATCTCCGCAAACGATACCACAAGAAACGGTGAGATAGTAACTTTGAGTCACTACCCCACCAATACTGTAGACATCGTCCATTGTTCGCAATTCACGGTAAGCCCGAAGCGCTGATTTCTCGAATCCCCTAATCAATCTATATAGACCACCCCGATATGCCCCCTCTTCACGCCCATTTCACGTGCACCGTCATCGACTCGTACTTTCGCCGTGTCGGGCGATCTGCGGCCAGAAAGCTCTCGGAGCGCGTATCTGACCACGAGACCCCTCCCATCCATCACATCGAACTCGACTTCGCCCATTTCTACCCGCCCTTCCACGCGTGTGCCACCACAGATGTGTACGATTCGCAGCTCTCGGAGCCAGCGGTGCGCTCTAGGGTATACGCAGGCCCTTACCGCGGCTACAATGTCTGGGCGGAGACAAATACGTGGCCTTTGTCCAAATTCAAGCGGATGATGGAGGAGGTGCTCGCGGAGAATGATATCTGATTAAAGAGGGTGCGTCAGGATTTGGACAATCATTTCTCACTGCACTCCTAAACAAGCGACGATACAGGGCTGCATTGGTGTAAAATAGCTTATATGCAATCCGCGCGATCACGAGTAGGCAAGGCATACCGCCACGACGATAGGTAGATGGAATTCTCCGGTTGCAACTTATACAAAGGATCATGTATACTTTTCTAAGACGCGAAGCGCTTCCTTGACTGCGATCCATTTGTGCGTTCCGTCCGAGTATCCCTCTGGGGGATCGTAATCATCGTCAAGGCCCTCGTATTCCGGCGGCTCAAGCATGATATCGCAACCCGCAGGGAACACATGCCGCAGGTAGCCAGCAACGCCGTAGTCGTCGGTGAACTTCGACTCTGCGAAGTGCAGGCGTACCGACTGCCGCGCGTTAGCTTTGAGCGGAGACGTTCGGCTGGTACTGGGTATGCGCGCCGCATTGACCCAGAAAGACAAGTAGCGTATGTCGGGGCAGTAGTGCGCAAAGGACTTGAGCGCCGCGAGAGAGGTGCGGACGCGCCGAGTGGTTCGCGAGAGCTCAGGGCGAGGGCAACGCGTGTCCAGCATGAGGAGTTCGAGCTGAGGCAGCGCACGCGCTATGTCGGTCAGGTCGTCGTCCGCCAATGCAACCCAACAATCGACGATGAGCCATGTGAGCTTCGGATATCCAGTCGCTAGTTGGAGGACATGAGACGCGGGTACGGATCCTCTCCCCAATGGGATGTCGCAGCTTTGGACGTAGGCGAATTCGTTCATGTACGCTGGATCGAAGGCTTTCGCGAGGAGTTCTAGATTCCGTACTCGTGGGTCGCATCCCGATCTCCCGGGGCTGCAGTCGCACTCCTCGTAACATGTCATATGGAAGAGTTCGACCTTCAGGCGATTTCCGTGCAACGCATTCAGAAGCGTCTCGAGCTGCCCGCAGAGCTCGGGCTCGACGACAAGATCGCTAAGGACGATGTCATCATCCCAGCGTATGTCGACATCCGCCCGTTGATGCAGTGCCTTTTCAAGCCGCGAATTGAGTCCAATCTTCAGAGAGCTGAGGCTCCGCGTTCTCGCAAGATGGGCGAGGGCACGGGGGTCGATGTCGAGAAGGTGCGCAGACTTCAATGACCGACAGGCACACGCGGCGTCGGAGATGGCTTTGAGAAGCTCTGGCTCCACTGGCGGTGTGTTGTCACCGGTTAAGGAGAGGGTTTGGAGGTCCGGACAGACAGGGAGAAGGCGTTCGAGAAAGGCTGCGTAATCCGTGCTGCCATCGTGCGCAGACATATACACCTCAACATCTGTCAGAGGTGGGAGTCTCGAAAGCGGAAGAACGAGATGGACCAAGGTCTCTTCGATGTCCCGGAAATATAGGTACTGTAGGCGTGGAAAGAGAGGGTGGCCGCCTGTACGCGCAAGGAGTTCGTCCAATACCGAGATATCAATTGCGAGAACTTTGCGTGCCAGTGGGTCGTGAGGCGAACTCGAGCGCACAATGGTACCTCCGGTTGCTTCACCTAGGCGGAGACACCTAACGCGTCGAGCATATGACTGAATGCGAGTCCAGGCGGTTGCAGGGATTTTGTTTACGAGTGTCTTGCGTGACAGGTCAGCCAAGGTGCAGCACGTCCATATCATTAAGCATCATACCAGTGTCTGGTCGTCTAGTTCGTCGATGTATACTTCTGAATCCCCGTTGCCCGCCACGGTCAACAAGTTTTCTGGAAGCGTGCGAAGAAGAGGCACTAAGGAGTTCTGTTCCTTCCACAACACATCCAAAGCCGTATCGGATATGTACGAGCATGTGGCAGCCAAAGAGGAAAGTGAGGCTAAGTAATCCTCTTCAAAGAGGTCTTCGCAGATGATCTGGGTAATGTCCAGTATTCCCAAGCATCGATGGGGCATTGGCGAAACCTGCGAGGGTTCGAAGATGGTGGCAGGAGGCAGATCAGAAAACGCATGGTAAGCACGCGAACCCGTAAATCACATGTGACATTAGTCATTATTCATTTTGAGTCACCAATACGCAGCGGGGTGTCTGGACAAGCAACTGGTTTTTGTGCAAGAGAGTGCTTACTATACATATTGTGATTTCTCTCTACCCATGTATGCCACCCGCAAAGTCGCAGGCTCTTTCAACCCCCAGACCGTCACCTTCTGCACATCACCCGGCATCAAATCCAGCGCATTGTCACTCCATCTGAGGTGTTCCCCACCCTCTTCCACAGTGAAGAACACGCCCTTCGCCGGCTCCTTGGACTTGAGCACAAGTTCCCGAGCTCCATCCTCGCCCGCATCGCCAACCGTTACCTGCAGCCCAGGATCCGGGAAACGCAGGTACCGATAAGGCTGCGGCCAGTCGGCGCCGCGCGCAAGGACCACGCCATCCGAGCCCAGGGATGAGTTACGGCGCGCGACAATCCTCGCCTGCACGACAACCGTGCAACTGGTCGTCCATGCTGGATCGCCTGAAGGTGGTGTCTTTCCTTCCTTAGGCGGTGCCGGACAGGGAATACCAGCCAGAATCTCTGTCGCTCGGTTCGGCAGCAACGTGACGTCGTGCGTAGACGTTGCTGTCCAGTCGGATTGCAGGTCGACGCAGAGCAGCTCGAGTCGTGCGTCGATGGGCTCCAAGGTGGAGTTGCACGCCCAGACGTCGAGTTTTGCGCCGTGCGATTGGATGGCTGCGAACTCGTAGTACTGCAGTAGATCAGTTCGCATCGAGTCGGGCTACGATGGGTAGTGTATATACCTGCCGAGGTCGGTCTGTCGGGCGATTGTGAATCACCTACGCACGAGTGTCAGCGCCGTGGTCGAAGCGTGAGCTCGGCCGCGTACCTCGCGATAGATTCCAACAGAGATAGGTGCCAGGTGTCGCTTCATAGTATAGTAGATCGGCTTGGGACGTAGCTGAGGGCGGACACGTCTTGAACATCATGCCCAAGTGATGCAATGAAGAGGGCGTACGAAGTAGTCGATAATCGCCCACGACGCGACAGGCCAGCAGTCATTCGACTGCCATACGAGCGCACCCGAGGTCTGAGAGCATAATTCAGCGATGTTGACTTCATCAAACCACTCATAACGCACGTATTCTTTTCCCGGTCCTGCCCACTTCCGCCTCCACGCTTGGTAAGCCCAGCCGACACCGTCGCTCTGCATGATCTGCGACAAACTTCAGTTGTCATTCCTCGTCATCGTGAGAGGCTCATACCTGCGTATGGTAGACGTACGTCTCCAGATCTTCTGTCAGGCGGAAGTTCTCGTTCATCACTATGGCGAACCGCCGCTCGAATGAGCCCGCCCGGTTATGCTGGGCAATGATCGGTGACTGGGAGTAGTACTCGCTCTCCGGTGCCGAGCCCATCCATTGCTTGATGGTCGACATGACGGGAAGGGCGGGCACACCGAACTCGCTGTACAACAAGTGAGACGACAAGCCTGGATTGTACCGTACAAGTGTTCACTCACGAGACGAAACGGCCTCCCATGCGGTCGTACTCCTGGTAGGGAAGCTCTTTGCCGCCCCAGATGTTCCACTAGAACGTCCGTCAGGCTCGTTCCGTTGGCGACGGCAACATCAACGTACCTGATGCACATCCCCCACCGTCGGGTCCGCCGTGTCCCAGCCCTTGCCTCCATAGGGCGACCCACGATGATATGGTACAGGCGGATCCGTCAACGCGCCTACGATATCCGGGAAGACTTCCTCGTACAGCTTGCGCGCCGGAAGTGCCGCCACATCTGCAAGACCGATTAGCCCACCGCGGTCTGACACGTAAGACAGCCTACTCACCACCCCACTGAAGCACCATCTGGTAGTCCTGCAGGCCCCCGCGTCAGATACTCTGACACTTACGCCCTTGCTCATCCACTCACCTCGTTATTACCGCAGTATATCGCCAGACTCGGATGGTGACGCATCCGCGTTACGTTGTCCACCACCTCCTGCCGCACGGTGGCCACGAATGCCGGATGCGCAGGATACACGCCACATGCGAACTGGAAGTCTTGCCAGACGAGTAGACCGAGATCTATGAGGGATGAAGTCAGTCTAAGACTTCAGGGTTGAGAGACGAGAAGCAATCAAACCCACCATCGCACGCCTCGTAGAAGCAATCCGGCTCGTAGACACCGCCGCCCCATAGTCGGACCATGTTCTGGTTCCCGTCGCGCAGCAGCGTAAGCCAGGCGCGGTAGCGGTCCGGCGTGAGCGTCGTGAGGAAGTTGTCCGCGGGGATCCAGTTGGAGCCTGCGATGAACGTGTCGGCCAAGACGTTCGAGAGGGATTAGATCGAGGATGAAGGTAGGCTGCGCACCTCCCATGAACATCCGCACCCCGTTCACGCGGAAGAAGAACGTGCTGCCAGCCCCATACTGGTCGGCCTCCTTCAGCTCGTCCTGCACGAGCTCGACGGAGCGGAAGCCGATGCGCTTCGTCGTGGTGTCGATGACAGTACCGTCCTGAGAAGGGTCGGTGGAAGTCTGAGCAACATGCCGGGGATAACCAAGAAACAATAACCTCAAACTCACCTCACCCGACACCTCAACCTCGACCTCGTACATATCCTGCGCACCGAATCCAGTCGGCCACCACGGCTTGACAGCCAGATCGTCCCAGCTGACGACATCCTTGTACACCACGCCGTGAGCGGTGGCGGCGACGTCCGAGGCGGTGGCGTTCGCGCCTGAGTAAGGCTGTCAGCTATCGCACCGTCCAAGCATCAGCGAAACACAATTCACCATCCCTCACGAGCTCATCCCCCGTCAACGACTTCGTCCCGCCCGTCGAGACGCCCTTCAGCTTCGACAGGTCGACCTCCACATTCTTGATTTCCACGCCAGCGCCGCGCTCCTTAAGAGCGACCTTCACTCTCGTAGCATCCACCCCGTCCACCGTCAGATCCACCCTCAGCGTTGCCTTCGCGAGCGCGCCCCTCGTCGGCGTACCCACCAGGCTCGCCTTCGTGAACACATCCGCGATGCGCGCATCGAAGAAGGTGAGGGTGACGGGGCGATATGGGCCGCATGTCATGAGTTCGGGGCCCTGGGGGAGGGTGTGAGCAAAACGTTCGTTCATCGGAAAGCACACCTGTATGCCGAATGGAAGATGTTCTTGCAGCACGCGAGATCGAAGCCCGTATCCCGCATGCGCCAACAATTGGGAACCCGAACTCACCCAATCCCACCTCCAGTCATACTGCGCCTTCCGCACGTAGACGCGGCTCGGATCGCCCAAGTTGGTCGACCCTGCGCGTACGCGCCCGTACTTGGCCTCCTCGGCAAGCGCGAGCGCTTTGGCGGACTTGAAGTAGATGAGGAGGGTGTTAGTCGTAAGTTTGAGCGTGTTGGGTTCGAGCGCATGAGCCCATGTCCGGAACTGGTTGTCCGAGGAGAAGATGCGGGTCCCGTTCTAAGGTGATCGCGCGCATATAGTCAGTGCTGCAGCTCGTAAGTACAAAGTAAACAGGTCAAACGCACCAAATACACGTCCCCGATGGCATCTAGCCCCGCAAACTCCAAGATTCCCCGCCTCCCCACATCCCCCACCTCCACGCCAAACTCGCACTTGTACACCCACTCTGCGTCGCCGATCCATTGCACCTGGTGCTCGTTGAAGCCGATGTAGGGATCCGGGATGAAGCCGGCCTTGCGCAGCTCGACGTGGATCTCGCTCGGGCTGGTGCGCGCGGGGTACCAGGCGGTGGTGAGCGCGTCGGGCGGGACGGATCCGTCAATGAGGTGCTTTGTGGGGTCGTCGGGGTCTGTGGGTGCGGCTGGGATGATAAAGAGAAGAGGTGCCGGTATTGAAGGCGCGTAGAGGTAAGGCGAGCGAATGCTGGTCAGTCGTGATCCTCCCGCGACGGTATGGACACTCACCATCTTCCGCCGGCCCAAGCTTCAGCTCATCGAGTATGTCTCCCTCCCCGCGGCGCTTCCACGCCCATCCCGAGTTCAGCGTGATTGAGTTAGTGATGGCGGGCATCGTCGTTCAGGTCGCTGGCGTTAGCAGTGATAGCGATGCTGGTTTGCTTGTCGATCGGGCGCGTCGTGGCCCTTCACCGTCTCAGTCAAGGCGCTTATCGCGCTACATCTCACTTCAAGTAGTATACCTCTTCGACGGTATCCGGCCCGCAACTTGAATGAGGGGAAAAGCGAACATGCGCCGAGGTCAGCAGTGGGTCGCTCTGAGCGTACCTATCGAGCGGGGAAAAGCCGACCGGTATTCTTCCAGCTCAGTCTGTCAGGAGGAAAGAGAAGGTGACTCGATTATGTGGCTCATGGTGCGTCTGGGGTCTGGCTAATTGGGGGGTACTCGGCGGATAGAGATTTGTGAATGGAGATGGAGTGGGGGAACTGGGCGGCGGAGCGGGCCGCGACGCCACATACATCTCTCGGTCACGAGCAACGCGCCTACAGTCGTCTACAAGTTAAGCCATAGCGTAAGTACAGTTACTCAAGAGGGCCTGATACGCGCGTCCAAATGAGGTTGACTCTCTATTACCTCAGTACTAGAAGGTGAAGCTGGAACGTCATCAAGGCGGGGCAGTGACACCACTTGACTTCGGCAAGGTGCGAGCTCACAGCCTCGCATGCAGGGTACTTAGGTCAAGACTTTGGTGGCTTGCTTCATCTCCCTTGAATTCCGATTTCCCTTCCAACAATGACCTCCGCCTCTGACAGCAGCGACGACTCCACCCGTCCCCCAAGCCCCTGGCCTCCAAGCACTTCCCTCCTCAAGCACATCGCCTATGCCGGTGCTCTCGACGAGCTCCCCAACGCACCCTCCATCAGTCAGCAAATTGCCTCGCAAGGCCGCAGCCCCTCCGTCTACCCTCGCCACCGCAATGATTCCGACCCAGAAGACCGCACGCGCAAGCCCTTCCTCTACCTGCTATACCAGACAGGGATGCACGGTCCGCAAAACGGGTTCCGCCTGCTGGTGGGGGAAGCAGGCATATGTCCCGCCACCGCGGAAAAGGCACTCCTAGAGCGCGGCGAGATTACACGGGAAACGCACGAGCTCGTCTACCTGGAGTCAGGTAGAGACATCGAGGTCGTGCCGAACGTAGAGAACGGGGAGTCCGGCTGCGGACTAGCCACCTTCAAGATCATCGATATCTTGACGCACTCTGAGGCCATCGCCGCCGTCCCGCTGACAGAGGGAGCTGTGAGTCGCAAGATACGGCAAGAGGCCTGCTACCCGCGCTCGGTGGGCAAGAAGCCAGGCCCACTGAGCACAGCGCCCTTCGCTGGCACCGGCTTATTGCTTCGCCTAGTCGATGAAGGATCGGAAAAGGTCCGCGGCGCTCTGCTCGTCAAGGAGGGTACTGGTCCAGAACAGATCGAGAGGTTCGCCCTGCATACGATGAAGGAAAGAACGGGGCCGCGTTTGGTGGTATGTGAGGGAGGCAAGAGCTGGATATATGATGGACGTACGGATGCACCAGTCGAGGTGAGTTGATGTGAGACTGGTTTCCGACATTGGTCCAGATAATCGCTGACAGTGGTGAAAGCACGACTCCGAAATCGATGGGGTCACCGAGTGCGTGGCATAAGCGGATGGGTTGTAACAGTTTGCGTCCATGCAGATCACTCGAAGTATAGAGGTCGGCCCTCATGCATAGGGATAGATAGCACACACAACACCATTATGTTCGATAGTATATGTACAAGACGTACTGGTGGGTATGGACTCAGAAGGTAGTCTGTGCACGCGGTAGTCTGCACTCACATCGCCTCCCCGCTAATAAGCTGCATTCTCTCATCCGCACTCTCCTTCGCTCCGCAACCTTGCGGGCGACTGTGTACTATGAAAAATCGCCTTTAGAGGACAAGCATCGCGGCGCCGAAGCCCGCGGCTACGGCGAAGATGGGGCTTCCGCCAACGCTCATCATCGCCCGCGCGCCATTCGAATCACCCGTCGCAGTCGACCTCGCCGACGTGGTGCGCGTAGAGGTAATGCGAGACGGCGCGACCAAGCTGGACGGCACGCCAGTGTGCGAGACGGTGGAGGCGGCTGCGGAGTCGCTGGCGAGGACAGCGGAAGAAGTAGCGGAGGTAGTCTGGGCAACGCTCGACGAGCTGCTGCTCTCCGTCGACGACGCGGAGTCCGTGGAAGTAGTTTCGGCGGTGCTGAGAAGCAATCAGCATTAGGCGACTTCTCTATTACAGCTCTAGCACACCACACACCTGCTACTGTCGCTCGCTGAGCTTTCCGCGCTAGAGCTTTCCGTCGACTGAGCGCTCTCCGTGCTCGAGGTCTCCGCAGGCGGGCTCGTCTCGCTGCTTGTAGTCGCCTGCTCGCTCGAGGAGGGCGCCGAGTCTGTAATCGACACCACCGTGGTCTGCGAGACCGTGGTCTCTGTCACCGAGGGGGAGGTAGTCTCCGTCACGATCGACGTCGCCGTTGCGGTCGCTACCGCGGTGATGGACTCCTGACGTTTGACGAGGGCGGGAGAGCCAGCCGCATGCGGGGCGAGCAAGATCGCAGACACCGCAAAGAAGAGGGTAGAAGCGCGCATCGCGAACTTGAACGTTCAGATGGACCGAAGGGAATGTGCACTCGAGGACGAGGTGTGGGCCGGTGTCTTGTCGATATCCGAAGCCGTGAAAGAGTGTGCTGGCAAAAGGGCGTCGGAGCCGCTAAGCGGGGAATCTTGAGGCCTTGCTTGAAGCGGAGAACTGATCGCTTGCTGTCGTCGTGGCCGTCCGAGTCGAAGTCGCGTCGAGATCCGCGTCGCACTTCCCCACCCCGCGGACCAAAAATCTTCGCTGCGCCGGCGATCTCTGGCGCTAGCCCCGGCACGCAGCAGCTTCGATCTGTAGCAGCGAGCTTGAATTGAACCCGTAAGCCTGTTGGGCAGCGGGCGGGATACTTAGCCCGCCCGTGAGAGGAGGTCAGCGCCGCGGTCACATGAAGGCTGGGGCGCGATGCGCGCTCTAGTTCATCTCGCCGTCGAAGAAGGACGGGCTGAGAAAGTTGCTCTCGCGCGCGGAGATAGTCGCAGAATTGTAGATTCATCAGCCGCGAAGTTAGTGAGGCAACGAGAGCAAGAGCCAGGCTGGGGGGGGCGATTTCCGTTCCCGGAAATCCGGACCGGTTTTTTCCCGGGTCACGCCGGTGCCACGTTGTCTCCAGTTACTCCTCTTCCTCTCCACTACAGCGGCGGCCAGATCAATTGCGCGCTGCCTTTTTGGGAAAAATCGCCGAGGCGAGCGTTAGGCATAGTCTGCGGGTCTCGGCAACCTTACAGAACGGTAGAGCACCCATGAAAACCCCCATCTGCATACCAACTTTGCCGGAGAGCGTCCGTGATCCTCGTAAAATGTGCCGACATGCGTCATATGGCACTGCGCGCCCTCAGGTAGTCTACGGCACATATCTCACGAACTACATGCCCGTTTCGCTTCAAAGTTCGTATTTGGGGGTTTTTGACTACGCTCTACCGTTTTGTGAAGGAGCTGGATTTTTCCGACCATGCACAGCACCCGCCTCGGCGATTTTTCCCAAAAAGGCAGCGCGCAATTGATCTGGCCGCCGCTGTACATCGTCGATTTTGTGGAAGATCGCCCTGTTTTCAGGTGTGCTCTGTATCAATTTCGCATTTCTTTGCGAGTGGTGCTTGAAAGTGCGTAGGCACACGTCGCTTTCCAACGCTCGCTCATATACCTGTGCAGAAATGAGCATTAGAACAGACAATCTTGAGCATCTGCAGTCAGAGAGCGACATCTTATTCGCCCAGGCTCGGTCTTGCTACGCTCCGGACCCTGCAGAGGCCGCGATTCTTGCTCGCCGCATCCACGACTGGCAGGCAATAGACGCGCGGCTTGAGCGCGAAATCGCTGCACTGACGCTTCGGCGGCAAATGTTTTCCACACAAAATCTGTTTCATAAGACTCTTCTCTCTCCTTGGCGACGAGTGCCTGTGGAGCTCTGGATTGAAATCTTCACGTATGCCCTTCCTTCTGACTGGGCGGAGGCATACGCTGGAAGACGCAGGCTATATATGGCCCAGGTCTGCTGTGCGTGGCGCGACATCGTCTTCGGAATCCCGCGTTTCTGGAGCATATTCAGGATTTTCCACAAATACAACCCACCTGCTCGATACGGACCTGCCATCCGCGCTGAGACGGAGAGGATACCCGTTGACGTGTCTCTCGTGCTCGACATTGACATGACCGACGAGTCGTCGATGAGCGACGTGGGTCTCTCCTCGAATGCATGCCACTGGGAATACCTCTTCGCGCGCTTCCGTCAGACCTCTTTTGCGGGCATTTCAGACCGTCCTGCGCCATCCCAACAGGGACATTGCGCTGCCAGAATCCTGGACCATCGAAGACATCCATATCGAGTGTGTCACCACTGCGTCGCGCGCTGGAGTCCCTATAACGCCAGCCGTTGGTGCTGTCCTATCTTGTCGAAACACCCTCCGTATTCTGACTCTCTGGGGATCGGCCTATCATTCGGGAACCACGAAAACAGCCGCCATGTTCCCCGTCCTCGAAGAGCTGACGCTCGCATATGATGCTATCGACCTCGCCTTCGAGATCTGCGCACCAGATCTCAGGGCCTTGACCATGATCGGCGACGTTGACCCACCTTCGGAACCCAATAGTACTTTCAAGGCATACGTCGACCTCCTGAAAAGATCGCCTGAGGTTCTCAAGCTAGAATCCCTCGCTCTATTGGACGTAGTGGTGGTTGCGGACGAGTTTGCGCAAACTCTTCGCCGCATGCCCTCCCTCACTTCTCTTGAGGTCGGCGTGTATTCTACGGATTGTTACGACAGTCCGGCACCTCTCAATCGATTGACGACTTTACTCCAACGTCCCCACGATCCACACCCAACGGACCTTCTCCCCAACCTCACGTGCCTGGTCATCGGTTATCGCAGACCTAAAGGTGCCTCGCACTTTGAATATAGTTGGCTATTGGATCGCCTGCGCGTGCTGGCTATTACGAGGAGACCACTATTTGTGGCGCACACTACAGGCTTTGCGACTCTCACTACGTTTGGTAAATCGTACGAAAATGTCCCGGACGAGTTGACCATCGACGCCATCCGGAACAGAAACATACGGCCTTTCTACATACGAGGTTGGTAGAACATGCCGGTTTCAAGTCGTCACCACACACATTACGCATATGGTTCTCGTTGATAAGTAGAACGAGACATATCATTCGCAAAGAGTATCTGGCTCAAACGTAGGTAATAAGATCGGAAGAAACCACTACCGTCAGTAAACGAGCAAGATGCGACTACAGTATCCTACGGCCGTCGAATCTCACCAAAGACGAGGACCACTTAAGTACGAAACTGTCCAGACATAAGATGAAGAATAAAGAAAGGTCCGTGATCGAAACCGGGCACTCGCCGTCGAATGCGTTCTGCAACACCACCTAGGGCGGCGGCGGGATGAACCTCGAGCCATCCCGACCACGCGAAGACTTCGGGTGCCGACGCGTATCATAGTAGCCCGGAGATGCACTCTGCGGGGCGTAGAGCTGAGAGGGCTCGGGCGCGGGAAGCGACGCATGCGGCACAGGCAGGCTCCGAGGTGCACCCACCGGCGCCGAGTACGATCCGGCGGTCGAGGCGAAGGACGTCGTCCGCGAGCGCGAAGAAGGCGGCGCGCGAGGGAGCGGCGTTGGCGAAGGGTAGGCCGGGTGGCTCAGGTGCGAGGGCTGCCGCTCGTTCCCGCGCGATGTGGCGGAGTTGGGGAAGTTGGCGATGCTCATCGAGGAGAACGACGACGCGAGGGTGTAGGCTGGCGATCCGGGGACAGGAGCCTCTTGTCCAGGCCGATGGTGCCCTGCAAGACGCGCATACGCGCGAGCACACGGATGATCCCTCGTCAAACCCGGGGCGGAGGACACCGACATAGCGGGCGACATCGTAGGATACATGGACTGCGTACGAGCTCTCGGCGTGCTGTCCCCACTCAGCGAACTGCCGGAGGATATCGACGCCGTCTCCGCCGATGGAGGCAACGGCCGTCCGCGCCAGTGCGCTGGCGGCGGCGTCATCCCAGCGAAGTCAACATTGAATTCGCCCACGTCATATTCGCCATCCGAGCCCGCGTCGCTTTCGCTCATGAAAGCGGTGGAGGAGGAGCCGCCCGAGCTCATAGACGCCGTCGAGTCGCTGCTGTACCCGCGCTCGCGAGGGTGGTAGAATTGAACGGGTCGAAGCGGCCCCTTCGCGTTACTCGGGTATCCCGAGCGATGGGACTGCGCAGTGTACGGGCGAGAAATACCAGGAAGAACTCCGTTACCAGGATAAGGAGGGATGACCGGAGGTTCGGTCATCGCTGGTCGGATGCCGGTGTACGGGCGGAGATGCTCTGGAAGGGCGCGAGGGATGGGTGGCATAGTTGCTGCGCCTGCCCGCGACGGATAGCGAGCAGGAGTGGATTTCGTGCGCAATCGGCGCGTCGCATACTCGGGATCAGGTATGGGTCGGCGCCCGTCGAGCATGTCGACGATCGCCTGCATCTTGTCCCTCTGCTCGGCCATGTAGGTTCCAGAAAACCATACACCCTCCGGAAAGGATCCGGCACAGTTCCTCCGTATGGAATCTTCAATGATTTGGGCCGTCCATGGGATCGAGCTCGCATTCCTGGGGCGGCAATCAGCATTAGATGCTTGTATCATGGGCGCGAGACTCACTTAAGCAGCAGACAGATGTCTGCAGCGTCCCAGCCCTCGAAGCGCCGCAGCTTCAGGGCAATCGCCCAGTACAAGGGCACGCTGGTCACCGATAGTGACTTACCCCTGAACAGCATCTGCGACTGCGAATTTCCATCCAGGTGGATTGCTGCGTCGTACACCGGATATCGGGGTAGGCCAGATGAGCTGCGAGGCAATGGGAGGTCAGCCGATGGTCTAACGGCACGAACAGATAGTACATACTCAGTCGTAGTGGGCAGACATTGGTCCGCGGACGCGTTGAGCCACTCGGCGTCTACGCGTAGTTTCTGTGCGGCCTCTCGTGCTGCTCTTTGCAGCCGGGCAGGTGCATCTTTGATTCCATGCAGACGCCACTCTGTAGCGAAAGCAGTGCCTAAGTAGTTGACATCGCGCGTTGTGATGCGACGCGGTTGCAACTGAGTCTGCGCCAATTCAGGGTGAAGAAGAATTGCCGCGCCACCGTGAACGACAAGTGTCACATGACGCCCGCCGAATTCCTGTAGAAGAAGCGTGTCAAGCTTGACGAAGAGCCTATGCAGGAGGTCGGCATCGAGGGGCACTGGCCGGTTGGGTGGTGGCGGTGGCGTGGTAAAGACGAGGTTCGTTGGAGGGGGAGGAACGGCGGCGGCGCTTATCAGCGGAGCACGACTCATGGTAGGGTCGGAGGAGAAATGAACTTGGCCAAGGACAACACTCGAGGCGCCTTATATGGCGGCGGATACAAAAACATGAGTTCCCACGGTTTGTGTCGAGTGCAGGAATGCATTGAAGCTATTCGATTGCTGTAGACTTGTACTTCTCTTGTGAGCTCTCTGAGCAGAGCCAGCTACACGAGCAGGGCTGGAGGCTGCCACAGGCGCCTGAAAGTGTGGCGAAGGACACAGGTGAGTCACTGAATGTCGGTGGAAGCGCCAGAATCGAACTTGAAGTTGTAGTGAGTCATACGGTGGGTCTCACCTCCTTTGTGATCACTGATCATACGCAGCCCTCTTGAGGGTCGCTGGCTGTGAAATTCTGCCATGATCGAAGGGTCCGCGCTACCTCTTGTTCGGAGTGAACATTGTTCAGCTTGTTGAGATGTTGACGGTCAGGAAGCAAGGAGTGATCACAAAGATCGGCGTCGGGAACGTGTTCATCCGCATTCGGGCCGCGAAGAGGCGCCCGAACCCAGGTGTGATTCGGCGTCTTCATCAACTCTTTACCTTACAACACACACCGTACTCCCTATTCCTCGCCCAAATTGTCACTGTGCTTTCGTTCATCAAGAACATGGCACACTTCCTGACATTGTGTTCGGCCCGCGCCGGCTGATACGACGAAGCCGCCGAGAGCGCCATCTCATGACCACAGCGCCTACCTGGGAGGCGGTGCTCAACAGCAGAACCTTCGTCTCAACAGTCATCACCGGCATCTTGGGCTGCTCTCGACGTCCCCCCTTGCTTCTTTCTATACATCCCACCGTGTGGTACCGCAGCCTCTGGTGGCTGCGCGCAGTGACTCTTTAGTCCGCTCAGTTGCGCAGTCGTTTGAGCGCGCGCTTATAACTGATCTCAGTGAGTCCATCGAATCATACTGCCTAAGCAACTATCTCACCTTACTTCCCCGACTTCCTGCACTCATCTACACTGCCAGTATGATCGTCAACATGGAGAAGGCAGCGCCAGCACCCCCACCTTCATACTCAGCCGCCACCCAAGGCCCGCCTCCCTTCCCCTCCGGGTCGCACCGCAAGAGACGTATCACGGACATACCGCCTCACCTCCTGTTGAACATCGTGTACGCGACGCTGCCCCAGACACCGTATCTCGACGAGAGCACAGCCGAGCGGCAGCGGAGGGTGCTGTACTGGATCTCAATGAACCTTCGGATCGTCAATCGCGCGTTCTACATCGGTGCGTCTTATAGACTCGTCCTGATGTACCCCGGAACCTAATCACCGTACAGCTTGCATGCACGTCCTCCGGTCGATCTATCTTCCCGCATACGAATCCCTCGTCCGACCGCCATACACCTCCGACCCATTCCCCCTCCTCATCTCCGCCCCGTCATACGAGGAATCAACATCGGAGAAGCACAGTCCGCCTTCGACGTCCCAAGATGCGCTCCCTACCCCATTCCCTGACACCCTCCCCCGCGAAACACGCGTCTTCGACCTCTTCATCGCGCTCAAGGTCCGCGAGGACGCCTGGGCGGACGCAACGTCCCTCCACCTCGAGCGCGAGGAGGCGTACAAGGACATCTTCAGCGTCATGCAGCCGCGCGCGCGGCTCGAGGACCTGGTGTGCAAGTATGGCGTGCGCGATGGCGTCGTCTCGTACTCGGGCTCCTCGCGCGCGGGCACGCCAACTCGGGGCGTCCGGCCCATTCCCTTCCGTCTGCTGAGCGCGACGTTCAGCCCATGGCGCGTCGGGCTCGTGCTCACTCTGTCGTCGAGGCGGAAAACGATTGTGGAGGTGCAGCGCGGCGCGCGGGACGAGGCGCTGGAGAAGGCTGCAAAGCTTCTCGTCTGTGAGCTGCGGGAATGGGCGGCAGAAAACTGGCGGTGACGGTACATGGTTCCCGGGTGGTCGTGACAGAGTACGGACGATGCTCTGTTCATCCAAACCGACTCATCGTCGGAAGGATAGTGAGACGCGTTCCATCGTCTGGTCAAGCCAAACTCTCTGCCTCGGGGACTTGTACGCGTAGTGTAGGATACACGATCATGTATAGTAGACGGTATCTATTCATCTATCTATCATCATACAGTCCCTCATACCTTGAACATGATTGCGGCTCGAACGAGAACTGACAGTGCAGGCAACGCTTTCCCACTACACGATGCTGGTCCTTGTGGGTCCAGGGCTTTAGAACACGTGGCGCACAACTGCGTCCGTTTTCGGCGGATTCCGAACTTGCTCTTGACTCTCACCTTCCACCGAATCGAATCCCGTATTTCAGACGAGGGTAATATGCCAAACTATGCAATTTGTTCCTTCTCCGTTTACGACGACGTCTGTACCCTTCTAGGCCACCTTGTTATCAACTTGGTGCGCCCTTTGTTCCTTACTGGGGATGTAGCTCTTCGCGGACCACGCGAAGACGCCCGAGAAAGGTGGCCCTTGTTCGACCTTGACGACGGGATCTAGGTATATCACCAGTCCGCGCTTTCATGGCTACTCTACTCCCTTGTTCGCTGATTCTTGGTGTACGCCCGGTGCGTTTCCGACTTGAAGTTCGCGATCCATCCGTGCGTCCCTCTGAGATACCAAAGCTCCTCGACTCATCCTCTCCTCAGTTTTCTCTCGGTGTTCTTATACGGACGAGATAGCATGTCTTGGCCGTCGAATCCCCTCTATCCGCAGTTTATGATGTGGCCACAGCCACCTGTCCTCCCGCGCGAGATGTCAGCGTCGGAGCCGCCGCCCCTCAAGCGCGGTAGTCATCTCGTCGATCTACCGCCTCTCACCCCCGGCGTAAGTCCCTTTTCTTCCAAAACAGGCAGCTATACTCATGATATCTCAGCTCGCCAATCGTGACTCGGGACTCGCAGAATTGGGGGTCGCCATGCAGCAAGTCAACCTACTCGGCGAGGTTGCATCTACCCAGCCATCCCCGAAGACGTCCGCGGAACCGGACACGTCGTCGATCAATCGTCTTCCCTTTGAGCTGCTCTCCGATATATTCATCCTCTCGTTACCCCCTGTCGATCGTTCCTGGATGTTTGGGGAAACCATCGATGCGCATGAAGGCGGTTACCGTGACCCAGATATTCCTTGCCATCTCCGCGCACCCGTGGTCCTTACCGCTGTCTGTACACGTTGGCAGGCCATCGCCACTGGTACACCCCATCTCTGGACTAGGATCCTCGTCGACGATCTCTGTGCGCCACGGCAGCTGCACTGGACCGTCCTTCATCTCAGATACTCTGGCTATCTTCCTCTCGTTCTTCATATACACACCAAATTCGAAGATCCACCGTCAGCGCGTGTGGCGCTGCTACAAGCCCTCATACCTCACGCGCAACGGTGGCGCGACCTCGTTCTCTTCGCAAACGGTCTCAGCCTCAATGATATGCGCTTCCTATGCGCCGCCCGTGCGCAATCGCTAGCGTCGGCCAAGATCCACAACGCGAGTATAGATGTTCATGAACACTTCTGGGCGTGGGCCATGTCTCTCCCATCCCTGCGGCGCGCTACACTCGGTCTTGGGCATAACATAACTGCTCTGATGAACCAAGCACCGGGGTTCTGGCAGGAGTTGCGCGACTTGAGCCTCATGAATGGTTCGTGTCAGACACCTAAGGTGCTCCAGCTGCTGCGCACTTGCCCGCGCATAGAAATGCTGCATGTAGATTGCTTCGATTGGGCCAGGCGTCGCAACAACAATGATGACGATCTACGCGTCGTCCAAGCCATGAATCTCCATACGCTCCTTGTGGTCAATAGAGCCCACGATACGCATACCTTCTTCCATCACATTCACGCCCCTCGACTTCGCCATCTTGCCATCGATGATTCTGCAAGGCATTCGACCGCAGAATCCCGGAGGCAGTTGTGGTTGGCTGTCGCGCACATGCTCACGAGATCTGGCCCGCGGCTCAAGCGTCTCCTGTACACTGGCAACGAGGAGCAACTAATGGATTTGGTAAAGCTGGATGCTCTCCGTCACCTAGAAGAGCTGTCTGCATACCGAACCGGAGCTACGTCGCGGAAGTTGCTGGACCTATTGATCATAAGATCCGGTCAAAACTACCTCCCACATCTCAAGGACTTATCGCTTGGTCCTACATACGGCGAGAAGGAGGCGGCCTTGGACAAGATGGTACTGTCACGGAAGGGTATATTACAGGTTTTACAGTTCTTGTGCTTGCTGCACCCAATAGACTTGACAGTCCTGAAAGCAGCGAGTGCAAACTGGCTCGCTGTATACTTCGGGGACACGCCGTATGGATGGGGCTCCAGATCTGCATCCTCCTAGTAGCCACAAAGTGCGCGTAGCACACATGGAAGCTCGATAGTAGCCTAATTTGCGCACATACCTTGCGTTGAGGGAACCGCTAGAAGCGACTCGCCAGCCCTCGAAGGGCGCTGACCAATACGCTTAATAAAGCGAATATTCTAGTTATATTGTACTTTAGCATTGATAGAGGAGAGTACAGCGGGAGCAAGCAACCCAACGCCCTGTTTACACGCACCTACATACTCGACGTCTAACCACGTCCTGCGCGCACCCTCTAACTCTAACACCTCGCGAATAGACCGTCGCGCCGCGTGCTAGGGACCATTCCGTCGCCCTCCCAGCGCCTAGCCGCGAGCAATCGAAGATGTCTGATGTGCCGTCGCAGGGGTTGAAGACTCTGTCATGCGAACGAGCATACCAAGGAATTGCAATGCTGTATGCAGTGATATAACTTTGTGGGTCCACGACACGTGGCCGACATTCTGCGGCCGTCTCGGCAATTTCCTGGTTTGCTCTTGACTCTCACTTTCCCGAAGCGAATTCTGTATTTCAGGCTATGCATGCTCAACTCATGGAACTTCTTTCCTCTCGGAGTACGTTGATAGCGGTTCCCATTAAGGCCCCTCCGTTACCGACCCGGTGTGCCCTTTGTTTCTTTTTGGGGATATGGTTGTTCGCGGACCACGAGAAGTCGCCCGGAAAAGGTTACCCTTGTTCTGCCTTGACGACGGGACATAGATATATCATGAGTCTGTGCTCCAATAGCTACTCTACTCTCTTGTCTGCTGATTCTTAGTGTGCGCCCGGTGCGTCTCCGACTTGAAGTTCGCGATTCATCCGTGCGTCCCTCTGACATGCCAAAGTTCCTCGACTCATCCTCTCCTCAGTTTTCTCTCGGTGTTCTTATACGGACGAAATAGCATGTCTTGGCCGCCGAATCCCCTCTATCCGCAGTCTATGATGTGGCCACAGCCATCTGTCCTTCCGCGCGAGATGTCAACGCCGGAGCCGCCGCCCCTCAAGCGCGGTAGTCATCTCGTCGATCTACCGCTTCTCACTCCCGGCGTAAGTCCCTTTCCTTCCACAACATGCGGCTGTACTCATGATATCTCAGCTCACCAATCGTGACTCGGGACTCGCGGAATTGGGGGTCGCCGAGCAGCCAGTCAACCTGTTCGGCGAGGTCGTATCTTCCCAGCCATCCCCGAAGACCTCCTCTGAACCGGACACGTCGTCGATCAACCGTCTTCCCTTCGAGCTCCTCTCCGAGATATTTTCCCTCTCGTTACCCCTCGTCGATCGCTCCTGGTCATTTGGCGAGACCCTTGCTGCGCGGAAGGGTGGAAGCAGCCCAAATGTGCCTTCGCACCTTCGCTCGCCCGCTGTCCTTACGGCTGTTTGTACCCATTGGAACGCCGTTGCGACCAGTACTCCCCGCCTCTGGACTAGAATCCTTGTCGACGACCTCTGTGCGCGCCGGCAGCTGCACTGGGTCTCGCTACATATCAAGCATTCGGGCACTCTTCCCCTCGTTCTACATATACGCACGAAGCCTCGGGACCCTCCCTCAGCCCTTGTAGCCTTACTCCATGCCATTGTCCCTCATGCAAAACGATGGCACACAATCGTTCTCTTCGCAGATCGCTTCAGAGTCGCCGACATGCGCCTCTTGTCTACTGCGCGTGCGGAGTCGCTGGCGTCAGCTGCAATCTATGAAGCGTATTCAGACGTCCGTGATCAGTTCTGGTCGTGGGCCATGTCGTTGTCATCCCTGCGACGGGCCACGCTCTCCCGCGAGGACGACATACCTACGCTGATGGATCGGGCGCCAGAGATATGGGAAAAACTGCAGGATCTAAGCCTCGTGAAGAGCGCATTCGAAACGCTGGACATTCTGGATCTTCTGCGAGAGTGCCCACACATAGAAACGCTGCATGTCGATGCGTTCAATTGGCCCATGCATCGCGGCAGTGACGACCTTCCCATGGTCGAAGCTCGAAACCTCCAGACGCTCCTCGTAGTCAACAGGGCCACTGACACACATACCTTCTTCCGTCATCTTCGCGTTTCCCAGCTTCGCCACCTTGCCATCGCCGATTTCGCCCCTCATTGTTCGAGTCCAGACACTCAGAGGGAAATGTGGTCTGCCGTCGGAAATATGCTTACGAGATCTGGCGCACGGCTCAGGCGTTTCATGTATACTGGCGATCAGGAGCAGCTAGTGGAGCTAGTACAGCTTGACGCCCTCCGGGACCTAGAGGAGTTGTCGGCCTATGAAATGACGGCCACTAAGATACTGCTGGAAGCGTTGATCGTGGAGTCAGGCAGAGGCTGCCTTCTCCATCTCAATGACCTTTCTCTTGGACCTACGTACGATAAGGACGCGGTGTTGGACAAGATGGTGCTATCTCGTAAGGGTACGCTACAGATCCTCGAGCTATGGTCCGTGATCTATCCGTACGATTTTACGGTCCTGAGAGGGGCGTGCGCTGACTGGTTGACATTGTATTTCCGGAATATGCCATGCTGGTACTAGTACAGAATACGTATAGGTTTTGCATCATATCATAGCTACACATCCTAAAGCATCAGTCTACATACTGCATACACCTTGCAGGGAGAAAGTGCTCTCGCCGTAGGCAACAACGTTCGTCGTCAAGCTCAAAGGCAGATGCTCCACGACCTTGCGTACTGTGTCGCTCTGCGCTTCTGCGTAGATGATATTGATGGTAAGAAGCGCGGATAAGTCGATGTAAACTAGCCACTCCTCAAATTGTGCGCTCGGGATGCACGAGACGTTCATCAACAAACGGCGGAGGCCCTGCTTCGGCACGATTCCATACTTGAATAGGGAGGATAAATCTACGGACGATCCCACAGTGTCCCAGCTGAGAGCGCCAATTCGGGTTATATGTGCGACCCCGGCGGTGAGTACCCCAGTGCCTTGCGCATCGATAGATCCAAGTATCAAGTCCAACGGCCTGGAGGAGCGATTGGTCACTTTGCCCCTTTCACTCAGCACAACAATGTCCCAGACTGTGACGTCGCAAGACAGGGTTAATGATGCAACATCGAAAAGAGACAGGTTGTGAATGGATCTCCAAGGGTACGGCACGTTCTCCTTGGAACCGAAGTAGACGACGTTGTTCAAGACAAGAGTGTCGGGACAAGGGACTTCCTCGTCAGATGATTGGGCTGCGTCTCGCAATACCTCTTGGGGCATCCGCACATGAATTGCCTGCCAAAAAGCGAGGGAGTCATCGTGGTACAGAGCCGAGAACAACTGGTCGACCGGTGCGCGCTTGTTCCAAGTCGTAGGCTCAAGACGAACACTGAGAATCATCCCAGGCGCGCTGGCGGCAGATTTTGTCGCATTGACGTGGTGGCGAAGGAGATCGAGATTGGTATCGAAAGTGTTTAGGTCACCAAGGTCGTCAATCAGGACGTTCAGGCAGATACCAGATTCCCAAAAGAGCAGCCGAAGTCTGGGAGCAAACTCGCTCTCGACCGCTGCAATGGCAGGAGTGTGGGCGTTGTCGCGAGGAGGGGTCAATGCTCCGGACGACGAAGGTGGCAGCGAGTGAACTCCATTGTCGAAACCTGTATTGTGGAGAGATGAGCAACGGCGCCATAACCGTCGATAGAAACAACGCACCCTGACTGAATGGAACATGAGCCTGAACGTCAGTCCCATTCGCTTCGATCGTAACATCCTGCACATCTGCGCCAGCGATGTCTGGCGCATCGCCGGCCCGCACTTGTATGAATGGAAGCAAACCTTCGACAGGCGCGCCCCCCGACTCGGCATATTCGAGGTCGGTAATTTGGGAACCGGAATTTCCAGCACTGTTCGTGTCCATGCAGGCGTCCTCCTGATTCTCGTCGCTCCCACAAGCCGGGTCTCCATTGCCAGCTAGGGGTGGATTCTCGGTGTTCATCCGTGATGGCGCATCCTCGTTCAGCGCTAACTCTGGCTGAGGTCGCTCGGAGTAGGCTAGAGGGACGCGTGAGTACATACGGTAAGATGAGAACATGGACCCTACTCACGAAGAGGTGATAATAAAGGTTGTTGCGGGGTCCCGTCGGAAAATGTTAGAGGCGCGCTTTGATTGTTACCTTCCGACGCCGGATTCTGCGAAGTTGGGACAGTCACGTCGAGACCGCCAGCAGCACTCGTGGGACGCATCGGCGAGATGGGACAGGGATCGTTCTTCGAGTCGAGCATGTTCGCTTCTGCGCCCTCGGGGGGCGGCTGGGTCTCCGAGGTACGAGTAGCATCGCCCTCATCAGGCGCCGGCACCGGAAGTGGAGGATCCTGAGCCGGACTGTGCGCACGCCCTTCAGCGTTAGGCGCCACAATCGGAGGCTCCGGATGAGGACTCTGCTGCGTCGCAGACGATGCATTCTGTGAATCGGGTTGCCCAAAGCCTTCATTGGCCTGCGACGCCAGGAAGCGCTGCGTGTTCGCCTCGTGCGCGTCCAGAATGTTGCGCATAAGGCGTGTGAGTCCCGCGTAGAACTCGCGACTGCGTTCGAAGTCGCGACGAGCTTGGGAGTTATTCATAGTGTGGTTCTGACTGCTCATCCGAGTCAGTATGTGGCGCTTCAGGTACTAGTAGGATGAAAGACACACTTTGAGTCCAACAGGAGCTTGTTAGTTCGAGAGCAAGAGCTATGTCGAGGAGAAAGTCGTGATCGTCCAGCGATTGTTGTAGTAACTCGTCGGGGGGCAGGGGAGAGGTGGAATGTTGACTCCCTGACTCTCAGTAGCGAAGCTTATAAGCGCCCTCCAGAGACGCTGAACAATAAGACAATAGCGGCTACCGCTCTCACAGGATGGGGTCCTTTCGTGGCGAGTCCTGATTGTCTCTTGGACCGTCGGCGGCGAAGTGCATTCAGAGGAGCGTCAACAACGGAGAAGTTGACCAACAGTGGTCTTGCCCTTCTCACAGGGAGACCATAGTGGCTGCTTCGCACAATTGGAGGGGGCGCAGTCGATTCTGCTGGTCAAAGCATAGCATCCAGTCTTCCAATGACATCTCGAGCAAGGCCGCGGCCGCGGCCCCGCTGGTGAGGAATGTATAAAGAGTCGTTTATTGTCACGCGAGGAAAAGACTTGCACCGTAAGAGCAAAAAACAGAGAGGTGGAGGGCGTCATGGTTCAAAGCAAGAGACGCGGGGCAGTCGCCATACGGTCCGGCGGCAACCCAAATATGCGCATACACGCACCCACACGTCGTCCATGTAACCGAATTCTGGTCTGCGGACATCGCCTGGCCACTCGTGGATGCCTATACCGCGTCAGTTTGTGACATGGAGTACTGTAGTGCCGAGCTAGAATACATGATACAGTAGTATACAACGTGAGTGCAGTAGATATCTTGCGTGTATGAAGTCCCATGAATCGAGCTACGTATGAACCATGATCTGCTCCAGCTTCTCGCAGAACCGTGTGAGCAACCACTGCGCCTCGTCCTCCTCACTGAACATCGGCCCGTCGTACGCCAGCCAAGACAGCTGTTCCTCCTCCTCCATCAGCTCCTGCTCCCTCCTCGTCCCTCTCCTCCGCCACCGGCGCCTATGATGGTGGTGGTGGTGGTGTCCCTTCTCATCCCTCCGTACCCGATGCGAGCTCTCATTCTCCCGATGCGACGACTCGCGCTTGTGCCGGAACCCCTCGTCCCGCTCCGCCAGCCACTCGTCCGCCTCCCCCAGCAGCCGCATCCACCGCGACCACGCATCCCACTCATACGCCTTCTCCTGCCCCACGTCGTCCGCGACCACGCGCACCTCGTGCGCCAGCCGGCGGATCAGGCGCGCCCTCCCCGTCAGCTCGCCCTCCTCTTCCCTCTCCACCGCCTCGCCCAGCTTCTCGATCGGGCGGACCAAACCGTCCTCCTCCCGACGCCGTGGGTTATCATCGCTCGTCTTCCCGTTCCAGTTCCCGTTCCCGTTCCCCGGCATGAGCGTCTTCTCGGCGAGCCAGAGGACGCCCTCCTTGACCCACGTTACGAGGATGGTGTCGCCCATGTTCGAGATGAGGACGGTCATGGTGGGCACGGCGAGGAGCGTCCAGAACACGAAGAAGGGCTTTCCGGAGTTGGACTGCGGATAGAAGTCGCCGTAGCCGACGGTGATGAGGGTGGTGTAGGCGAAATAGAGCGCGTTGAAGTACGTCCAGTTTTGTGGGCGCTGTGAGACAGGATCAGCTTGACTGGCAATGGTGCACGGAAATCGCCAAGACGAACCTCAGAGTACCAGAAGATCAGCGCGCCGATGAGCCAGAGGACCGCGAAGGCGAAAGTGGACGTCGCGAGGGCCATGTACCGCTTCATCCAGTCCGCGCGCTGCTGTATCCTCCGCATCTCCTCGAACTCGCGCTTCTCCCACGCACGCACATCCGCCGAGCCATCCAGCCCCTCCACCCATTTCTTCCTCTCCTTCTCCAGCCGCCGGCGCACCATCGCCGTCGCGCCGCGCTCCAGCACCAGCGCGCGCACGCTTCCGATGACCAGCCCAATCATCGTGATCCCGATGACCGCGTAGGGGATGAGCAGCGCGCGCGAGAGGGTGCGGTAGAGCGGGAAGTCCGTGCCGAGGCCGCAAGTCAGGAGCGTGTAGTCCGCCCAATAGAGGCCGTCGACGAACGACCAGCCCTCGATATAGGAGAAGACGAGCGCGCCGAGGGCGAGGTAGAAGACGTAGGCAGTGGTCTGCAGCATGAGCGTGCGCTGCGGCACGGTGAGGGAGCCGAAGGAGGGCGGGTAGGCTTTGAAGACGAGCGCGCCGAGGAGGTTGGCGAGGAGGAGGGTGGAGATGATGCAGTAGACGCTGGCGGAGATAATGGCGTAGTAGTAGGACTGGGAGAAGGCGTGGGTGTCGCGGGGGTAGAGGAGCATGTGTTTGCTGAGGGCGAGGGGGACAAGGAGGAGAATGAAGGAGAGGTACCTGGACGAGTGTCAGTATAGTGTAAGGAGTAAATCGAGGACAGCACGCACCAGAAAGCGACGGTGAGGGGCTGCGCGATCGTGTAGCGCATTCGGTGACCGAAGTTCATGAGGAGGAACATGTTCGCGCCGACAGCGAAGACAAGAGAGACAATGTTCGGCGCGAGTACCCTGTCGATGCGCCTCTCAGTCGACTGCTAATCGAAGGTGAGGAATCGACGCACCAATGCGGGTCAGGGACTCGCTCTCCATCCCTCTCATTTCCGTCGGGCGAGATTTGCACTCGCCAAGTTTGCACAAGAGCGCATACGGAGAAGAGGTTTGCCAATGGTCCAAAAGTACCCGCGATGAGGGGGAAGCCCGTCGACATCATCCACCACCGCCTGACGAACGCTGTCAGCTCAATGATACCTCGAAGCACCAAATTCAAGGACTCACTTGGCTCTCGAGTATGCCGAGGACGTGGGGTCGGAAAACCCTGCGGCTTCATCCTGCTTACTGTCCCCAGACGTATTCCGGGTTGCATCGCCATTACTGAAGCCGTCCTTGCGAGAGCTTGACCGGTTTCGTACGGCGTCGTTGACATGTGTCGCCGCATCTTGCATGGGCTCTCCTAAGCCATAGTCGTCCATAAAGATCGTTCCCGCCGGGTGTCTATCCAGTTGAATGGGGAAACTCCTGGGCGAGAAGTGCTCAAGAGCTTGACGTTGATCCTGAGCAGGCCTCTATCGATGCCCAGCACTTCGCCCTTGGGTATTCAAAGCATGTCCGCTACTGAGAGGAAGATGATATGTCAGAAAATCCTAAGTCGGATACTGCGATCGGAGGCACAGGAGAAGATGTGATTGACTTGCTGACGTCACAATGGGCCGCCATTGTTCTCTGCCAGGAGGCACGTGTTTTTGGATCACTTGTCCCGAACGCTGATGTTCAATTCCCTTTCCCTTTCTTTCCAGCCGTTCATGCCTGCTTCTGAGCCTTTATCGTGGACAGCACTCTAGTCGACGTCAACCTTCTTCGTCGCTGGCATAGCGGCGGGCTCTATCTTCTGGTGTCGACGATGCATACCGCCTACAGCTTCACCGGAAGGACGCCTCTTCTATCCGCACCGGCGCGCAAAGTCCTTCATTGAAGAAGCACGACTGACGATATCCGGCGGACATAGAACCCCTTGCTGCTGACACCTTTCTCGCAGTCTTGCCGGCATCGCTATCCTGCGCGACAGTCAGTACCCTCCTTCGAAGGCATATTCGTCGTATCGGCGAGGCATGTTTACTATCGCCGCTTCTCATATGTCGTCTCACGCCGCTTTATATCTGACTGCGGAGCCTTGTTGACCTGAACTAAGAGCTCTATCGTAACGAAGACCTGCCCAGACTGAAGAGCCTTATACTTCCGCTCATATCAAGCGCAGCTAGACGCCTGTTCTTGGGTACTTGTAGACTTAAGAGTGAGGTACTCCTTAGCCCGAGAATGCCACGTTCGAACCAAGGCTGGCGTGTACCGAGCTTAGACTGAGCGGTACCGGCGGCAAGACGTATGTGCTTAGCGTATGCGTGTGCTACCCTCATTCGAGAGATGACGAGCGCGTCTAGCGCAGCGGTACGTGCCCCTACTCTTGTTATGGACTGGATAACGAAACTGACGAGACGGCGTGTAGGTCGCGCGCTAGCGCTATTCTCGACGTCGGATTGACACCTTAGCTTCCTAACGGCAGTTCCCGCCTACTTGTCGTCCCTTTTGATAGCTCGAATGAATTCGGTGCCGGGACCGCCTTGTTCTTAGCTTAATGAAGGGGTTAGGAAGGCCATCTTGACGCATCTGAAGTCGTTCACGACACATCCGAAGTCGTACTGGACGCCACCCGCAGTGCGCCATCTTCACTCATCTGCAAGCCATGCCATTTTCCGTCGAGAACTCGCGTGCGCCATGCTCACCCCGTCTCTCCGCTGTCATTCTCGTCTTTCCGCTGTCCAACAATCTTGCCGCCGTCGCACCCATCTTCCCATCCTCATCACATCCGCACGCCCACCTCGTTCTCACCAAGCCGCCTTCGCACCGCCTCATCTTACCCATGCGTCTTTCGTCCACTTCCGCGGACTTTTCCGTCCCATGCGCGCAGTCTTCATCTCGCCCGGCAAGACCCGGTTCCCCACTTCATCAAGTTCAGCAATCCCACGTCGCGTTCAACAAAGGCACACATGCCCTTCAATGAGAGGTGTGCGTGAATCTCAACCATGCTTTTGGAGGCATCAGACTCAACAAACGCGTCTATCGACCTGAATAGCGCCGCAATCACGCCAAAGACCGTCCCAGTCGTCCTGAACGTCTCAATCACCCCGAACAACGCGGTATCTGCCAGGTCGTGATACAACATGCCTCTTTGTGTTCTTGCTGCGCGTTCTGTGCTCTTGCTACGCGATCCTCGTTTACTGCTGCGCGATCCTCGTTTGCTGCCACGCGATCCTCGTTTGCTGCCACGCGATCCTCGTTTATTGCTACGCGATCCTCGTTTGCTGCTGCGCGCCTCTCAATCACTGTTGTGATACCCCGCTGCTGCGCTGTCTATGTTTGCAAGAGGGCGTGCATGGACGCACTCAGCATAGCTTTGTCTGGACCTGTGCTATTCTTTCTACACCATCCACCTGCTGATGCCTTTCACGGTGACTTTGCCGACGCTCCTCGCGGTGAGCTGATGCTTTCTTTCGTCTGCTGATGCCCGTACGCTCGCCTGTTGATGCCTTTCACGGTGACTTTGCCGATGCTCCTCGCGGTGAGCTGATGCTTTTTCGTTCACCTGCTGATGCTTTTCTACCGTAAGCTGATGCCCACCGCCCAACAGTCCTTCTCGAGCAGTAGCAGCGTGATTTAGAACCGCCCATGCGCTGGCAACATGGCTGTGCGCTGACACGAGCATGGGAAGACCTTTGTCGAGTATGGGATGACCTCCCTCCTCGCTCCTCTTTCGGACAGCGCGCATCCCGCCTCTTTCGGATTCTGTATCGCCTTTGCAGCGAGGAAGCGAGCGTGCATGGCAATGTATAGCGGCTGCATGACAACGCGTACCGCCTATACATACCGCCTGCATCGCCGAAGCACATACCCCATCAGGCTTCAACTGCGCGACTTATCAGTACCATATCGGGCCACAATAAAGCATTCCTGATTAGGAAGTACAACGGGGATACCCCCGGCGTTCAACAATGACAGGGCCTCGTGTACATACCAAATAGCCTCGTGTGCATACCAGATAGCCTCATGTCCGCGGCTGGGGTACCCTCGAGGTCCGCCGCGCAGCACATACCGCCGGAGGTGCTCGCGCATACGCGTAAAAACGGTACGGGAGGACGCACAAGTGCCAGCATACCGTGCTTAGATCACAGATCTTTTTCGTCCGCAGCCGCGCAAAGGCCGCTGGTCGGAGGCATGGCAAAGGCGTACAGGTAACACGGACGTGCGGTCTGCCGGCAGGGGAGGACACGCTGCCGGCGTGTTTGTCTTTTGCACACCCTGAGGGGCGCGCTATGTTCGCCGCCGTGCTGTGCGGCGACCTGACGGGGTCCCAGGGCGGCTTGAAGCGACCGCGATGTCGAGCCTGCGCGAAGTCTGTGCTCTGTCCGGCTCCACCGTCTTTCCTCTTCTTTCGCGCATCGCCCCGCGCTGTCTTTGACCCATCTGCTCGGTCTTCGCGGGCTTGGTCTGCGCCTGAAAACTTTCGCAAAGCGCGATTGGGCGTCGTGGACTCAATGTGTTACCAAGGCGTTGGCCTCGCAACGGACATGTCATATTTGGCTACGGAAGAGACTAGATGGACTGCGAAAAGAAGCGTCATGTCAGGGCGTGGTCACAGTGCTTGGGCGAGGCCGGGTATGCGTGCCTGGGGTGGGTGAGCTCGTCGACGTTGCAGACGATGTTTTTGCTGCTCTGAGGATCGTCCCCCGTTATGCAGTGAACGGACAATGCGCGCGCCACCGCCAGAAGGAGGACAATGAATGGGGACATCGCACGCTCCACAATGGGCTATTCTTGACAGCGCCACGTGATTTGATAGTTCACGTATAAAAGCGCGTTCCTTTCGAACTTGCTCTTTACCTTCAACCTTTCTTCTCCGTGCGGTATAAAGCTGCGAGCAGCGCCGCCAGTCCATTCTCTTCCTCATCCCCCACTGTCTCTCCTCCCCCGCGCTCTCTTCCGCACCACCTCCCACAACAACTTTACGATGAGGGCTTTTACGATCGCATCTGTCGCCGCCGCGCTTGTCGCGTCGGTCTCTGCTCATATGGAGATGACCTCGCCCCCGCCACTGCGCAGCAAGGCCAACAAGAACGCTGGTCAGAACATCGACTACAGCATGACCTCACCTCTGGAAGCCGACGGTTCCAACTTCCCGTGCAAGGGATACCTTGATGACACGGAGGGCAAGGAGTCCGTGGCGACCTGGCAGGCTGGCTCTTCGCAGCAGATCACGTACGTCTGCCTGACTATCGTCTCTCGTGCCCTGCTAACCACTGCATCTAGCATCACCGGCGGTGCGAACCACGGCGGTGGCTCCTGCCAGCTCTCGATCTCCGAGGACGAGGGCAAGACCTTCAAGGTCATCAAGTCCTTCGAGGGCAAGTGCCCGGCGAACTCGGGTGACAACACTCTGAACGTCGACATCCCCACGGACGTCAAGAACGGCGACGTCGTCTTCGCCTGGACCTGGAACAACGAGATCGGCAACCGCGAGTTCTACATGAACTGGTACGTTCGCACGATCGCCGCACGCCGATCATCGGCTGACCTCCTCCCGCAGCGCGATGGTCACCATCGAGAACGGTGGCTCCGGCCTCGACTCGTACCCGGACATGTTCGTCGCCCAGCTCAGCAGCATCAACTCGTGCACTATCGCGGAGGGTATCGACGTCAAGTACCCGAACCCCGGCGACCAGGTCGAGACCGCTGATGGCGCCAACCTCGGCGACCCGACCGGCGACTGCGGTGCCACCGGTAGCTCCTCTGGCGGCTCTTCTGGTGGCAGCGGCTCGTCCTCTGCTGGCGGTGCTGGTGCCACTGGTGCTTCGTCCGCTGGCGGTGCCGGTGCGTCCGCGTCTGTCTCTATCGGCATTGGCGGCGGCTCCGGCTCTGCCCCGACCTCGGCTGCTGGCGCCTCCTCTGCCGCTGCCTCCGCCACTGGTGTCAACAATGGTGGCGACGTCGGCGGCCTCTCCTCTGCCCTCGGTGGCGCCAGCTCTGCCGCTGGTGCTGGTGGTGCTTCTGCCACGTCCGCCGCTTCCGGCTCTTCCGCGACCGGCGCTGCTGGTTCGTCTGGTTCCGCCGGTGGTGCGTCTGGCGCCTCCGGTGCCGCTGGCTCGTCCGCCACTGGCGCTGCCGGCGGTGCGTCGGGCACTGGCTCCGCGTCTGGCGCTGCCGGCTCTGCCGTCCCGTGCGACAACGAGGGCGAGACCCGCTGCGACTCCACGACCACCTGGAGTGTCTGCGGCTCCGGCATCTGGCAGAACATGGGCAGCACCGCCGCGGGCATGAAGTGCGTCAACGGGTCGATGGAGCTCGACAGCGACTCCGCTGCCTCGTCCTCCCCGGCCGCCAGCGCGCGCGCCCTCCGCGAAGCGCGCTCCTTCGTCTCGCACAAGCGCCACTGGAAGAGCCGCCGCCACGCTTAAGCGTCTCGGCCCTCTTCCTTCGTGGCGTGTACGCTATGTCTACATGCCCATGCCCCAGCTGCCGTCCTGCTTATGCTGTCGTCCATGCTGTCCTCATGTCCAGTGTTCTCCATATCATTATGGATCTGCGATCGTCTCTCTTCGCATCCCCTCTTTAGATTGTTCCCGGTCTCGGTCTCGTCTCGGTTACCTACTTATTTACACTTACGTGCTGGGGGCGGGCTGCGAGCAGCCCGTCACGGCTTGACGCCACGACACGATACCTTTGCATGCGTAATGCATGATGTAGATTAGTTTACGGCTAGCGCGAGCGCAGTCAATGGAGGCCTTCAGTGCCAATGAAATGTACCTCTAGACCGAGTGATTCGTGAGCACAATCTGCCAGCAAAGTTTCAGTATCGGCGCTGCGGAGAACTCCATCCTTTGGAGGGACTTGATGGCGGCGCCAAAACACGAGGCACGGCGGCGAAGCGTGAGAATCCTCACGGCACTTGCCGATTTGTCCTTCCTACCTTCAGTCAATTGCTCGCACTTGTCCCGAACCACCAACGAACTCTAATGAATCTTGGATCTCAGTCTTTTGGCTGGACCAGAGGATAGCAGTTACTGTGGTGCCCTTGGGATCTCAGAACAACTCGCTTCGGTTGCTTGAGATTCTAAATGCTGCTCGCCCGTGGTAGCCCCATAACTGGCAGGTCTACGATGGACTACGAGCGCGCCACATTTGATATATCCCCACTTCACCTCTCTTTGGTGGTCCTCTCTATCAGAAGATGTCGAAGATGCGCAGACCTAACCGACGCAGCGGCGGTGTACCTCCAAGGATGTACATTCTCCAAGAATGTCGAGCGTTGGGACGGTAACGTGAAGATGGCACTACGTATAAGTAGGCAGTGTTGCCAATCCCCCCTTTGCTGGTCTTTTCCCGCCCAAAGTCCTGTCTGCTACCGAATCCGACACCTTCACCATGCGCCCTGGGGCGTGCATCTCAGTAGCGGCCCTCGCCGCGACCACATGCGCTCTTGAATGCTGTCCGGACAGCACGAACGCGGAGTACGACTACATCGTTGTCGGTTCGGGCGCTGGAGGAGGACCTGTGGCGGCGCGCTTGGCCGAGACTGGATTCAAGGGTGCGTAAAGCTGCTGGCAGTCCAGACAACGCCATATCAGGAACTCATCGTTTACCAGTGCTCGTAGTCGACGTCGGACACGATGTACATAACTACAATGCGACTATCCCGAACTACCTCGGCCGTGTCATTGAGGGTGCGCAGCTCTCAAGCACGTCGTAGCCTCGCTGAACTGACTGGCCGGCGCAGATCCAGAGCTCGAGCTGGGTTACACTCTCGACGAGTACCCTAAGGACTTCACATATATTCAAGACGACGTATGGTCAGCGCACCGTCTTTTCACTGCCTATATGCGTTCATCGTCCCAAGGTATCCCCGCGCCCGCGGCCTTGGCGGGTCTACAGTGCACAACGCCGTCGTCAACGTCGTCGGCAACCTGCGTCGTGACTTCGCGGACTTTGAGAAGATGTTCGGAAGTTCTTGGTCTCTCGAAAGCATCTGGGAGTACTTCAAGCTTATCGAGAGGAACCTCTACATCCCGAACAGTACTGAGCATGGCTACGATGGATGGCTGGCGACGAAGGGCCTTGACGAAGGGATTTTAGCGAGATTCCCAGGTTCGTCGTGCCATCGCATGGCGCTTGCAGCAGCTCTTACTCATCAACTTCTTTCGAAGACACGATGTTGAACAACATTACGACGGGCCTGCTCTCCGCGGCGTCCCCTATCCCGGACATCAACAGCCTCAGTAACAATGATGCGACCGGCGTCGCTCTCAACCCCAACACGATCGACGAACATAACGTCCGCTCGTCCGTCTACAATCGCCTGAAGGAGGTACACGCCGCTCATCCCGACCGGCTGCACTTCGCTTTCGACACGCTAGCGACGAAGATTATCCTTTGTAAAGGAGAGGATGGTGCGCAGCCAAAGGCAATAGGCGTCGAGGTGGCGCGGAATGCTGGGTTGCCGGTGCAGTCGGACTTTCATCGCAAGAAGCATCTGAAGACAGAGAAGATCTTTGCGAAGAGGGAGGTCATTGTGGCGGCGGGCGTGTTTCAGACTCCTCAACTGGTGCGCTCTTGTCTTGGCTTCGATTTGTTGGGTCTCTGACGACGAGGTTTGTAGCTTATGGTATGGAAGGAGTACCGCCTTAACTTAGACTGACGCTCACGTTCTTCCAGCTCTCTGGTATTGGCGACGAGGAAGAACTCTCCAAGTTCGGCATTGACACCATTGTCCATACTCCAGGCGTCGGGCAAAATCTGCAAGGTAGGCCACGCTCCTGCGTGTATAACTTCCTCATTGCTCACTCGTCTCTATAGATCACGACGAAGTCAGCACCTCATGGGTATTCAAGAACAACTACACGCTCCTCAATGGGTGCACCTATGGTTCTGACCCCGCCACCGATCCCTGCCTGGCGGACTACGTCTCAACCCACGAGAACGTCTACGGTCTTGGTATCATCAATCTCCATATGCCTTACAAATCAGACGAGAGTCTGGAAGACTCGGATATCGACATCTACTGGGGACTCACGTACTTTCCGGGCTTCAGACGCGGTACGTGCTATCTGACTCTGTTTCGTCGCTTGTATCTGACGCTCGTTGGCAACAGGCGTCGGCGACCTCATCGCTCGCACCCACAACGGCCTGTCGGCGATTGCGCTGCGCGCACGTCCATCCTCCCGCGGGACGGTGTCTTTGACGGGTAGCCACCCGCAAGACAAGCTTCACATCTTCAAGAACCGCTTTCAAGGCGAAGGCGGCAGGACTGACGTCGCCGCTCTTCGAGATGCAGTGAAGCGCGCGCGGAGCATCGTGGAGGGGTCTCCTTACATCGCGCCTTTCCTGGAGATGGAGGTGTTCCCGGGGGCGAACTATACCACGGACGAGGACGTGGAGAGGCATGTGTACGAGCATGTCTTTGGTGAGTGGATCCAGGTTGGTCTTGTGGGAAGCGTTGACGCAGTGGTATAGGTCATCATGCGTGTTGTACGGCCAAGATGGGCACGGATGATGGTGAGCACGTACTCGGAAGACCGTATGGCTCGTATTTACGCGCTACATGTAGATGAGTACGCCGTGCTCGACGGCGACTTCAGAGTTCGCGGCGTGTCTTCGCTACGTGTCGTTGACTTAAGCGCCTGGCCTAACGTCCCAGGGTGGTTTCCGACGACGCCTATGTATATGGTGGGTAGCCGGTCAAGCAGATTATGCATCGACTGACCTCATTGTAGCTTGCCGAGAAGGCTGCCGCTATGATAATCACCGAAGCCGGAGCTTTGTGAACTTGCAGTACGGTGGGAACATCGACGGGCCTATCGGCCCTTCCTTGTAGCTAACTCTCATGATCAATATTCCTTGTTTCTCGTCATTGACCTCATCTCCAGTTCTCATGCTACGGCGAGGTCTATGTCAGCGCTATATCACCCTGTCTGGCAGTACTTTAGCAGAGCAAACCAATCCCAGTCGTCGGTGCTGTGTCTTTCTGGACCCGGCTGGACTCAACCCAAGCGGTCCTCATCAGCTACTTTCGCAGACAAGGTGCGCATGTTACAGTGATTGCGATGCAGCAGGTGCTACGAAGCCCAAAAGCATATGGAATCACCCTTGTGGCTTCCCATCCCGAGCCTGTGCTCAGGTACTATGGGTACGTTATGGGAGGACAGGTGCAGAATATCGAAGACGAAGCTCGCCACAGCGAGCACACTGACTCTAGCAATCACCCATCTCTAGAGTGCCTCGGGACAGCGGTTTGCCGGATGCTTACCTTCTCTTCATAAAAGGCACAGCAAGTGGACTTCCTCCTCCTCAGTTGCTTCTTACCTCGTCCAAGGAAGGCCTTCTTCTCCTGAAAAGAGACTCGACTTCTCCGCGATGCGCTTCCTGACGCCTCTTTCGCTGGCTCTTCTCTCCGTCACTGCCGTGGCGCTTGACGCCTGCCCTGGTAACGTGCAAGGGGTCTACGACTATGTAGTCGTCGGGTCGGGCGCAGGTGGCGGACCAGTGGCCGCGCGACTAGCCGAGGCTGGGTTCACAGGTGCGTCGAGTATCGATCAAGCGATAGGAAGGGTTCTCGCTGAGGACTGACCTCCGTGTGATAGTGCTTGTGATTGACGTCGGCCACGACGTGCACAACTACAATGTCACTGTCCCGAACTACCTTGGTCGCGCTATCTCAGGTATGCAGCTCGATGCCGGGGAAACCATCGCTTCGACTGACGAGTTCTGCAGACCCCCAACTCGAACTCGCCTACACTCTCGACGAATATCCGGAAGACTTTCCATACACCCAGAACGACGTATGGTACGCATGTGGTGTCTCTTCCTGCAACGTTAGTTCATCGACTTGCGTAAATCGCTTAGGTATCCTCGCGCTCGCGGCCTCGGCGGCTGCACCGTCCATAACGCCGTCGTCAACTTCGTCGGTAATATACGTCGCGACTTTGCCGACCTTGAGAAGCTCTTCGGTGAATCCTGGTCGCTCGAGAACATCTGGGAGTACTTCAAGCTCATCGAACGAAACTCGTACATCCCGAATAGCACCGAGCACGGTTACTCTGGCTGGCTTGGAACGAACGGGCTCGATCAAGGGGTGCTGTCGACCTTTGCTGGTGGGTCATGTTGTTCAAGGTGCTTCATCAGATTATACTTACACTCTTCCAGACGCGCAGCTGGACAACATCACGACGGGCCTACTCGCCGCAGCATCCCCGCTCATCCCAGATATCAACAGCCTCAGCAATAACCTTGCGACGGGAGTCGGTATCAACTCGAACACGATCGACGAGAACAACGTCCGGTCCTCTGTCTATAACCGCCTTAAGGACGTGCAGGCCGCGCACCCTGACCGCCTGCACTTCGCGTTCGATACTCTGGCGACGAAGGTCGTGCTCTGTCAGGCGGGCAACTTCACTCAGCCGCGGGCGATAGGCGTAGAGGTGGCGCGTGGAGCTGGATTGCCAGTGCAGTCGGGCTTCTATCGCACGGAGGATCTGAAGACGGAGACGATCTATGCGAAGAGGGAGGTCATCGTGGCGGCGGGGGTGTTCCAGACCCCTCAGTTGGTGCGTGATTCTCGATGTGTGAATTCGCCTGATGCCACGGCTGACGATGTACTACAGCTCTTGGTGAATATATACCATCGCTTTCGATCATTATGAAACTCACAAAAGCACGCGGTTTAGCTCTCAGGTATAGGCGACGAGAAGCAACTCAGCGAGTTTGGCATCGAGCCGGTGGTCCACTCGCCTGGCGTTGGGAGCAACCTTCAGGGTAAGTCGTAGTGAACTCGATGGATTCCCCGTTAGCTCACCGTTCGTACCAGATCGCGACGAAGTGAGCACCTCTTGGTTGCTCAAGAACAACTACACGCTCTTCAACGGCTGCACGTACGGCTCGGACCCTGCCACCGATCCCTGCCTCTCCGAGTACACCGAGACGCGCGAGAACGTTTATGGCTTGGGCTTCATCGCCGTGCAGATGCCATACAAGTCAGACGAGAGTCTCGAGGATCCGGATATGGACCTCTACTGGGGGTTCACGTACTTCCCAGGCTTCAAGCCTGGTGACTTTTCTCTCGAAAAGCGTCGACCTGTGCCTCCACTAACTTACATTGCAGGTGTCAGCGAACTCATCACGGGCACCCGCAACGGACTGACGGCAATCGCGCTGCGCTCGCACCCCTCCTCGCGCGGCACGGTCACTCTGACGGGCAGCCACCCGCAGGACAAGCTCCGCATCTTCAAGAACCGCTTCCAAGCCGAGGGCGGTCAGACCGATGTGGCCACGCTGCGCGATGCGGTGAAGCGCGCGCGGGGCATCGTGGAGAACTCGCCGTACATTGCGCCGTTCGTGGAGAAGGAGATATTCCCGGGATCGAACTATACGACAGACGAGGATGTGGAGCGGCATGTCTATGAGCAAGTCTTTGGTGAGCGGGATTGGACTGATTGGGGTGGCAGTGCTAACGCAAACACGCAGGCCATCATGCATGCTGTACGGCGAAGTTGGGCGCAGACGATGGTGAGTGCCCGTCTGAATATGCGAGCTGGAGATTGCTAACGATATACAACTTCTAGACGAGTACGCGGTACTCGACGGTGACTTCAGGGTCCGTGGCGTGTCTGGTTTGCGGGTCGTCGACCTCAGCGCCTGGCCTAACGTGCCCGGATGGTTCCCGACGACTCCTATGTATATGGTGAGCCTGATCCACAACATGGTCCGCCGCATCCGTTGACTTCTGCACAGATTGCTGAGAAGGCTGCCTCGGGAATAATCGCTGACGCTGAGGCAGCTTGACGAGATAGAATTTGGCATTAATGACGAGTTTTAACGAGTTCTCATCTGCCTGACTCGCTTGATGGCCTCGTGTTCAACGTTAGCAGCTTGTGTATAATGATGCAATCAGCGTCGTCAGAACTCTGAACTGCCTGGCTGGCGATGTTGCGGTGCAAAACAAAAGTAGTAGCCCACCGCGAGGGTCGAACTCGCAGCCTTCAGATACCGCCTAGATGGTAAGAGTCTGACGCTCTATCCGATTGAGCTAGGCGGGCTGTGATTGTCGATATTTTGGCCATGCCAGCGTCGCTCGCTGGCCTTCGACTAGTCCGCGTCCTGAGGTAGAGGAGGGCTGCGAAACCTTCCAACGCAACGAGGAGGAGTGCTCGTGGAGGAAGGAAGATGGAACCAAAATATCCTGAAAAGGAAGGGCGCAAACCACGTGTCCGAAGCGGAGTTCGGGCCGCGCGCATGATGCTGCCGCTCCTGTGGGAATATAGAGGAGTATGAGGAGCGGCACATGGAGCTGGCTCTTGCTTCCGACGGCGACAACCACCCCCTCGTACGATCACTCTTTTCGGCGCTCACGGCCAGGCTACCACCATGATTCGGTTCGACAACCTTCCCCCCGAGATCGTGCAGGCGATGTGCACGCCCATGCACCCCGTCATCTCCCCATCCCCATCCTCTGGTATGCTCACACAGACGTGCGCCGTGCACCATCTCTGACCCTCGCCTAGGCGGTCTGTACATCGGCTCGCTCTCTGCAGCCAACGACCCGGAGCTGCTGGCCTCGAATCGGTGAGCGAGCCCGCGCTCCTCATACGCAGTGATGCTCACATCTCAGGGTCACCCACGTAGTACAGGTGCTCGACGCGCCGTGGGCGCCGCCGAGCGACACCCCCGACGGCGTGCATCGGTACGCTGCCTGCCCGCGATAACGCCCCGCGCTAAACGCCGCACAGTTATCCAATCCCCTTGCTCGATTCGACGTCTGCTGACCTCCGACCACATCTGGAGGCCGCTTGTGAGCACATCGACCGCTCCCTGCGAGCGAGAAAAAACGTACTGGTCCACTGCCAGCAGGTGCGTCAGCCCGATCATTTGTCAATGCCCCCGCTGACGCGCGATCTCCAGGGCGTGTCACGCTCCGCGGCGGTGGTCATCGCGTACTTGATTCGGAACCAAGGTGAGAGGATACCTTACTCCTACACCCACGCCAATGCACACCCCCTTCCACTCCCCATCCCCGCCCATTGGTGTTCTTCTGGATTCCGCGAACATCATCGAAGTGCCCCTCACACCATGCGCGAGTTCGCAGTGCCGGACTTGCTCCACCCCCCGCCCCACTTCCGCCCTCCCGTTCCGCCCGGCTGACTCGCCCCACAGGAATGACCTACGACTCCGCGTACGCGCTCTGCAAGCAGCGCCGTGCCTGCGTCAAGCCGAACTCAGGGTGCGCGCGTTCTCCTACTCTATCACAACGTGCGGCCCCCGCTGACCAGTGCCCCTCCCTTCCTCTATCGCGCGTCATTCGCGCTCCCGATGGACGGCTGCTCTCCTTCGGCGCGCTTCCTTCGACACGACGGGTCTCCACTGTTCATTCTGGCCGTGCCACCATATGCAGATTCGTCACTGCGCTGCGGGAATGGGAAGCCATGTACCACGCGCCGCGTCCGGGCATGGCGCGACGCTGGACCTCCTGAGCGCGCCCGGTTGACCATCTCTTGGACCGGATTATCATGCCTGTACATGTCGTCGGCTTGTAATCCGTCTAAAACTGCTGTGCCCCGCGTCGGTGGGTCGGACTGCCTAGCAGGGACGCGCGCAGAGAGGATCACCTACTGGCTCGGACGATCGCCTGCTGGTTTGGACGATCGCCTGCACGACTGGCCTGCCGAAGCCATATAACATAAACTACCTATCCTCCGCCTTACCTACCTACCACTGCCTCTCTTTTGGGTCAACGTATAAAATGTATATCGCACAAATCATACGGGGTTCTTTGGGTGTAATTATACTGGGCTTCTTGTGGATGTTACCTCTCTTTCTTTTGCGTTGTGTGCTGTGTTTTCTTTCGCTCCGTGTGCTGTATCTCGAGGGCTTGGGATGGAGAGTGAGAATGGGAGGGCGGAAGGGGTGAGCAGGAGAAAGTGAGGGGGCATGACGCGCAGGTGAGGAGACGCCGCCAAGCGCAGGTTATGACAGCCGAGTAGCCGACGACGTCAGTGGGCCAAGGATTACCGCATATGGAAACAATGAATGTGTGCGGGTGTGTGCGCGTATTTGGCTCTGATGTGACCCACCGGTGGCGGCGCGTCTCTTGCTTTGGACCACCAAACGGTCCTTGAACGACAATTGGCAGCCATTACTGATTTGGACGCCAGAATTGATGGTCTGTGCCATATCATGGTTTTACAAATAATCTCTATTGTCTGTCCTTGTCCTCGTCATTTAGGTGGACCCAAGGAAGGACACGATTGGGCCCACGTTCTCTTGCATTCTCCACGGTCATTATATTCAGCGCATTGTAGGGATACGCAACACAATCAAACTCCAAGACCTGGTGCACACCCCCACAATGTTGCCGAGAGTCAGATGCAGAGGCTTCGGGGCTGAGATATGTCGGAAGAGTGGGAAGGGCTTCGGCCGCGCCGAGGAGGAGGAGGAGGGTCCGCAGCTCCAAGCACTCGGCGAACGGTAGATCAGCGTTGTCAATGAGCTGATAGACAGAGGCAGTGGTGACATGCAGCATCTCCAATCGCTGCGTGCTCACGCAGGCCAAGGTCACGTACGCACTGCCAGGCGCCGGGCTTCCTAAGGTGTTCGGGTATGCAGTTCAGTGAAGGGCATAGCCGCGCGCCTCAGCTCCTGAGGACATTCTGGATCTTCAATAAGAATATCGTTCACAGCGAGGACGGGCCGATTGCAGCTGCACGCCAATACTTGCAGACCTCGAGAAGAACCTCAGATGCGCGTATGTGTCAGTTCAGGATCATAACCGCCCTTTCGTCTGGGAAATGTTTCACCAAAGAGGCAGTAACGGTCGAGGGGAGGAAGCGAAAGTGAGAAGATATGGGCAAGCAGCTCGACAGGGAGGGAGTAAATCGGAGCGATACCTACCTTCCAGGGTTATGCTCTCACGCAAGGTGATTTTGGTACGTCGACTGGTCTTCGCCAGCTGGCTGTCTTGATCGTAAGTACGGACATCGGGATAGTATAGCTGAGGACGTACGTTGAAGGCAGTCATAGGAGGGTACAAGAGGGCGGTCTTATAAACACAAGCACTATCACAAAGGTTAGATGAGTCCCTGGTCTGTAAAAAATGACGCACGAATGAACCTCAACAGACTTGAGTACGCGTGACGCTTACGCGGAGGGTTGAAGGAAAACAATATAGAGGAGCCAGCAAAGCGCAGACACAATGATTCACCAAGGTCCTGTCGTCAAGGGAGACCAAGGACTGCCTTTCTTAGCGGACTTCGCGCGTTGCGGAGTTGCGCCCAGCTGGAACAAAGAAAATCTCGGATCGGGGCAGACTACCGAGGACGCCATTGTGCTCGGATTTTGGAAAATAGGTCGAGCGATGGGTATTTCTTTCTAGCGACGGGGCCCGAAGGCTGCTGCTGGAAGGTGGTGGTCGAGAGAAAAAGTCGGGACATGGCCGAAAACGGACGCAAATGCGAGCCACGTGTCCTAAGGCGCGGGACCCACAAGGAGCTAGTACCCTGCTTACACTCACGCACTCTTATGTGCGTATGGGTGAGCTCCAGCATACGAGACGAGAGAGATGCGAGTTAGCTGAGTGCCTCATCGTAGGCCGAACGTGGATGATCACGTGAATCTCGGACGTGAAGCCGACCTTTGATCGCATTCCTTTCTTCCTACCACCATCTCGGACTTTCAACCATGGAAAACCTCTCTCCCGCGGTTTTCAACGAGCTGTGTATGATTCATGGTCACAATGCGTGGCGAGGCTCGACTTGCGATTCGCCCGCATCCATCGAGCCCTACCCTCCAAGCCTGGCGGTCTTCAATAACTTGCCTATGTTTTCGGCCACAATCTTACGCGTCTATGCATACCCCTCATCCTGGCAACATATTTGTCTACTTTTATTTTGACATCACCATGGGATAAACAAGTCGACATCTGACCACGGCTATCCAAGCAGCTTTGTACTCGACGTGGTAAATTGTGAGCGCTCCCGTCTTTGCTCTCCGCCATATAAAATGCTCCGTGCATCCTCCTTGGGGATCATCAGAAATCTCTTATCCAGCCATGAATCGTGCGCCACCGGTTGACGCCACCGTTCTTCCTCCCCTTCCAGACGACCTTACCATCAAGACGCTGCCGCGTTCTAGCAGAGGAGCGGGTCTCTATGCTGAACTCATCCACCAACTCTTCATCAGGCTCGACATTCAGCTCGTTGACGCATTCCACGGTGAACGCGTGACGCTTGTCGTACACGGCGGCGCGCCCATCCTCACCCACCGCAAAGTGGCGGAGGTCCAGCAGCAAACTCGCCGTACTACGACGCGCGATGTCAACTACCTTGCTGGCGCGTTCGCTGCGGAGTGGGCGGCTCGTGGAGTGAGCGATGCGCCATCTCGACTTCACGCAGCAGCCCAAGAGGTCGCGCTGCAGATAGGCGTTGATTTGGGCTGGCTCGAGGCGGATACGGATGCTTTTCTGCCGACTTGGACTGAGTACGTACTATCGCCCTCTTTCATGAGACCTGTTACTGACCTTGCGTTCCACGAAGCTCGACTGGCAAACTTCATTATCCTGTGTACGACGCTTCAGTCAAGCAGAGATACGTGAATACAGAGACTTTGTTCACAGGGCGCTCGCTCTCTGTGATTGGCGTGCCCGCGTTTTGGGCCATCGCGCAGAAGCTGCAGCGCTTCGAAGGCTGGGATAAGGCGGATATATGCTTATTGCTCAAGTGAGTTCCATGGGTCTTCTGACCATGATCAAGAACACTAACTTTTACCCCAGGTCTACGCCCAAATTCGGACTAAGCAGTAATTGGACGCTCGACGATATTGAGGGATATCTGCAGAAATACTGTGCCAGGTCCTATCCGCTGGATGCACGACAGTGCCTCAAAGCTCCGGAGCACAAGATTGTGCAGATCGTCCCGATGCTCGAAGGGCTCGAGCCCATTCCCGATGGCACAGCTGGGCTGCCCGTGAGAGACCTTTCTCCTCCATTGCCGCCATGGGTGGACCAGGGCCCTCTGCCACCGATTACTCGCGTGTACCCAGAAGGATATCGCCCGGATACGGGCCCAAGGCTACTCCCCACACCCTTTCCTTTGTATCCACGCGACGGGGCGCCCGCTGGACGATCGCGCTCCTCTGGGTATCCGAACAACGTGCCTCCTGGAGGAGCGTTTCTCCCGGCGCAGTACTACCAGCCTCACGCGTACAACTACGACACCGACTCCACGGAATCCATGAGCTCGGGCGACTCGGACAGTGACTCCGACTATGGCCCTGGCGAGCGCAAGACGATCTTCGCCGGGCAGACGCCGCCGCCCGCAGGCTGGCAGGTATACGGTATGGTGCCGCCGTCAGCGGACACGGCTTCTATGTCTTCCGGAGGCTCAACGAGCGGTGCGAGCACACCGAGGATCGGCACGCGCAACATGGCCCCTTCTTGGTCTCCCGTCTCTTCTGTCTCCACCATCCCAACCACCCCGGGAGGTTCGCCTGGTCGTGGCTACGCGAGTCGTGGGGAACTCTATCACCCCGACGAGCAAGGCAACGTACCTCCCTCCCCGGCGTACTCCCTCGCGTCGTCGTTCTCGTCGATGAGCATCGCCAACTTCCCGAACCCCGCCACCTCGCGCGGGAACGAGCGCCAGCCTTCGCAACTGAGCCAGACGGCCTACCCCTCGCCGACGCGCCTTCCCGACTCTCCGCACCTCCCTGATTCGCGGCCGACATCCTTCGCCTCTTCCACTGGATCGTACTCGACGCCGTTGGGTGTACCTCAGAGCCTCCCAGTCCCATCTATGCCTCTGCCTCCCGTACCCGAGCCCCCTCAGCTGTACACGCCGCGGACGGTGGCTCTCGAGTTCCATGACCCTCGCGGGTCCCCGAAATCTGTGCACAGGCGGAAGCCCAGGTCGGAGTTCATCCCGTCACCTCCTTGAGTGACAAGCTTGTGTTTTTGTGTTCGGATGAGTGTGTTGCTTCCTCGACGATGACTACCTTTCCTTCAACATTGTATTTATGTCTTGATAGCTCTCGATTACTGACTACGGCACACTATACTCGTTACATCTCTCATTACTGACGCTGTTCCTCGTTAATTATGAAATAATACACATACATATCAAGGTCCCTCGATCGATTACGCCTGAGCTCGGACAGGTATGCAGTGGGCCGAGATTTGAGTATGCCCTTCATCAAAAACCAACATGACTCGCATCCGTCAAATTGAGAGTAACAATACACTTGATTGTGCTCGTCAGTACACAAGTTCTGGTAGATAGAAGTAGATGGTCAATACATTGTCCACGATACAATGTAGAATTCAGATGCTCCTCGAGAGATCTCATGCTTTGCGACAGCCATGCATGGACTTGTGTTCCTTCCAGCCCTCGGCCAAACATTGGTTGCTACAGAAGAAAGCCCGCCCCTTGCACGAACCTGCGATGATCATCAGTACCAGCATCCACCTCTTCAATAAAACGCACTGACCACCGCACTTCCGCCACTGCCCAGCCGCCCCACACGTAAAGCACCGCTGCCACGGCCCCGCCCTTGCCGTCCGCGCCTCCTCTTCCACATTCACTCCCTCGAGATCCTTCCCCGGCGGCGCGATCACCAACTTCCACAGATCCCCATACGTCCGCGACCACATATTCCCGCGCACGGGCACGTAGTCGCTATTAGCGAACCCGCCAAACATGTACAGCGCGCCTGTATCAGGGTCCGCGCAGATCGTCGGCTGCGCGCGGTAGGTAGGGAAGCCGGCGGTGAGCACCTGCCGCCAGCGCGGCGTGGGGGAGAGTTGGCAGACGAAGGTGTCTGCGAAGTAGCAGAAGTTGAAGCAGACGTTCATTTCGGGGACGTAGGTCATGAGCTGCGGGTGATAGCCGCCGAAGACGATGGCTTGGCCGGTGGTGGGGTCCTGCAGGGAAAGCCCGTCAGTATATTGAGGAGGCGCACCAAAAGCGGCAGAGGTACGACGTACGTAGGCAGACCCCGCCTCCGTGCGCGGGGCAGGCGCGTTGCCAGGTATGCGCTCCTTCGTCCACTTGCCCGTGTCCACGTCGTACGTCCACGCATCCTCATACTGGAACGCGTCGTCCCCGCTAACATGATGCGGATGGTCCTCCGGCGTCGCCTGCCGGTCCGCATGCCCATACATCATCCAGAACCGGTGCCCATCCGGGTCCGCGAACGCCACGGGCCGCTTTCGTGGGCCCGGTATATCGTCGCTCGCATCGACACGGTCGTTCGCGGTGCCGCCGAGGCGCCGCCAGCGCTTCGCCTCGATGTCGAGCTCCATGAAGAGGTTGCAGCCTAGGTTGGTGTTGACGTGCGTGCCGGCGAAGACGTAGATCCTGCCTTGGACGACTACGACGGCGGCGTCCTGCGCGAAGCCTGGATCATCAGTCAGTCGCAGCGCAAGAGTGCGTCATGAGAGAGTACGCACCCGGCCACGGCCAGCCGCGCTCCGCGTTAGACTTAGGCTCGTACGTGCACTGCAGGCGACCCCACTTCTCGGTGACGAGGTCGAAGTAGTCGACTTGCTTTTGCCCATTGATGACGTACGCCTTGTCGGCGTGCACGACCATCGTCCAGTTCCAGAACATGTTTGTCTCCTCAACTGGTGTCGGATAGTCGGGCAGCCGGCGCCACGCGAGGTCCTGCGCGTTGAGGTCGACATACCAGAGGTCACGGAAGAAGGTGAACACCGCGTTGCGCCCGCCGGCGAGGTACATGCGACCTAGAGTCAACCAGTGAGCTATGGGCAATGATACAACGTGAACAGACCGACCATTCCATATGAAGCACGTATGTCCTTGCCGCTCGAGAATCTCCTTCTTCACAGGCCGCTTGGCGTGCAGTCGCGTCCACGAGCCATAGACCTGCAGACTAGAATCGATGACGCGTGTCGGGCGCACGACAGGATCAGGGTGCCGCAAGCGCGCAAGCTTCAGCTGCTTCTGTATGTTGGTCGCTTCCTTCCAGTCGGCCCGCTGTCGAAAATCACCCTTGATCTGTACAGTCTCGCGTATGCCCCTCGTCAACATGCTCATCGCACTTCCCGTGTTGCCAAGGTGGAGGAAGATCTGGCTCATGAGATCGAGGGTGACGCAGTACTGGACGATGAGCTCGGGGACCATGATGTGCCAGTCTTTCCAGGCTGCCAGGATGATAAGAGCGTAGTGGCATAATGCGCGAGTGTAGCTCACCATGGAGGGGCGTGGGGGACATCGCCCTCAGGTTGTGGTAGGCGACCAGACCTTCATTACACCAGTCCAGGGCCTAGAAAACGGTGATCGGTGAGAGGGGGAACTCGCGATGCATGATCGGCACGCACCACCGCGGAGTTCCTGTCCTTGTTCTGCTCCCAGTACGCCTTCGCTATGCGGTTGTAGCACCCCATCAGCTCCACGAGGATGGCAGGATGCGCTTTCATGTAGGCCTTGACCATCACTGGCCCCTCCCCCGGCACTTCATCCCCCATCAGATTCCTTACCGAGCGCATACACAACTCACGGGCTCGCGCAAAGTTGCGCGACCGCAGATATTCATCGGCCTTTGGACTGCAGCGTTGTCAGAAAACAGCTCTGCGAGAACTGAAAGCAAGGCACAAGCTCGGTCCATCCCTCAGTGCAATCATCTTCATCGCGTTCTCGAAGTCGATGCCTGGGGCCACCTCTGAGTATTGAACGCCCAGTTTAGCATTGTCGGGCATTCCGGGATGTCTGTAGGTACGAGGTGTAGGATGGTGGTAGCAGTTCAGATGCGTTACGAGCAGCGTCGTGATGGCGACTTGTCGCCGACGCGTTGCTTGGCAGTGGCACCCGCCGCAAATAACGCGTCCCATTGTACTTTCTCGGCAGGCAATTGACCAGCTTGTCTGGAAACACCATGGCTAGTACTCCTCGCTCTGGAAAACGTGCGCGCACAGATGATGCGGACGCTCAGAGTCCATACGGCGCCTCTCAGACCACCAGACACAGTACTCACTGGTATCGCGACGGATCCATCGTGCTGCACGTCGAGAATGTGCTATTTCGCGTCCATCAGACGGTTCGTCCGAAATGACTCTTGCGCCCTTTTTACTCGACTGACCTTCCGAGCTCAGGTATTAGAAACCCACTCTGAAGTCTTCCGCGATATGTCGGCAGTCTCGCAGATCGGTGGTGAGCAGACGCTAGACGGATGCCACATTGTGCGCCTGCACGGGGACAGCAGTGAAGATTGGGCCTGTCTGTTGGACTCCCTATACAATGCCCTATTGTATGTCTGCCAGAGTCGGAGTGACGGCCCTATTCTGACATGGTGGCCAGGTTCTTCAACAACCTCGTTAAGAAGGCGCTTCAGGACAAACTGCATCCCGTAGCTGCTGTACTCCGATTGTCGACGAAGTATCGGATACCAACGCATCGCGAGGAGTCCATCAAGATCCTCTCCAAGCATTTCCCAAGCAGTAACGCGTACACGCCAGTGTCTCTCGTCGACTTAGCCACCCCGGAGCTCGCCTACGATGTCATCAAAGTGGCCCGCGAGAGCAACGCGCCTACTCTGCTCCCCTTCGCGTTTCTCCTCATCTGCGCCAAGAGTCCAGATGAAGTTGCCTCTAGCGGTACCCTTGCATCGGAGGACAAGATAGCGCTGCTGAAGGGAATCATAGAATTCGAACGCATGCGACGCGCCTACATCTACGAACACGTGGAGAATTTCGTGCATTCCGGTTGCGAGAAGGCATGCGTGCTGAATCGCGACTATGAGCCCTGGTACAGCGGACTCACGGACAACGCAGCCGACTGGGTCAAGAAAGGCTCCTGGAAAGCGATGATTGACGCCTCCGACTTGGGTCACTACATCTGTGGAGAGTGCTATGATATGGTTCTGAGCGAGGTGGTGATAGGGGAGCAGGCAATCTGGGAGGCACTGCCGAGAATCTTTAGCGTCGGTGCGACCTGGATGGAACTCAGGCGCGTACAGAACTACGATACCTAATCAGACGCTACTCAATAGAGTAGGTCTGCTCCATAATTTATTACAATCCATTAAGATCTTTCCATAAATTCTTTGGCTCGGTGCATAATTTATTCAGCAACCTAGTAATGTCTTTCGGTGACATGATGTGTTTGGAGGCGTTGAACAGGGTCTAGCGCGCCTGCGCTCGCCCAAAATCCCTACTCCAACTCCTCAGCCTCATAATATTCTTCAGCTTGCTCAAATTTCACTCATATCTTTCATCGGAAACATCATGTCACCTACTGACTAGACCGTACATAAATTACTGAGCAGACCTACTCTAATCCTCCCGAGAGTTGAAATTAGTGGTCAACAGAAGTGGCCTCGGATAGGGGCAAACCGCGCCGACCTGCTCTTGAACTTGGTCGTCATGCATCTCAGACAATCGAACAGCCTCACCCTTTCTACATCCCTGATATGCCCGCCTACACCATTCTAAATCATCTGGCTCTCTGAACCCGCCTTTCTCGAAGATGACGCATATCCCGATGGCACTGGTCAATCATCTCGGCAAGCGCCGGCCGAGCAGCTTCGAACGGGGAACTTGCACATGCCGTCGAATAGCCATGATCAATTCTAAAAAATCGCGAAATTCCCAAAAGGGAAGGGCGGGTGCCGCGACGCACCTTCGGGTCCATGTCGGCTGCGCGAGGGCTCCTAAAAATCTGGAAAGTACACTTAACTCTTCTATAAAGCGTCTTACAATGTTTTGCCAAATTTTGAGGGCCCAGCGTGAGGGCGCGCGTCGGAATTCAGCTCGAAGTAGTCGGGCAGACGCATGGCTCGCCCAAAATGGCAGCAGCCATCTCCGAGCGCCATCCCTGCCCTTCGCTTGCATGCCGGGGGCCTCTGCCACCTCTGAAATCTTCAGGGAAGTCAAGAACAAACAGAATCATCTACTCTGAGCTGCTTCCGAGCCCATGTCTGTGTGAGATCCCTTCAAGACTTCGAATCTCTGCTCGGACCGTCTTTACTACTATAACGTATTTTGATGAGCTTCTGCAATAGGCTACGAGGCTCTAGTACCTTGTCATCTTCACAAAGCATCAGATTACATGGTCTGAAGACAGATCAGCGCCTTTACATGCCTCATTGCTGTGGATACATTGCTCGGAAGCACGACCTGGTGGAATGACGACTTTGGCCTATGTGTATGCGCTTCTGCCAAGTTTGAAGTCGTATTGTGGTCCGTAAATACATTTAATTGACTTCCCTGAAGATTTCAGAGGTGGCAGAGGCCCACAGCATGCAGGCGAAGGGCAGGGATGGCGCTCGCAGATGGCTGTTGCCATTTTGGGCGAGCCATACGTCTGCCCGACTACTTCGAGCTGGATTCCGACGCGCCTATCCACGCTGGGGCCTCAAAATTTGGCAGAACCGTGTAAGACGGTTTATAGACGGTTTCAGTGTGCTTTTCAGGATTTTAGGAGCCCTCGCGCAGACGACATGGACCCGAAGGTGCGTCGCGGGACCCGCCCTTCCCTTTTGGGAATTTCGCGATTTTTTAGAATTGATCATGGCTAATACAGCGGCGGCCAGATCAATTGCGCGCTGCCTTTTTGGGAAAAATCGCCGAGGCGAGCGTTAGGCATAGTCTGCGAGTCTCGGCGACCTTGCAGAAAGGCAGAGCGCCCATGAAAACCCCCGTCTGCATACCAACTTTGCCGCAGCGCGTCCGTGATCCTCGTAAAATGTGCCGACATGCGTCATATGGCACCGCGCGCCCTCAGGTAGTCTACGGCACATATCTCACGCATTACACGCCCGTTTCGCTTCAAAGTTCGTATTTGGGGGTTTTCGGCCACGCTCTACCGTTTTGTGAAGGAGCTGGATTTTTCCGACCACGCCCAGCGCCCGCCTCGGCGATTTTTCCCAAAAAGGCAGCGCGCAATTGATCTGGCCGCCGCTGTACACACCAACACGTGCACCCAAACGGCGTTAAGTGTCAAAGCGCCTCGGCAAATTCGGAATTTCCGGCGGAAAACCACATCGAACCTGGTTATTTTCCATTAATTGACATTATTCTGATTAACCAGCTCAGGCTGCGGGCATCGTCGTGCAGGCGAAGTGGGAATGTATTGACACTACTGGGCACTATAACAAGGGTAATAGGTATGGAATGTACTGTAGGGCCACATGTGAGGGGTATATCCTACAGCTTGGGTATGAACATAAGGGTATGTATACAACGAGTGTGGAGGGGCTTGAGGAGGTACAGGGGCAGCTGAATCCAGGGCAGAGGGTCGTCCTTGAGGTGAAGCTGATGTAGGTAGAGAGGGCTGAGGGGCTGGAGTACTGCTTGGGACAGTGTGGGGAAGGGGAGTGGGCTGGGAACAGCGACAGAGAGAGGCATGTCCAGCCAGCCTCTCGATCATCCGCTGGTCCTTGCCTTCGCCTCGCACAGTGGTGACACCATGGTACTTGCACAGCGCCTGGAGCTGCACAAGGTTCAGGGTCTCGAGAGCCTGCGTGTCGTCAAGCGTGAAGAGCGCCACGTCGAAGCTCCCTCTGAGAGTTTATTCAGTTGCACGCCATGCGCGATGACGCGACTACGCACCTGCTTGTAATAGTAAGGCCTCGCGCATCAGGCTTCGCTTTGAGGCCCGGCTCCTCCCCTGCTTTGAACTCGGGGAGTTCCCCGTCCTCATCGTCGCGCTTGCGCTTGCTCCGCTTCTCGGCTCCCTTGATGTCCAGGCCCATGGCCGCCGCTGTCGGATTACGCGTGCCCATTGCTGCCTGCGTCAGGGTCTGTTGAGTCTGACGTGGCGCGACGGCTTTCCGAGGTGGAAGGGGATCGCTGGTCGGCTTGTCGAATGCCTTTACGGCTTGTACGGCGCGCGAAAGCGCGTCTGCTAGGTCGCGAAGGAGTGTGGTGTTGGGAAGGGGAGCCGGCTGGAGCACTCGCAGCGCCATCCAGGCGATGTCGCTCTGCAGGCGGTGCGTGAGAGCAGGATCGGGAGGGGGCGGGGCGGAGGGATCATGGTGGTCGGGAGGAGGATGTTCTGTCACGTCCGTGACGTCCGCGGTCCCCGGCGCATTGGGATTGTCGTCGATGTCGCAGGGTTCGTCTTCTGCATTGCTTGACTCCGCATCCAGGTCGGCTACCGACAGGGTACGCAGAACGAGTTCGGGAAAGAAGTGGCGGCGCGTTGCGTCGATATGCTTGCAATATAGCACACGAGGGAAGGCAGGACAAGTACAATTTGATGCGTCGCCAACGTGCACTACGTAGACTTTGTCGCGGTGGGTCTGTGAGCGTACGCTATACACCTGCTCGAGCTCCTCATCCGGGACAATATCCTCCTTCTTGATGGTCTCGCCAGCACGCATGGCGGCGTCAACCTCGGCCTGCGCGACATCAGCACCTTCGAATCCGAGCCGCTGCCGAAGGTGTCACTGCCGGAAATACGGCACGGCCATGCTCGTCAAGACGTAAACAAGCTGGTCGACACGCCGCCCGTGCTTGCTTGCCATGAAGTAATGCTTGAGCAGACGATGCCAAGCCTCGACAAGCATGTTCGTGTCGCATAAAGCGAAGACATCGCGCTCGGTCCGGTAGATGCCTGACCACATCTTGATGTCGCCCATCCAGTGCACCTCGAGGAACTCGATCACGCTCGCCGGCGCAATGGACTTGATGCGTTCCCAGATGCTATCGAATGTGGCCTGGTCCGTGACGCGAATCCACTTCCGCATCAGGGTCCATAGCTCCGGGAACGCGTGGGTATTGAAGTGCTGCCTCCAGGCGCGGAGAACGTGCCACCAGCAGAGGAAGAGGGCCGTCATTGGGTAGACAATCAATATGGCATTCATCTGCGCGTGGTCTTTGTCGGACATGAAGTAGCGAGGGCGGACGGAGGGGGAGAGGGAGTGAATGATGTTCAGGAAAGATTGGATGGCTGATTGTCGTCCTGCGCTCGAGATCAGCCACGCAGCGGGCATTCCCTTGCCCCAGTTGTCACGACACATGATCGTGAAGAGGTGCATGTTCTGATAGAAGGTCATGTTGTGTGTCGCGTCGAGGCCTGCGAAGCGAGATCCCCATTTGAGCCAGCAGTCACGTTGATATGTCGTCTGGATGATCAGGATGAAGAGGTCACTGTCGAAGCCAGGTACGCGCTCGTCTTTGCATTTCAACAGGACGTAGTGTCCTTCATTCTTGAGCTTCTCCACCCACTTCCGAAGGGAGGCAATGTCATCGCGTGCGAAACGACATATATTCTCCTCCACCTCGCGCTCGATCCGCCGCACATCTTGTGGTGTGATGAGGTTCTCGCGCGTGATGGTGCCAGCAGGGGACTGCAGCTCGGCCATCTATATACGGGACAATGGTAAGGACAAGGCGAGGGAATAGAGCAAGGCACGCACGATCTTCTGCCGTTCTATCCCCAGCCTGACCATCATCTTGATCTTCACCTTCGTCTCATCAGAGAGCCGCGTGAACTTGAGGTTTTGTTCGCCGAGCTCGTGGTTGTGGCATGCAGTATAACGTACAAGGTGCTGGCGCGTGCCGGGGTACGTCTTGACAACCACGCGGCTGGGGCAATTGATTCGCTTCGGGGATATCTTGCGGTTCGAGCCGTCCTTTGGTTTGTACGTACTCCGCCCGTTCCCCTTCCGACCGCAGACATACGTCGTCCTCGTCAACCACTCCGGAGGCTGCCGCGTGTCATTCTCAACCTTGTGGCGGCTGTACTCGACACCCTTCTCGCGCTTCTCATGGGCAAGCCACCCTGAGAACGATGCAGCGTCGTCGAAGTGGCGGTCGTACTCATCCCGGCCGAGATCATATGCCAGGCTTCCCACCGCAGGCGACTCGACTTGATGGGATCCTGACGGAGCTGAAAGGTCCAGGGCAAACGAAGCCTCGTAGGGAAGCAAGGGCATTGTCGAACGGTGTGGGCGCCGGGGTCGGAGGGTGGGGGCTCGGGCAGCAGGAGGGCGACGGCGGACGCGGTCGGAGGGGAGAGAGAGGTCACGAGACCATGTTTACTGTCACGGTACCAGACCACAATGTATTTTCTAACAAGAAATAGAATAAACAGAATAAACAGGACGCGGGAAATGCAGCGGCGCCGGACGAGGCGCAGAGCACGCGCGACTTCCCCATTTGGGTGCACGTGTTGGTGTGCATTTGACAAAGACTGGAACTTGCAATAGAGACCACACGGCAGACCCACAGAGCCCCCATTGTTACTCAGAGCATTGTTACTCAGAGCTCACGAGGAAGATGCTCGAAATGTGACCCACTTTGTCTGGCTATAAAGGCCAGTGACCGACGCTGGAGTGGTCACTGAACCACACTTGCTCTCCGCGTCCCATCCATTCCCCTCCACTAACCGCCTCCGCCCTCGCATCAGCCATGGCCTCCGAAGCATTCAACATTAAGCCTGAAGACATGTTTACGCCGCGCGGCGAGGTGAGCCTTCACATGAGCCTTATACGACGCAGACCGCTCACTGTGTTCGCCCAGAAATACGACCTCTCCATCATCCCTAACCTCTCTGGCAAAGTCGCCCTTGTGACTGGAGCGAAGTGAGCGAGCCACCCTCATTCTACCTTTTCGACTTCCTGACGTATCCCTCATCAGCTCCCCAGGAAGCATCGGCTACCAGATCGCCCAGCACCTCCATCAGGAAACTGACACCGTCCTGCCGCCGCCCACGTCCTTTTTGATGCGTCCTGGGGCATCCTTTTCCTTTCGAGCTTCAACCTTTTCAGAGTAGTAGCATCCTGTGTACATCCTTTGGGATTGTTATAGACAAGTGATTTAGCAACGGATTTGGGCTACTGTAACTAATAGGCTATCTCGAAGGCGTGATGGTCCGCATATTTATTGACAAAAAAGGCTTTAAAGCAGTCCAAAGAGTTCATATGTGAGAAGCGAAGGGGGATTTCCTGGCCGCCGGCAGCACCGATGAGATGGGCCCCTCGAAGGATAGCATCGACGTGGATGACGTCCATGACACGCTTGCCGGTCTCGTCAATGTCGGGTTCAACCATCCAGAGGCCTGTATCCGGGCATGGGTCGTCCCCGATCGCAGAATACCACGCAACAAGCGCGCACGGATACTCGATGTCCTCGTGATGGAAGGAGAAGAAAAGCATAACACGAGCGACGTGAAGCCCGCGGAAGCCTGGCTCGTCCTCGTTTTGGGTCACGAATACGCAGTCGTGTCGAGGAGCGCCGCCTCTCCAAGATGGCACCGAGCGTATGCGCTCGCGGTGCATCCCACCCGCACCGCATTGATCGCTAGGTGCGTAGAACGTGGCTATTGCAGAGCCGACAACATGTAAATTGCCGTCAAAGGGTGGGTACTCGGAGGGAGGGATGTCGACCGAGGGGATGTCGCTTTGGGGATGAGCCTGCTCATATAGGAAGCGCCGAATGAGTAGGCGGAGGGAAGGGAGATTGAGGCGATCGGATAGGGCATCGACATTGCGCGGACCGAGATTTCGGACTGTTGAGGGAATGAGTAGTCTGTCAACAGTGGAAGACGGACCACGCACTTCGTGTCTTTGCCAAAATGACCTCGCCCATGACCCTCCTGCTTTCAGATGCGCCCGTGTCATCCTCATCATCTCTGGTAGCAGCCGACAAAGGGAGATCATACGCAACCGACCGTTGTCGAGGGGACAACATGCGTCGAGCTTCGAAGTTGGTGCGACACGCCGTAAGCTTGTCAATGCGCTCATTGATGACCAGCATCTGACGTAGGGCATTGTACCGGTTGCTGCGACGCCATGGCTTCTTAACAGCGCGAATATGCGCTGACTCTGTGATAGATGAGCACAGACCGTTGAGGGCGCCGAACTCCTGGATGACGTGGATGTAGTGGACGAGTGCATGCTGGCGAGGAATGGAGAAGCCGCCATCGGGACGCACGCCTTCGAGCTCAAAGATCACTCGCTCGCGGTGGAAGCGCTCGAGCGCGGCCTGGATTTGCATGATCGCGTCCTCGTCGATGGTGTTGCGACGGACTAGATAGCAGAATTCCAAGAAGGAGCTAACCGTGCGGACCATTTGCGCCGGCACATAGCCTTCGATGGCAGGAAGGATGACCTGGGAACCCGTCAGCTGGTTTTACAGTCTGAAAAGCCAGCTAGCACACCTTCATGAGAGCCTTCGAGTCGTCGCCCGTCCATTGCTTGAAGCCGCGTCCTTGTGGGAATCGCCGAAGGCCAGGAAAGCTTGGAACAGCGGCTATACGGCGATCAATGTCGGCTATGATGCGCTCTGCAGCTGCCTTCCCGTACTTGAGCTCGAGGTAATCGAAGATCCAGGTGATAAGATGGTCCTTGAACGTGCCCTTGATGCACTGATGAAGGAGGTCGGAGGTCAGGAGCTCGTGAATGTCGGCGTATGGGAAGTCGTAGGTAAAAGGCTGGTGTACGTGAGTGAAGGGGCGGCGCAAAAAGAGGAGCAACCGACGTACCTTGCAATCAGGGATCACGCCATAATCGTCCCACAGCGTCTTCGCATCGAGCGCGTCGAAAAGGGCGTCCGTGTGGCTGTGCTTGCGACGCGTCGACGCCCCGTCCAAATCATCTGGATGAGCTGTACAGCGGGGGCACCAGCCCTGTACGATACACGCCAGGAGGACTTGCTCCGGGTAATCGGCGATGTAGGGCCCGATCCCATAGATAGTCTTGCGGTAGTGTCCGTCACCATAACGCACGATCTCCGGTGTCTTCATGCCTGGCCTGAGTCGAAGGAGGATGAACCGCAGCGACGCATGGAGGAGTTGCCGTCGGAATGATCTGAATGCCGCGCTATCATGGTGCTCCTTGTCAGCTGAGCAGGACATCATCAGTCAGAGGATAACGCACGAAGCAGAGGGGACGCACTTTTCGGAATAGACAAGAACCCGATCAATGTTACTGCCCCTCGATGACCTCGTCGGATGGTGTTGTGCACGAGCCCATTGGACATGTACAGAGGGTAGAACTCATTCTGCCCAGTAGCGACAGAGACCGTCGTCTTGTCGCTCCCGAAGATTGCAGGACAGTAGACGGCTCCGTCCGCTTCTGGGACCTCCTCGGCAACCTTATCCTTCAGGAGAGTGTGAGATGTCTCCCCTCAATGGTGAGGGAGCGCGGTACGTACAGCTTGTCGCCAGGGATGGTTACCTGACATATAGTCAGAGAAGACGCGCTTCTCCCGCGCATTGTATAATCGCTTTGGCGCGAAGTCCATCTGGTCTGCGTAGTCGGTATTCTGCAGCTGCGAGTGGAGGACCTTTCGAGGGCAGCGGAAGAAGACCTCGTATTCGCTGGTCTGCCATTCGGGAGGTACGTCTGAGTCGGGTTTGCCGTCGAAGGTCATGGTGAACGATTCCCAGGGGACAGACCCATGCGGGATGGCGTCAATCGTCTCGTACACGTCCTTGGCATTTGCAAACGGCGGCTCCATGTAGTCGGAGTCTGCCAGAGTTGAAGCCCAGATATCGAGGAGCTCGTTGATGAACGGAGCCGAGACTTGGCCTTTCCTGTACAGGAGGTCCGCAAGCTGAAAGCTCTCGCGCGAGTCGAAGGGGGACCAATCGTTGTCGGCCGGCTGCGGTATGTCGTCCTCGGGCGGAGGCGCATCAGGAGGGAGGAGATTCCCATTCTTGTCGCATGGGCGGCCTGATTCTCGAATGAGCATATACTGGGGTATAGTTGGGCTGGTAGACGTACCGTTCATCACGGGGTGGTAGCATACTTTACCGCCATCCTTCAGAGGTCTCCATCCGTCTTCATTGCCTATATTGTCTTCGGGACCACGCGACGCCTGCGACGGCCCAGTTTCTTCTGGATTTGGAGGTGGAGGAGAAGGCGAAGATGGGGGAGGAGGTGGCGAGGATGACTGGCTTCGTTCTGAGGAGGGATCCGAGGCCCTGAGCCTTGAGCGCTGCTCATCTGGGGGAAGAACGGGGATCCGGTGTCGAGCCGTGATGTGCGAGCCAAGCCCAGTTTTGTTGCGGAACGGCCCAGCTGTGCATCCTGGGTGAGGGCAGGGGAGCACAGCGTGGAGGTGAACTTTTCGCATCGTTTTTCGGGGACCTTCGCTGGACATGGCGGGCGGAGGACGGAGACTGGATAGCACGTACAAACAAATGGATACATGACGCCGGTAAATAAAAACACTCGCCGACTGGGATTGCTGAGTCAGCCTCGAACCCGAAATTCGCCAAGTTCTGCGTGTCATCTTCTTCCCCAACCACATTCCTTTCCTCTTCTCCAAACACAAAAGTCACTCCTTTCATGGCAGGCAAGCGTGGTCGAGGCCGCGGGGGTAAAGGCGGCGGCAATGGTCGAGCTGTAGCAGCAAAGATAAGTGTAGAGCTTCCACCCGGTGTTGAGCCCCAGCCCAGCGTCGAGCTTCCGCCGCGCGTCACACGTGAGGCAAACAAGACAGCTCACCCGGGTCTCCTCGATGCGAAGCAGCCTCGTCGTACTGCCGCAGAGATGGAAGAGGCTCGTGCGGCTGAAGCCGCGCAGGACGCAGCCAAGGAGCAGCAGCGCCAAGCAGCACTGCAGAAGGTGGCCGCCAAGGAGGATGCCATGAGGCGCGAGGATGCCAGGCGCGCCCTGGAGGCGTTCACGGGCCCCGCCACCCCTCAGGCTGTTAGCCAGCCAAAGGGTCAGTCGGCATTCAGTTGATGCTCGAGAAAATGCTGATCTAGCAGCAGAGACCACCGGGACAAGCGCCGAAGTACCTTCCTCCGCTGAGGACAGTGATGTCGTGATGCTTGACGGTAGCTCGGATTCAGCCAGCGAAGTCGTTTCCAGCCCAGACTCTGACGCCTACGTGCCTCAACCAGAGGCTGAAGTCGAAGCGTCCGTGGCGAAGGCGAAGACGAAGAAGCAGCACAAGAAGTCGACGCGGGAGGACGTGCGGACCCAGCGGCAGACCAGCGACGAACCACCCGTGAGTAGTATCGTGGCCGCAGGAGACAAGTCGAACAAGCGCAAGGCCGCGGGCGTCGCCGAGTACGTAATGAACGAGATCGGTTCGCACGCGCACTGACCCTTGGACTCGTCCTTTTGTTCTCCCCAGCCATCTGCCCGCGAAGAAATCGAAGAAAGCACCCCCAAAGCCTGGAGGGATCGACACGAAGGCCCTCAAGGAAGTCAAGGATGCGGCCGATCATACGAAGAAGACCAATGACGATTCGATGGTTCGCGCGGGGGGCTTTGCTGAAGACGATGAGGACGATGGAAAGGAGCGGGAAGGGATTCTGGGTCGCGCGAAGGGCGAACCGAGCGTGGTCAAGGTGCGTCCTCTATGTCTGCTACCATTCCCTCCCGCTCAGGATAATACAGATTGCTGTCCCCGAGACCACTGTGCTCGTCAAGCAGGAGCCGATCTACCAAGCCAAGACCAAGAAGGAGGCGCGCGGCGGCTTGAACAAGTGGCTGACCAGTCACCTCCCAACTGCCCACCAGTCGACGTTCCGTCTCCGCATCACACCGCACATGCGAGCGAAGCAAGGCACCAGACTGCCATGGGCGTCCGTCTTAGTCGAAGATGTCCAGGAAGCCCTCGATATCTATGCACCAGGGGAGAAGGCCGTGCCGGGTGGCCCGTTTGTTGATATCGTGCGTGGCCATTCGTACAGCCCGTCTGTCTGCTCATAGCTGTCCTCTAGGTCACATATCGCCTCAACGATTCCCGCACGAACATGGCCAAGCATGCCATCTCCGTCGTGCAAGAGCTCTTTGGCGACGCACCATTCTTTGACGATGCTGACCTCATTAAGAAGTACGTCAAGCACGCGTTGAAGGTGGTGGGCGAGGGGTCGAAGGCGACGTCGCCGATGATACGCCCTGCGGCTGCAAAACGCGGAAAAACATACATAAACAAGCGATATATAGTCGACTTGGTCTAGATTGTATGGGCGGATCCGTATATACTGCACCGACGTCGCGACTGTACAACGGGCGCGTCGGGGGTATTTTATGACATAGAAAACCAGGAGCGCCACGCTTCCTAACCTTCAATACAACTAGTCCGCAGCATTATCCGTCTGCAATGACTGACCAAGGATAGCAGCGAGCTCTTCGGCGCCTGATCACGAGTCTGCGCGTCGTCGATGACATCCTGCGAGTCCTTTGGCAGGCCCTACTTAATCAAGTAGCCGCGCTATACGCGCCTCAAGCCTTCAGTCCTCTTGCCCTGCTGCGTCAAGAGAATCTAGATTATTGTTGGGGCTCGGACAAGCCTTCCTGCTGCTCGCCGTCATGCGGAGACACGCAGAGCACCGCGCAAGCGGAACTCGAACCATCAACGTGACTACACGTGACTCCGGGTCCGAGACCGGAACTTCGGGTCCGAGCTCGTGATCTCGGACATCGCCGAGTTGAACTCCGAACCGAGCGTCGGCGCTGCCAAGCGCTGTCCGCCCCGGCAAGGGCTTCACTCCCCGCGTATCAACAGTCCAGACTGTACGCTCCCCGCCGCGCCGGCCTCTGAGCCGCGTCGCGCACAAGGGAACGGGTGGAAACCAGGCCGGCCTTGCCTTGGTAAACATCAACAAGTGTGGAATCGCGCCCGGCATCGCGGCGCAGGAGGATACCCGACCAGTCAACCGCTCTACCGCCAGGAACCGCAGTCATTGCGCGATTATTCGGACAGGAGAACGCGCGGATAGGCGTTATAGTTGGATTTTGACTCAGAGATAGGCATTGTGTGTTACCGCGCGGTCTGGACGGCCGAGACGACGCGTGCAAGTTATATACCGAGACCTACATACGATTCGGGGACTTTTCCGGCCCCGCGCAGAGAAGCCCTAGTACCTACACACCACACCAAATAAACACAACCGCGTTAACCCGCACTTTACACATCATAAAAAGCCTGAACTTCCGAGCGCCTTAACCCGCCTTGTGAACTTCAATCAAACCCGAAAGCGCTCGTCAGAACGCCGAGACGTCCGATTGCCCCACTCGACTTCTCGCTTCAGTCCAGCTCGTCTGGAACTGGCATAAACAACACAATCTATCCCCAAGTAATATAAATACTCGGACTCGCCCGCTCTCGTAGCGCCTCCAGTCTAGCGTGTTCATTGCTATCGTGGTTGTTGGTGTTTGGTTGTGTGGATCGTCTAGCTAGACTGTACTTCGCGTCTTTCGTGAGCGTACGATCCCATCACCGATGTGGTGGCAGCACTGGGGTGACGATGGTAAACACAAGGTGCGTGATCTGCCGCGCTTTTCAACGTTGTTCTGAACTTCTACGTGCAGGGATTCCTTCAATCTGATCTCATCCTCGCAACATTCTCCATACACCTAGCGGAGACGGTGTTCGCTCTCCCTGCCGACAATCCCGTGCCGCCGTGCTCTGATCCACCGATCGGTGCACTTATACTTGCTGGGCAAGCTGTACGTGACACGCACATCAATATATCTCATACTTACATCCTTCCCAAGGTCGAGCACGCCCTCAAGACGTTCGAGACCGGTACCTACAAGTCCCCCACCTCCCACTTCTCCGCGAGCAACTACGGTGATTACCACACCTTCGAAGATGGGGTGCTCAAGTTGAAGCGTCGTGCTACGCGCTACGTGCGACGTCTGCAAGGCTGGTCGGACGAGACGTGGGCCGATGTCCGTCGCCGCGCCCAGGCATTCCTCGATCCCACCATCACTGAACGCCCGGCAGAATCGGTGGTCACCCCCGAGTCGAACGTCGATGATGACGACGACTTCGACGTCGAGTCGGATGATGACTTGCCTTAGGAGAACTGATGGAGGAGTTTCTACGCGGTTAAGACCTACGGTGGGGGTTCCTGGTTGGGGGTCGCGGCGATCGGGGCTGGTGTGGCAACAGAGTGTGTAGCTGTCAATGGACTCGAAGGCCCGGAAGGCTTCTTATTCGCTCATTCATGCCTTTTATATACTACATACCCAGAAATCCTGTAGTACATGGTTGTCCAGGAATAATATGTTCGTCCAGCTCAAAGCAAAAGGCCGCGCACAATTCACGAAAAGGTTGATGTCCGTGAGACGCAATCCCGTCCTGCCGCGGCTTGTTGGTGACTTGCCACAGGACACTGACGTCCTTTCCGTCCTGCTCAGGCTGGAAAGGAAAGTCGACCTGTCCCGTACAGGACGCGTTGTCCTGCCGTCCTTTTCATCCTTTTCGTCCTGCCAAAGGACAAAAAGGATGGAAAGGACGGGGGTGTCACTTTCCTGATGTCGCACGGAAGGGCGCCAAGGTTTACATCGGCGCCCGCTCTGAGGCTAAGGCCAACGGCGCCATCGAAATGCTGTTGAAGACAAACCCTTCGCTCAAGCCTGAGCAGCTGGCCTCTTTTGTCGCAGATCTGAGCGACCTGAAGCAGGTCGAGCATGCGGCCGATGCGCTTCTTGAGAAGGAGAGTCGGTTGGATATACTGGTCAACAACGCTGCTTTGTGAGTAGACTTATGTCCGCCCGATATGGATGAAGTCGATGCTGATGGTTTTTGTTTGCAGACTCGCACGTCCACTGGACAAGAACGAGTACGGCTTGTCCGTGTCGATGACGACCAAGTACGTTAGCAGCGCCTAGAAATCGTCAGGTGCTGAACTGGATACAGCCACCTCGCCCCCTTCCTCCTCACTACTAAACTTCTGCCGCTGCTCGAGAAGGCGTCCCAGCAAGGGTCCAACGCCCCTCGTGTCGTATTCGTATGTCTCCTACTTAATCCGCCCTCAACAATTGACCGTTTTCTGATCTGCTTTGCTAGATATCCGCAGTGTCGATCAAGTGGCTTCCGCCTACAGTGCGCTTCCGCTCTATGGATGACCTGAATGCGGATATGGGTGGCCCCGATGGCTTCTTTGCCAACTTCCAGCGCTATTGTGCGTCACCTGCGATTGTTGTACTCCAAATTCCCACTCATCCTCAACTCCTCAGCCCTCAGCAAGCTAGCCAACGCCCTGACCGCCAAAGAGCTCCAGCGCCGCGCGCCCTACCTCGTCTCTCTCGCTGTGCACCCAGGCGAAATCGTTACGGACGGCACGCGCCCGATGCTCGAGGCATCCGGTGGTGCTCCTGCGCAAGTCCTGTCCGTCGAGGACGGTGCGCTGGCCCCGTTGTGGGCTGCAGTGGCACCAGAAGCGGGCAAGCTCAAGGGTGCCTTTATTATGCCTTTCAAGGAAATTGCGCCTGAAGAGGGCCTGCTGAAGAACGAGGAACTAGCGAAGGAGTTGTGGGAGACGAGCGAGGCGGTGATCAAGGATGTGCTGGCGAAGGCGTCCAGTCAATAGCTCACCTTGCTCATGAGTACAAATCGAAAAATATACACGCAGATCTCATTGATTGACTCTACCCTCATTTCACGGTCTTTAGGCTGCACACACGAAGGTGAGTTCGCACGTGATATGTTCGACATGTGATAATCGCGTGGCCGCCATCATGTAGGTTCATGAAGTCCGCTCTATCGTCTTCATCATCCTATTCTCAAGATGCGAGGAACATGCTTCTCCTCGAACTTCATGGGGTATTTCAGCCTTGACAGAGATGGAGGTCGCTAGCGATCGGAGGGCTTACTATAAGGACCTCGGTACTTACCTGACGGGACGTCCTCGGGACCTGTGACACCTGTCTTCTTCCTGCACTTCCGGGTCCTTGGGGGAAGATTTCGCGCAGACTTTGCTCGACAAGGCCCTCAGTGGCCACACCGAAGACACGTCCGGGGGCGGGGAAGGTCCGCGGCCAATCAGGATCGTCGGCATGTCGATGACGGACTCCCACGGAAACAATTCAACATCCCGGCCTCTGGTGACCGTCGTGGCTATGATCACCAGTCTAGGCCGAATGTTATTGACGAGCTACAGCGACAATCCTCTCCTTTCACCACCATCTCCTGGCCCCCTGTTATACTTCAGGAGGGCTCCCAACGCGAGCACCTAGGACCGCGCGCTCACGACGAGTAGCGCAGATCCCGGACCATGATTGGCAAGCGCCCGAGGGCGAAGGAGGGCGCGGCACTTAGGAGGCAGCGCCAGCGACGCGACGAACACGAGGTCCTCCTCGAGCTGGAGTCTTTTCAGAATGGTCAATACGATGTGTGCGTCGCGAAGCCCTCCCTTCCCCGCAGTGTGGCTGACCTCGGTGCCTAGATCTTACGCGCTTAACATTGGGGTCGGCGAGCCCGCGCAATCCCTCTCGGTCCAAGTTGACACGGGCTCGTCCGACATGTGGGTGGTCGGTGCAGACTGCGACTCAGGTCCTTGCCATGACGCTGGCGCTCACTACGATGCATCCACCTCGAAGACCATGCAAGGCTCTGGCGGCACGCCCTTCTCGATCGCGTACCTCCAGGGCAGCGTCGCTGGCGAGATCGTATACGACGCGGTCCGCTTCGGAGACGACGACGATAGCTTCGTCATACCCGCGCAAGCCTTCGCGGCGGCTTCGACGGTCGACAACGAGCCGCTGTCGCACAACTTTGACGGCGTACTAGGCCTCGCATTCTCCGCGAACTCGATCATCCGCCAGCAAGTGCCTGCTCCCGAGGAAGAGGACGCGGACGACCCCAACGCTGAATCTATCACCTATAACTTGTTCCGCATTGACAACCCACCCGCGAGCGCGTTCATCTCCCTCCTTCTCGAGCGCCCTGGCAGCGATCGCTATTCCTCGATCATGGGCATCGGCGCGCACCCGTCCCAGAAATCCTTGCGCCTCTCGCAATCCCCCGTCGACGCGCTCCACTTTCTCAACCTTGTCTCCTCCACCTCCGGCCCCCTTCTCTTCAACGTGCTTCTCACCGACGTCACCGCGCACCCCTCCACCGTCGACGGGCATGCAAACGAGCTGGCCGAGGACCAGTCGCTGCTCGCCACCCCGCTGCGCGCCATCCTCGATTCGGGCGTCCCGCTCATCCTCACCCGGCCCGACGTCGCAAATGCGATCTACGGCTCCGTCGGCGTCGGGCCCGGCGCGGACGGGCTGTACTACATCCCATGCGCGACGCCGTTGAACCTTACCTTTACGCTCGCGGACACCAGCACGGGCGTCAAGGTGCAGATTCCGGTGCACCCGGTCGACCTTAGTCTCGACACCATCGGCGAGAGCGGCGCGAACTCGGGTGGCGGTGGTAGGTGTACGGGCGCAATTCAGGCGACGACGAATTTGGGGAGCGGGACGGCGGCGTCGAGTGTGGATATCGTGCTGGGGACGCCGTTCATGCGGAATGTGTACAGCGTGATGGCGTATCGGAATCCGAGCACGTTCGACAACCAGACTGCGACCACCAGCGACGACGACGATGACGACGAGAAGGACGATAGGCGGAGATCTCTCCGACAGCGGTCGACTCCACCACCACCACCCTTACCCAGGAGAAGACGACGGACGGTGGCTGAGCCGACCGTCACAGACTCGGAAGACCCATTCAAGACATACTTGGATCGGTACTCGCGGATCAACTACCCTCCCTCCTCACTCTCGTCAATACCCTTCAACCATAGTTACCCCCGCGCCTTCGACGACGATACGCCCTACCTCGGACTCGTACCCCTTACCGACTATGTCTGGGCTGCCGAGGAGTTTGAAGCCGTGCGAATAAATGGACTGGCATACCCGAAAGCAGACGGAACGATGAACACGAAGGAGAGCTCGAGTAGCGCCAAGGGTGAGTTTCGTATGGCACTATCCGCGTCTCCGATCCTGCGTCTGCTGCAAGACCTTTCTGTTCGAACGTTCTTTGTGCGAAGGTTTCCTCTTGCCCCCGAGGATGATGTCAATAGAGCCGGCAGAGATGTTCGTCCGTGTGGGCCGGGGATGGTGTGTGCCGATCTCGATGGGATGGACAGCCACGGAGGAATGATCGCTGTGCCGTGCTGCGCGATACATGTGCTATCGACCACGTTCGCTTCCCCGAATGGCGAGGGTTGCCCCGCTTCGGTCGGATGCTCCTGCTTTCGCTTCCGATGTGGGGTACTATGCTTCCGTTTTCCCGGCCTTCACTGTCGTTAGCTTGCTTGCTCCTCCTTCAATCGGGACTGACTCGCACTCTCAGGACTCTCGACCGGTATCAAGGTCCTGATCGCATGTCTGGGTAAGTTGTACAGTTGTGTACGGTGGATGTTGTTGCTTATGCAGCTGTAGCTTTCTTCTTCGTTTGCTTTGGCCTTTTCGCGCTGCGTTTCTTCTATGTCCGCCGGCGAGATCGCAAACTTGCGCCTACCATTGTTAGGTACGGAGACATCGACGGCTTCGGCTCGACGGACAAGAAGAGCGCGAGCAATGTTCAGCCCATCAAGCACCTACCGTTCCTTGGCATGTTCAGGCGACGGAGACGCAAGGAGGCGGATAAGGTAAGCTATTCGCGATGGTGGTGTACGGGCTGAGACTGAGCCACGACTTCTTCAGGGCGACTACGAACTTGCTAGCTTGCATGACGAGCCTAAGTCAGCGGTGCCGATGCGCATGGTCAGCGAGTACAGCGACTTCAGTATCCCGTCAGCGCATACTCTGGTAGGAGAGGGTACTGGGAAGGGCAAGTACGAGGCCGTCAGCAGCGACGAGCGCGATGTTCTATGGGATGCCGGTGCTGGACTGGACTGGCACGGCTCGCATCGGCATACCGGTAGCTCGAGCACGGATGGTGGTGGGTGACCAGCATCGTCGATTCGCTTCTCAAGCTGAGTTCTCGTGTAGATATACCGCCTTTACCACCAGCCAAGCATCGTCCGCTCTCGTTGGAGCTGGAGGCGGAACGCTCGCGTCCTCGCTCTTCTGAGGGTACGCCGGGTCTGGGCGAATTCGGCGAGCTTGCATCACCTCCGCTCCTGGCTGCTACTCCGGAAGAACGTCGCGCGCGCTTGAGGGAGGCGTACTTCAATCCGCCGGATCGCTCGAGCATGTTCGATAGCAACCAACCCACGGTCACCTCATCGACCATTACAGGGCCTTATCCCTTGCTGGACCCGTCGCATGCCCGCGCTCCGTCTGCATCGTCGACGCTGCAGCGCGAGTCGGTCCATTCCGCACGTGGCTCGTCACCGCAGCCGCCGCCACCGATCTTCTCGGGCTCGCGACCACGCTCAGCATCGCGACAACGGCATGTCAAGATGCAGGACACTATGGGCTCGCGCGCGTCATTCTTCCCGTACCAACAAGCAGAGCCTTGGGCGGCGGCAGTCGGCACCGATGACGACGACACGGACGAAGTTGAGGAGTACGTACCGCCGAGCCCAGAGGAGCGGCGCGGCCGTCGCGGGCATACCCCGCGCGAGCGAAGCTCCGACATCCAGTTCGAGTACTTCGGACCGAACGATTTGCATGTATCGAGTCGCAGTGGGCACAGTCATGGCTCGGGGAGCGAAGCGACCGTACCTCGAGGGGCAGCCAGCCCGATACCACCTCCGCTAGCCACTCCTGACCTGCGTGAGCGTACGCCGGACCTGCTGGACGTGACGCTGCCGTCGTCGCCCCCACTGTCGTACGGGTCCTCGCCGCACTCGTGGCTGCCCGAAATCTCGCATGTACCGATAACGCTGGAGCCCATACTGGACGTGCGGTCGGAGGAGAACTCGGCGGAGAGCGGGGCGGGGACTGGGGCGCGAGACACGATTGTCGAAAGCCCGGTATCTGCGTCCTCCCTCACCGCAGTAGGATCGGCGTCTGCTATGGCTGCTTCGACGCAGCATGGCCCTGCCGCTGAAGATCTCGACCGTCTAACGTCACCTTCGGGTACTTCTTCATCTCAAGCGCGGAATACCGCGCTGCCTTCTCGTCCGAGACCTCGCGGGCCAAGTGGTCCGCGGCGGATCCCAAGTAATGGGAGCGCTCGGTCGTTTAGTGCCTCCTTGAATTCCCGTTGATCTTCTAGCATAATTGCTTTATGCCATATCGTTCTAAGCCTCTGTACCACTCTGCACCATTACACACTTCGAAGGTATTCGGAATCGCTTCTGCCATTGTCGCGCAGAAGGTATTGATATCGATTATTATGACGACTACACAGCATATAATGTGGACTCCAATAGCATTGCGAAAGCGTCCCGAACTTCATATTACGACCCTTATTTGAAGTTCGTACTCGGTTCTCGTATCGGACTATTGGCGGGGGCTAAAGCGTAGCTGCAAGGCGTCATGCGCCCAGGTACCATAATCCTGTAATCGACTATTGTCACGATACCCGAGCGTCAAGCAGCCGTATGAACTCACCCTGAACGATGCTTCATATACTGCAGGATCGAAGCCTTCACCTGGAGCGAAGGAGTAGTGGTGAAGTATGGTTGCGACCGCAATCCTAGTTGTGTTATTGGAGTATTGGTAGTAAGTAGGCATAGTGTGCTCACTTGGCGCTCTGCAGTCCCAGGCCACGACCTGGACAGCGTGCATATCCCGCACTGAAAGGTATGTAGGCCTGTCGATTGAGAGGTTGAAGGGCGCTCGGCGTTAGCTGAGGGTCATCCAGAGCTTTGAGAGCCTCTTCCTGCATGTGGGATGGAAGCCAGCGTTCCGGGATGAACTTATTCGCCAATGGGCCAAAGTTGCGAACGTCACGGTGCATCGCGTAGATGGGGACGTTTATCGTCGTGTTCGGTGGTACGAAGCGACCACATATTGTCGCCCCCTGAGGACCAGTTGATCGTGGAGGACCTTCCAATATAGATCAGCTCAGCATCCGTGCTATCAGTCTCCACAGACATACCCCAAGCCAAAGGGGGCGTCAATCGGAGCACTTCGTCGACGCAGGCGGACAGGTATGGCAGCTTCATCAGCTTGGCTACGTCGAGAGTGCTCCCATCATCGTCGACGATGGACGCTTCGAAGAGGGGATCTACTTCTTCCTGGATACGACACATCCGGAGAGGACTGAGATATAGGTTACAAAGCAAGCTCTGTATAACAAAAGACGTCGATCCAACCGCCGCGATCATGGAAAACATCGCGTCCGAGACAGAATCTACGGCCCGTATCTCGAGAGACTCCTCGTCACTCTTACTGAGCTGTGAAGTGCATCAATAGATTGCCGTCTCCGGTTGCTCGAAGGACTGACCAATGTAGACATGATGCTCGTCCTCGTCGTCCCCGTTTGATCTTCTCTAATCCGCTGAAGTTTGAGAACGGTAGGCTAAGTCTTGTAAGCTTCGAAGCTCAGCAAGACTTGTTCAAGCTCGTACCTTGTAAATCGTCTCGAGTGGACCGTGACCAAGCATTTCCATGAGGTCTCGTACCCAAAGAACCTCGCCAGTGCCTATCTCGTTTGCGATCAGAGGGCGACAATCAAACCTGAAATTTCCGAGTACACACAAATGGCGACACGCATAACTGTAGTCAGCTGAATGCATCTAGTCAGCACTATGTCTGCGGCAGAATCATCAAGCTCACCAAAACTGCCCAACCCTCCTTGTCAAATCCTTCTCTTACGGTCTCAAAGCCGCCTAGAAATCCGATATCGCCAGTAAGGTCCCTGCCAGGTCCATTTAGCATCTTGTACGCTGTCGAGAGCTCGATCGCCATAACTCACAGGGCAGTGAAATAGATCCAACGATCAATCCGAATTACCCCAGTCGAACTATGGCGTATCTCGTCGGCCATGCGCGCGAGGAGGTGCACCATTCGTTGCTGTAGGAAGCGTATACTACATCAGTGTCGTTGACCGTATCTGACATGGATTGATGAATACATTGGTCGCATCTGCATAATCCTTAAGGCAGGGCGAGGTGAACGCACTGTTCCATGCCTTCAAGTCTCGTTAGTCACATCGAGAGGAGATGCTGAGCAACATACACGACGGCGCTTCTGATGAGTCTGTCGGTCCATGATGTTGATGATTGCTATGCCATTGGCGGGTGCAGCTGATAGGTATGTTAGAGTGCGATCTACCGACAGTCGTCAGGGAATAATTGTGACCTTTATAGAATGTAGCCCTATCCAACGCTTCGTAAATGGTTCTGATCGCAGATGGGTCGTCTACAGAAAGCTCGTTGGGGCCTGAACGGTAAATCTACGCCTAGTCGCAACCAAAATGTCCGCTAGATAGACGTACCGGTGCGGACCCAGTGCCCGTAGTGTCTGTGCGCGCTGGAAACTCGTGAATCAAGACGCTCATGAGGCACAGTCAGCGGCATACCTTTCCAGTTCGATGTGACGCCGCCCTCGGACGGCCATCTGGTAGCAAGACCACCACTTTGAAGCCGAAGCGAACTTGGGCCCAGGAAAAGCGGCGAGAGGATGGAAAGGCGAGAGACGGTACGTGACCACCGATGCAGACATAGACAGGAGGTATACGGCGAGGAATCGCGCTGCAGAGGCAAGTGCGCCGGGACTCGTAGTCGTTCCCTCGAGCGCGTGAAGGTGCATGACCGTCGCGCAGACACCGAGAACCAGAGAATGCATCAAGAAAATAAGGACGTTGGGTTCCGAACGGCGGTAGTGCATATGTATCGACTGCGCGATGATTCAGTATATGATCTGTGCGAAGAAAAGGATTGCACGTACCACGCCAAGAACAACGGCTGCAAGTGACCCGCTCATGGTCGGATGTCGTGCATCGTGCTTTTGGCCAAGAACCTCGGGTAGTTTTGGCGCGCTGAGAAAGGTGGGCGTGCTGCCGAAGCTGGCGCGAATCCTTTGCGTGCCTTCCCCGGAAGCTTAAAGGTTTCGAGTCAGGCTCAAAGGAGGGTGCAAGGATTGGGGGTCGCTCGGAAGGGTGGTCCAAGATTGTGGGTCAACTCGAGAGGTACATACAGCTTTTTGACTACCTTTGGAAGATGAGAATCAGGCTTGCTCTCGGCTGAAAGATAGAGTACAGTCTTGCGACCAGCATGCGAGGTGAGCGGCAGCTTTGGCGTCAGCGGGCGGAGTTCGGGCCGGCACGGCTCCGAAAGTCGAACTGGTCATGTGATGCGTCAAAGACGTCGCTTTGCAGCAAATCCGCTAATTCCGTAAGGGAAGCGGGTAGTAAATACCAGTAGCTATACACCTCATCTACACTTATCCAGTCTCGGATAGCTTAGGGATCCCCAAATTATTCTGAAATGCGCAACACAAATCAGCCGCCGACTTTTGAGGACAAGTCCAAAAATGCTTACCGTATGCGCCGTCAGGCCCATTCGAAGCGCGTATTAGAGGGCACCGTACCCTTCCTCAAGATCCGAGTCTTCCTCTATACCATCTCCAAGGTCGAGTGCCTCTTCAGCGGCTGACTGGTGCCCAGTAGGCTGTCCATCTTCTTCGGCATCAGAGTCCCAAAATTCGTCATCAAACTCGTCCGACGGTGCTTCTGGAGCTGGCTGCTGCATATCCTCCGGCTGATAATCGTCCCGGACTTCTGTCGTTGGGACGTCAGTCATAACCTCGTCTTCAATAGTGCCTTCTTCATCTTCAGAGTCGGCATAGACTTCGCGGTCTTCAAGGAATATTCGGGTCGCTTCCGCGATACCTTTGTGTCCGATGCCGCCGCCACGATACCGCATGAACATGTCGCGATCGGAGAACCTGGAACAATGAATTAGCTCAGTGCAAATGGAGCGTAATCTCACCTACATGTTCACGTAGTAGCGTGCATAGTCTGCGTCCTCGGTATCATCACAGCCAGGGCGGGCGAGAGATGACGGCGGCAAGAGCTCTCTTGTAAGACCGAGTGCGAAGGCGGGGATCAGGTGGGAGGCGCGCACGATGTCCGCAGGATTAATAAAGTTGAAAGCGTCGGGTCCGTCTCCGGGCACAAAGCCAATGCGGTGAAGTCGCCTCTCTGCCCATCCGCTGCGGTAAGCCTTGTCGAAGTTGTACCATCGCACCCAAAGAATGGGGATAGCAACAGCCTCGCGCGAGGAGGAGAACCGGTCGATGATGTTGACGTGGAAGATCCCGAGAACACGGGCATACCAGAATGGGTGATCGTCGTCGTCGCGAGCAAGAACATGGATGTCGGAATGGAAAGACGGGTTGATCACGTCCTGGTCGCGTCGAATATCGTAAGTTGTGTAGTTAATTCGGAGGCACTTGTGAATGTAGAGGCGGTTCTTGATGATGTTGAGCATACCGTGCTCCTTGTCCGAGAATGAGTCGCCGGTTTCCGGCTGCTTGCCCAGACGGTGGAGGAGGTGCGTCCTCAATCGCTCAGAGAAATCCTGAGGAGGGTGAGCGATGAGGTGATGATTAAGATACGATCCTTACCTTGGCGGCAGGGTCTCCGCGCGCATCTTGGTATTCGAAGTCGTAGATATTCACCCAGTTCCTCTGAGATGTCGCCATATCGTGATGAACAGTTGGTGACGAGCGCGGGAGCGGATCACTGTCCAGTCGCTTTCCATCTCGCTGCCGCGTGAAGACGGATGTTAAAGACGAACGTAGCCGTTGTATCAGCCCCTCGCGCTGAACGTGCTTTGAGATACCGGAGGCGTAGTCCTTCTTGCTGGTGCGACTTGCAAATCTCTTCACGCGACGATGCTCCATCTCTCCCTGTATAGAAATGAGCAGATGATAGTCAACAGGTGTTGGTTCATACCGTCTGAGTGCTGTAATTATCAGTGGTACCGAGGCGACGTATGTCGGGGACGTAGTAAGGCATTGAGTGGTACTTGAATGTGTTCATGTTGAACTCCTTGTACTGTGGTCCCTTGTCGAGTGTCGCGCTATTGGGGACGTCGGTGGTCGCCTTCTGCTTGCCCTTGCTTTTCTTCGACGCTGCAGTAGCTCGTCGACCACGCGCAGCGGTCTCTCGAGGCAGCTCCTTCGTCCTGAACATACTACAGACCTGATCCTTGAAGCGGCGCATAAGCTTGCCCAAGAGGCTCGTGTTGGTTTCCATCTCGTCAAGCGTGACGTCTGTGTGCATCCGTAGCTTCGCCTGAGCGTGCCAGACCGCAAGGATAAACAGCAGATCGAGGACAATGCCGTTGGCGCCGCTAGGCAGGAGGCATTCAAAGACAGGGATAGCACACTGTCTCTTTTGTCAGTCGCTTGAACTCCATTAAATCAGCAAATGTCAGACCTGTAGATAATCCTCGTAGTCGCGAGCTGCAACCTGCTTCAGTTCCGACACATTCTTCTTGATTTTTCGTATTGTATCACGACCAAACGCAGGAACCTTACGATACCTATTGACTTGATCAGTCAAGTGAGCCAATGCAGAGGCACAATGAGAATCTACCGGCGATTGAGCTCCTCCACAGCACCATGCCCATGCGCTTGAAGCAGGCGAAGCAGGTGTATAAACGTGGCCTTCCATACACCAAGCTCAAATTCGTGCATGAGATCCACAACGAAGAGGGAGAAGTAGTTCATCCCCGTGCTCAGGAACTTCCATGAGAACGTATTCTGTTGAAAGTCAGATATCTCGGCAGGGTGTAAGCTCATGCAGACGTACACGTTGCGGCGTCTCGCATACATCACCCATAATCTTCTCAACAGCCTTACTATTGACGCTCGCACCGTCCTGAAATATGACCCCACGAGCTTCCTCTACCTGGTCCTGGCGCTCGGTGGTGTCCGTGCGCGCGCCCTCCTCTCGCCGCTTCTTGTCGCGGGATGTGCCCATCTCTTCAAACTTCGCCTTCGCCGTTTTGCACCGGTGACAGCCGCAGAGCGCGAGGGATTTGATAGATGCAAGGAGTACTCTATTAGAGCGTCAGAAGAGGAGGGTTCAGGGCGTAATGTACGCACTTTTCAGGATAATCCGCCGAGTATGCGAAGAATCGCGGAAATATACGACGAAATATGCCATCCAGACACTCGAGAATTATGCCGTGCTCGTACGCGTGCATAAACTCCTCGTCAAGAAGCAGGTCCCAGATGGCATGGATGAGCTCGCGCTTGAGAAAGGTGGCGGTCGCAGCTGATGGATTCCTGCCAAACGCTTCGTAGTATGTGTCCTGCCAGTCGTCGGGCAACTACAGAGGCATTCAGAGCGAGAAACAGCAGTCGGTAGGAAGGGACACACCGTGGGCATATACGCGAGATGGTGCGCTGCGAATGAGGATAGTTTCGCGCGGGCGTACTTCGATTGGTTGCCGAACCAGAGATATATAGGCCACAGTGATGCGCTCCCGAATTGCGCGAGAGCAGTGGCGTCAGAGTAGAGAAAGATAGCGGCAATGATGGACTCTATCGAGCGCAAATTCGGTGGTGTGCTCTCCTCGAAAGGGATAGACTGAACCTTCTCATGTTCGTCGAGCATCGCCTTAGAGGTATAGCATTCGCCGTGAAGTCGAGTAGATGTGCCGTCGGAGCCAGACTCATGAACAGAGCGGAAGGGAAAGAAGTGGAATGATTTGGCGGAAGGGAGCGTGAAGGCGTTCCGTATGACGCTGAGGAGTGGTCGGTAGAGGATGCCCGGGACTTCAAGCGTTGGGGCGTCGTCCTCGCTCTCATGTCTCGTCTTCTCGCATGACATCTTGAGCTTAACGGCCTCGCGCTGCCAGCCGTCCTTGATCTGCGGGTTGATTTCGTGCTTGTCCATGCGTTCAAGCTCCTTCTCTGCGCTGAATTGAGCGAGATCGCTTACGCAAAAGTCAGGCTGTAGAATGACATCGTGAATGAGGTTGTTGAGGAGCTGGATCGAGAGACCGCCTCGAGCGCTGTAGAACCACTTCATGAGGCGGAAGATCGTCGCGTTTTGGAAAGGTGCAAAAGTGCCGCCGGCGGAGTGATCGTTGAGGAAGGCAGAGGACTTATCCACGGTGGGTTTCGGAAGTCCAGCGCCATCGCATGCGTCCTCGGAGCCAATCTCTTCGTCTGGAATATAGCTCGGAATCTGTGGATAGTCGCGGCGAACACCGAATGTGTCGGCATCGCAGCTGAACCATCCGGTTCTCTTGTACTCGGCGTACTTGGCGATATGCTCGCTTGGTGGTGTCCCGCTGGCTAGGTGCCCCTGATATTCCCTCTCCAGTTCCTCTTCGTAAGCGTTACGAGGTACAGACTGTCGCGTAGGATGTACAGACAATGGCGGTGGCGACGAAGGGGAAGGGGTGGGTGGTGCTGTTGCCCGAGGCGTTAGAGCAGGCGAAGGAGAAGCGGGTTGTGCGAGGTGGGCAGGGAAGACGGTGTCGATGCGCTCTGTTGGTAGAAAATCGTTGTATTTCGCAGGGAATTTGCGTTGTCGGCCGGATCGCGTGGGCTCGAGTATACGTTCAGGCTCGGGAGCGGGCGGTCTGTGTGGAGGGGGTGAAGGAGGCGGTGGTGGAGGTGGAGGTGGCGGCATCTCGCGAGTAGAAGCAGTAGCGTTGTCAGCAGATGTCGGAACTCTGCGACGACGAGATTCTTCGTCAGCATCGCGCGAAGATCCTTCTTGCATGCCCCTCTCATCTACAACATCTCCATCGCCTGTGCGGCGCAGTTTCCCTGCAGCAGTCTTCGCCTTGGTGTGCGGGGTTCCCTTGCGCCTGGGTATGCCGGTGCATTTCTTCAGATGGCGCCCTAGTGCCTGCGGAGTTTCGTGTGCTTCGCCGCAGCGTGGACAGCGATGCTTGTACACAGAAGAGGCGGACACGGTGGGCTGCTTATCGAGCACTTAATGGCCACGTAAGCCCCAAGAGATGCTCGAATAACCGAGGTACTCACAACTGCTGCTTTTACCCCTTGCACCGCCTCGAAGGACGGACCGTATGTGCAGAACAGCACCATCACCAACCCCCGCATCACAAAGCTTTTGACGTGAGGCGAGCGGCAGCCATCCGAAGCTAGGGTAGAGGACTTCGAAGCCAACAGCATGGGAGCTTGGCAGACGCCGCTCGCGGCGTAGTTGATTCAGTATATCATCCTTGTCTCCTTTGAGCCAGATCTCTGGCCTTCATGTCAGATGTGTCATGCAACGCAGATAGCATGGACGTACTCATAGGGTGGAGGTGCATTGAAGGACCCATGAGATAGATCGTCATTGTGTGAGCGAGTCGATGGTGAGGGGCGAGCGGAAATGCATTGCGGAGGCGCTCATCAATTGCATGGGAGCGTAGAAGATTCCGCAAAGCTGAAGATCTGTGAGCAGCCAGTACAATCTCTTGATCAAGGCGTACCATATACTGAGGCAAGCACAATTCCGAAATAGCAAGGCGGCAGGCTTGCCGAGAAGGCAGGAAGTAAGCCCATACAGATTGAGGCAGCGGCCAGAAAGAGAAAAACAGCAATTTGAGCGCCGAGAACGGTCACAATTCTGCGGGTGCCATTATCGTAGTCTCGCGCTTTAGTGCCATTGAAGGCAAGTCCAGTGAATCGAGATGCTTGACTAGCAACCCACTCATGTCGAAAGACACGGCGGTAGTGGAGAGCCATGGGAGCAGTACGAGAGGTGAGATATAGCAGGATACAGTACTCGAACGAGACTTCGCGATATAAAACGGCTGCCGAAAGTATGAAGAGGAAGACGAGAAGGCATATGATATGCGAAAGGATGTTATATCGGCGAAGGCAGGCCCTGTGCTTGCGAGTCGCCCATTCTCGGTGTCGTGGAACGCCCCGCCGTAGTGGACTTGGGGACGGCGGCATGGTGTAGGGTATGGCAGATGGACAATGACAAGTCGCGTCGCGCGACCGCGAAGTCCGGGCCGATGTGACGCGATCACATGATTCCCCGAGATCAAACAAGCACATACTCCCTGGCCTTGATAATGACCTCCACGACGTCAGTTTCGCATCTTCTCTCCCCCCACCATGCCCGACCGGTCTCGCTCGCAAAACCGCGCATGTCGGTCTCCTACTGCCTCGCGCCGGACGCATCACTCCCGCGGGCATTCTCGGACTCGCAGCCCTGCTCGCGGTCGCCGCTCTCCATCCAAGTCTCCCGAGCGTAGATCGCGCAGCGCCGATCTGCGTCGCTCTGTCAAACTCGCAAAATCCCCTAGAATTGCCAAGGTGCTCGGCATAGTCAACGAGACCTCTGCGGAACGCGCGTGAGTGCCTACATGCAAACGTGCCGACAGGATCTCACGATTTGCAGAGCCCACTTCAAGGACCTCGGACAGCAGCTCGACGATGCTGGGCGCTGGATTACCCGTAGCAACTGGGGATATCCGAGCTTCTCGTTGATATTTGAGCATCACTTCGAACTGGTCGACATCGAGAGCTCATACGATCGGTGTGTGATTCCCAGCATTACCTTCGTCTCATTTGCTAATGCATGTCAGATTCATCCTCGAGAAGGCTCTCACGACTATGCTCAAGCTACTTCCATGGCTCGATCTGGACGAAATCGCCCCCGACGAGGACGACACCGACGAGCAAGCGGCTGATAAGATGTGGTACCGCGCTGTGTTATGCAACAGGGTGCGTAGGGTGGTTATATGCGCATATATGCGCTCGTTCTGACAATCTTATAGCTAGACAAGGTTGCATCGATGGCGCGTTCTAACGATGTCAGCAACTTCAGGTCACCTATCGCCACCTACGTCAAGAAGAGTCTTCCGCCCATCGAGACATGCCCTGCCGAACTGGCGGCCGCCATCGCTGATCTGAGGGTGACCATCGACTCGCAGGACAAGAGCGTCCGGGGCTTCTACTGTCGCGCAACAGGTCGCGCACTCATTCCGCCGCAGGACCTACCACGATGGCTCGAAGATCCGGATGAGTATGTCCTGCCGTGTGATGTCACGTACACTCGCTGACCTCGCGCAGATTGATGGACCGTATCCGCACGCGCAAGCACCTCCTAAGTCCCAAGCACATGCCCTCGTTCATCTACAAGAACTATACTCTCGACACGACCGACCCCTACATGGGTGCCTTCGAGGGGGACCTGATCGTCCTTGTGAGTACAGTCGTGCTCGTTTCTCATGATGAAATTGACGTCTTTTAGGCGCTCAAGCATCTGTATCTCGGGCCCGAGGCGGCGAAAAGCGACAAGAAGACGAACCAGGGGCAGTCGGTGGTCCACAAGGACATGGTGGTGACCCGCGAGAAGCTTGCGTACGCGGTACTCATGGTATTTGTGTGATTTCGTCCTTGTTGCCTATCTGCTCACCGGATTGAATAGATTAAGCACGCCCTGTCGTCCGATGCTGACTGGCGGAGCGACATTGACGGCGTCAAGAAGGCCGTTCTTTGGCGCCACACGCTGCAGGTTCTCAGCCCCGGGCTCACGATGGACCTTGGTGTGGATGACTACACGCTATCGAACGACGACGAGGACAACCTGGACCTGGAGGACGACCTTCGACAAGCCGTCATCGAGGACAAGTTGACCTGGGTTGAGGGTCTTATGGATCGGCTTACCGAGTGCGTATCAGATCTAGCTTAAGCACGTTGCTGATCATACATATAGGCGCGTATTCGGCCGCCAGCGCATCACTGAAGAAGAGCGCCAGGCAGCGGAACAGTCGGATGTGCTGTCGACCGCGGCGCAGATGACACGCAACATCGCCGAGAGGATCCTTGCCAAACAAAAGGCCGACGCCGATCGCCAACGGCAGCAGGAGCAACAAGACGAGGTCGAGGTCGAGTCCCGCGCTGCATCTCCGCCGAGTGTTAGTCGGCCACCACGGCGCCAGGACGACTCGTCCTTCAGCACTCCCCGGTCCAACCAGGGGAATGGCTCGGCTCGCCGCGCTTCGGGCCGTGACACGCACCTGTCCCGCCCAAGATCTCGCGGCATTCTGCAGCCACAGCAGTCAAGCCCGACACGGTCGCGCGCTGGGGGTGACACATCGCCCCCCGCACCCTCATTTAGTCCCCTCATGACCACACCTTCTCGCCGCCGCCGTCGGCTCATGCGTATCAGGTCCCCTCGCCCCTCTCCACCTCGCTCGCCTGACAAGACCCAGTCTCCCGAGCGCACACCGCAGACTCCCTCTACTCAGCATCCCCAGCAGCAACCCCCTGGGGAGCGCACGCCGCAGGACGCTCCGCGCGATGGTGAGGTGCAATCTCGCTCCGACAAGAACTACGCTGGTCCATCGGGCAGCAAGCGGAAGGAGCGCGCTACAAGCCCCCTCTCCGACAATGATCTTTACACGCCGCAGCCACCGCCAAAGAAGAAGTCGCGGGTCAAGACCGCCACGCATGCGTCCGGCCAGCGCAGGTCGACGCGTACAAAACATTGGTCAGTGTTCATCGGGGCATCGCGTATCCTGCTGATTATTCGCAGACCACAGTAATGCTTCCTGCACATCGCGCGTCGCCAGCGACGCGATGACTTATTCTTGTTCTCGTGCTAATGATTCCCGTTCTTGTTGCTGCTTTGTAGTTTCTGCTGTACATCTTGCGCTCGTCCGTCACTGTTGCTCGTTGTCCTACCCGTCGCTGTCGTCACCGTATGTAATCTGTTTGTTGTGTGTAATGAGAGAATTCCTGCCATCCCGATTAAGCCCCTCTGAACATATTCATCAAGATCAAATGCAAGGGCATTCCGGATGAACCACCGAGGACGTGGTCAGTTTGTCTCGTCTCGCGAAGGCGTCGAAAATATGTACTGAGCTCAGAAGGCCGAATAGTCCTTCTGCGCACCTCTTGGGTGCTCATTGGCTGCTCGAGCCTCCGACGGCCATGCAAACCTTTGCTCGCCTTCGAACTCGCCCACGACCTTTCGAACCTGCGACGGCTGCTCAACCTGTGACCACCTTCCAAGCTTCCGACTTTAAGGTTATTCTCTCTGACTGGTAAAGGTGCCATATATTTGCAGTCACTTCGAGTACATTTAGGTGCATACGCGGGCGCTTAGATCTCTTGGTAGAAAGTACGATGTGCAGGAGTGGTCACAACTAGGTCGATACGGACTGACCTCTTATATACGGCTGCAGTGGGAAATTACATTCAACAGTAAGCGTCGGATACTCACCGATGGCTCCAATCTTTGCTACTATGAGTGATCCATGAATCAGTAGAGCAGCACCTCTGCCACCGCTGTGGGACTATCAGAGCTCAACAGTCAGATAGCTGTAGCCATATAGCCCAACGTCTACAACAGAGTCGGTCACCTCCGCGTCATGACTGTGGGGATGTTTCAACTCATAAGGATACCCCAGACACTTTAGCGGCGGCCAGCACACTCTTGCAAAGTTTAGGCGTCCCTGTCAATCGACAGAGATGAGAAAGCAGACATGTAGTATAGGCCATCTGTCCGGGGACCGAAATACAGTACTTCTTCGTGACCGCTGTGAGGCAGGGCAAGAGGGCAGACCACGGCGGAGCAGACGAAGAAGAGATTTTCGTAATTGATATGACCGAACCGAAATTCCACGTGGATGTCGAAAGTGACTTTTCACATGAACTGCCCTCCTCCTCGGCCTCGAAACAAACTAGGTGCGATTCGCATAGGGCGAGCGCGTTTCGAATTGTCAGAAAGACGAAGGAAAAAGCCCAACGCGGGGGTCGAACCCGCAGCCTTCAGATTAAACTAAGGTCGTAAAAGTCTGACGCTCTAGCCGATTGAGCTAGCCGGGCTTGAGTTGTAACGATTACACCTCCCTATCTATCCTAGTTGCTCAGAAGATCAGATGAGGTAGTAATGAGACAACTGCGCTCAGTCATTTTCCCTGCTCCATCGTCGTTACATGCAGGCTTCTAGATTTCTAGCTACAGTGATACTGCTCCCAGTGGTATACAAAGTCCCATGATACATGATGAGTCCGTTTCGTTTCCATGCGAAAGAGAAGGAAGATGACTATGCCACCAGGATGCCGTCTGCAAGGTGCAGAGCGTCCAGCTCCTGGGTGAGAATACGCTTGGAGGGTATTGGCCGGCGCGAGTGAGGCGAAGGCGTGTCGAACGACATGCTGGATTGCGAGCTGGTAGATGAGATGGCGAGAGACGGTGTTTGCTGTGCCGGCGGATCGAACGTCGCCGGAAGGCGGAATTGCAGGTAACTGTCGAGATCGACGGCCTCCTCCATCGTAAAGGCGTTCAGCGATCGCAAGGCGACCTCCGCTTCGGGCAGCGAGATTCGCCGCTCGGGATCCACTTCGAAAAAGCGTTGGATGAGGCGGTAAAATTCGGGCGTCAGGTTGGCGGCGCGCAACAGGTACTTCGGTCCGTCCTTGAGGAAGGCGCGGTAGCACGGGTCCTCGGGCTTCGCCTCGCCCCATGGCGCGCACTTCGTCACCGCGACGAAGAGCGTGACGCCGAGCGCCCACACGTCCGCGGGCTCGTTCCTGTACTCCCCGGACGGGCACTCGGGCGCGCGGTACCCGTCCGTGCCCCACCCCGACCAGCGCGACGTCTCGTTCGCGCTCGCGAGGCCAAAATCGCAGAGGCGCCACGATCGCCCGTCCGCGGACACGAGAATATTCTCCGGCTTGATGTCGCGGTGGTAGAAGCCCTTGTCGTGCATCGCGCGCAGCGCGGCGATCATCTGGAGGAAGCCCTCGCGGAGGAGCTCGGTCTGGCCGGTGAGGATGCCACCGGCGGCGGCGTCGTAGAGGTCGGTGCCCTCGACGAGCTCCATGGCGTGGTAGAGGTTCTCGTCGTCGGCGTAAGCGCCGTGGAGAGTGACGATATACGGGTGATCGCTAATGGAGGCGTGGATGAAGGCCTCCTGGCGCTGCATCGCGCGGAGCATGGAGTCGGGGCGGCCTAGCTTTTGCGCCTTGATGGCGACGATCTTGTCGTTTTGTCGATAGTCCAGTGCACGGTAGATCGTCCCGTAGGTGCCCTGCCCGACGTAGTCGCTGTCTGTGTCGAGGGCGAAGCGGTGGGGCTCTAGCGGGTCATACTGATGGTCAAGTCCGATGACTGGCTCGTTGTTTGGGCGCATGCTGGGCGGTTTTATCGAGGGTTATTGGCGAAGAGTGAACAGGGTGAAGAGGTCGGGGGTTGATGAGTGCGCGCGTCGCGAGAAAATGCGGTGAATGAGAGAACGGATAAAGCAGGTCGAGGTTATAAGGGTAGTGAGGCCGTAAAGGGGCGAGAGAGACCGTCTCGATTCATTGCTAAGGGCGTGAGCGGAACATGAGCAGGCCGTGTTCACCTCTCATGACGCATGTCTCGGACCACTTGCTCACATTCCGCAAGTCTACGCGTCAGGTATCTTCCATGAGGCTACCTCTCAGCCCAGCAAACGCTGTCATACGACGGTGTCGATGGCGGTACGAAGATCGAGGACCGGCCCTCCCGGTGTTGACATGATGGCGGAACGAGGGCCTCGGAGTAAGCGCGAAGGAAAGAAGGTGCTCGGCCATTGCCGAATTCGATCAGGTTGTGCTCAACATCGAGTCGGCCTTTTCTAAGACAGCGGAGGTCTCAGTCAAAGGGTTTTCATCGGGCGGAGCAGCGGCCATCCTCGACTCAGTACGCAAGACGACCACTGCAGATTGATGACAGCCAGCAGGAAAAGTATCGACTTGTACACCGAATTCTTAGCGGCGTCGTAAAGGATGAGGTATGGTGATGCCGCGCCAGAGTCAGAACGCAAAAAGTATGGCCAGGGACTCAAAAATGCGCGGTCAACCATGCGAAGCCCACCGCGGGGGTCGAACCCGCAGCCTTCAGATTCTACGCAAGCCGTAAAAGTCTGACGCTCTAGCCGATTGAGCTAGGCGGGCTCACACAACGTGTACCAATGTGTGTCCCTGTTGCGGCTGAATGATGGCGGAGAAGGACGCCTGCTTCACGATGCATGCATCCTCACATTTGTTTGAGCCTGAGCAGGTCGATGGTGATGAGAATGCAGCTATCACAGAGTGAGTCCCGAGAGGGAGTTGGCCAGCTCCGGCTTCAAAGGGTCCAGGTTCAAGTCACGGCGGCCGCCTATTCAACGTCTTGCCGTCTCCCTCCACGATGCTGAACTTGCCCGTTGTTGGACTTGGTACAACGGATAGCTCCAACGATGAGCGACCTTCCAGAGGTGAAGGAGAGAAGCAAGATGCGTTGCACATGAAATCAGAACAGTGGTGATTGAATGGAGTGGGAGAATGATCAAGGGTCGCGCGCGACGCGCTAGATCACTCCTTCCTCACGACGGGCGTGTATCTGCTCGCTCTTTCCCTCTCACAGCCGCTGGACCGTCTACCCCGTAAGTGCTTCACGCAGAATACCTCGCACATACTGATCTCTCTTAGGGAGGTCCCCTTGAAGGTCGCAGCCGCCATCCATCTTTGAACCATCGCTGTTCTCCACCTTCACTCGTTACTTTGTATGCAGCATTGACCTGCGCTCTCTCCTTTGCATATCCCCCTCCCTTGTCCTGCACGGCCCAGGACTATTGTGATAATGGCAAACATGCGCATGGACGCAATGAGCATACGCGACAGCGGTAACGAATATCTCGTCGAGATGTCCACCCTGCAGAATGGCAATTACGACGTGTGCGTACTCATTGCTTCATGATACTCCCTCTAAACTTACACTGCGTAGCTCGTACATGGTCCCCCTCAAGGTCGGCACGCCTCCTCAGACGGTCTACGTCCAGGTCGACACCGGTTCCTCTGATCTGTGGCTCGCCTCCCCTTCCTGCCAGACCTCCGCTTGCAAGTCCTCAGGGCACACCTACGACCCCTCATCATCATCCTCCGCCCAGACAACTTCCGCGGACTTCTCCATCTCCTACCTGCAGGGCCAAGTCTCCGGCGATGTCGTCAAAGACACGGTTCGCATCGGCCCCGCGTCGATCAACGCCCAGGCGCTCGCTGCGGCGTCAAACGTCACGAACGAGCCTCTTGGGGACGAGTTCAACGGCGTGCTGGGTCTCGCGCTGCCGGACAACTCGCTGATCGCGTCCAAGGACGGCGGGGATGCGGTCACGAAGGGGCTCTTCGGCGCGGATGGTGCTCCGGGAAACAAGTTCATCGGGATGCTGCTGGGGCGCCCGGGGAGCGATCGCTACCCCTCCCTCCTCGGCCTCGGTACGCATCCTTCGTCCGAGCAACTGCGTCTGCCAGACGGCAAGGACGTCGAGTCCTCGCTCTCCTACCTCGGCTTGTCCTCAGACGAGTCTGGGGAGCTCCTCTTCAAGGTGCAGCTCGCGGGCATCGACGCGCACCCATCTACCGTCCAAGGTCCCGATGCGGGGACAAACCAGAACAACCTGACAGCGGACACCGCGCTCCTCGGCGCGCCCCTCCGCGCCGTCTTCGACTCCGGCGTCCCGCTCATCCTCACCACCTCCACCATCGCAAACGCCGTGTATGGCGCCGTCGGCGTCGGCCCCGGCAGCGACGGCGTGTACTACCTCCCCTGCGCGACGCCGCTCAACCTCACCTTCACGCTCGCGGAGTCGGGCAGCAACGACTCGCCGCGGATCGCCGTGCCCCTGCACCCGAGCGATATGGTGATCGACGGAGGTGGTGGCGGGCGGGGCGCGGGTACGGGGTCGTGCATGGGCGCGATCCAGGCGGTTGCGGACCTGGATAGCTCGTCGAGTAATGGCGCGGGCGTCGATATTGTGCTCGGCACGCCGTTCATGCGCAACGTTTACAGCGTGCTCGCGTACGAGAACCCGGATGCGTGGCATGGCCAGCGCAAGCGCGCAGGTCCGTCTGACTGGCGCCGCGATGTGCCGATGTCCGACTGGCGTCGCGACGTACCGACTTCAGACTGGCGCCGCGATGTACCGACGTCGGATTGGCGGCGCGGTGGTCCCTCGGCGAAGGAAGGGCGACAACATGAGCACTCGACATTTGTCGAGCGTGAACTTCGTCGCGAGGATGAGCGCGAGAAACTCGTCGCAAGACACGCAAGACACAACTCAACGCGGTGTTTCTCGAGGGAACACGACTTTGAGGAGGGCAGAAGCGGAGGGGTGGGGCTTAGAATTAGCCGTCTAGCACGTAGGTAGTGTACATGTCGTATATATCGAATGCAAGCGTTTTTTGTGACAAAAAACGAAGCGGGAGCGCGTGAGGAAGTTGAGCAATGCCACGAACTCGGCAGGAAAACGGCTGCAAAGCGCCGGTCTCGAAGAGAACCCGAACTGCTCCCCCTCCCTCCTCTGACCATCCTCCATCTCGACGGGACCGGATACGCCGCCACAACCACATCCTTACGCCTGGATCCCACGCGAAAACAATGCCAAAACTGAGCCGTTCACGTGCGCTCGCCATCGAGTTCCCCTTCGCATGGTCGGACGAGGGGAGGAGGGATAACCTAGAGGAGCGTCAGCGTCGCGCGCAGATCCAGTGGACACTCGATTCACTCACCTCCAACTTCGGGGACATCCTCGAAAGCCACGCGCTCACGCCGAGGCCGCCACGATTGGCGGCGCACTCGAGCGAGAACGCGCACCTCTTCCTCCTCCTCCTCCCTCCTCCCCCGCGCCGCCCTCCTCCTACCCCTGCTTCTCCACCACGCCGAGCACCTGCGCTTCGTCCTCGGTCTTCTTGAGCAGCGCTGCTGCCGTCTCAAGTCCGCCCCGGCCCCCTTTTCCTTCCCGCTCAGCCTCCCCACCCCCACCTACATCCCTCTTCCCTCCTCCACGCGCAAGCGCACCACCGACGAGGACAAAGGTCCGCTGACAAGGACATTGCCTCAGCGCACGGCTGAGGCGTACGGCTTCGCGTTCAGAGTCGACCTGCAAAATCGTCAGCACCGAAAAGCAGGCAGATCGAGAAGGGGAATGCGTTCCCTCCCCCCACATCCCTATCCCAGCCCACATCGCGCACGCCTCCTCGGTTTCCCAGGCTTGAGAATCGCGTGTAGAGGGTGCGCGTCGTGAGATCAGGGTAGAAGACCCCGAAGGAAGGGGGAGAGGGGCAGGGAGAGGAGGTAGATGGGGGGGGGAGGTGCGAGAGGAGAAGGGGGAGGGGGAGGAGGAGGGTAGCTCACCCTCTTCGCGCTCCCCATCGAGGGAGCACGCGCGTGCCTCCGGCGGCTCGGGATCTACCAAGAATCACCCTCGAGGGGTCAGGGAATCATCTCCCCGGAAGGGAGAGGGTGGGGAGGGGAGGGAGGCGAGGGAGGGTACCCACCCTTCGCCGCACTTTCTCCTGTAGGGAGCACGCGCGCGCCTCCGACGTCTCAAAATCGCGAGAAGGACGTCTGTTGAGTGATCAGCATGCGCTCGTTGGCGAGAGGAATCCCGATATAAGAGGATGACAGGGGGAGGACAGCGCACCGTCGTCGTATTCTTTATGAAATACATCCTCGCGTGCCTTCGGCGGGTCTGGCTCGACCAAAACCTGGCCTTTGAGGAGTCATGGAGCCCTCTAATACAAAGGGGAAGAGGAGGGTAGGGCCCCCTACCCCGGCCGCATATCTCGCCCAGCGTGTCGGTGTGCGCCTCCGGCGGTTTGCTCTCTTCGAGAAGTCATCTGATCAAAGGTTAGCGTTCGATTATAGACGAGAGGCGGGATCTCACAGCTTGTCCCTCACGCAAGCTCACCCGCTACGCTCGAGACGCCGTCACCCTCCTTCTCGCACTCGACGTCGTCACCCTCCTTCTCGCATTCGACGCCGTCAGCGAGGGTGCCCCACCCTCTTCGCATTTGTCGCCTAGTAGGTGCTGACGTGCCTCCAGCGGCCTGGCGGCGGCCGAGACGGTGTTCAAAAGCATTCTATGTTCATATCCACAGCATTGTCAGCGACGGTCAAACACAAAAGATCAGCGGCGACGTACCACCACATTCGAAATCGTCCCGCCTGCGACAAAGTCGGAGTGAGAAGAGGGAGGGAAACCTAACCTCGACAAATTCTCACCCGGGAAACCCGCGTGCGGCTCCGGCGGTTCGAGGTCAGCAATTTCTTCCTTGAAAAAGTGTTAGCCATCGAGCAAGAGCAAAGGGGACGGGAGGGTACCACACCCTCGTCGCAAAGCTCGCCGTAGGACCCCCGGCGTGCTTCCAGCTGCTTGGGAGCATTTGCAATGACAGTCGAGACGGTCTTATGTACATCGTCAAGAGATTAACGGCGACGTTGTGGCGAAAAAGATAGCGGAGACGTACCAATGCAATTGAAAATCGTCTCTTGGGCGCTTAAAGGGCCCTCGGGAGGGAGGATCTTCCTCCCTTGACGCATTCCTCATCTAGGAAAAACGAGCGCGCCTCCGGCGGCTCGCCGTCGGCATAAAGTACCTTGAACAAGAGGTCAAGGGGTCCTCTCGGCGTCTAACGGGAGGGTGCTCCACCCTCGTCGCAACCTTCACCGAGGGACCCCGCGCGAGCCTCCGGCTGCTCGGGTCAGCGGAAATTCGCCTGAAAACTCGTCAGTGTGTCTTCATGGGATCTCCATCAGAATTGGGCTACGTACGAAGGTCAAACCGTCGATATCTCGCCAGTGTACGAGGAACGCAGTGCCGAAGGGGTCCGGGTTGGTTATGAGCTGGCTTGCTGAACGTTCAGATTGCGGTGACGGGGGTACAGCACGCCTCTTCCGTCGCGTTGATCGCCTCGATATGCGTCGTGTTGGGGCCGAGACTTGGCAGCTGCCAAAGGGGTCAGCATTGGAGAAAATGGGACGGTGGTACCCCACCCTCGTCGCGTTGCTCACCGAGTCAGCCCGAGCGTGCCTCCGGCGGTTCGGGGTCCACGCAAATACTCGAGTAGCACCTGACAAAGGGTCAGCCGCACGCGTCTGCACAGAGGTTTACGAGAAAGCGTACCGCGTGAGCTCTCAAACCGCATTTCCGACGAGTTCCGAGTAAACTTGAGAGGGGTGTACTCACCCTCAACGCGTCCTTCGACGTGTAAGCGGACGCACGCGCGCGTCCGGCGATCGCGATTGCACGAAGAAATCACCTATCAAGCGGTCAGTCAGCATGTGTCCGTTACAACGGTAACTGTGGGGGTCCAGCACAAATTCGCGGACTTACTGACTGGGGTGCTCGCCCGCGAGGAGTAAACCCCTCTAGTTGCGCTGGTCAACCGCGGCGCGTGCGTGCCACGCCTTCAGTTTTCGCAGAGTGCGGCGAAGGCCCCTCCAAACCGACGCAGCGTTAGTAAGCTCAATAGCGGGGGAGTCGGACAAGTCACCACGGAATAGGACAGGCCGCTCGCGTCTGCGCTGCGGCGGAAAAAGGGCCATGAACGGCGTTGTGTCGGCACGCCGGCAAGGTGATTGGTGGAGTCTGGAGCGGGGTCAGAGGCGGGAGTCGACAGCGACGGTAATGACTCGCCGAGAAGAATGGCGAGTGTCCGTCGTCGTGCGTTGTGAGTCGAGGGGAGGTAGCGTGGGGCACGGGTACGAGTTGGCTCCCTGCGACCGTCTGTGAAAGTCAAATCAGCACGATGCACAACGACGAGGGCGCGAGCTCACCGGGCAGTACGGCTACACGGGCTTCTGCGTTGTTGATAGTTCCGGTTAGTTGAGGGAATCGGATGTTCGTTCGTGGTGAGGGCGACACACGAGACGCGGCGGCGCGTGTTCTCGGCCGCAGTGCAGCGACGCCGCGAGCTACGACGCCGGGAGATAGCAGAATGGAGGGATGGGATGGGATTCGAGAGGGCGTCGTGGATAGCAGACAAGAACGCGCCGAGTACGTACCTCACGAGCGCGACAGCCAGGGGTCGAGTGCGATCGATGTCGAGGCTGTCCCAGACAGCTTTTAGCCGCCAGCGCTGACTGTTGCGGAAGGTCGAGGTCGCTGAGTCCATCGCCCTCGCGCTCTCCTCCGGCCTGTATGACTACACCTCCTGCAATAGCGAGGTCAGCATTGATGTTGCGGGCACCGACGAGCAGCGCACCATGGACGCAGCTTCACCGCCGCGGTCTGGAAGAGAGTCTATCCCTTAGCGTCGATGCCGAAGGCACCCGAGAGAATGAGCAAACTCGCTACTGCACACGCGTCAGGCTCAGTCGAGTGGAGAGCAAGTGAGAACGTACCATTATGAGGGTGATAACGAAAACCCAAGGTGCGTTTGGTGTCGATTGATGGTGCGCGGTCTGGAATTAAGAGTCGAGGCGTGGCGTGATGGCAATGGGACTGGAAGCGCACGATTAGTAGTCAAACAGAAGGGTAGATTAGAGAGGACTTACTCGTACATGTAGTAGACTGAGTAGAAAGGATAATTAGCGCTGATCTGAACAACGAACGAAAGGAAAGACTCACCAGTCGAGACGGAGCAAAGGAAATGGGTAGGCTGTAGAGGTATAGTCAGTAAAGCGAGCACTGTGAAGTGAGCGACTGACGCTAGCCGTCGAGAAAGTAGACATGAGAGAGCGAAAGTGAGAAGGGTCAGAAGAGGAGGGAGGAAAAGAAGGGAGGTGCTGAATGGTGACTGAGACAGCCAGACGCGCCGCGTCTTATACCCTGCACAACGGCAGTATGCCGTGCCCCTTGTTCCGCAAAACTTACAGACCGGAGCCTGCCATCACCGATAGAAGACCTCGGCGGTCCGCGATCGAGACCTGCCCAGCAAAAGTCGGATGATTGGGGGAACGAGCGCGCCCGGCGCGCACACAATCTTCCGTCTATCCCTGCGCGAATGTCAGCGAGATCTCGGCGGGAAATATTCCAGACGTACCTCTGCGGCGAGGGAAGGCCGGGCCCGGACCGCCGGAAGGCGGGGCTCGGGTGTGGCAAACCCGTTCTTGCGCGGGGAGCCGTTGCGCGTTCAAGGCGTTCTGCATCGTCGACAACGCGTCCGGTGTTCAGCAGAGCTCGCCAGAGCATGCGCAGAGGGTACACGAGGATGGGCGTGACGCGTCACAGGGCCGAGACCGCGCGAGGAGGAAGGGGGCAGGGAGGAAAAGTCGACCTCTGCGAGATCATTGCTCTATCTCCATTCGGCAGGCTTTGAGCCGCTCCCAAAGTAGCGCGCCTTGTCCGCGCGTGGGCTACTCACTCGGTCCCGCCAAAATCCCGCGGCGAACGTAGTGACACGTGTTCGAGTCACTGTCGACATGTCGTGCCGTTGGGTGGGGTAGGCCCGCGCTATGTATGTATGCGGCTCAACTCGCCAAGGCAAGTTGACGAGGCGGCCTCGAGCGTGGCGCGGCCTCCGTCGTCGCGCATCAGACTTCCGTCGCGTTGATTGCGTAAGTGTGCGCCGAGATCGTCGCGCCTGGATGTGTGATTGAGCCGGAAATCGGAAGTAGACGAGCGGGGAGGGGAACTAACGGGTGAAGTATCCGTAGAGTTTGCAGGTCGGACGACGTTTCTCGTGCCGGATATCAATGTCGATATGCTGGGAAAAGTACTCGAGAAGCCCGCGGGTGATGCAGAAGCCGGTGACGTGGACATTCTGCACGGGGGATCTTGAGGCAGCGAGGAAAGGCGTTATGCACAGAAAGCGGGGCCGATTCAGGCGTATTCCAAGCGTCATAATCAGGTTTATAGTACTAACTCTACACAGGGGTATAATTATCTGGTCAGTAGAGGTGTCGGACATTGTACTTTTCACTCACGAGATACGACGCCACATGCTGGGTTCACCCATGCGACCGGCGTGTAGTTCAGTCTCAGGGTAAAAGCGCGTTCTAAAGATCTGGGGTGTAGTATTAGCACGTTCCCTCACCGATCTTCGTCAATGGGGCTTTGCGAAGCACGCGCCACCTCATCGAGGCGAATGCTCCATCTATCTGTATGTCCTCTCCTTCAAGTTCAGGCTCAAGATCTTGAGCTTTTCAAGGCCTCGGTCTCGCCCTCAACTTCTCATAGTACGCCTTTCACCTCTTCTCACTGGCAAAAGTGCTTACATCCCATGAACTCGTCCCTATAATGGGGGGTAGGTGCCGTGGGCTCCACCGTGCGTCGTCATAGGCACTGTTTGTGTTTTCGAGAGATCTCAAGGTGGGCGAAACATCGTACTCGACGGATGAGAGGTCCCACATGCGACGAATTGCGCGCCGTGAACGAACTCGCGGGGGACGTGGTGGATGTATGGGAAACGAAAAGCTCCCGCGGGTGAGGCGCGGTCGGCAGTTGCCGAGGACCGGGTTGGCGGGGCGGGCGCCGGGCGCCTATCTGGGCGCTTGTTGTCTCCGACCGCCATCTCCGTCCCGCGAGCGCCCTGGCTATTGTTCTCGGGAGGCGCGTCAGAGGGTGAGGTGGGGATCCGGAATATGACTGTCTGCGCGCGCTTCGGATGAAATGGAATCGTGTCTTCACCTCCCGACTGCCGGAAGAAACCCACGCACGAGTCAAGGATTGAGCACAAGCGGGCGATATCGACGACGAAGGTAGGTGCTGGGGAGACTATTGTTCTCGATCTGGTAGGTGCTCAGGGTCTGCGGGCGGTCTCGGCCCACGTTCTCCGCGCCGCGGCCCGCATCGAATTGACGACTTGTTGCTCTCCGCCCGCCCTCATCTCCCGTATTCCGCCATTTTCCGCCGCCGCCCCCAGACGCCGCAAGCCACGTTCTCGGACCGCGGAGAACATTGTGCCCTTGCTTCTGACCTTTTGCCGGTCATTTTTCTGCCGCGGCGCGTGAAACTCTGGACCTGCGCGGGGCCGCCGCGCCGATTCGCTCATGGTGCGTTCTCTCTCGTGCGACGATTGCGGCTCTGCTGACTCTTCCACAAGCTTCCTCTCCCACGTCGACGCCCCTCTCAATAGAAAATGCCGCACTTGAACATCTCCAGCGCTCTCAACTCGCGCTAGTGCCCTAGGCGATGAGTACACAAAAATCCGTCCGCCGAGCGGGCTAATCCGGTATGTGTTCGCATTCTGAATGCGTTCCTAGTGATGCTAACAGCAATTCAGGCCTTTCTTCGTCTACTCACGCCACGTACGATGCGAACGCTGACGACGCGCTCAAAGCGCCGAAGCAACAGGATTTCGTCCGGCGAGCGGGTAAATAAGGTGCGTGCTCATTTTCCAGCTGCTTTTCCGGCGCTCACATCCATTAGCAGACATCGCTGCTGCGTGCCTAGCCTCTGCGTCGCTGTCTCGTGGCTCTGAAGGCCTTCTTGCTGCTCACTGGACCCCTCCCGCGACTCGCCGTATTTCCAGAACACTTCCAAGCCTGATTTACTCACGAAGCTCTCGAAGCGCTGAAGCAATGAATCTTCGTCCGCGGAGCGGGTAGATACGGTGCGTGAGCTACTTCTCGAATGTTACGAAGATGCTTATGATGCTCCAGCGTGTTTTGTAAGTCCCAGAGCACCCCGCCAAGCGCTGAAGCAATGTATCGCCGTCCGGCGAGCGGCGCTTCAAGCCTTTCCTTCGCTGTCCTTCCCGCTGCCTTCTTATGGGCTTCCCGACGCCTTTGACAAATCTTCTCGTCACCTTCGGCACCGCTTTATGCTGCCTTCTCCCATCCTTCCCTGTGCGCTCGACACCGACACCTTGAACCATACTTCCCAGCGATTTCTCCCTTTCATCTCGTCCCCTTCCACAACGCTTTTGTCTCCGCCTTACCCTCCCAAGTTGAGCGCGACGGCTCCAAGTGTGGAGTCGACGTATTTCCGGCTGCCGAGCGGCTTAATACCATCCCCTTGTTAACTGTCGTCAGTTCTCCGCAAGTCCACAAGGCCCCCAAGCGTCTTCAAGTCCCCAGAGCGTCTCCAAAACCCTCCGAGGGTCCCTGAGTCCCTCGAGCGCCGCCCAAGCCCTGGAGCAATGTATCGACCCTCAGCAAGCGAGGCTATTGTTTCTGTACTTCTCATCCTCGCTTCTACTCACTTTGCTCATCCTGTGCTCCTGCGCTCTCTTGCTCTCTTTACATGAGCTCGTAGCTTGCATCTTGTATGTAACTTCTCGCTCTCACTGTCTACCTCGACTCCTCTATACCTTGTTATAGTTTTTGCCTTCTTGTTGTATCCATTGCTGTCTTGCTCATCTCGTCGAGCTCGTCTCATCCACTCGAAAGCTGTCTGGTCAAGCTCATCCCATCTCGCCAGCCCCTCAATTCGAGTCTCGCCACTTTCTTCCCCATCAACGTGTCAGCATTTCCGAGTCTCGACTTATCCTCCACATCTCGCCACTCCGAGTCTCGCCAGGTCCTTTGACGGCCTATGCTCACCAACTCGTCTTCTTGACAGTGTCTGCTCGACAGTCTACTCGCCTTCTTAACAGCGTCCTCATCTTCTCATCACCATCCAGCTCACCATCCAACCTTGCTCATTGTGCTCGCCATGCTCATCTCATACTCGTCTTGCTTGCAACCTCAAGCTCGTCTTGCTCACCATCCTTACTCCCTGCGCTCTCGCTCGACTCACTGCTTGCGCTCAAGATTTGCATGCTCACGAGTGAGGTAGCGTAGCTTGTAGCTAGTGTCAGTGCAAAGCACCCTCATATATATATCCCGACGGCTCGTACGAGACTGGAGAATGAGATCACGGCGAGACGGCAAGCCACGGTGAGGCGGGACTGGCCCTTGACTGGACCGTGCCTCGGGCGGGTGTTCCGGTGTGATGTACGTATACGGATGGGATCCGTTGGCCTCGACGGGTCGCGAGATCACTAACGTAGCCAATGGTTAGTAGGGAATTAGCTTGGCAGGTGGGAGTGACAGGGAGTGTAAAATCGGTAGGAGGGGAGTGAGGGCAGGGAGCCACTCGAGCACTTGTAGAACACTAGTACCAGCCACACCCTACCACCTCCAGCTTACCCGACGTCGAACGAGGCACGGCGACGACCAGCACAATTTATACAAGCCGGATGTCACGCTTTCGAGAGTTGCTGAGGGCACCTAAAATCGGGGAGTGCAGGAATCGGTCAGTCAAGCTACAAATCATCTTGCATTCACGGGTAGTACACATCCCGGGCAGTCCGAGGACCCAAATCGAAAGGAGTCAAAAATCGCGTTCAACAGCGATGGCACACGTCGTTTCTCGAATTCTCGCTCGAAAAGGAAACGTCGCGGTTCAAGTCCGCGTGTGACGTGACGGCCGCCAAGGGAGGGGTGCGAGAGGGGCGAAGAGGGGCGCCGGCGGTCGACGGACGGACAACACCGCGCCACCGTCCAGCCCGCGCCAGCGACGCACATAAGAGCAGGAGCAGAGGCAGGCGGAAAGCGCACAGCCACCCGCCCGCGGATCCCATGACGCGCGCCGCGCGCCCCCGTCAAGCGCACACCCTCGGTCCCGACTCCCGACACGTCAAGCGACAGGCGAGGGCATCGGAGAGGAGCAGCCTGCTGACCAGCCAAAGCGAGGTAAGAGGGACCGTGCTACCGGTCCAGGAGAGGAGCAAGACGCGTGGTGATTGAATGGAGTGGGAGAATGATCAAGGGTCGCGCTAGATCACTCCTTCCTCACGACGGGCGTGCATCTGCTCGCTCCTTCCCTCTCACAGCCGCTGGACCGTCTACCCCGTAAGTGCTTCACGCAGGGTACCTCGCACGTACTGATCGCTCTCAGGGAGGTCCCCTTGAAGGTCGCGGCCGCCATCGCTGTTCTCCCCCCTCACTCGTTACTTGTATGCAGCATTGACCTGCGCTCTCTCCTTTGCATATCCCCCTCCCTTGTCCTGCACGGCCCAGGACTATTGTGATAATGGCAAACATGCGCATGGACGCAATGAGCATACGCGACAGCGGTAACGAATATCTCGTCGAGATGTCCACCCTGCAGAATGGCAATTACGACGTGTGCGTACTCATTGCTTCATGATACTCCCTCTAAACTTACACTGCGTAGCTCGTACATGGTCCCCCTCAAGGTCGGCACGCCTCCTCAGACGGTCTACGTCCAGGTCGACACCGGTTCCTCTGATCTGTGGCTCGCCTCCCCTTCCTGCCAGACCTCCGCTTGCAAGTCCTCAGGGCACACCTACGACCCCTCATCATCATCCTCCGCCCAGACAACTTCCGCGGACTTCTCCATCTCCTACCTGCAGGGCCAAGTCTCCGGCGATGTCGTCAAAGACACGGTTCGCATCGGCCCCGCGTCGATCAACGCCCAGGCGCTCGCTGCGGCGTCAAACGTCACGAACGAGCCTCTTGGGGACGAGTTCAACGGCGTGCTGGGTCTCGCGCTGCCGGACAACTCGCTGATCGCGTCCAAGGACGGCGGGGATGCGGTCACGAAGGGGCTCTTCGGCGCGGATGGTGCTCCGGGAAACAAGTTCATCGGGATGCTGCTGGGGCGCCCGGGGAGCGATCGCTACCCCTCCCTCCTCGGCCTCGGTACGCATCCTTCGTCCGAGCAACTGCGTCTGCCAGACGGCAAGGACGTCGAGTCCTCGCTCTCCTACCTCGGCTTGTCCTCAGACGAGTCTGGGGAGCTCCTCTTCAAGGTGCAGCTCGCGGGCATCGACGCGCACCCATCTACCGTCCAAGGCCCCGATGCGGGGACAAACCAGAACAACCTGACAGCGGACACCGCGCTCCTCGGCGCGCCCCTCCGCGCCGTCTTCGACTCCGGCGTCCCGCTCATCCTCACCACCTCCACCATCGCAAACGCCGTGTACGGCGCCGTCGGCGTCGGCCCCGGCAGCGACGGCGTGTACTACCTTCCCTGCGCGACGCCGCTCAACCTCACCTTCACGCTCGCGGAGTCGGGCAGCAACGACTCGCCGCGGATCGCCGTGCCCCTGCACCCGAGCGATATGGTGATCGACGGCGGCGGCGGCGGGCGGGGCGCGGGTACGGGGTCGTGCATGGGCGCGATCCAAGGCGGTCGCGGGCGTCGATATTGTGCTCGGCACGCCGTTCATGCGCAATGTCTACAGCGTGCTCGCGTACGAGAACCTGGACGCGTGGCGTAGCGAGCGTGGGCGAGCAGGCCCGTCCGATTAGCGACGCGATGTGCCGACATCCAACTAGCGTCGCGACGTACCGACCTCAGACTGGCGTCGCGACGTACCGACGTCGGATTGGCGGCGTGGTGGTCCCTCGGACTGGCGGCGACGAAGGGCGACAACATGAGCACTCGACATCTGTCGGGCGTGAACTTCGTCGCGAGGATGAGCGCGAGAGACCCGTCGCAAGACACAACTCCACGCGGCGTTTCTCGAGGGAACACGACTTTGAGGAGGGCAGAAGCGGAGGGGTGGGGCTTAGAATTAGCCGTCTAGCACGTAGGTAGTGTACATGTCGTATATATCGAATACAAGCGTTTTTTTGTGACGAAAAACGATGCGGGAGCGCGTGAGGAGGTCGAGCGATGCCACGAACTCGGCAAGAAAACGCCTGTAAAGCGCCGGTCTCCCGGACTCACCACGTCGCACATCCCCCCTCCCCCTCCTCCTCTGACCATCCTCCATCTCGACGGGACCGGATCCGCCGCCACAACCACATCACTATGGCTGGATTTCACGCGAAAACAATGCCAAAACTAAGCCGTTCGCGTGCGCACGCCATCGAGTTCCCCTTCGCATGGTCTGACGAGGGGAGGAGGGATGATCTAGAGGAGCGTCAGCGTCGCGCGCAGATCCAGTGGACACTCAAATCACTCACCTCCAACTTCGGGGACATCCTCGAAAGCCACGCGCTCACGCCGAGACCGCCACGGCTGGCGGCGCACTCGAGCGAGAACGCGCACCTCTTCCCTCTCCTCCTCCTCCCCCGCGCCGCCCTCCTCCTACCCCTGCTTCTCCACCACGACGAGCACCTGCGCTTCGTCTTCTTGCTTTTTGAGCAGCGCTCCTGCCGTCTTCTCAAGTCCGCCCCGCCCCCCTTTTCCTTCGTGCCCAGCCTCCCCACCCCCACCTACATCCCTCCTCCCTCCTCCCTCCTCCACGCGCGAGCGCGACACCGACGGGGACAGAGATCGGATGACAAGGTCATCGCCTAGGCGAGCGGCTGTGTCGTACAGCTTCGCGTTCAGAGGCGACCTGCAAAATCGTCAGCACCAAAAAGCAGGCACTTCGAGAAGGGGAATGCGCTCCCTCCCCCCACATCCCTACCCCACCCCACGTCGCGCACGCCTCCCCGGTCTCCCAGGCTTGAGAGTCGCGTGTAGAGGGTGCGCGTCGTGATAGCAGGGTAGAGGGTGATGAAGGAAGGGGGGGAAAGGGACGGGGAGAGGGGGTAGATGCGGGGGAGGTGCGAGAGGAGAAGGGGGGGGGGAGGAGGAGGGTAGCTCACCCTCTTCGCGCTCCTCATCGAGGGATCCGGCGGCTCGGGACTACCAAAAATCACCCTCGAGGGGTCAGGGAATCTCCCCCCTCGAAGGGAGAGGGAGGGGAGGGAGGAGAGGGGAGGGAGGGTCCCACCTTCGCCGCACTTTCTATTTAAGGAGCACGCGGGCGCCTCCAACGTCTCAAAATCGCGAGAAGGACGTCTGTTGAGTGATCAGCATGCGCTCGTTGGCGAGAGGAATCGCGATATCAGAGGGTGACAGGGGTGTGGAAGGAAGGGTAGCTCACCTTCGTCGTATTCTTTATGAAATGCACCTACGCGTGCCTCCGGCGGGTCTGGCTCGACCAGAACTCGGCCTTTGAGGAGTCATGGAGCCCTCTCATTCGAAGGGGAAGAGGAGGGTAGGGCCCCCTAATCCGGCCGCATATCTCGCCCAGCGTGTCCGTGTGCGCCTCCGGCGGTTTGCACTCGTCGAGAAGTCATCTGATCAAAGTTTAGCGTTCGATTATAGACGAGAGGCGGGATCTCACAGCTTGTCCCTCACGCAAGCTCACCCGCTACGCTCGAGACGCCGTCACCCTCCTTCTCGCACTCGACGTCGCCAGCGAGGCTGCCCTACCCTCTTCCCATTCGTCGCCTAGTGAGTGCAGCCGTGCCTCCAGCGGCCTGGCGGCGGCCCAGGCGGCGTTCGAAAACGTCCTATAGTCATATCTACTACATTGTCAGCGACGGTCAAACAAAAAAGAACAGCGGGGCGTACCACGGCATTCGAGATTCGCCACGCCTGCGTTCTGGACAACGTCGGAGTGAGAAGAGGGAGGGTAACTCACCCTCTACGCATTTCTCACCCGGGGAGCCCACGCGCGCCTCCGGCGGTTCGATTCAGAGGTTAGCGAGTTTTTCCCTGATAAGGCGTCAGCCGTCAAATAAGAGCAAGGGGAGGGGAAGGTACCCGCCCTCGTCGCAAAACTCGCCGTGCTACCCCTCGCATGCCTCCGACGGCTTGGCACCGCTGCAACGACGGTCACAGAGGTCTTATGTACATCGTTAAGGCATTATCAGCGATGCTGCGGCGAAAAGATAGCGGAGACGTACCAATGCAATCGAAATCG